AATGGTGGCAAAAATAGTAATGCAGCCTGTTAGGACATAACATTAGCTTTAAGAAAAACACAACAAATTGCAACAAAAATTAAAATTTAATGAATAGATTGTCACAAAACCACAAGCCCAGTTTAAACACTAAAACATGTCCATTTTATGTATGGACCTTCTGAGTTCGTTTTGCACGATACTATTGTCATTTCACTTAGAAAATGTTTGTTAACGATATCCATATTTCAATATTCAATATCGGGTGAAACCACCACGTGATTGGATGCAGGCCCCAACCCTGCGTCTCATCCCTCCAGTTAGTCGTCGGATTTCCTGCTGTGGTATTTGCCGCCATTCCCGGTGCAATGCTGCTTCCAACTGACGTAAATTTTGTACAGGTGGTTCGGCTGCCTGTACCCGACGGCCTAACGTGTCTCAAATATGCTCTATCGGATTCAAATCCGGGCTCATGGCAGGCCATGGAAGAGCAGTTACTGCTTCGCCTTGAAGAAATGCGGCAACCGCCCTTGAACGATGCGGCCTAGCGTTGTCATCCATAAACACAGGTTTTGCAGCTAATGAGTGGTTATCAAAAACTACTGGCTGAAGATCTTCTCTGATGTATTGATCATCATTAAGGTTTCCTCGTATAGTCACCAAGTCCAATTTGCAGTCATGAGAGATGCACCCCCATACCATCACAGAGCCTCCACCGTAAGGGACAGTTGCATGGATGTTCCTTGGGGTATATGCTGTATTTTTCTGTCTCCAAACTCTTAATCTTCCATCTGTAACATGCAGAAGAAACCGGTTCTCGTCTGACCAATGGATCTTGCGCCAGTTCCTCAAGTTCCAACCACGACGAGCTAAGCACCATGCCAAACGCAGTTGTTGATGTCGGTCAGTTAACATGGGACGTCTTATTACCCTCCTTGACTTCAGTCCTGCTGATTTCAACCGGTTCCTCAAGGTTCTGGTTGATAGCTGTCTATAAGGTAACCATTCTCTTTTAAGAACAGGACTTGTTGCGAATAGCATTCGTCTAATCAGGCGTTGCAGTGCCCTGTCTTCACGCTGCGATGTCACCAGTGGTCTACCGGATCTTGGCAAGTCTTTCACGTTATTGGTTTGGATGTGTTTCCGCACAAGCCTGCTGACTACAGTATAATGGTAGCCCATCTGACGTCCAAAAGCTTTATAAGATAATCCTGATGACCGCATGCCGATAATCTGCCATCTTTGAGCCTCCGATATTCGTCTTCGTACCATGTTCACAGAGTGTGAATAAGATTTTCAAATCGCCGGACTTAAATACTCAAATTTGAAGCGCGGGGAAACTGCATTTTGTAATTTGCATGGGAGGCATGGTTCACGTGCATGATACGTCGATATCTTAATGACCGGTCACACCTGTATGGTCACATCGTTTTAAAGGAACATTGGTCTTGTTAAAATCAATATTTATATTCAAATTAACATTTTTGGTAAAAATCTATAATGTAATATATCAGGGGGTGCTTAACATTTTTCTTTGTGTATAGCTGTAGATTTTGTCTTGTGGATCAATTTTGCTGTTTAAAATTTCTCCGTATCTGTTATACAAGTAATTTTTTTAAATAAAAGGCAATAACGCAAAAAAAAAGAAGGTAAAAATCATAACACTGCTAGAACTATAAGGAGTCAGCTGACGATTTCGGCAATGATGACCTATTTGTAGATCTTGTCTTGTTGATCGTTTTTGCTATATAAAGTTTCAATCTATCTGTTTCAATTTCAAGATAATAGCTAAAAATGCAAAAAAATGGTAACTTAACTGTTAACACAGAGATATATCTCGCCAGTCGGCAGAAAAAAAAAAGACAATCTGATTGACAACTTTGCTAATTAATCCAAAGTCGCTGTACAATGACCTAGGAGTCAAGGCCTCGAAATAGTCGCCAAACTGATATATACTGAACTGTATAGACTATCAAAAGTAGTTCCTATCAAGCTGACTTAAGCAGAAAACTTAACAATGAAAATTACTAATTAATTCAAAGTTACTGCACCATGAACTAGGGAACACGGCCCCGAAATAGTAATCAAACTAATATGTACTGATATTAATACAACTTTAAGGAAAACATTGATCTATCACAAATAGTTCCTATCTTAAGCAGAAAACTAAACATTGAAAATTGCTAATATTCAAAGCTACTGAACCATGACCTAGGAGACAGGGCCTCGAAATTGTCGTCAAACTGATAGTAATGCAACTTCATAGAAAATGTCATTGATCTATCACAAGTAGTTCCTATCAAACTGACTTAAGCAGAAAACTTAACAATTGTTGACGCATCCTACGCCGCCGGAAAAGCAAACATCTATGCCTCTCTATCCGCAATATTTTTGTCGCAGGCGAGACAAAAATTATCACTTAAGGACAATAACTCCATTCAAGAGTCCACTGACGATTTCGGCCATGTTGACGTTTTTGTTGAATTGTCTTGACAGTTCTGATGTAAATGGACAGTTGTTGGTGAACCACGACCTTTTGAACATTTCTGTACTTTTCAGATTTCCACTATCTATAGCGATTTTCAAGATAATAGACAAAACTTGCATTTTACCTCATATGATATAGTTTTGGCAATGTCGGCCATGTTGGCTCGCAGGTGGGATCATTGGACTAATTTTGAAACTAGAAACCCCAACACAATTGTAAATGAGTCAAGGACAACGGACATATGCCAAACAGAAACTTTTAGGCAGCAAAAGAGAACAGTTATTGTACTTAATAAATTATGATAAAACAACTGGCAAACTATTTCTGCAAATTCATTCGTTTGTAGCCAGTAACATGACTCTGAGACTACTATACTAAACTATAATATGAGTTATAGTAGTCTCAGCATGACTATATATACATTATTGAACAATTTTATAAAAATCGTGTGCTTTGTCAGGAAGCATGTCAGGAGTAATCTTAAGCTATATTTTCGTGCCTCTAGTCTTTATAAATAAGAGTGCACACGCTGAAATGTCTCGTCTGCTTTACTGACCATTGCTTTTATGTTGATAGTCCTAACTATAAAATTTTACTACAAGTATCACAATAACAAACATGATCCAAGAAAATGAGGTCAAGGTAAGATAAACCAAGCCGGAAATACATGTACACTTTCAATCATTCCATACGCCGAATATAGTTGACCTTTTGCTTATAGTATACGAGAAACAGACCAAAAAATGGAAAACTTTATATTGACCAAAGAACCATGGAAATGAGGTCAATGTCAGATGAACCCTGTCAGACAGACATGTACACCTTAAAATCATTCAATGCAGCAAATATAGTTGACATATTGCTTATAGTATTAAGTATTTACGAAACAAACTTAACCAAAAAAACTTAACATTGACCAATGAACCATGAAAATGAGGTCAAGATGATACATGCCACAGACATATACACCTTACAATCATTCCATACACTAAATATATTGCTTTTAGTTTAAGAAAAACAGACCAAAACACAAAAACTTAACATTGAGCAATGAACCGTTAAAATCAGGTCAAGGTCAAATAAAACCTGCCAGACTGACATGTACATCGTTAAATATATCAATACACCAAATACAGTTGACCTATTGCATACAGTATTAGAAAAACAGACCAAAACACAAATCTTAACTTTTACCACTGAACATGAAAATGAGGTCAAGGTCAGATGACACCTGCCAGCTGGACATGTACACCTTACAATCCTTCCATACACCAAATATAGAAGACCTATTGCTAATAGTATGAGACATATGGACTTGACCACGAAAACTTAACCTTGTTCACTGATCCATGAAATGAGGTCAAGGTCAAATGAAAACTGTCTAACAGGTATGAGGACCTTGCAAGGTACGCACATACCAAATATAGCTATCATATCACTCATAATAAAAGAGAAATTAACATTATAATAAATCTTAACTTTTTTCAAGTAGTCACTGAACCATGAAAATGAGGCCAAGTACAATTGACATATGACAGATGGAAACTTCACATCATAAGGCATCTATATACAAAGTATGAAGCATCCAGGTCTTCTACCTTCTGAAATATTAAACTTTTAAGTAGTTAGTTAAAGCCGCTTACTAACTAACACAGCAGCCGGATCACTATCACTATATTCTCATGCTTTCTGTAACAGAAAAGAGGAGGGACGAAAGATACCAGAGGGACAGTCAAACTCATAGATCGAAAACAAACTGACAACGCCATGGCCAAAAATAAAAAGACAAACAGACGAATAATAGTACAGATGACACAACATAGAAAACCAAAGACTAAGCAACACGAACCCAAACAAAAACTGGGGGTGATCTCAGGTGCTCCGGAAGGGTAAGCAGATCCTGCTCCACATGTGGCACCCGTCGTGTTGCTTATGTTATTACAAATCCGGTAAATAGTCTAATTCGGTAAGTCACATTCGTGAAAAGGGAGGGTATTGTAGTTACGACACAAGGAACATATCCATATTGTTGCATGCTCTACAAAAATTTTGATGTCAGATCTTTGGAAGTCCCTGTTAAACATAATTACAAATTGTCTAGACTGATGACTTATGTAGACTTTAAAGCTTGATATATGATATAGGCACTTGTCTTTTGTTGAAGACCACATGTTGACCTCTGGGTGACATTTGTGTTAGGAGGTTGTTGTCTCATTGGCATATACATCAGCTCCTTTTAATCATACTATTACAGAAATTAAAGCAAACATCAATTAATCAATCTATTACAAGGCATAGCTTGCTATATAATATGGGTTTTGCTCATTGTTGAAGGCTGTATGGTGACCTATAGTTGTTAACTTCTACATCATTTGGTCTCTGGTGGAGAGTTGTCTCATTGGCAATCATACCACATCTTTTCATTTTTTTTATAACAGATCTAGTGAAGACTTGACATGGAATAATGGTTGAATATGGCATTAAAAAGAATGTACTGCATATTCATTTACATTAAAAGGCATAACACAGAATATTTAAAGCCAAATATATTTTAGTGAAACAATAACAAAGTGTAACAATAAGGTAAACAAAGTGTGAACAATATAATTATGTGAGCAATATAGGTATTGATATATAAACACATACAAAAATACATGTAAATTTAAAGTTGTAGAATAAAAATAGATATCTTAACATTTATATAAAAATATATGTTTTAACAAATTTTTTTTTTTTACCAAACTTTGAATATAAATACAGAAGACAGTTGACACTTAATGTGTATTCAAAAATATGTTTTAACAACAAAGTAAATATAAAGATTGTACCAACTTTTTGCATCTAAACTTGTTTACACAAAAATATACAATATTTTAAAAAATCTATAAAAAGGTGAACAAAGTCTAATTTCTGATTAAAAAGGGAATGCTTATTTCTAGTAAAGGATATTTAATATTGAAGTATCCTTTTCTTTTTTGGATGTAAGACACTTTTTCTAATAAGTTTTCTGATAAATTATATTTAACTTTAATTTTATGACTAAATTATATAAAATATTTAAAACAAGTATAAAAATTAATCTGAGCATTTCAGTTACTATGTACACAGAAGAGAAAATATGTTCAATTTTTATCTATTTCGTATTAATCTTTTGTACTGACCCATCAGAAGGAAAGTGTTTATAACCTCATAATACCTAAGACTTATAAATTTATTACAATTTAGATGCTACCTGAATTACTAAATCAATCAAAGATGAAATCTGAATACAAAAATCATTACATTGATTGATTGATTGTTGTTTGTTTAATGTTATAAAATCTTTACAATAAAATGTTCAATTTTAACTCTAGTTTACAAATTTATTTTACTTATTCTCTGTTATAATTTTATTATATCTATTAGAAATAGGATGTTAACTACAAAACTTATGAAGAAAAAGACTTCTGGTGCACAAAGGAAAAAGCCAAAGAAAAATGCTCAGTTTTACATAATTTTACAATGAAAATAACATCACTGCTGACAAAAATAAATCCACCAAAACATTGATAACAACAGTGCACAAATATATATTATTATTGAAAATAAACAAAAATACTGTTTTTTTATTACTGCAATATATACTGTGAGTACAGTCAAACTATATTTTGCATAGAAAAGTGCTCTTAAAATAGTAAAAAAAGCTTTTTTAATTTATGAAAGGTTAAATTTTATTATAATGTATTCGAATACAAAATTGTTAATTTTTTAAAACTGGGTAAATATTAAAACATCACAATAAAAATTTAAATTTCCTGTATGAGAAATATATTAAAAGCAAATATTGTAAATTCAGTACATACTAAACTTAAAAGGATGTAGGCATAGTATTACAATTCTTTTTCACAAAATATCACAAATCTTTTTTTAGTTTTATTCCTTGTTTTTGTTCCATCTTTCATTATAGACACTTGTTTACCATTTGAATTCATCTTCTGGTTCATTTCCAGTTGGGGACTGAACTCTAGATGGAGGTCTTGATGGCTGACTTCCCATGGAAGACATGCTTACATAGCTGTCTTCTCGATGCATTGATGAATCAAATGAATGTCGTGATCGCAATGGTTTACTAGTATTAGTTGTATCCTTTGTTGGACTTAACGAGTTTGCATGTCTAGATACTCGTTTTGGTGCTGTGTCAGACATATTTTGAGTGTTCATTATTGATTGTCTTTGTACACCCTTCTCAGGAATATACTCCATAGGCAGTTGAGGTTTTCGTGAGTTTGCTTCAGTTTCGATTTTACTTAATGTGTTCTTTCGACTTCCTAAACTGGTACTTGTTTTATTATCATGCCATGTGGTTGTATTCACAGGAGGATTGTCTATAATTGACATTTTCTTTACACAAGTGTTTGTTGCTGAGGTATCCACCAATAATTGTGTATCGCCACTCATTGCACTACTTAGAACACTAGAAGATCTTGAAAATGATTCACTTGGCTTTGGTGTAATATTGGATGTTAATGATTCCCTTCTGCTATCTAGGACTGAAAACTGCGCAGCTTCATCGGGTGAAAATCCTCGGTTCTTGAAGGAAAAGGATTGTGTTTCAGTCTCTGGTTGAAATGGACAGAAGATTTCTGCATTATCTGGTTGGTAATTTACACCTGGTTGTACAAATGGTGATTGGGGTCGAGGATCGGATAGAAGTTTTGGTTTTGTAAATAAGGAGGAGTCTGTTTTTAGAGGTATACTCTCATCTGGCTCTGCATCGAACATACTGACCACTGGTTCCATCTTTCCTGCTTTAAGTGTAGGTTTCTTTGTTTTTTCTGGGAATTTGGCCTTGAAATTGTATGCCATTGGAGCCATTGCACCACCAAATGCAGGATTGGCAGAAAACAACTGGTCTTCAAGATCAACATTAGTAGCTGTTAATACTGAGCGATCGGACATGGAAGAACGGGGTCTCCAATCTTCATCATCATCTGAGTCATAGTCATGACCTACAACCTTTTTCTTCTTTCTAAAGCACAGTTTTCCATGGCACCAGCAACAACATATAGATATTAGTATAAGAATTATAATGGCAGCAATGGCAGCTACTATGATCATGATATTCAATCCCGCAGCATCCTCCTCCTCCTCTTCATCTGTACAATAGTCAAAGTAATGAGATAATGTACATTCATCCACATCAAAAGTTGCTTGACAGTAATAAATAAGGTTTTCGACTATAATTGTTTGACTTCCATTCACTCCAACAGTTGAGTAGTCTGCTAGACAAGATTCCAATAAAAAGTTTGAAAGGCTGGATATGTCACCTCCATAACAGGTTGAATTGACATCTGAATTTGAGAGTGCATTTATACAAGCTGTTAATGCTGCAGAATTTACGTTATCTGTTGTTACATCTTCGGAGGTGAATGTTGATACAGTTGGTATATCTGATGGAGACCATAAGTCATCAGCACTGACTACAGCTTTTGAACCTGTAGATTTTGCGCTACTGGATGTAGATATTGTTCCGGGGACTGTTGTTGTTCCCAATCCAGTCTGCACAATAATGCTAGCAGACAATCCTGTACCTTCATCAAACTTTGAAAGAATAATTAAGTTTTCATCAGATGTTATGTCATTAGTGTATTCTGATTGTTCTGCTAGAACCGAATCAAAGGATCTAACTGTGCTCCACATACGTAACATATCAATATCTAATGGATTGCTAGAGCTTCCATAAATGTTTATGTTGTTTATTTGTCCCATGGTACTCGATGTCAGAATATTTGAAAATGATTTGTATTTGAAGTCTTCCCCATTATTTGCAATTCTGTAAACCATAAATTGCCCACTTGCTGAATCCCACGTTACAGTAATGTAGTTCCAAACTTCTAATTCAAATGCAATATTTGTTGTTAAGGTCATTCCAAAATCAACCTGTAAAAGACCATCTTTTATTCTTACTGTCAAATTCTGTAAACCTATTTCATATGATATTATAGGTTGAGTAATGTTTTTGCTACTGCTATCTATTCTGGACCAGAAACTAATAGTGAATGCATCTAATGAATTAGTATACACATCATTAAAAGATACAGTCTGAGTTGTTAGATGAAGCATATAACCTGATGTTGAGAGATCTTTCAGTCTACTATCATAATATGTGTGGACAGACCCGAGTGATGTTCCTAGTTTTGACTTAGTCCACCCTCCTATGTACGAGGTAGACAACTTACTTTCTACAAAAGCCATGTTTGATGAATCATCAGGTGATATTAAGTCATTATACCATGTTGTATCTGTATTTCCTAATAATCCAGTTGCTGACTTAGCACTACTGGATTGTACTCTAAAACGACAAATTAATCCAATATTACTGTCAGAAACCAGGACAGAGAATCCCCCGGATGTTAGCCTGATATAGTCTGATGTATTCCATTTGACTTCAATGTTAGATACTGTTGTTATCACAGGATACTCAAGTGTTGTAGATCCTCCCACATGTACGGCCTCCATCCCAAGTGTTCCTTTAAGTATGCTTACAGTTTGTCCACCACTGCTAACAGATATTTCTTTAATTTCTCTGCAGCTGATATCATTATTACAAGGCCAGAATACCCCCTGAACTGATACTCCTCCAGCTGAATATGCAGTGTAAGTGCCTGGTGTTATTAGCTTATATGATACTCCATCAAGAGTTGTTATATAGGATCCCATTAGAAAGCCTACTGCATAAGTTTGTGATGATTTTGGTGCTTGAACAGCAAATTTACAGTCTGATCCATACATCCCTGTTGTACATTCAGAGCAGTTGAAATTTGAATCTGTCATAACAACTTCTGCATTAGTTGCATATGTCTTCCAGTAATTTGTGGTACTCATTGTACTACCAAGCCAGTGTGCATCACAATTACACCCTCCTGTTGTACCATTACATGCTCCATGTGAGTTACAACTTCCGTCTGTTCCCAATGAACATGTTGCAGCACAAGATGTTCCCCAATGTGCTGAATCACATTCACACTGGCCAGAGCCAGAATCAAAAGTTCCAAATTGACATTCTTGGTTGCACGATGTACCATGTTTTGAAAGATAACTATTATATGTTATAATTTTGTCGCAGACAGCATTTGCTGGCGATTCTGTAAGAGAATTTGCATTCTTGCAATATTCGGCAGTACTGAGAAGTAATACCTCTGCTAAATCCTCATTCCCTGATGTCTTAACTAGAGATGAGCATTGGTCCAGCATTGTTTCAATGAAATTTTCTAATCCTGAACACTGAGTTGTGAATCTGCTATCTTCAAACAATCCAGTACATTTGTCCGAGCTTGTAGTAAGGCTGTAGGGTTCTGCTGTAGTTAACTGAGGCAGGTTTAATTCAATACCTTGAGAAAGTTCTAAATCATCTGACGATGCCCATGTCGGTGGATTATCCAGGTCTACTGGATACATATTCTGATTTTTAATGTCTGAAGACAAATACCCAGTTCCTTCACTAAATGACCATGCTGCAAACAAATCTGGTGTTTTCTCCGAAACATCTTTCCTCCAATTATTTTTTATGATAGATGGGTTTTGTGGACGTGTCCATATTCTTAACTCATCAATATAGCCATTAAACTGACCTATTGGTGCTAGGGTAGTAACTCCTTTTCCAATTTGACCTACTGTTAACGTGCCCCCACTCGTAAAAGCACCAACATTCATTTCTAGTTCTTTCACAGATATTTCGCCAGAATCCTTTGTAACATATACTCCAAGTACACCATTTTCTTTATCCACAGCAAGATTAACTTGGTTCCATTTATCAACATCCAAGTTTATTCCAGTTTGGTAAGAGTTGTCATTTTCAATAATGGCAAGACCACTACGGAAATTGACAAATGTTATAAAATCACCATTGTCTGTATGATACGTTAGCATTGGTCCGTTCACAGCAGAAGGTTTAACATTGAATTCAACACTATATTCTGATGTGTCTGGCAGTTCAAAGTCATCTGCAAAAATGCCATTTGTTCCGCTGAACCGAAGACATGAAGGTCCGGTTATAACATATTCTCTTTCTAAAATGGTGTTAATTTCAGTGTTGTTGACTGCGTTGTTTTCTAGGAAGGAATCAATTGCCTCATATGATACGTCTTTGACACATGATCCAGCAGTTGTAGAATTAATTATTTTATTGCAAATGTCTCCTCTAGTAGCACTCTCACAATCTGCAAGTTGAAGAGCTGTCTTTGTGTCACAAGACGCTACGAGACCTTCAATCAAGTTTGTTTCTGAATCAAATTTTTCATTTGGATATGACATGGTGGCAATTAAGCCATTTTCAATGGACATTATATCAAGCTGTAAATTGATATCAGTCATATTTATTGTCAAAAAATTATTTTGTGAAATAGATAGCTGAACATTGCCTATGGTTGTCTTTTCAAATATTTCAGTTTCGCCCGTACTTGTAAAAACCTTTACTTTTGATTCTCCAAAGCTATTGGATGCACGGATATAGTAAATAACTCCACCGGCTTCAAACATTATGTCATTCAAACAGTAATGTGTCTTCTTTGTATCATTACATACAGACATGTGAGCATAAACCGATTCTTGTACTCCCGAATGTCCAAAAAGCTTGTATACATTTTGTGCTGTTAAATCAACTAAATACCCATCAAAGGTTACCATTTGTCCAAAATTATTGATATGAGCTATTAAATTTGATTGACCTGCTGGTTGTCCTGTTGGTAGAACAACACATTCATCACCTTCCCATCCTGTTCCACAACTATCACAAGTAGGTCCGGTCCAGTGTCCTTCACAATGACACTTTCCCCCTGTATCACAAGTTCCGTGATTATTGCATGGCTCTGCATTTCCATTGGGACAAAGTTCGTCACAATTTGGTCCCCAATATCCGTAATAACAGAGACAAGCCCCGTCTGTTCCCATATAACCAAATCCACAGTTGTTACACTCCTGAGTTACCCAGAATGGAACTGTGCCATTCTGTTTGCACATTTCAGAATATAAACTAGTGGGAGTGCCACCTTGCGCTTCACATGCTGAAATGAAACTAGTCATTGTTACCATGCTGTCTTCTACGTCTGAAGATGTACTGCCAAGAATAATACATTGTTGTTTAAACCAGTTCTTACTAGATTGGGAAACTCCTGCACATGCTGAACTTATAGCAGCTGAATCAAAGAACTCGTTACATGCTAACTTAATATCTTCTTTCATCTCGATGGTGTTCTCAGCATCTGCATTGATATTTTGTAAATCAAGATCAGAAGCTACCCATTCAGGTGTTTGCCAAGGGAAGCTAGGAAGTTGCAAGTCATTACTTAAAACATCGTCTGATGCCATGCTACCAAATCCTTCTGAGAAAGACCACAATGTTGATACATTCTTTAGGAACCCAGCTCCTTTCACATTTAAACTGTCTGCTTGTGTTATCAAGTGAGATGGTATGGGATCTTTCCAAACTGATATTTCTTCAATCTCGCCAACAAATTTCTCATCATCAGTGAAAGTGTGTGCTGGTGATTTCGATGAAGGAATCCATTCTGCTAAAGCAACTTTTCCACCTTCAGAGAAAAGATCTGGAATGAAGTCATCTATGATTTGATATGTCATGCTGGCATTTGGTCCATAATGGTATAAATGCATTTGGTTATTTTTGCCATCCATTGTCATAATGAACTGATTCCATTCATTAAGCTGTGGACTTATAGATGTTGTAATTATGTCCGTCCCATGTTCTAGTATCATTGGGTCAGTATTATATATGGAGAATGTTTGGTCGTCTTTACTATTGGACAGGATAACTCCACCTTCTTCGGTTGGTTTGAAAAAAATACCAAGACTGAAATCTTCACTGTTAAGAGTGGTATTACTGTTATACTTCAATTTTTCCGACTGAGCAGCTGTTTTATTGAATGACAGGGCAAAGCCTGCATTTTCATTCACATCTATGCCATAGACTGTTGATAGTGTGTCTACCATAGTACCACCTTCTGATCTATATTTCTTTTCAAGGTATTTCATTAGTTCTGAATGCGACATTGATTCCATTGAACTTGTTTCTGGAAGTATTCCTTCTGAATCTGCTATTACAGCTGAATTAATGTCTAATGCAAAGTCTATCCATTGCTCATGTGCTTTAATTGTAATGACATTTGTTTCTGGGGTCTTTACAGTAAATTTCAGTTTCGCATAAGAGTCCATTTCCAAGTCAACTGAAGCTGATAGAGTTGATGTTGTATCATAGTCAATCTTCACCGAGTTACTATACACAGTAGGTGGAACATCTTTTTGTCCAGATGGAAGCACTACAAGTCTTGTGTCTCCTGTGGTAATAGATAAGCCAATAACACATGCTCCAAATTGACAACTCACTTGATAAGTCTCAACAGCAAAACCTTTATCTTGATTTAGAATAGCAAAGTATGTCCCAGTCAGTTCATCCAAGCTGATCTGATATCCATTGAATCCCATGTAGTTTCCTTGACTTGTTACATAAGCTTTAGTTCCAAGCGAGCTTCCTGAGTATAGAACATCACAATCTGGACCAGTCATGCCGGCAGTACATGTCCCACAATTCAATGCTCCATCCCAATTCCAATCACATGTACAACCTCCATTGTCGTCACACTGCCCATGATTACTACAAGGAGTATCAGAACCTCCTGGACACACATTGGAACAATTTTCTCCATAATATCCATACGTGCAAATGCATGTACCATTTGAAAGTTGTTCTCCAAACACACATGTTTTAGGACATCCACTATTTTCTCTGATGGTTATTTCTAGACTATTACAGAGCGGTGTTAGTACTGGAGATTCTGGCAAATTTAACAATAATTCACAAACTTTTCCATAACCCAGGATAACGTTGTTGACTGATGCTAGATCATTTGTGGTGCTATACACTTGCATGCATTCAGTGTAGAGAATATCTTTGGTAGATGTAGGTACATTGGAACACTCGCTGTATGTGTCGTTTCTTATCTTTTTACAAACTTGATCTGCCATTTCTTTCTCTGCAGTGCTGTTAAAGAAAACATAAGTGACTTCTGGTTCAGTATACTTGTCATACACCAGATCTGAAGGTGTCCATGATGGCTGAACCCATGGGTTGCTAGGCAGGTCAATGGTTAAACTTTGTATAAAGTCTGATGTCTGTTCACCTTGACCATCATCAAAAAGCCAAGCTGCATAAAGTATTTGTTGTATATCAAGAGGATTAAGTTGGTAAATATCAACTATAATGTTGGGTTCTACTGGTATTTTCCAAATTAAGAAGTTATCTAATTGACCTTGAAGTGCTGTTGGAGCTGTCATTGGCTTCCCACTGGAAGGTGGTTGCCAGTGACCCAGAGAAAAGGTTCCAGGATTACTGAAGATGCCAGTTGACAAAGTCACACTTCTCCTCTGAATATATCCAGTGCTATTGAAAACATATATGTCAAGGTCACCAAGTTCACCATAGTACATAACAACTACCTTGTTCCACTCATCAATTTCTAATGTCAAATTGGTTGCAAATGTTATATTATTGTAGGTCACTTCTAAAGATTCTGCACTTTGTAACATAAACAGGTTTTTATTACTGAAGGAAAACAGGACGCCTGCATTTCCACTGTTATTTGCTATTTTGACAAGGAAGTCAAAGGTGATGTTTGGTCCAACATCAGTGTAAAGGTCAATGTTAATTGATACCACCGTTGAAACAAAATTCAAACTGAATCCACCAACGTTCTGCTTCTCATCTGCCAGTGTTGGATAATATATGAATCTGTCACATTCTTTTACTTCAAAACGACTGAATTGAAGGGCAGTTGTGGTCAAGTTAGTTTCTATGTTGACTTCAGTAAATGTCAAGGCATAACCAGTCACTTCTGATGGTGATGCAGACTGTATTGTACCAGAGTATGTACAAACACTTGGTGAATATATGTTCCTGTATGTTAGCTCTTCCAGTTTCAATGTGGCATTTGTTTGGCTAGATCCACCAAGAAGACCACTAGTAAGGTTCAAAAGGTCAACTCTCAATTGTACCTCCAATGTCAAGTACTGACCTTGTTGTCTTATCAAAAGTTCAACATTTACACCAATTGTTATCTTTATTTCATCAGAGTTGAGTCGTTCAGCCTTGAAGCCCTTAAAGTAGAGTGTACTATCAAGACTATTTGCCTGATCTTCAAGATAGACTATTGATTTATTGTTGTCTTGTTTAGATGCTTGAATTGTTAATTTGGCATATCCCATTGCAGAATCTCCAATTCTAAACGTCATAAATGTGAAACAGGTGTAATTCTGATGACAACTAACTAGTTTCCCTTCTATCATGAGAACATCACTTAACGTAATCAGTGTATACTCTGCGGAATCTCTGATAATGAAGCTCAGGCCATCTAAGTTTGTCATGTGGCCAAGCTGACCAGCTATACCAATTACTTTGATTCCTTCTACTACATCACTGACAGCAATATCACAATCTGTTCCTATCCAACCACTTGAACATGTGGAGCAATCATCTGATCCTTGTCTATTTGATGGACAAGCACACATTCCAGTCTTTGAGTCACATGACCCATATCCTGAACATGGATTAGTTGTTCCTCCTGGACAAATAGAATCACATGACGTGTTCCAGTAACCACTGTTACAGATGCATTTGCTTCCTCCTTGTTTAGAACCAAAATAGCATGCTGGATCACAGTAATCAGTGAACAATAGGAAGAAGACATTGTTATTTGACATTTCAGTACATAACAACTGAGCTGGCCAGGTGTCTAGTTCTAAGATGACCTGACAATAGTCTGAGTAGCTGATGACACTGTCTACCAGGCTGTACTTATCCACTGCAGCTTTACAGTCATAGTAGTATTTTTGGTGGATACTATCTCCTGCATCGGTACATGCACTGCAAAAATAAAGCAATAATTCTTACCATTGTATTTATTGATGCATGTAAAAATAAAATTTGAGATTGCTAATAACTAGTTCTTCTCCACAACTGGGGAAAGAACCAGTCTTAATTCATCTGACATCGTGTTTTGTGTGAGATTGCTTTCTCCAAAATCTGTTCATTATTTTAGTAGCTTTCCATGTATTTATACATGTAAGACATTATGATTTGTTCTAAGCTTTCCTGATCTTGATAAACACAAAAAGGTACACTGAATACAAACAATTCAATACCTGTTACTCTCTCTTACAGTATTTTGAGAAAGTAACTAGTATTGTTTGCAGAAAAGAACAAATACCCCCACTTTCACTTGCCATTTAAGTTCTTGCTTATGGTGTGTTTCTCCAAAATCCATTCATTAATTCAATAGTTTCTCCATGTACTTATATTAGGATTTCTAAATACTGATAAACACATAACAGTACACCAAATGTAATAATGTAAAAAATGTCCCCCATGTTGCAGAATCTCCTTTCTATCATGAGAACATCACTTAACGTAATCAGTGTATACTCTGCGGAATCTCTGATAATGAAGCTCAGGCCATCTAAGTTTGTCATGTGGCCAAGCTGTATGTACACATATTTCATATTTCCAAGGGGCATAACTCTTTTAAAAAAAGTCGATCATCCACCATTATAGAACTTGTCTGAGATATTGCTGATATTAACCTATAGTATAAGTTTTATATAAATCTGTCAAGAATTGTACCCGTGAGAGTGCTAACGAGGCTATTTTCCATAAATTCAATATTTCCAAGGGGCATAACTCTTTTAAAATATTTTGATCGTCCATCATTATAGTACTTGTCCAAATATTGCTGATATTAACCTATAGTATAAGTTTTATAAAAATCTGGCAAGAATTTTACCTGTGAGAGCGCTAACGAGGCCATTTTCCATAAATTTTAATATTTCCAAGTGGCATAACTCTTTTAAAAAAAGACGATCGTCTACCATTATAGATCTTGTCCGAGATATTGCTGATATTAACCTATAGTATAAGTTTTATAAAAATCTGACAAGAATTGTACTTGTGAGAGCGCTAACGAGGCCATTTTCTATAAATTTAATATTTCCAAGGGGCATAACTCTCTTAAAAAACGTTGATCGTCCACCATTATAAAAGTTGTCCAAATTATTGCTGATATTAACCTATAGTATAAGTTTTATAAAAATCTGGCAAGAATTGTACCTGTGAAAGTACCAACAAGACCGTACGGACACACAGACGGACGGACACATGGACGGTATTTCCATGTCCCCCACAACGTGTTACGCAGGCGACATTTTACTCTCACTCACTTCAAAAAGGAGTAGGCCAGGTATGACCCCGTTTTGGCCCCAAAATATAGCATTTTACAAATATGTTAAAAATGTAAAGTTTTAGCTATTTATTGGAAAGTAGAATACTTTTGATACATAAATATAGACTGTTTTTTGACAATGCAATCAGGTACTAGTATCATTAATTCATGCAAAATTACTGAAATCTTCACAATTTTATCATTTGTGTAAATTTGTAGACAGTTTTTGTCTAAAATAGAAGTGGTCGCACTTGTGTTCAGTATTTTTTTTTTTTTTTTTTTTTTACTATGATAATTGATACTTGTGTTCAGTCTTAATATTTAAATAAATGTTGTATTTGATGATAATTGAAACTTCTAGCCCAAAAAAATGTATTTTTACATTAAAGAAAGACGTTTTAATGTAGATTTTTATTCTAATATATGCATCAATACTATTTATTATTTAATATTTCTATGTGCAAAGGGACAAAGGGGCATAACTCTAAATTTGTCAATGGATCAGAATGCCCTACTAATTAGCACATATTCCTGTTAGGATTTTACAATGTATAAAGTTTTATGAATAGCTGATATGTAGGAGGTGCTTTACATCCACAAAATTCCTACAGAGTACTATGATTTTTTTAAGGTCAAGAGGCATAACATCATAAATACTACATAAAGAAAAAAATCCTTAATTCTACAAAGTTGACACATCAAAAAATGTAATTGTCTAAATTTGACAAAGGACTCAACATTTATTTCAGACAGATGGACAGACACAGATAAGCTGATTCCTATAAAGTCCCACCTTCTTTGTTTATTAAAACCCTTAGAATGGGTAAGGAAAACTTTGTCTATACTCTAAGCAACATTTATGGCAGTTTGAAATTTGAAATGGATATTTATTATTGCTCTTAAGCTATACAATAAGGTTTTATTTTCTTTGAATATTATACCCTTTAAAAAAATAAACATATTGCTTGTAACTTTAGGAAAGTTGCAACTGGACCTAAAATGAAAGTAATCACTGTTGTGCAGAATTTTACTAGATGTTATCATTAAAGTAATTCACCTGGTGGTGCAAGATAAAAATTTATTGTCACATTCTTTGAGAATAAAATTAATGTTGTACCTGGCAAATGAGCTGCCATCGAAGATGCTAGAACAAATACTACTACTGTCGACTATAATCTGACGTTTCCTTCTCCTTTTTGAGAATACTCCAGATATAGTTACTGTTGCAAGGTTGAATGGCATTGGAGCTGCCGACTGAGTTGATGTTGGAGCAGGGAAAGGTGAAACTGGTGCTCTTAATCCACCGCGGGAGATGTCATCTTCTGCGTAACCATCTGCAAAAAAGAGATTGAATTGAAAATCATAATATGAATAGGTTGGTGATGTAAATCTAGCAGCAAATCTTACATCCTACTCAAAGCATAACTGGTTTTCCCTGTCCCTGTATCAACCTGCTTAGCTCCATATCTTGGTTTTGTGGCACAATAAAAGTTTTAGTTGTCCTTTATGATTATTTTAGCCTCATAGACTATACTTCATGTTAAAATTTAAGTTTGTTATTTGTTAATACAAGGGTAATACTCTACTTCAAACACATGGTTTAGCAAGTAATGATTTCCTTTAATGTTACCCTACTGTATAAGCCAATAAAAGACTAGTAATATCAAACCAAAAATCAATAATCCCTCAAAAAAATTATTACAGCAGATGCATTTTAATAGATTGAATAACACATACATAGCTGAGTGGGGGATAGCTCAGATTGTTACCCCCAGAAAAATCACTGAAACTTGAATTTTTAAGATGACACTGTTTTTCTCTGAGAAACAATGGCTTCTCTCAACTATGTGTTATTTATATACTATTTGTCAAGTAAGGTAAATAACATATTTAAAATAACAAATACCTGCTGTCATATCATCAAAGTTAAACAGTTTTACTAGGTTTTCATCATCAGAGCTGTAGAGACGGTTACAGTGACTCATTACCTCTAGCTCAACAAAGTATCTGTTGAAAGAAATGTTTATAAATATGTATTCAAGAGTAGAAACATGAATGGCTAAACTTATCTTAACCTGAAACATAGTCTAGTTTAATACAAATCATACGCTAAACCCTTATCCTGAAAAAGTCAGTCTAATTTATCAAAATGAGTTGGTATGTACAAATATTTCTTACCTATAATGATGAAATAATTTTATTTTACTGTATGGTTGGATTGGTATTTAACATTCAGCGGCAAATATTACCATACATGCATATCAGGACACAAAACATATTTTATGCAATATAAATATGAACTTAATAGGCATGCTAAGCTGGTTATTTAATTTGCAAGTTTACAAGCTTACAATCCAAAAGACAGGTCACCCTACTCAAAATTATTCTGACTAAAAGCCTGCCAAACTGCTCTTACACCTTAATGATGCATGCTTAGGGGACTTTTAAGTCTTTAAGACCCTACAATAAAAGATCAGATGAAGCTTTTCAAATGTACTTTTTTTGAACAACTAATTAAAACACATTTGACCTTATATGAGTATACTTAAATTAAAATTGTCCTTTGTTGACACTATTGAAAACTTTTTTTTTTAAAGAAATACAGTCTAAAAAACAAGTTTTCATCATGAATAGATACAGTACTGTTAACTTGAGTGTTTTTCATAAGATATTATAAATTGTAATTTTAAATTAGTTGTGTTTTATAAATAAGATGTATAAATTTAAAATACATTTTTTAACTTTACCTTTTCCATATCCTTAGAACATCTATACAACTTTTTTGGAATTTCTCATCAAGAGGTTGAATGCCTGAGCCATCTGGTGAAGGTAACCATTTTCCTAGTACCAAGTTTCCTTTGCCACTAAATGGGTGAACACCATACTGGGGCAGTGTTATAAATTCTCTTACCAAGTTCCCATTACAATCATCAACATAAACAGTCAAGTAGTCTATCCCATCAAATACTATAGCCACCTGTGTGTATTCATTGTCTAATAGCTGAAGGTTGGTCTGATGTTCAAAATCACCAAAAGTTATTTTTATCTTGCCGTAATAGTTGCGAATGGTAAATGTTTTGATGCTAGTGTATGATAATATAGTTCCGAGACATTCGTAAGTGAGACAAGTTTTTATATAGAATTCAATAGTAACAGGATCATTACTATCAGCAGTAAAGACGTCCGACCTTTCTGATATCATTGTTGCATTTTCAAAACAGGCTGCATTACCAGGTCCAAGTCCATTCACAGTTGTCAAGTCAATATCATTAGCCACAAGCTGACTAGCATCATCTGGAATCATATGGTCAACTGTCACATCAATAGGTGGTGAGACTGTGTCAGATAATCCACATGCAATGTAATTCTCCATTCCAGTACACCCAGTGCAGCCACCACACACACCACTCGTTGGCGGTGAACTACAACAGTGACTGCTCTTTAGCCCTACTGTAACTGTTGATAAATATCTTGTCAGACTAAGATGGCGTTTCATAGTGAGGGTAAGACCCAGATTGAGGACATCAATTTTCATTGTTCTATTATCTGGTCTGATTATTGATAATGAACATCCGCCTCCTTCTAAAGGAAAGTTTGTCTCCCGATTACCAACCATTGTCTCTAGATCATTGATGTAGAACATATCATTGTCAGAGGTATATATGTAAGCTGTGTTCTGTATCTTCAGTGACACAGAATCTATACATGCTGTCAATACAGTACCAAACATGCATGATACTTGTCTAGCCTGTAATAAGGAATTTCATAAATCTTTAATTCAAAACATTAACATTTTTTTCAGATGTGAAATACCGATATTAAAAAAAAACAAACCAAAAAAACCTTTTGAAACTATTTATAACCTTTTTATGAAAGTAAAGCATATTTTAAAACATTTATGGTGAAAATAAAATATGAACCTTTATAAAAAGTAAACTTATACCGATATTAAAAAAAAACAAACCAAAAAAACCTTTTGAAACTATTTATAACCTTTTTATGAAAGTAAAGCATATTTTAAAACATTTATGGTGAAAATAAAATATGAACCTTTATAAAAAGTAAACTAATTATGATAGTAATCTATGCAGTAATCCACAGCAAAAACACAAAATCTAAAAACAGGACAAGATTATCATGTGGATTTTTTGTTTAAAGGGATATAACTCATTGGAATAACGTACATTTGAATAATTTAAACTGTAATATACAGAACAGTAGGTGTTTGAATATAGCAATTAAAAAAAATAAATCAACATTTAGTCCAGTCAATTAATAAAGAATCATAACTTCTAAACAATAAACCTGCCATATTATAAATATCTATAAATCCTTTGACTTGATAACTTTTCTAAAATTATCAGTTGAAAAATACAAAATGCTACTAAATTTTTATATTTCATGGAGCCTCTAGACTTTGAAAGCGACAAAACTGGAAGTTGATCTCGCCTTTTTTTTCAGATGAAAACTAGATTAAAATAAATGGCAAGGTTGGAATTCAAAGGAAACATCCAATTTTGCTTCTTTTCAATTTTCAAACTCAAACTCATAAACAGTAGCTGTCATTATAGTGATCTTTGAAAATTATAGTGATCTTTGAAAAATTGGCAGTTTTCAGTTTCTTACTGCTGTTATATTTCACGTTAAAAGCAAAGGTTAACATTTATAAATATGTCTCCCTACCCTGATGATTTAAAGAAGTTATGAAGTTAAGAAGCTATTTTTCTGCATAGAAAAATTCTCTTGAAGTACATGTGAGCCATGCCTTTTTCTTAATTTTATCAAATCTTACCTCTAGATGGAAATTATTGGTGTGGAACATGACATATGTTCCTGTCTTAAATGTCTGTAAACCAAATCCAGTAAAGTTGGTGAATTTTCCTTGCATCTCTGCCATACAAGCCATTGGTGAATCTTGCGGAATATCGGGTATTCTGTGCTCGCAGAACTGTCCATAGTACCCAGGTGTACAGGTGCTGCAGTCAGAGGATCCTTGCCAATTACTCTCACAAATACATGTATTGGTCTCACTGTTACAATCACCATGGAAACTACATGGACTGGATATTCCCCCTGGACACTCATTGGAACAAGTTGGTCCAGAAAATCCTTGATAACATGTACATTGATCTGTTGCTGGGTCCCAGTTTCCTTGCATACACTGCTGATTACAATCATCTCCATTCCACACTGGGAAATCCCTGTTTGGGAAATCATTACACATACTTTGAGTTGGAGGTTCAGGAGGGCCCATTAGTGTATCACATGCCCCACCAAATGCCATCATGCTATCCATACTGAAGTCAGCTTTATCAGAGACTTTCACATCATCCATACATGCCATTTCAAAGAAAGCTTTCCCTTCTGGTAAATCTCCACAAGTCTGAGCAAGTGCACTTCCACTCATTAATTCAGTACACATTTCTTTTACCATTTCATCAATGGCTCCAAACTGGTCAAATCCCATTTCTGTAGTAGGTGCATTCATCTGCATGTATGGCGGTGCAGTAGGAACCCAGCTTGCCCCATCTGGCGACATACTCATGTCATGGCCTGTGACAAAATCAGGAATGACTGTTCCTTCTCCTGGTCCAAAATTAAAGCCCATTGTCAACCCATCTTGTGGTCCATTTATTGGTATCTGAGAATGTAGCATTATATCAGCAGGGTCCAATGTTGTGTCAAACAGCAGCATTCTATCTATATCTCCAATGAAAACTCCTGGTGGTGGAGGACTGATTTGGTCCGGTGGTGTCTGCCACTGTCCAGCAATCATACTTCCTCGTTCAGGCATCAGATTCAGTCCAACATTTACCATTGAGGAATCCATTACACCATTGTCATGTACATAACTTAAACGGACATCACCAGTAGCATTATTGTATGACATTGCCATAGTTGTCCATTGGTCTGTTTGTACAGGTATTCCAGTTGGACGAGATACATCATCCACACGTACATTAAACTCACCACCTTCAATAGTAACCCCAAGAGTACTGTCTTTACTAAACGACATTACTGTACCACCATTTCCATTCTGATCAAGTTCATGGATTTTCATGGTCATTTCTACAGTCATATTTTCTCCAATATAATCTTCTGAGAGGGGTTTGGTAGATATCCAGCTGTTATTAAGTGATACACCAACAGAAGTGGCTATCTCAGGATTAGAATCTTTAAATATACTGGACTCAAACGGAACCATAAATGAATCAATATGGCTGTCGATAGCATGAGTTGGTAGACTGTATGATGTTGATGACAGGGCTAAGCCTTGTTTCTCTATAAGACATTGATAATCATTGGGACTACAGGAATGGGATTGAGGGGTACATGATCCAAACAAACCACTTGAGCCTGAACACCCTGATTGAGGTGTAGACATATCCACATTCATGTAATCATTGGATGCTGTAACCGTCATTTCAAACCCATTGGAAGAATGTTGCATCTTGTATACATCTGAATCCATAGGTGTAATAGAGTAGCCGCTAGAAAGACTGAAACTGGTTCCCAGCACTTTCTCTTCTCCATTGACAAAAACTGTTCCATCGTTGACAGGACTGAAGGTAACAGTATCGCTTGGTGTTTGTACTGCTATTCCTGTTACAGCTGTATTAAAGTTTTCTGTTGCTCCTGTCTGAATCTGAACATCTATTCCTAATGATGGATTATTGTATCCTGAGTAGATTCCATGCCCTTGAAAATTAAATCCAGCTCCATCGAGGGTAGAGACATGTCCGTTACCAGTTATTCCACCATAATATTGTGACTGTCCAGGAACTTTTGGTTGTACAGAGATTGAACAGTCTATACCATACCATCCTTCTTTACATGTAGTGCAGTTTGGCGCTGCCCAGTTGGACTGACATTCACATTGTCCTAATGCAGTGTCACATTTCCCATGACTATTGCATGGATTTAATGTCCCTCCAGGACATATATTACTACATGATGTTCCCCAGTATCCTGTGTCACATATGCAAGATGAGCCCTCAACTGAACTACGGTGATCACATGGAATAGAGCAATCATCACCAATGTAACCAGGGAAAGAGGATGAGAACTCATTACAAAGGCTTTGTGCTGGCCATTCTTCTGAGAACCCTAGTTCAACAGACATGTCAGCCATACCAGTTATCACAGGAAGAGCTGCATCCAGGCTTCCTGCTCCTGCAGCATCACTGATACAGGTAGCTTCATAGAAACTCAACATAGAACTAGATGGTCCAGCTTGCGTTCCCAGGTCAGAGTTTGTTATCAGACTACTGCATTTATCAACAGCCTCCTTTTGATCAGAGTAATCAGTAAAAGAATGAAAAGCAGGAATAATTGGTGGTTCAAATGGAACTGTTGAGAACTGTGATTTTATTGGTTGATGGAGTACTCCATAGTCTATAACAGGAATATTTATAGTATTCATCTCATCTTTCAAAGTTGTAAGACTAGGGTCATCAAATTTATGATAGCTTACAAGGTTAGCTGTTTCTTGGGAATTTCCCATATCTATTGGTTTAAAACTTTGTTCTTGAACTTCTTCAAAATCAAGTGCTTTGTCATATAATTTCAATTCATCCATTTCTCCAATGTAGTACTGTTCATATGGTTCAGGAGTGGTTGACACAGGAGGATTGGCAGGATGTCCAAGTCCAATGTAGCCATCATTCTCAAATGGTTTTGTATCGAGGAATGAGAAGGTTTTCTGATCTGTAGTACCATCCGGTTTTGTAACATATGTAGTCAGTTCTGATGGTGCACTGTAGTAGGATGTTGATATCTCGTGCCATTCACCAGGTTTAACTTCAATTTCTGTATCATATATCTGATCACCAATTTTATGTTTGATTGTTTCATCAATGTAAGTTGTAAACTCAGAGTTAGTGTCATAAGTAGCTATTACTCCACCATCATTATTTTCTGGTTTGATGGCAACACTCATAGTGAAATCCTGATCATTACTTATAACATCCTTTAGGAAGCCTGTCTTTACTACAGAGCTGTTGAAATACAGACTGCTCCCGGCTGTGGATACATTTCTGGTCTCTCCATACTCATTGTTGTTGTATAAGGCTTCAAATGAACTATCGGATACAGGAACTTTAAACTTTTCTGGATCTGTATCAAGTATCGTATCTGTAGGATTACATGAACCAATCAAAGAATCCTGGGTCTCACAAACACTTGGTTCTGTTGTTACCTGCACGTTTAGTTGTTCATCAGATGTCCTGATTGATACATCAAAGTATTCTCCTGTTGTTGGAGTGATTTTATATTCGGTTTCAGATTCCCTACTGACCACTAAGTCACCAACATTCTTTTCAGTTTCCTCACCAAAGTCCAGAATTTCACCATCAACAATAACAATAGGATCTTGATTCTCTGTGTAAGGTGATCTAATAACTAGATTGTTGTCACCATAATCCACTGACACTGCTGTTGGACACACAGATTTACTATTGTAGCAATAATCATTTCGTAGCTGTACATTTGGGGAAGTGGACACATCTTCAGACTTCATTAAAGAAAATTCTCCTGGTTCTTTGAAGCTGAAGAAACCATTGTTGAAAGTCTGAATATTTCCTTGACCGAAGACAGATGCAGTATATGTCGTGGTAGGTTTAGCTACAGTCACAGGAGTTGTGGATATTGGTGGAACTGTGGGAGTTGTTGACATTCCTGCAGCAGTGGTGGTGGCTGTTGTTGTAGTAGATTTTGTTGTCCCTCCACTAGCTACTGTTTCTGTTCCTCCAAGTGATGTTGTGGTAGTAACTTCTCCCTCTGTTGTTGTTGTTGGTGCTGTAGTAGTTGTTGTGGTCATATTTTGAATGATTGGTAAAATTTCATCACAGTTATCTCCTACCCATGAACCTATACAAGTAGCACAGTTAGTTCCAACTTCAAATTTGGGATCACAATAACATGTTCCAGTGTCTTTCTGACAATAACCGTGGCTGTTACAAGGATCAACCAATCCTCCTTCACATTCCTGGTCACATGACTCTCCCCAGTATCCTTCAAAGCAGGCACACTCATTATTGTATGGTTTTCCAAATTTACATTGGTATATACAGACTTCTGAATAGTACTGACTTGTTTTATCATCACATAGTTCTGCCAGTGGGTGAGTAGCTGGTTCAACGACTGTTTGGCAGTACTCGGCAAATGAGTAAATACTATTTGTAAATGATTGTTGATCTGATTTGAACATGATATCATCCACACATGAATCATAGTAATAATTAGCTATTCCATCACCCATAGCAGAACATGTTGTTGCTAGATGTGAGTCGAAAAATAAACTTTTACATTTTTCCTTAGCATTTTCTTTTAATGTTTCATCGACTGGAACTTCTTGTACATCACCATTTACAACCATATCAGATTGGGTCCAATACACACCTTCTTCAGGTAAAGCAATTCTATTTCCACTGACTACGTCTACTGCATCTGATCCTGACCCTTCTGAGAACACCCAGTTTGTTGTCAGTTCAGGAAATTCATTAGTTACTCTGTTATCTGCTGTATAGAGCACTTCAAACATTTCCAATGTTCTATTCCATGTTTTAACCTCTCCTATGTTTCCTGTATAAGTTCCAAAATCAACTGGAGCCGAACTGTCATCCCATTTTCCCATTTTCATAATTCCACCTGTATCTAGTGCATTTGACTCAACCTTGACTTCTGTCATAGTCTGAATTCCATCATCATTATTTACGTATATTTTCAAATCATTTGTTTTGTTATTGAATGCTAATGAAACGGTGTTCCATTCATTGGCAAGAGGGACATAGCCAATATCAATTATTTGTTCTCCCCATTGGACATGAATTGTATCATTTAAGTAAATACTAACAGAATCTTCCTTTAAATATGCCAAAATTAACCCTTCGTTTTCATTTTCTTTTGGCTCAAATTTGACCTGTAATGTTGTGCTTCCATCGCTACCAAAGATGTTATGAAGTTGTGAAGAAGTAGATCCTGAGCCGTTGAATGCCAAAGAAAAGCTGCCAGCACTTGGTACTTTTGGTTCTTCTATTCCATCCTGTTTGTATTGGAAACCAGTTGTACTCTCAACATCAATCTTATAATTGTTGAAAAATTCTCCATTGATGACATCCTTTGATATATCAGTTACAGGTACTACTGTACCACCAGTAAGTACAAAGTCATTGTTTACATTTCTGTCACAATTTCCACATGGGCCTTCTATTGCTGAGCTACAAGATGGTGTTTTAAATTCAGCATATAATTCCAGGAAAGAACCACCATGCTTAATGGTTATCACATTGTCACCAAAGACTATTTCTACTGTGTATGGACTCTTTTCTATTACTTCAACATCAGGGGTCAAGGTTAAAGATCCTGAAAGATCTATCTGTTGTTCATTTATGAAAAACTGGGAACTTCCACTGCTTGAAATTGGTGATGCAACTGTGAAATTCTTTAAATTAGTTTCAATCCAGATCTGTTTCAAACAAAGTGCCTGATGCTCTGCACAAGGTAAATGTCTTATATATACTGTCAACATTGAGTTCTTCAAAAACAGAAATTCTCCAGATGTTTCTAACTGGTAACTTTGACCATCAAACATGGTAAAGTGACCTTGTCCAAACAGGGAACATGTGTAAGCTGAAGATGATGATGGAATAGTTGTCAAGGCAACATCACAATCAACACCATACCATCCTGTACTACAGTCTGCACAATCTGCACCAGTAAACTTAGCAAGACACTCACAAGTTCCATCTACTGTAGAACAAGTTCCACCTCCACAGGGTAATCCACGTGAGAACGGACAGACATCACTACAGGTAGTGCCCCAGTATCCTAAATCACATACACACTTGTAATTTGTGAATGTACCAGATACACACATGAATGAGCATGAATCTCCTGTCCAGTCAGGGAACTGTCTTGAACCAAAACTATTACAAAAATCTTTGGCTGGTGAATCTGGGTCATCAACTGATATTCCACAAATCTCAGATAAAGCCAAAATTACCTCCATAGTTTCATCTTTGTCTTTCAGGACATGACCATTAAAAATACAGTCTTTGTACATGTATTCTTGCACCTGTGGTCCCTCATCAGCACAAGCAACATTGAATTTTTCAGAGTAGATTGCCTGGTTACAGAAATCGGTAAGGCTTGGATCGATATTATCTGGATGGGAGAAAACATCATATATTCCTGTATCTGGGATTTCTGCAACATAATCTACCAGTATTCGTTCAGGCTGGGACCATGGTTCATTTGGCATCGTTATCTCTAATCCTCCTACAGAGTCTGTCAATGTTGATCCTGTTCCTGAGTTCATGTTCCAGTTATTTGATAAACCCTCTTCAGAACCAGACAAAACACTGAAAGCATTCTGTCTTATTTCATTTACTGTCCTTTCATCTTTCCAGATTCTCAAATCGTCAAATTCACAGATACAGTTCCAATTAACACCAGTTCTATCATCACTAGGATAATTCCATTGGCCAATCATGACATCTCCTCCTGGTTTAACAGGGATAGGATCATCATCAGGAATCTCTAAAACTTCTTGACTCATCTGAAGATCATCTCTGATGAGGTACGTTTTCATCAAACGTGTATCATTATTCCATACAACGCCCAAATTGTACCATCTATCCTCTTCTACTAGCAATGATGCAAAGTCTAGAATTTCTCCATTTTTATGCATAGATATGGTGCCATCACATATCAATGTAGAGAATACATCTTCATCTACCTTATTAGAGTATATAGTCTGACATTCTGTTGTGGCTTCTTTCAGTTTAAATTTAATCTCAAAGGTTGATTTTGTCTCAGTAAATGAATTCAGAGTTTCTGTCACCATATTGGACCTGTTAGTTTTTAGACCATATCCACCAGCATTTGAAACAGGTAGAATACTACTGAACATTGATGAACCACTCGCTGTAAAGGACTCAGCAAAGTTCTCATGAATGGACTGTGTGCTTAGGGTACTACCCATTAATGTTTCACCTGATTCGGTTACAAAGTCATCCGAGGAATTGCCATTGCAGCTACTCAACATGCCAGAACTCTGGTCACAAAGTGATGGTGAAGCTTCCACGGATACATCAAGGTGATCTTCATAAGTGTCAATGTCAATAGTCATTTCGTCTCCAGCCTTCACTTGAAATCCTGTTGTTGATACTTGCACCAGTTGTATGTCACCATCAATAGTTACTCCATCACCTGCAACTACTGGTTCACCATCTATGTAGGTCGATGCTACCCCATTCAGTACTGACACTACAGCAGTATGTTCACCTACTTGTATTCCTACAGACTGTGCACCAACACTGTTATAAAATTCTGAATTGGGTACTTGTAAAACATTGACCTTGACACTAGTTCCTGATGATAGTGGTGCAGAAATAAGTGTCTGTTCTCCTGGAATGTGGTTGTTATAAATAGCTCCATCAAAAGTTTCAAAATGTCCAGGGTAAAAAAGCTTAGATGTGTACTTATTATTAACAGTTGTTTGTGTAAGTGTATTGATGATTGAACAATCTGTGCCCACATGTCCATCTTGACAGGGTTGACAGTCATCTCCTCTTGATCCATCATAGCAACTGCAAGTTCCATCAGTAGCATTACATGCACCATTGCCATAACAAGGATTGGAGGCTCCACCTGGACATTCATATTGACATTCAGATCCATAGTAACCATTGAAACATTTACAGTGTCCAGTTTCTTCAGTAACATTATCCTGAAACAAAAAATATTGAATCATAGTCAAGTTTGTTAACAAATGTGTAAATGATTCACAAATTTAAATAAATATTGTGAGATTTGTTATTATTTTGAATAATACAAGTAGGTGACAATCGCAATAATAAGAACTTGCATTCTAATATCCGATATATATATCTGTATGCAGAATTTTCCTGAAATGCAATAATTAATCTTGACCTTTTTGTCCTTTCTTCCAAAATTGCAATAATAAATGCATGCAAGAATTTCTAATTTACAGTATGGTTTTAAAAAACAGCCTAACATTTTGTTTTTTTTTATGACCTCTTACTTTTCAATGTGCATTGTTTTAATTATGATTAATAGTATACAACTGTATAGTTTGCACTGACATGCATTTTTTGTATTTGTTCAAAGAATTTGATGTCAAAAACTGCTACATTCTTATTGATTTGCAGGAATATTTATTTTTTTATCTGTAATTTCATTTGCAAATCTGGTTATAAGTGTTTAAATTTTTTTTCAAAAATGCCAATTGGTTGCTATAGCCCATACTTGCTATATACCTTTGAGCTGTTGCACGAAAAAACTTACTAGATGTGGAATTGATGTACAAATCTTTGAAGAGTCTCCAATATCTGTGGTATACAAATGTGTACTCCACCATTTGTTTGCAAAAGAGGACAACACATTCCATGACACATCTGATGTACCATCAAACCTACAAATAATACAAATGTTGTTATTAATGGAATAGAACTGCTAACTCTGTTTTGTCACGGAAATGGATATGAGGTTTGAGTTGATACAATAAATGACTGATGATGTCTAGTTAATCAAAGCAACACACCCGACTTTGATTTCATGGACTATGTGTGATCTTATGCATATGTTTATAGAAGTTTATTAAGATTTCTCAAATATAGTCTTATTTGTTTCAATCCAATGTTTTAATTTTGATTTAACTAGTAAATAAAAGTAAACTTAAAATCAAGTCCAGAAGTAATCCCTATAAAGTAATTCATAAAATTATGCTGCTATTTTGTTTTGTCTAATTTGCTGATGCCTTCTTTAAAGTTAAATTTTATATGATAATTAAAATAGATGTTTTAATTGTGTATTTACCAATGAAGACTAATGAACAAGCAAAAACAAGTTTAAATAAAATGATTCGCTGAGCGCAGCTGGATACAACCGCAGATGTCCAACCCTGAACAGTTTGGGCAAAAATGGACACAATATTCACACTTGATACAGGTCTGAATTTGGATTGTAATTAAATATTTGACACATAATAGGTTTCTGACACCGAATAACTGTAGTCAAACAAATTAGAATGAATTGGTTATACGATTTGAATAAATATATTCAATTTTTTGCTTTTGTGCAATACACTATACTGTTGCGAATTGACCCCCCCCCCCCCAAAAAAAAAAAAAAAAAAATTTTTTTTACCCCCCCCCCCCCCCCTTTTTTTGCAAAAAAAAATAATATTTGAAGAAATTTTCTTTTTAATTTCTGAAATCTGAAATGAAAAAAAAAATTGCCCCCCCCCCCCTTTTTCCAAAAAAAAAATTCTTTCCCTCAATCAAGATATGGTCATAATCTCAATTCAAATTTCCAATAGAGTTTGCAACCATAATTACCAATTTAAATACATCATAAAAGTCTTAAAATAGAAAATGACACACATAATCATTGCTAAAATTAATATTCCTTTAATAGTAACTTTTAAGAATAAATTGACAGCTAATCACCTCAAGACAATACAAAATTTCTTTATACATAATTTAAAAGCAGTGTAAGGGAGGTAATCCAAACATACACAACATTGTACTTTAAGTGTGTTTGGATTAACTCCCTTACACTGTTTTTAAATTGTCCATTAACCAGGAAACCTTTGTTTTCCCCCCTTTTTTGCCCCTAATACCTAAACAGTTTGTTTCCCCCCTTTTTTGCCCCTAATTCCTAAACAGTTTGAGCCTTGACCCCAAAGTCAATCCTAACCATCCCTTTGTGGTATGGAAACTTGTGGTATAATTTCAGAGGGATTCATACACCGTTCCACAATTTACCATACCACCAATAAAGATAAATGAGCTATTTGATGAGTTAACCAAACTTGATGTAAATAAATCATCAGGAACTGATAATATTGGACCCAAAATCCTTAAAATAAGTGCCCCATATATTGCCACTCCTCTCACATATATATTCAACAGAATGATAGATACTGGTATATATCCTTCATTATTGAAAAATGCTAAGGTAACACCAGTTTACAAAGATGGTGACAAGGTTTTAGCAACAAATTACAGACCAATATCTGTTCTTCCATCTCTATCAAAAGTATTAGAAAGGCATGTCTCAAATAACATGTACAAGTACTTGTCTAAATTCAAACTTTTACATCCAACACAATCAGGTTTCAGGCCACATCATTCTTGTCAAACTGCACTTATTGATATCATTGACAAATGGCTGCAAGAAATGAATGATGGTAATTTAAACTTAGCAATACTGTTGGACTTCAAAAAAGCATTTGATCTTGTAGATCATGACATTCTTTGCTTAAAGCTTGCTATTTACGGATTCAGTGAGTCTGCAGTAGGTTTTTTCAGGTCATACCTAAGTAATAGAACACAGCAAGTAAACATTTGCAATGTGAATTCTGATAAAAAAGATGTGAAATTTGGTGTCCCCCAAGGATCTATACTAGGTCCTCTATTATTTGTCTTATTTATAAATGACCTTCCCCTTTGCATTAAAAATTGTAAAACAGACTTGTATGCTGATGATACTACTCTCCATAAATCCGGGAAAAACATAGAAAATTTACATGATGATGTACAAGAAGATTTATGCAGAGTTGAAGAATGGTGCAAAATTAATAATATGTTCATCAATACCAAAAAAACAAAATGTTTGGTTACTGGAACAAGTCAGAAGTTATCAACTCAATCTTTTCAACCAAATTTACTAATAAATTCAGAAACACTACAAAATTCATCATGTGAAAAATTATTAGGTGTTAAAATTGACAGCACACTTAGCTGGACAAATCAAATTGATCAAATTTGTGCTAGCATTTCATCAAGAATATACCTTCTTTCTAAATTAAAGAAATTTTTAGATATTAATGCCAGGAAAGCATACTATAATGGGTATATTCTGCCGCTCATCGATTACTGCTGTATTGTTTGGGGAGAATGTAAAAATGAAGGGATGGTAAGAATATTAAAACTTCAAAAAAGAGCAGCAAGATTAATTCTTGATGCAGACCCTTTATCCCCATCAGCCCCCTTATTTAAAGAACTTGGATGGATGACAGTTGAAAACAGAATCAAATACCACAAATATTTACTGCTACATAAATGTATGCGGAAAGAAGCACCACAGTACCTACTTCAAAAGTTTCAACTTATATCTGTTAATAATCCTTATGCTTTAAGGGGTGTCACTCAAGGTAATTTGATAGTTCCTAAGCCAAAAACTGAACTGTTTAAAAAATCTTTTGCTTATTCTGGATCAGTTTTATGGAACGGACTACCATATGAAATGCGTAAAGTGCAAAACACTTTTTCTTTTAAACAAATTATAAAACAATACTTGAGACAGTCCCAATATTCAGTCTTGAAATGATTGCAACTATTACTCTTTTTTTTAGAATGTATGATTTTGATTTGTATATAATATCTATTCACTACATGCAATCTGTAACTGTTTTATATGTTCTAATTATGGTACATGTATATTGAACTATCATGATTATACGATTGTGTTAATATGTTGTATGTTTGCTTTTTTGACTTTTATTATTATTTTTTACATGTATTGTATATGAGGGCCTCAGGGAAGATTAGTAATTGTAACTAACTGTGTTTACCCTCTTTAAATAAAGAATTTATTATTATTATTATTATTATTATTATTATTATTATTGTCTGGAAACTAGAAAAATGCTTATTTGGGCCCTTTTTTGGATTAAAAAAAAATTTGAGGCAATCAGCAAAAAAAGTCTTATTACTTTTTATAATAGTATAAACTTACTTGACAGACAAGCCATATTCTGTCATTCCTGGTCTAAACTGTGTAGGTGGAACAATGGATGTCATGCTTCCTGATACATAGTTTTCATCTGAATCAGTAACATACACATTATGACCATTGGCGTTGTTGTAGCCAAACCAAGCGGTGTAGGATCCATCACCATCATTGGTGTAACATCTAAATATAACTTCTATAGCCTCCGTTTCTCCTGATCCGTCATACATATCTGCATAATCTCCTTGCTTGTCTGTACATGGTATAGTACAATGTCCAGGACCAACAAAATCTAAATAATATAGTAAAATATTGTTTTCAGTAAATGTCAAAAACAAATAAATTCATGCTACATTCATAAGAACTAACAGTTTATGTTCATTTTTTGTGAAAAAATTAGAAAGGATATTTCTTTCTCGTGCCATACATCCATTTAGCTGATACCTTATTCCTGGTCTACGTCAGTGATAATACCTTATAGTACCTATATAATAGTACCTTCCCTTTGCTTAGGTTCAGAAATTAACTAGTTCTTTCTGTTTTCAAGCTGCCCTGGGTGAAAATTCTTTTTTTTAATGGCCAATGTATATATACATGGGTCACAGTCACTACAGAAAAGTAAACCCCATTCTTGAATATGTGCATCATAAGATCAAGTCTAATAACCTCATTTGACACTTTCACATACCTGGGTCACAGTCAGTACAAAAAGGTAAGCCCCATCCAGTAACACATGCATCACAAGCTTCTCCTGTCCAGTGGCCATTGGTATGGTCATCATAACATTCACAGACATCTCCACCTGTAGTCAATAAACAAAAGTATATCATACATCAAATCAACATAATAAACACCAATATCTTATTGATTTAGAATTATGTGACCCAAAAATCAATATTAAAATTTTAACTAGGTGGAACTGTTTTAAAAGTGGACTAAAGCTTATGTTTCCTTTCATTTCTAGATGCCACTTCAGTGAAAAAAGGCTTTTACAAACATATTCTAGTACCGAAAAAGGTATTGTCATGTCAAATAAGTATATAATAATATATGGTTATTGGTGGGAATTTTAACCGTTCAATCTATTTAAGGAATGACTGTTATATTTTTTCTGTCTATGAAGAAATAACATCAAAAATGTGGTGCACATTGAATAACCCGTGTAGCGGGTTATTTAAAAGTGTGCACCACATTTTTTAGGTTATTTCGAATCGACAGAAAAAATATTACAGTCATTCCTTATAATTTAATTCTAAATTCCTTTTTTAAGGAGTAAATTTTGTAAAAAATGTTGGTGACGTCACGGTCACATCACAAAATTATGTCTATGAGCTGATAGACAAAACACTTTCAGCCAATCAGAAGACATGTTACATCCAAAATTAAATTATTTAACAATTAATGATATTGTGCTCCTAAAAGGTCTTGTCATGGCAGTTCAGAAATATGGTCTAGGCATGGGGATCTAATTGTTCTTACCTAGTTCTGTGGCATAACCATGAAGACATAGAACACTACATGTTGTATTGTAGCCAATGTATCCTTCTTCACATTGTTCACAACTGGATCCAGTAAAATGAGTAACACAAGTATCACAAGATAAACCAGTGAAACCATGCTCACAGACACACACAGGAGCTATATTTCCTTCCAATAACAAACAGTCTCCTGTAAAATTTAAATAAAATTTCTTATCACATATTTGATAAAAATATTGGCAATTTTGCATATTTCATATCAAGAAACTTGCTAAAAAAGTTATTTAGACAGCAGAAAAATTGTGTAGCAATTTACATTTACAGAAATCCTCCAACAATATTGTTGAATGAATCTTAACAGAACTGTCTTGTTGTTTTTCTCATGTTTAAAAAGTTATTTCACAAGCAACTCAAATAAGTAATAAATACATTCATACAAGCCTTTTTCCATATCTGCCCAGCTATTATTCTCGATTGAAATTTGCCCTCTGGCAAATGTCAATACCGCGGGATAATAACAGGGCAGATATATAAAAAGACATGTATTTATATATTTGTCACATGCAGTTATCACATAGTTAACCCATGACACCATGGTAACAGAAACATCATTTGCCATTCAAAAGGATCTTCAAACAAGGTTTACACTTGTTTCATAATCTTTTAAATGCGAAAGGATTATAAAAGTGTAATGAAATCATAGTCACTGATGTGATCTTAAGATGTTTGTTATCTTTTATCAAATATTCTTACCATTTCCACTACATTTGGGTGAGCCAGGACAAATGAAATCAGAGCAGTCCTCTCCCTCAAATCCTCCATTACAAACACAAACTGAGGCATTGTCTTTTCTTATACACAGACCATAGGTATTACAATCTGGTTCACCTGAAATATTAGAGGTATTACATTATATCCATACCATAAGGCATTGCGTTTCCTGGAAAATAAACCATGGGTAATGCAATCTGGTTCAACCTAAATTTCATATGACTGCCTACCTCCATATTAAATAAATGGTACTTAGCATCCTAATTTTTTACATGTATTCTTAAATCATACTAATGAACTTATAAACTCTGCCAGGAATTATCATGACTGTAATCGATTATAGGTAAAGACATCCTATTTCATATCAAACTTTTATGTTAAAAATCAAAAGCCTATGTAAAATATTGTTTTGTATTTTTCAAATATATTGCGTTACAATTTAGCAGTGCATCGTAAGCCTATTTGGCTGGCTGTAATGTAATATTGTACTAATATGTATTTCTTGTATATATACAGGTTACACTATAATAAACCATTCATTCATTCATTCACTGTATTGACAGTTATTACCAGTAACATTCATTCAATAAGGAATGCCGCAAATGAGAGTAATACATGACAAGAAACCAGTTTACTGTACAACACATGACAAGAAACCAGTTTACTGTTCAGCACATGACAAGAAACCAATTTACTGTACAACACATGACAAGAAACCAGTTTACTGTTCAACACATGACAAGAAACCAGTTTACTGTACAACACATGACAAGAAACCAGTTTACTGTACAGCACATGACAAGAAACCAATTTATTGTACAACACATGACAAGAAACCAGGTTACTGTACAGCACATGACAAGAAACCAGTTTTACTGTACAACACATGACAAGAATCCAGTTTACTGTAGGTACAACACATGGCAAAAAACCAGTTTACTGTACAACACATGACAAGAAACCAATTTATTGTACAACACATGACAAGAAACCAGGTTACTGTACAGCACATGACAAGAAACCAGTTTTACTGTACAACACATGACAAGAATCCAGTTTACTGTAGGTACAACACATGACAAGAAACCAGTTTACTGTACAACACATTAGTTGTGTATTGTAAATCACTAACAAATCCCTTTTATGTATTTTGAGGGTGAGAGATCAACTTAAAGCTGCTGACCAGCTACAGCAGGTGTATACTAGGGATATACAGTGGTATACTAGGGATATACAATGAAAACAATGGAGTCATTTCACCAAATCTACAGTATTTCCTTCAAGGATGTATATAACCATAATTTAGCATTTAAAAGTTTGGTCCTACTTAACAAATACCCAGTTGCAGTTTACACAGTGATCAGCTTTTGATCATTCAGTCTTATTATCTTAATGACCATAGCAAGGATCAAACAAATATTCCTTACAATGAAAGTATATATACCTGGTAGGTGAAACATCTCATCTCTTATATAAGGTTGAGTAACAGAGATCACACACACATGCATACATACCTGGACAATCTGTTATTTCACAGTGATCACCAGTGTAACCTTCTTCACAAATACATGTCTCATTGATACACTGGCCGACATTGGAGCATTCTGTCTGACAACCTGAATCTGAGTAACAAAGGTCACACACACAAGTTGTAGAAAAGGCTGGAGACTCTACTCCATGTACACATGGATATTCACATGCAGGTCCCATCGTGTTGTTACAGTTGACACATTTTGGTGGGAAATAGTTTTCAACATCACATGTACCTGATAATGGAAAAAAATACAAAATAAAATAAAGACACATAATATTATATAATACTTTAAACCAACTTGTTTTTAGACCTTTCTTGCCGGCTTTTTACAATTTATTTTAACATTTCCTACCTATGTTGATGATTTCTTATTGTGTAATATTAGACATGATTTTTATTTGCGTTTATTTAATTACTAGCGAAAAATAAATTGCTTGCGAAAATAAGTTTTTTTATGGTATTAATTCAAAAGAAAAATTTTGTATACAATATATATGTGTATAGAAAGAGATTCTATGACTGCATCAAGTAAGATATGTAAAATATTTCCAAAAGTAGCGGCAGTTATATATTCAAATCTAAATTGTTAAACTTGTTTTAATTACTTGAATCTAACAATTTAGAGAGAAGAAATATATATAAATTTGGAGGAAAAGGAATGGAAGAATGTGTTTTCTAAGATTTTTCGACAACATGTTGGCAATCTCAAAGGGTGACGATACAAAAAAAAAAAAAACTAGTCCGAACAGACCTTTACCATGACATGGTGTATAGGCTGCGATAGTCCTTGTCATCACAAAAATATGTGTCATATGGTATGGAGTAAAACTTTCAACAGATAATAATTGGAGTTAAAAAGCTTCCTTTTTTTATCAAAAGTTACTGGGTACAGACATGTTCCATTATACCTGTTCCAGTTGGGATCATCACACCAATCAGCTGTCTCAAACTTGTCCCCTTTCCACCAGCCAGTTATAATAGTCATAAGTCCAGTCAATAACATTTACATGGCTATACAGAACCAAGGGGATACTTACCAAGTCCATTGCAGTCAGGGTCACCATAGCAGTCAGCTGTTTCACATCCGTCCCCTTTCCACCAGTTATCACAGTCACACGTCTGGTCACTCAGAGTACAGATACCTCGAGATGTACAACTACCCAATTCTGGCTGAGCTGTGTCTCCTGGACAACCTCTGTCAGTACAATCGTCTCCTGTTAAATAACAGATGTATAGTTATTGGCTCAATACAAAATTTGGTATCATAATTCATCAAGGTACAAGTATTTGGATAATTTTCGTATTAACATTTGACAACATGTTTTACAATATTTGACTTAACAGTAATTGAACAATCCCTTTTAAACTGTGAGGTCATATTAAATGTGAATTTTTGTGATTTTTTATATTCCGATGATGTGTATAAAGTGCATTACAGGTCTTCTATATTCTAAAATGTTGGTTCAGCCTTAGGTATCAAGTCTTAAATGATGGGTATGGGTTTTGCTCATTATTGAAGGCCATACAGTGACCTGTAGTTGTTAATTTCTATGTCATTTGGTCTCTTGTGGAGAGTTGTCTCATTGGCAATCATACCACATTTTCTTATTTTTATATTAAATGAAAATGGTGGTCAAGTTTTTATATGTTTAACTTTCAGTAATAGTGGACTACATTTTCAGGATTGGCATATTTTCATCATTTTAATAAAATGACAACTTACCCCACCAGGCTGTTTCACAAACACAGGTTCCATTATCACAGGCACCATGGCTACCACAGAGGACATCACAAGCTACTCCAGAATAGCATGGTTCACACAGACAGGAGTAGTCTGACTGTGGAGTACCATGGATACATGGGGAGGCACACGACACTCCTGTCCATCCATCGTTACAGATACATGTAGGCAGATCTCCATCAGTGTTACAAGTACCATTACCATTACAGTCTGGTTCTCCGGGGCAGTCAGCAACATTACAAGTATCGGCAGACCAGCCTGCATCGCAGCGACATTGTCTGGAAATAGGGTTACAGTTGCCATGACCACTGCATGGCTCATCCACTCCAGGACATGAAGCAGTTCCACATGTGTCACCCCAGTACGCATACTCACAAACACAAGTATCATTGGCACATGTTCCATGACTATTACATACAATGCTACATGAATCACCAGAGTTACAGGGACTAGCACACACACAAATACCACTGTTCATTGGTTCCTGGATACCGTTACAAGCTTCATTACATGACTCACCCATCCAACCTACTTCACAACTTGTACATTTAGGTCTAGTTAGAGAAGTGTTACATACACCTCGATAGTTACAGTCATCAGGACAGTTTGATTGTTCACATCCATCACCTTTCCATCCCTCGTAACATGAACAACTTCCATCAGCAGCATTACACTGACCATTACCACTACAATCTTCATCCCATCCTGGACAACCTGGTAATTCACAGAAGTCTCCCCTTCCTCCATTAAATCCACAGTCACACACATCATTGGTACAGTTCCCAGTGCCAGAGCAAAGTTCTGTGCAATAGAAGTCATTGTAACATGGATCACAGTCACATGATTCTCCATTGTATACACCATGCTCACATTTGTATTGACAAGCGGCACCAAAGTAAGTATCATTACAGACACATACAGGTTCTCCCTCAACAACATCACAGCTTCCAGCACCATTACAGTCTTGTGGACAATAGTGAAGATGGCATCCAATTCCCTGCCATCCACTGTTACACAAGCAATCTCCACTTATACATGCACCATTACCAGAGCAGTCTACATCATAGCCGGGGCAACCTTTTATTTGACAGAAATCACCACGGTAACCATCAAATCCACAGTCACAGGTACCATTGACACATGTACCTTGGTCAGAACACAATGCATCACATTCCACACCATAGTAACAAGGATCACAGGAACATGTCCATACACCATCAAGGGATCGTATTGCAACTCCATATATACACTTGTATTCACAGCTATCTCCCATGTAAGGGTACTCACAATCAAAACATCTTGGGTCACCGCCCTCTGGTGGTTCCATACATGTGGCATTAACTCCATTACAATCTGGACTTCCTTCACAATCAGGAGTATCACAGGCAACTCCCAACCAGAATGGGTCACAATCACATTCTCCTGAAGCTTGGTTACATGTACCATGACCTTGGCATGGGTTTGGCCAGCCTGGACAACTAGGTTGGTCACATTTTTCTCCATCCCATTTTCCATAGTAATCACACTCACACTCGCCTGCATCGTCACATATCCCATGATTTGAGCATTCTAAGTGACAGTGTACTCCAGTGACACAGGTCTTGTCACACACACAGCTGTCACCACTACCAGTCCCATTGTAACAGGCCTTTTCACAATAGTCTCCAAACCAGTCTGCTGTACAATTACAAACGCCACCAGCAGTACAGTTTCCTTGGCCTGGTCCTAAAAATAGATTCATCTTTTGCAATTTAAAATCTTATTTAAATTAACATACATTACTTTGGTTCAAAATACAGCTGTGTTTGGGATATCAAAAGTTTTTTGCTGGCAAATTGATTGGTAACTTTAGGTAATATTGGCACTGTTGTGAAACACTAATAAAATTTGATATAGACTTATTTTGAAATGAATATTGCTAACTGTAACAAAGTGTAAAATATTTAGAGAACAATATTAAATTAAGTTAGAGAACGGAAACTAAAAAATTAGCATTTTTTTTCCATTTATAAAGGGGCACAACTCGAGAATGGTTAAAGTGACCCCACCAAAATTCAAACTTGATCTTTATTTTGTGGTAATAAGCACTGTGTATATCTTTCATAAAATTTGGTTGAGGCAAACTTAAGTTAGAGAACGGAAACTAAAAATTTAGTTGAGGCAAACTTAAGTTAGAGAATGGAACTAAAAAATTTGCAATTTTTCCATTTATGAAGAAGCTTAACTCTAGAACGGTTAAAGTGACACTACCAAAATTCAATCTTGATCTGTATTTTGTGGTAATAAGCATTGTGTATAAGTTTCATAATATTTGGTTGAGGCAAACTTAAGTTAGAGAATGGAAACTAAAAATTAAGCATTTTTTTCCATTTATAAAGGGGCACAACTCGAGAATGGTTAAAGTGACCCCACCAAAATTCAAACTTGATCTTTATTTTGTGGTAATAAGCATTATGTATAAGTTTCATAACATTTGGTTGAGGCAAACTTAAGTTAGAGAACAGAAACTAAAAATTTTGTAATTTTTCCATTTATAAAGGGGAATAACTCTAGAACGATTAGAGTGATGCTACCAAAATTCAAACTTGATCTGTATTTGGTGGTAATAAGCATTGTGTATAAGTTTCATAACATTTGGTTGAGGCAATCTTAAGTTAGAGAATGGAAACTAAAAATTTTGCAATTTTTCCATTTATAAAGAGGCATAACTCTAGAACGGTTAAAGTGACACCACCAACATTCAAACTTGATCTGTGTTTTGTTGTAATTAGCATTGTGTATAAGTTTCATAACATTTGGTTGAGGCAAACTCAAGTTAGAGAACGGAAAACAATTTTGGGACTTACAGACAAGGGTAAAACTTTAAATAATGCCCCCTTCGCTACGGCAGGGGCATAAAAAGTTTATATTATTGACTTTACTTAGTTTTTTTCTAACATTGTGAGTGCAGATCATTATATTTCAGAACTTTTTTTACACTATCCTTGTTAATGTTTTTCTTTGAAAACATCAATGAAAAATCTCAGATAGTTCCTTTGCATGAGATATCTCCCTTTTACATTGACAATTGTGTATACAAATTATTTCATTGTGCAACTATTTACAAGCTGAAATATATGCCATATCTACCACATGTAAGAACAACTGCATACGGCCTACAATCTTTAAGGTATGAAGGTGCTAAGCTTTGGAATGAGCTGCCAGATGTGCTACGTAAGCAATCATCTTTAAATCAATTCAAGAACATGATAAATTCTTGGTGTGGCAGCTCATGCCAATGTTTTGCCTGCAAAACCAGTTAACTTCTGTTCATTGTTTTTGGTTTAATGCTTTATTTTCAGCATGGCAATTTTATTTTATTATCTTTACTTATAGTGCTTCTGCTGCTTTTTGCTAATTTTAGTAACTAACTAATCTATATGTGCTTTTAATGTGCAAACCATTTTATTTTTGCTTTTGTGCTTTTATCTCACAAGTGCATGTTTCAGTGTGTGTTTAACTTGTAAGATGCTTTTAAGAACTTTTGTGCTGCGTGTTTATATACTGATATGAACTCTTGCTTTACATGTTTAACTTATGTGTGCATGACTTGATATGTATGTTTTGTTTTATTTGTTGCTCTGTCGGTTTTAAAAGCTCTTCAGAGCTTATGTTTATACTTGTATTTGCACATACCGACTCTAAATAAAGCTTTATGTCTTATGTCTTATGTCTTATGTCTATGAGGTTACTGATCAAAAGAAAATAGAACATGACACACACTTTATAAATATGGTGAACCCAAAGGTTTAGATGGAATTGAACTCTTTATGTCATTAAAAAACAGAACTTTTCAATGGAAATTCTAGAAATCCAAATAAATCCTAATACACTATTTGTGTAATTTTCTCGATGGTGGATTTTGATACAATTCTTATCAACAAGCATACAGACAATGTTACACTAACCACTACATTCAGGTGTTCCAGGACAGGTGGGTGTGGCACAGTCATCCCCTCTCCATCCTGGGTAACATGTACAAACACCCAGGGCACTGTTACAACTTCCCTGTTGGTTACATGCTCCATCCTCCCCAGGACATCCAGTTTCCTCACATAGCTCACCCACCCAGCTGTTTCCTATAAAATAAATAGTAATGCCTATATGTTAAGGTAACAATCTTCTGAATCTAAAATATTTCTAAAAGACATACAAATAGTCTTTTTAAACAAGTTGGTTATATGATTCATTCTAAACAAACCAATTAATTCAAGTTAACCAAAAAATATTTTTGTCATATTTCATAAAAATATTATATTTTCAAATGTCAAATGAAGAACAGAGCACAGCTGTCCTTGTCCATCCTGGCATACATTTCCTTGGAGCATGTCAACTTTTTCATAAATTAGCTGAAGAACAGAACCTACTTTGCTGGACATTTATTCCTTGATAAGATTTGTCGATATATTCCATTTTTAATGTCCAACCAAAGCTTGTCAATTTATTTGCATTAAGTTTTTAATCAGCTGATAATATCAATTAAATTTATTAAAGTAGCTAAGAAAAGAAGGCATACATAAGGTTGTTTGCACTGTCACAAATATATCTAGTTTTCAAGTTTCAAATGCATCACACAGATAAGGACTAAATGTACTGTCATTGAACTTCTCACCATATTTAAGAAATATTCTATAGAAACGTCTGAGTGATTGCCAGTTTTTGAACGAATTTAGGCATATGGCTAACTCCTACAAATCAATCAAATTAAAATGGGATAAAATAAATGAAAATGATTGTTTACCTGGTTCCGTTGTAAAACAGTCACATGTTGCATTAACACATATTCCATTTCCAGAACATTCCAGTTCACAACCTGCTCCAGTATAACAATCAAAACAGTTACAAAAGCTGTTGTCAGCATTCACCCAGCCATTCTCACAGGGTTTACTACAGTCTTCTGTGTACCAGCCCTACAAAATAAAAACATTCATCTTAGTGTTTCATATCTAATTTTGGTAATTCAATATAAAAATAAGGAGATGTGGTATGATTGCCAATGAGACAACTATCCACCAAAGTTCACTGTAAATTATTTCCACTATTAAATAGAGTATATATATATAATACATCTACTAAAGAGATGTTACTGGCAAATGTAAAAAAATAGATAAAAACTTTTGGAATTAATATTATTCTGCTTTTCTGGATTTAAAAAAAGTCTTAATATTAGAATTTTATGAATTAAAAAAAAAAATTGATGATGAACGATTGAAATAAATTCATAAAACACATTTAAAGCTAACAAGTTGCTATTGTTGGCATTTGTTTTTGTATAGACCAATGGAAGTAGGTTCTTAATACTAAGCATTGAAAACTTAATCACTTTGATAGGCCACTAGTCTAAATACCACGTTAAGATAATCAGTAAGATAAATTCGTTATACAGTGTGCTAGTGACCTAATACGATATATATGGGGTCAGTTAATTCCAGTGACCTAATAGGATATATATGGGGTCAGTAAATTCCCATATGGAATTTACTGACCCCATATATATCGTATTAGGTCACTAGCACACTATGTAACTAATAATATTTAGTTTACTAAATACAAAATATAAAAAAATCCTTCATATCTTTGTACACTGATTCATGCAATTATAATATACCTTTTTATATTAATTAACCAAAATTATACCAAGGCAAAGAGATACATGTGAAGTGAACAAAAGATATCATCTGGAAACTATTTTTGAACAGAATGGAAAGATAAAAAGACAATGATATTCTAAAAAATATTTTAGGGAGCATAAAATTTTACAAATTCCTGGAATACACAATATTGGACTTTACCTCAAGGCATGCACATTCAGGTAGAACCCTATCTGTGCCATTACAGAAACCATTGCCTTCACAGCCACCAGGACAGTCAGGAATGTCACAGGCATCTCCAGTCCAACCTGTAGCATACAAAATAGATAAGTTAGATCTCTAGATCAGGGGTTGCGGCCAAATCTTTCTATGTGAAAAACTGTTTGATAAATTAGACCAAAATTGACTTTATAAAATTAATCATGCATATTTAAGGGTTCGTAACATCGTAATTTTTAATGTGATATGCCAAAAAGAAGTTATCTTGTATTCATAGTATTAATACAACTACTGAAAATTCAGAAATTATTGCGATGTTTTATTATTGCAAAAAAAGCGACAGGGTTATAATCGCAATAATTTAAACTCGCATTTTGAAATTTTTTATATGAATTAATCTGGATTATTCTCAAAATCGCAAAAATTAAAATCGCGTTTTAGTCTAAAATGACAAAATCGCAATAATAAATGCATGCAATAATTTCTGAATTTACAGTATTTCTATGTAAAATTTGAAGTATTTAGCAAGATTGTAAAAAATATCAAAATTTTAGGGCCAATTTTAATCCTTTGTGAATGTTCTCCTTTATTGAATGCTATTGTATTAGTACATGTACATGTTTTTATAAGTCAACATTTTATATACCAAGATACCAACATTTTTGATACATTGATCAGATCTATATCATATTTTTTTTATGTATACCATAAAGAATTCCTATTTGTTCTTTTGAAACTTTAAGAAATTTTATCATTGTTTTGTAATCATAGTTATGATAGCAATTCATTTTTCCTTCCTTATTCCAATAATAATACAATATTTCAATAGTATTTACCAGGTACACAGGTACACAGATGATTTGCTGTGTTACATTTTCCATGCAGTGTACAATCTTCAGTCTCACCAGGACATCCAGGAACTTCACATTTGGTACCACGCCATCCCACATCACAATCACAGGAATTAGTTGTACCGTTACATTTTCCATTATCATTACATTCACTGTTGCACCCTAATCCAGCATAGCAAGGCTCACAACTACAGAATCCACTGTTGGCAGGTACCTGTGTTCCTTGTACACATGGGTCTGCACAGGCAGCTCCCATCCAACCAGATATACAATCCAGACAGATAGGAGGGTCATGTGTAGAGTTACACGTTCCTCTTTCGTTACAATCAGGATTTCCTGGACAGTCAGCATACTCACATCCATCACCTCCCCAGCCGGGGAAACAAGAACATACATGTGATATTGTATTACAGATGCCACGCCCTGTACAGTCTTTACCAATCCCAGGACATCCTGGGACATCACAGAGGTCACCTCGCCAACCAACATCACATTCACATTTATTGTTAACTATAGTGCCATGATCAGAACACTCGGAGTCACAGTTGACACCTGCCCATCCAGTATTACAGGTACAGTTGTCACTATACTGAGGGGAGACAAATCCATTGACACATGGTTCCTCACAAGAATGACCAAACCATTTCTCATCACATCTGAAATGAAATACACACTTTTATTAAAATGAATGTACCGTATATACAATTTTTTCTCCCTTTTTTAAATTCATCTTTTAATTGTAATTATGGAATCTAATTAAATAACCAGTCTACAAATTAAAAATTTTTGTAAAAACATGTCAGCTGTATGTGTAAATCTGAACAAATATCCTAACAGATTTCCTGCAGTATTACACTTCATTATACATCATTCATGATTAAAGAATTCATTTTTTCACTTTCACTATATAGAATTCTGAGTTACTGGTAATCATTTCAATTTCCAACCTTAATTTTTTGAATAGGAACAGCTAACCCTAAGTTAATCCACCTGAGTGTGGTTCCCTTTGCTCAAGCTTTTTTAGTGTATTGATTTCTGTTTTGCCTTTTTCCTTTTGTCCATTGTATCATTTTTTCCTATTTGACTAATGATTTTTCATCTTATTTTTTAACATAAACAACAATACATACTTGCAATCAGGTGGATCTTCACTATCATCACATAAACCATGGTCATTACAGTCAGGGGTACCAGCACAGTCAGCATACTCACATCCAATACCAGTCCATCCTGGTCTACATGTACATGTATGTGTGGCACTTTCACATCCACCTTAAAGTAAATCACTTGCTTATAATGATAGAAATCAAAGCCAATTTATGTCTTGTATTCCAAAAAAAAAACTTTTTCTTCCCAGCAGCATATTTGGATAAAGTAAATTGACTTTATCTATTTGAGAGTGTACCTTCATAGTAAAAACTTGAAAGAAATTAAAATAAGTCAGGAATATAATCAATAAAGATGACAAGTAAAATATTGGTTTTTTTTCAGATATGAAAATATATTCTTCTTAATACAAAATTCATAAATCATTATATTGAATTCCTTTGAAGAATAACTTCATTTATCAATTGCAATTTTCTGACATGGGTGTCTATTTGGCTGTGCAGAATGTATAAAAATGCAGCCACTTCTAGGTGAAATGAAGAATTTAGATCTGATAATATCATGCACTTTGTGTTAAAGAACCCTTGCAACAACTCTTTACGAGTCCAAAGGTTACCTGTAGCAAGGGAAAATTTTGCCTTTTTCAAATGTACCCTCATTTTCTAGTCACAGTCTAAGTTTCTAACCCCTCAATCTGGTTGACACACTATGAATAGACTGCATACATACCTGCCAACTTTTGGAAATTCCCATGGGGGTTTTAGTGTGTGACATTATTTTCAAAGTTTACAATTTGTCGAGGTGTTTTTGTGTGCACTGTTTTGGTGTCATATCTGTTTATTTTCTTACGGTACACCTTTGATGAGCTAATAAGCCCTTTTCTTCTTTACATTTCAAAGATTCTTGTACATGTGTACTTATATTATTGTGTATAAAAGATAGTACATGTAGCTATAGCTCAGCAGGAATACCAGTTTAAATATATGGACAAAGAAGCATAGGTACTGGGGCCTAAATCCTGAAAGTTGGCAGGTCTGTACATATTAAATTTATTGTGTATTTGTATTTGTTCTGAATATGTATGACATATTTGCTACATATTAAGCAAACCTCAATCAATCAGTAATTAGAGACATCAATAAATCTCAATGTATCTTACCTCTATCTGAGCAGTCCAATTTAAATAATCCAGGACATCCAGGAATGTCACATAAATCTCCTTTCCATCCGGTGACATAATCACATTCACACTCTCCATTTACAATTTTACCATTCTCAGAACATTCTGAGTCACATCCGACTCCAGCAAAACCAGGATCACATTGACAGTTTCCAGAGTTGATAGGTGTCTCTGTACCATTAACACAAGGATCATTACAAGCTGGTCCCATCCAGTCTCCGGTACAATTCTGACATTCTGGAGGATCAAAATTCCATTCATCACAAATACCACGGTCATTGCAGTCTGGTGTTCCAGGACAGTCAGCAATATGACAAGCAGCACCAATCCATCCTCTAAAACATTTACATTCACGATCTTCACTGTTACAGTCACCATGTCCGCTACACTCAACATCAGTAGAAGGATGTCTGGGACATCCTGGTACTTCACAATATTTTCCACTCCAGCCAACCAATGGATCACAGTAACAGCTTCCATCATTAGCACACACACCATTCCCTGAACATTCTATGTCACAACCAGTACCATGGTAACATATCTTTTCACAGATACAAATATTTTGATCATCAGGTAAGCCATATACACATGGATCCCCACAGGCTGATCCTGCCCATTCATCATCACAGTTCGAACATTGAGGTGGGTCAAAGGTTGTATTACAGTATCCATGACTATTACAGTTAGGATCACCAGGACAATCGGGAGATCCACAATCAGGGCCTAAAATTCATGAGGTTACATTACTTACTAAAAAAAGTAATGATTAAGTTCAATAAGCATGTTTGAAAAACAGCTGTGTGATAAACATTTATTACAAATAACCTATTACCAAAAGTCCAATTTTTGTACCATTCTTAGCACATAAGTCTAGAACCACGAAAAAATGAAAGTTTTCACAACTTAAGGAATCCTCAGACACCCAATCTCAATCATTTGTTTAAGAAACCACTCAAAAGCATAGTTCAGTTGGAGTATTACTTGTTTGTAAAGGGTCAAGTCATTGGCAATTATACCACATCTTCTTATTTCATATTCAAAAAAGTTTGAAAGAAATATGACTAAACTTTCTTGAATTACTGAGCATGACATGAAGGACAGTACAATGTACATCGGTACACATGTATACCATAATACACATACAATAGCAAATTTTACTATTTGTTTAAGTATAACTGTGTACAAAAATGTAGATAGTGAAGTTTCTTTTTTGTTTACTTGCTTACAAAAGAACATAATATCTCCATTGTACAGATCTAGAGTATGACCAACAAAGTCTACCTTTTCATTCAAAAATCCAATGGAAGAAAAGGTTATCATATTTTTTACGAGTTTAATATCAGAAAAAAAAAAATAATCATACGGTAGTTTAGTTCAACAAACTAACCTGACCATCCAGGATCACAGACACATGTACCAATGCCTGCCAGACAGATACCATGTCCAGAGCATGACTGGGTGTTGATGGAAGGACACCCTGGTCTGGTACATTTATCTTCCTGCCAGTTATCAGTACAACTACAGATACCATCAACACAGCTACCATGATCATTACATTCTGATTCACAGAACTCTCCAAGATGGCATTCATCACATTCACATTTGTCCCCAACACATTGTCCTTGACCTCCACAAAGGACAGAACAGTCATCACCAAGGTAACAAGGATCACAGATGCAAGTTCCAATAGCAGTACATTTTCCATTTCCAGAGCAAGTTGTATCATCATGGCAGTTACTATCACATCGATGCCCAACATAGCCTGCTTCACAAATACAAGTTCCATCTTGAGCACATTTTCCCTGTCCTGAACAAGTTATAGCAGCAGTGCAGTTGTACTGGCAGTCCATACCAACATACCCTGAATCACAGCTACAAGCACCTGACACGAATGATCCATGATTACTGCAGAGACCACCAGATGAATCACAAAGAGATCCAGTGCCTCCACTTCCATAGTTACCTGATCCACCACTGACATAACGTTGGTTGTATAAGACCTTGTGTGTATAGTTTCCAGTATATGTTCTAATTCTACCTCCTCCACCACCACCACCATAGTAGTAACAGTTGTAATAGGCATTGGAACCACCACCTCCATTGGCTGTCACTTCACCCCATCCCTCAATAATCTCACTATCCAGCCACACAGAGCCACCACTGCCACCAGCACCACCAGACACTCCCTTTGCACCGTCCATATCAACTGTTCCCTCCAAATACATGGCATTTCTGGTGATGACCTTGATAGCTGAGCCTCCCCATCCTCCTTCAGCCAAATAGTGGCTACCACGTGCCCCTCCACTTCCAGCAGTGATTGGCAGACAGACTTCGTCATATGTAGATGTACTACCATAACAATATGAATGACAGTTACTGTAACCACGACCTCCATTACCCCCATGGGCAGCTCCACCAGCTCCACTACAAGAGCTTCCAGCTCCTGGTCCAGAGGCTGGTGGGTACCCAAGCCTCAGTCCTAGGACAGTGCTGGACTTCTCAACGTCAAACACACCACCAAATACAGTACCAGATGGATAAATTTCAAACAAACCAGTATGTTCAACGTGGATAAAGTCAGCCACTAGGTATACGCCATTGTCTGTTGTATAGTCCGTATCATTTAATGCCATTTTACCTCCAGCAAGCACTGTAGCTGATGTTAACTGATATGCTCCTGTTATTTCTTCACCAGAATTGGCCATCAAATTGCCAACACTAGTTAACCTGCTTGTTCCTCTTGTGTATAAGTGATCTAACCCAGTCATGGTTCCATAGATGGTCATTGTTTGTTCTATGAAGATTGTGGATGCATACATGATTTTGGAATCTTTCATACCATATAAGTTAGCTCCAATAGTATCCTTTAGTTTGGAAGTAGAAATCTTTACAGAAATACCAGCTTCAACTTGTAGTAATCCTGTTCCACTGTGTACGTGACCAACATACAAAGGTGTCTGCAAAAATATTAGAATTGTTAAATATTAAAAAGTAATTACTACATGTATGTGGCCATCCCCTGCTGTCACTGACACAAAATTTATTTTAATTGTACATGTAATACCTACAAATTAGCAATTTTTCACAGTACATTAAGGAACTTTAGCAGACAACAACCAATAATGCATAAAATTTAATTTTCAGGAATTAAGTTTCATTACAGAAATTTCATTCAAATAATTAAGATTCAAAGCAATTAAAGTCTACAAACATGTAAAATGCACATTATACTCTAAACGAAACTCAGTGAGATCATGATAAAGCAGCCAGTAGTTTAACAAGAAACTGCAAATAAGACAAAAAAAAAACATAAAAGGAATTTAAACAAAAACTTAAAAACTTAAAATCAAACATTGAAAAAAAAATGGATGTTCAGTGGGCATAATAAAAACTAAAAGTATCTCCGAACATGAAGTGACTGAAAGGCAGATTTGAAAATTCTTAATATGGTAGAACTCAAATTATTGCCAAACCGGAATTGACTGCCCGGCATTACACAGTACATGTACGTAGTACAGTTCATCATAATAAAGTTCCCATTAAATATCAAATCTTTTCTTAATACAGAAGCTGAGTCCTATTAAATGACAGATATAAACAGAGAAACAAATGGATGGACGGACAGAGGCATTGCAGTATACCACCCTTCCAGCTATTCTGGGTATATTAATTAAGAATACATTAAATAATAAATATATTTACAAAGAAATCTGTCTTACTTTAAACTTCAATTCAGAATTTGCTTTACAAACTGTTTCCAATACAAGAATTTTCAAACTCCAACCTGTCTTCTGTAGAATTGAATTTCCTCACAAATTATGATACCTAACTTACAGCTGCTAGCACAGTCACGCACTTAATTTGGCGTTTTAACTTTCTTTATTCGAGCGTCACTGATGAGTCTTTTGTAGATGAAATGTGTTTCTGGCATACAAAATTTTAAGCTTGGTATCTATGATGAGTTTACTACTGAGTATGTACAATCTCTTGGATATTACTGTTTATAACTTACATTAGTAGGTACTGCACAAGCTCTGTTCTCCATGTGGATCACATCTAGGTCAATATTGTCTATCTCTGTGCGGTAATCACAGCTGTTTTCATCACCTCTGCCTAAGTTATCTATCCATAACTCCTTGTGCATGTTGTCAGCAACATGTGACTGAACATAGACAGTACCCGGACCACCAGGGTAGTAAGCATTGCCACCTGTAGCCACTAGATCTCCATTAAACAACATGTATTCTGACAAGTATATGGCTATTCTTCCTCCTGAACCACCTCCATTTGCTGAAAATATACATTTTTTTTGGGCATTTAATTTTTTTCTTTAAATCTTTTGTTTTCTCTTATAATTTCAAATGAACCTTATTAAATTTCAACTTTTTTGAAAACAATAACATCTTCATTTTTTTAGATAAAAATTAATGCAATTTTCAAAGTATTCTTGACAATATTTAACAACTTTGCCAATTTCTGTTTTTTTCAATTGATACAAAAATTGATAAACCAATGAAAACAAGATTAAAACCAAACAAAAGTTTGGATAATTTCATGAAAATATCAAATACCTTTTTATTGAGAAAATTATCTCTTACTTTCATTTAAATTATATCTTGCAGAGGCATTAATCACTTCATTAACTGCTATTATAAAACTTACCATAAAATTCACTACTCATTGTACCAGAGAAAGCTTGACCACCATTAGCTGTACACTGACCATACCCTCTGAGACTGTAAGCTGTTATCATCACACTGCCACCACTACCACCTCCAGAATTAAATGTACTTGCCAGTCCATTCTCTCCACCCACAGATATACTACCATCCAAATGTAGGGTCTGCAAAAATAATTTCCAATGTATTGAGTCACTTTTAACCAAACTTTTCAACATCATCCCAACTCTTTTAATTGTCCTAAATATGAAAATTTCACAAAACTTAATGATTAAAATTAAACTAGATATGGACAATCCCCCCCCCCCCCCCTTTTCTGCTCTGCCATATGCACCAGTATAGTTCCACATATTTTAGATTTGACAAACAGTGATGTTGGCATACAACTTGAAATTGTTATGGTGTCTGTAAGACACAAATGATGCCCCCACCTGACCAAAAAAATGACTTAGTCCAACTACCTGTCATTTTCAGAATATTTGAAAAAAGAAAAATCAAAATCCCGTGGCCATGCACATCTCCATTATGTGTTTGAACATCCTACAAAATATTAAAGCTGTATCTCCAAAACTGTAGGAGGAGATAGCCAGACAAACCATGATCTCTTTATGCAGTTTGTACCAAAAAAATGACTAAGTCCAACTACCTAGTCATTTTCAGAATATTTAAAAGAAATCAAATCCCTGTGGCCATGCACACCTCCATTATGTGTATGAACATCATACAGAATATTAAAGTTGTACCTCCAAAACTGTAGGAGAATATAGCCGGACAAACAATTTATCCTAATCTGGAAGGACGGACAGAAGGAAGGACGGACGGACGGACAGACGGACAGGGGTAAATTAATATGCCCCTCGACATTTTGTCGCAGGGGCACAATAAAATAAATTAAAACTAGAGTCTGTAAAGAGCCTGTGTCGCTCACCTTGGTCTATGTGCATATTCAACAAAGGCCACTCTCCAACATTGTAGACGAGAATAGAATTCATGACAAAAATCTCTGTTTTGTTGATCTTGTACTGCTGATCATTTAGTCTGTTTAGCTTCTCTCTATCTTCATTAGTTTTTGCTCAAAACACAAAAAGAGGGTAAAAAAATCCTTATTTAAGAGGCTGGGAAATCACTCCTATAAAGAGTGACAGCGTACTACCTATATCAGCGAAATGCGACTTGTTAGTAGATCTTGCTTTGGTGATCATTTTTGTGATATAAAGTGTTTATTTATCTATTATAATTTTTATCATGTAAAGCAAAATCCCCAAAAAATGATAATAAACTGTTATCACAGAGATATGTCTCGCCTTTTTGTAATTTTGATAATGCAAATGTTGAAATTAAAATTGCAATACTTTAACATGTAAGTAATGCAAATATTCAAAGTCGATGAACCTTGACTGAAGGTACATGGCTAAACAATCTCCATGGAATGAGATGTGCCAATGCTAATACAACTGCATACCAAATACCATTGACTTATTATAAGTCTTTCCCTTTAAACAAACCTAAACACAAACATTAACTTGTAAACTATGTAAAAGTTTCAAAGTCAATGAACCATGATCAGGGGTGGGGCTATATAATCTCCATGGAAACGATACTTGCAAATTCCAATAAATTTGCATACCAAATATCAATGACTTAACATTAGCAGTTCATCCTAAACTGATCTAATCACAAACTAATACATGTAAACTTAGCAATATTTTCAAAGTCTATAGACCATGACTGAGGGGGCGATACCAAATATTCTCCATGGAAATGAGATATGCCAATGCTTATACAACTGCATAACAAATAGCATTGACCTACCACTAGTGGTTCCCAATAAATTGACCTAATCACAAACTAATACATGTTAACTATGAAAAGTTTCAAAGTCAATAGACCTTGACTGAGGGGGCAGGGCCAAATAATCTCCATGGTAATGAGATGTGCCAATGCTAATACAACTGCATACCAAATATCATTGACCTACCACTAGTGGTTCACCATGAACTAGACTTAATCACAAACTAATACATTGTTGACGCCGCCGTCGCCGGAAACAACATACCTATGTCTCGCTTTTTGACTCCGTCAAGGCAAGACAAAAATTGTCATTAAAGGGCAATAATTCCAAGAAGACGATGGACGATTTCCTCTATATTGTCTTAATTGTAGATCTTGTCTTGCTGATCATTTTTGCTTATTTAGAGGTTTCTATCTATCTATAACAATTTTTAAGATACAAGGCAAAAACGCAAAAAAATTGGTAAAAATCATCATCAAAGGGCAATAACTCTAATAAGGAGTCGGCTGACGATTTCGACAATGTGAACTTATTTGTAAAACTTATCTTGCACATAATTTTTGCAATTTGATGTTTTTCTGTATCTATTATAGTTTTCAAGATAATAGGCAAAATTGAAAAAAATGGTAAAATTTGTCATTAAAGGGCAATAACTCCAATTAGAAGTCATTTCACAATTTTAACTTATTTGGACAATAGGTAGAGCTCAACATTCTGAACATTTTTGCTCCAGTCAGATTTTTTCTATTCATAACAGTTTTCAAAATAATAGACAAAACTTGCATTTTAACCCTATGTTCTATTTTTAGCCATGGTGGCCATGTTGGTTGGGAGGCTGGGTCATAGGACACGGTCACACATACAAATACTTTTGCTTGAGACATATTTCTGTACGTTTGGAAAGAATTCAAAACTTCATTATGAAAAAGACAAGATGTAGTCCTCACTTATTAACAAGATGTAGTGCTCACTTATACTGATGACTTACCTCCCATACACTGATGATAATACAACTACCATCTATTCTACAGCTGGTCCAATCCTTTCAACTCCCTGGTTCTGATGACTTACCTCACCTACCCCTAAACTGATAAAAGACTAACACCACCTCATCAACCTGGTTCTGATGACTGACCACCTCCTCTACCACTGGTCACATAACCTCCACTTACAGGTTCTGATGACTTACCTCTCCTACATTGATAGTGATATGACTACCATCTGCTCCACCCCTGGTACCACCTCCTCCACTTCCAGGTTCTGATGACTTACCTCCCCTACATTGATAGTGATATGACTGCCACATGCTCCACCACTGGTACCACCTCCTCCACTTCCAGGTTCTGATGACTTACCTCCCCTACATTGATAGTGATATGACTGCCACCTGCTCCACCACTGGTACCACCTCCTCCACTTCCAGGTTCAGATGCTGTTAATACTGATCCATACTGATTGCCAACTGTGGTTGTGTCATAACTTCTGCCTCCTAAACATTTAATTTTCAAGATAGTTTATCATGTTGTTTTAGTTAAATTCATAAAAAACAACTTAAACTATAATTGAATTTTTACAAAAGATGCATTCAAAAATATTTCAATAGTAAAAGTTATTTGCACGCTAACTGAATCATACAATAAACTGGGTATACTTAATCATACAAAGAAATATTTACAACTGAAATCAACATTTAGAATTACAGTAAATTCAGAAATTTTTGCAAAGTTTTTTATAATAGCAAAAATGGGGACAGAATGGGTTTTACATAAATAATTACTTGCACTTCAATTTTTAAAAACATTCATATTTGTATGTCACAATAACTAATTTCGCATTTGTTTCCATTGTTCAACAAATACAATGGTAAATGGACACACAGTTTCTGAACTTACAGTAATCAGAATAACAATATTGAACTTTATCAAAGAGTTGATGTAGAAAAATTGTTATCACAAACTTCTGAAAAAATTTCAAGAAATACCAAGTTTCCATTTTTTATGTGTTCTTCTTGTAATTATATCCATTTAAATCCCCAAATAAATAATGTTTAGCTGAAAAATACTAATTTCTTTTAAAAAAAATAGCTCCCCAAAAAGGTCCTTTCACTTTAACAATCATGTTTTGTTTACCTGCACTGCCATGTCCAGCTCCAGATGAATCATGGGAAGATCTGATACCTGCTCCATCACCCTCCTCAAATCCATAGCCATGACCATCACCAGTAACAGTTCCACCTTTTTCTACTGTTATCATGGTAGCATTTAAGGTGACCTTCAAAGTGTCAGTTTCTACAGTACCTCCATTCTTCACAGTTAGATTTCCTACTTGGAATGTTGGAATCAAAGGATCAATAGTCACAGTTATTTTCCCTAGATTTTTCACATCTAAAGTTCCAACAGCAATTAACCCTGGAGCATAACTAGTCTCTGGCATTTCTGTATACCACATGACCAGAGATTTAATCTGGCTTGTGTGAGCTTGTTCAGATATTGTTAGTTCTGCATTACGTTCTATGTAAAGATTTTCTACTCCAACCATTCTTCCACTAAGAATAAATCTTTCAGTTGTCAATATGAAGTCAGTTGGCATTACTAGTTCTCCTCCAATATCAACATGGAAACCACAAGGAGCATCAAGGTATGTATGAGTAGATTCTATATAGTTAACAATTACTTGTTGTCGCTTCTGGATACGAACAAGACCTTTCTTGTTACCTGTAAGTTCATGGATAATCACAGTTAGATTTTTAGTTCCTTTAGGATGATAGAAGTGCACATATGAGTATCCCTCCACTTGAACCTCATCAAATTCATAATACACACTATTGTTTTCCATTACCATGGCTGGGTTGTCTGTTGTTAAGTCACCATTATCTACTAATAATTTTGAATGCTCTGGTTGAATCATAGTCTTATTAAGTCGTGGATTATATTTCAGTTCTCTATATGTAGGACCTCTCTGTGATTCATACTTGAAGATAGTTCCCGGTCCACCATCACTAGATCCTTTGCCTCCTCGTGAAAGATAGGCCCCTCCATACAAATTAAAAGAACCAACATGTAGAGCCACTCTACCTCCACTTCCTCCTCCACCTGTGCCACTTCCATCACCTCCATGTACAGCAATTATACCATGTCCAGAAATGTTGTAGGCCTCTACAAATAAACTGCCACCACTTCCACCACCAGTGCTGCCACTGGTGGCTTCTGTTCCATTGGCACTAATGACACCATCCACATGGATGTTTCTTCCAACCTTCATGTGAAGATATCCTCCTCCAGACCCAGCACTGCTCCCTCCAGAACCTCCACTGCCAAGATCTTTTGGTGAAAACAGAGACCCATGGGGGTAAGAATCATCAGCTCCTCCTCCTACACCACCATAACTACCTCCTGCAGTACTACTTCCTACACCTAAACCTTCCGTTGCTTCATATCCCCTACCATCTAGATTTATCTCCCCTTCTGGTTCCAAGTCCACCTCTCCAGCATCAATATAACCATGATTCATCAACATTGTACCTTGATATTTGATTTCCAAAAAGGAAGCTGTTACTGTCATATCATTTGTAATCTTTCTAAATTCAAGAGTTCCCGACTGTTTGATGTTGATAGTCGGAAGAGAGAAGTTTCCTTCTGACGAGATGAACACATATGTGCCATTATCCAGTAGAGCCGTCTGTGAGGTAGCTGTTACACTAACTACAGCTTCATCTTCCACATAAATATGATGGACACCTGTCATTATTCCTTCAATAGTGGTGTTCGTTCCCTGCATGTGAACTTCTGTTGGGAAAATAACCTCACTACCATAGTCAATGATATAACTAGCAGGGGCTTCTGTTACATTGCTGAGTGATTCTATATACTCAATATACACTGTTTGGTCAGATCTCATATGTATCTGACCAGTTCTGTCACCTTTAACCACGTGAATAATAACTTCAACAGGTTTATCTGGATGATAAAATATCACTCTTGAATATCCTGTTACTTCAAATTCATCAAATTCATAGTCAGTTGTCTCATTAACCATAATCATAGTTGGAACAGGAACTAAGTTTCCAACATTATCAATATGGACATAACGATGGTCAACTTGGAAGTAGCTGGTATTAGTTCCTTTGAGATGTTTTAAGATTCTGTATTCTAATGGTCGGAAATTATTTTCAACATAAGATGTTCCAGCTGCACCACCATGAGTCAGGACATTGCTGCTTCCACCATCACCACCCCGGTTAGTGAATTTCCCTCCAAAGCTATATCTGTATCTACAATGGACACCAATCCTTCCTCCAGCACCTCCTCCTCCTATTGTTCCAGCACCATTACCACCCTGGACATTAATCTCACCGTGTCCTGTGAAGTTTGTAGTAAACATGTTGACACTGCCACCGCTTCCACCACCACTGTTACCAGAGACACCATCTGTACCTTGTAAAGCTAGTAAACCATTTAGTTCCAATCTCTGGCTGATGTTCCAGTGCAATATACCACCACCACTACCACCAACTCCATTGCCATTTCCTCCTCCACTACCAAACAGGTCCGGGTCATACACTGATCCATAAGGTTCTGCTGATGATGAAGAGTTAGCCCCTCCCCCATAACCACCGTGACTGGCCCCATAGCCTTCTCCACTAATTGTAACACCAGCTCCATAACCCTCTTCAGGTTCATGACCATGTCCATTTAGGTGGAATATTCCTTCACTTTCAATCCAGGCATAAGAAGAGTCAATGACAGCATCATTCATATACAGATTTCCAAAATATTTGACTCTTGTTTCACTGTTCCACATATGCATCACATCTGTTATTTTTAAAAATCCTACAGTTCCACCTTTCTTTACAATGAAATTGTCCCAAGCAAAGTTCCCTGGTTCTTTAACATTGTAGTATGTGCCATTTTCAATCAAGGCCGTATATGCTGTGGAGTGAAATTCAATGTCAGTTGCATCCTCTACATATAACTCAGCTACTCCAGTTATAAGTCCAGCAAAGGTACTATTTGCTCCATGTAAATGGGTCTCAGCAGGCATTATTATTTCTCCTCCATCATGTAATTCAAACCCACATGGTGCTTCAGTCTTGTTTAGAATAGCCTCAGTCACTTCTACTTTCACATGTTGTGCACTTTGAATAATCAAAATTCCAGTTTTGTCTCCTATAAATAAATGAATATCCACATCTACTCTTGTATTATTATCTGGATGATAAAATTTGAGACGTGAGCTTCCAGTTATTTCTGATTCATTGAAGACATAGTTGACAGTTTTGTTTTCATTAATCAGTGTTGGAGCAGGACTGTACTTCAGTAAGTTGTCAGTGTGTACATACTTAAAGTCTACATCAAAGTATGTCATGTTATGCACAGGGTCATATTTCTTCGCTCTATATTCTATAGGTCTTGTATTTTCTTGTACAAATGTAGTTCCTGCAGCTCCAGCTCTGGACGAGGAGTATGACCCTCCGCCATCACCACCATAATTGTGATATTCTCCACCATAGGAGTACCTCCATTCACAGTGTACACCGATCCTTCCTCCTGCTCCACCACCACCACTACCAACACCATTACCACCAGCAACCAAGACTTCACCATGTCCTGTCATATTTAAAGCCTCGATCAACAAACTGCCACCACTTCCACCTCCTGAATTTGCTCCATTTCCATCTTCTCCATCTAAAGACAAAATTCCATTCATTTCTAATATGGAACCAATTTCCCAGACCAGGAATCCACCACCTGCCCCACCAATTCCTCCTCCATTGCCTCCACCACTACCAGCATACTCCATGGTTGGATAGGCAGTCCCATTACCTGGTTTGAAGACAGAATTGTATGGTATACCACCAAAATTTGGTTCTGGTCCTCCTCCCCAGCCTCCATGGCCAGCTCCCCAACCAATTGAACCTTCCGTCCAACCTTTTCCATAACCAGTCTCTGCAGGATTTCCAACAGCATTAAGATTAAACTCTCCTTCAGCTTCAACATGGGCATAACTGGATTTAATCAATGCAAGATTCATCAGGAGAAGGCCTTCATATTTAACTAGAAATTCAGCACATACGATTGTCATTGGATTTTCAATCTGTTGGAAGTTTGCTTTTGAGTTCCTTCCTACCTCTAGTATGGACCATTCAAAGTTACCTTTTTGAGTTTCCTGCACCCTGGTACCATTCTCAAGTAAAGCAGTATGACCTGTGGAGAAAAATCTCACATCTGATCCTCTTCTGATGAACAATTCTTGTATTCCTGTTATCAGGCCAGCAAACCAGTTCCTTCTGCCTACAAGATTGACCATTTCTGGGAAAAGAACTTCTGAATCTGCATCAATCTTAAAGCTGACAGGTGCATAGGTTTCATTTGAAATGGATTCCACAACTTCCACATATAAAGTCTGTTCTATTCTGATATGTATCAATCCTGTTAAGTCTCCCTGCATTTCATGTACAATGACTTTCACTGGATCAAAAGCCCCTGGGTAATCAATGATTAAGTTGGCATGACCTCTAAGATCCATTTCATCAAATGTATAACTGTCAGTGTCTCCTTCATTTAGAGATGAGTAAAGCCATGGTTCTCCGTGGTCTACATACAGATGTTCATCAATGTCATTATTATCAATCTCAATCCTACGGTGGTTACCAACTCGTACAGTTTCATTTCTCACTTTGTCATATTTGAAATCTTCATAATCTGGTCCTCTATCTGTTTCTTCAATGTACACAGTACCAGCAGCTCCTGATGGCATTCCACCAGTTCCAATTCCACCTCTTGTGTTCAGTAGTCCAGCATATCTTCTGAAAAAATGGATGAATATAGACATGCGACCGCCAGAACCACCACCTCCAGCACCAGAGTCTGAGCCGTTTCCTCCACTCAGGTCGATATGTCCATAACCAGTAAAGTTCATGACATCTAGTATCAGACCACCTCCACTACCTCCACCTGCACTGGTACCCTGACCATTCTCTCCCTGTAATGTTATCTCTCCGTCTACCCACAATACTTCACCAACATACCAAATTAAGTATCCACCGCCACGACCACCTGTTCCACCACTATTTCCACTGCCACCACCGCTGCCTGGATGCAGAGGTTTGTACAATGAATCATGAGGAATGCCACCAGTATCAGGATATGTAGCTCCACCATGGCCACCATGAGCTGCTCCATAATTTGATGTGGCATTTCCAAGACCTGACTGTGCCTCATAACCCATGAAGTCTACACTAAGCATAGCCTTACTTTCAATATTGCCATTATCCGAATAGATAGTGCCATCAGTCATGTACATTTTGCCTTCAAATTTGATGTTCAGTTCAATAACTTGGAGTGTGAGTTCATGTTCAGAAACAGTAAATCGGGCAACAGATCCTCGCTGAATAGTGAAAATTGTTAAACTAATATTTCCTTTTTTAGTCATGTGAACATATGACCCATTTTCTCTCAAGGCAGTCTGAGATGTAGAATAGAACTCAACATCTGCTCCTTCAGCTATCGTTAAATTCTGAACATTGGTGAGTAAACCTCCCATCTCAGATCTTGTTCCTAACATGATAACAGTGGATGGTAACACCACTTCTGTTCCACTTTCTATTTTGTAGCTGACTGGTGCGACAGTGAAACTTGTAGTTGATTCAACATACTCCACATGAATGACCTGTCCTGACAATATATGCATCAGTCCTGTTCTATCACCATCAAATTTGTGGACCACGAGTTCTGATGAGGATCCATACATCTGTAGCACAGCATGATTATTGGCCTCCAGTTCGTCAAATTCAAATTCATTGTTTCCATCATCTGTTGTTATGACTGCTGGTGAGATGAGATTTCGATTGTCATTGTCAATATACAGCTTGACAAATCCATCTTTATAGACAATACCTTCAGATGTGTTAACAAATTCTTTTGATGTCAGTCCAGTGTTGGAGTCTGTAAAGTAGGATGTACCTCCTGCACCATTGCAATCATCATCTGACCTTTTTGAGCCGCTGTAGCCGCCAAAGGTTATGTAATCACCAGTGTACTCCCTGAAATAAGAAATGTGAACCCCAATTCTGCCACCTCCTCCTCCATATCCCCAATAATATCCTGTTCCACCCTCAGCTGTCACCTGACCATGTCCAGAGAAATTAACTGCCTTGACATGGATACTGCCACCACTACCACCTCCACTGTTGCTTCCTGTGGCATTGCCACCAAGACTCATAAGTAATCCATCTAAATGCAGTGATCTTGCCACATTCATATTAATAACTCCTCCTCCTTGTGCTCCATTGGCTCCCCCTCCTTTACTGCCTGGATGTAGTGGCTTCTTGTATGATCCATAACATTCAGCTGAAAATAAAACCATAAATTCTGGGAATTCCACAACATCATTTATATCATCCTGTGCTATTTAGAATATTGCTGTATGAAATCTACTTTGATGTGAAGCCACTGAATGATTTCATATCAGCAGATTTAAAACTTGCTTTCAGTAATTTGAAGCCTTCTTTAATATAGATTTGTTCATTATTGGTTTGCTTGCTCTTGTGTTTTTGTTATGTATTATACTAGATCATGCTTTGTTTGTATTGATTTGTATTGTATTTTGTTTTATGTACCTTTCAGTATTCCACTGATAAATATTTTTAAAGAGGGAGGGTTGAAAACCTGCAACAAGTTACTATAATTTGCCAGCCCAAGTCAGAACCTCATCAACATTTGTATTTGTTTATATCTTAACGTTATTTGTGATTCAGGGAATAAATGTTAATCACAGATCTTTGAAAGTGTCTGTTACATTTAATCACAACTTTTCTAAACTCCAGCTAATTTAGAGCTTGATAAATTGTATGGACACCTGACTACTTTAGAAGATTGTAAGTTGACCTCTAAATGTCTCTTGGGTTTTTGCGTCATTGGTTTGTAGATATATTTCCCATATATTCTTTCATTAATATTTGCAATACTTATTTGTTTAAATGCAGATTATTTCTGGATTTCATTAAAGTAATTTTCTTCTTCAGTGTGTAATGTAATAATATTAATAATTTCAAATTTCATTCATTTTTTCTACATTACTGTAACTTTATAAAATTAGTTTCTTTACATATTACTTACTATTTGAATAATTGGAAGCAACGTTTCCTCCACCAAATCCACCATGACTTCCACCAACACCGACTCCTTCATTATCAATCCAACCATCTCCTGGTCCTTCCCAAACCACACTCCTTCCAGTTGTGTTGATCTTAGCCTCTCCCTCCATATGTAGGCTACCAACCTCAATAGTTATATTGTCAGCATTAATGTGGGAGGCATATCTCATCATTATATCAGACACCTCCAGGTTCAAAACACCATCATGAATAACTTCTGCTTCAGCTTGTAGAGATAACTTTCCAAAAGCAATGGTGCCTAAAACAAAAAGGTTTTTCATTTACAACATAACAAATCTTTAAGTTAAACACCTTTAACATTTTCCAATACTGTGTACAGGGTAATATTAACAGCAGTTTCATTTTTTGTGGTATGAATTCTTCCATTTAACTTTTATTAAACAAGAATTTGAACAAGGTGAACCAACACCTGAAGTGGTAATCATGCGGTTGGGTAATAGTGGGTGGATACCGAAAGGTATTCACAGTTGTCTTTCACTATATAAGTAAAATAAACGACAATAAAGACAACAACACCCATCAATTACCGCATGGTAGGAGTTTATTCTGGTCGACATGTTTCGCCAACAAGTGTGGCGTCTTCAGGACAATATTACATATGAAATCAAACAGTGAAGTACAAATTTTGCAGTTGTGTGGTTCGCTGAAAGTAACGTAACAATAGAGGTTGTTATGACGACGTTATAGATATAAATAGAAAGTGAAAGTAAAATAAAATAAGAATCTAGTTAAGTTAAAAATTCAAATGGTAAGGGATGGCTAGTGGGGTGTTGTCCAATTTGGAAATGAACTGACATTTTATGATCTACTTTCATCATTTCTACAATATTATCACTAGAAACCTCCATGAGAACAACTACACAGACGTGTAAGGATAGCAGCTAACCACATCGTTAGTGACTTTATTGACTAACTTTCATTTTTAACTTAACTAGATTCTTATTTTATTTTACTTTCACTTTCTATTTATATCTATAACGTCGTCATAACAACCTCTATTGTTACGTTACTTTCGGCGAACCACACAACCGCAAAATTTGTACTTCACTGTTTGATTTCATATGTAATATTGTCCTGAAGACGCCACGCTTGTTGGCGAAACATGTCGACCAGAATAAACTCCTACCATGCGGTAATTGATGGGTGTTGTTGTCTTTATTGTCGTTTATTTTATTAAACAAATAAGTTTATTTCACATATAAGTGAAATTAAAATTAATCCAATTCCGTCAAAAAAAAAAAAAAAAAATAGAGGGTGAAAATTTCACAGTTGTCAATTACCCCCTTCTAGTGTAACATATTCTCCTCCTATCCATCTACTATTGGTTGCAGTTTTTGCTATTGTTACAACTCTGCCTTCCTCCAGTGTCAAGTTCATAGCTCCTGCCAAGTGTCCATCTAGGTCAAGGGTCACATCACCTATACCAATCAACCTGAGGTCAGAGGATGTCCACATCTCCCCTCCATTGTCGACAATAAAGTTACTTGGTGGAGATGATCTGAAAACACTGTAGGCATCAAATTCTATATAGAACTGTTGACCATTCTGGATGTGTATGAATCCTGACATATCTCCCAATACCAGTCCAATATTAATAACATCTATATCAATACCTCCATCAGCAATTTCTAACATGGCCTAAAAGATGATAAATCAAAGTTTATATTTCTTATCCCAAATGTTCATGAAAATGTTATTTTAAAACATGTTTAGGCTGGGAGAACATAGTTTATCTATTGGTTGAAATGGGGCTTATAAATAGCTTTCATTATTTGTTAGTATACTTACATCAGTACTTTGTGTTTTTTGTAATTTTGTTATTTGTTTTTGTGCTTAGTACCTTTCTGATAAGAAAGCCGTTTATGACTAAAAAAATAAAATGAATTGCAAAATTACTAGTAGGACATAATGATTATGTGCAAAATTAATTTGAATAAAAGTGTTACAACTGGTAAATTCTTCCAAAAAAGGAACCATAATTTACAGGACTTGTTGCAAAAATATAAATCCCTTATATCAGTTCATAGTATAGTTTAAACCATTCTTTCATTCTTAAAAGATAATGAAGTAACCACTAGATGTCTACTTTGATTAACTGGAGTTATTATTTGACTGTTATAATAAAGTTGATCCTACTTATCATTTTATTCATTATAAATTTTTTGTTCATTTATTTACCATGTTATTCAACATGAGATGATCAAAGTTAAGATCAGCATTATTATCCAAAGTCTCATTATCTGATGCATGTCTGGGATTTCGGTGGTTGACGACAACTGGTTTAGGAACAGCCAACATTCTTCCATCCAGATACAGCTTGCTTTCATAAACAAACTCTGCAATCTCATCCTCAACAAAGACTGTGCCTGGACCTCCACGGTCACCATAGTATGTTCCTGTTTCTCCATAGGCTAGAAGTTCTCCACCATACTCATTGTATGTGGATGTGTGCACAGCAATACGTCCTCCAGATCCGCCTCCACTTGTTGAATGACCTTGACCTCCATTAGCAGATACCAGACCATGACCTCTTAGTTCACCTGATAATGAATTACCATATTAAGTAAATACTTCTAAAAAAAGGAAATTTCATGTTATATTCAACATTTAACTATTCTTAAATGTAAGTATAACAAATAATTAAAACTGAAATAAATGAAAATCAACCTCTGAATTAAAGAAAATTAGGCTAATGGTTTAATATACTAATTTAATGAACCAACTTGTAATTATCCAAACAGATCCACCACTGCCACCTCCACTAAGGTTACTACCATCATCACCATCAGCCTCTATAGATCCATCCAGGACCATCAGGGTTCCCACTGTTATCTTAGCTCTACCACCACCCTTCCCACCTTCTACATTACTGATACCAGCTCCACCCTGGCTCCCTGTTTCTGTTGGCTCATACAAGGAACCATAGCCTGATCCTCCAGATATGGTGACATCAAATACTGAAGGATTAAAAATCTTAAATATACTATACTGTCTATGTTAAAATATATTTCATACAAGTATTGAAAAGAAACAAATGACATGTAAAAACCAACAGTTGTTCTTTTTGCCTCCATGCTTCATACAGAATGAATCTTTGGTCAATGCTTTTATACCCTGATAAAATTACAATAAACTGCTTCGCTGAGCACAGCTGGATACGCCCGCAGAGGTCCAACCCTGAACAGTTAGGGGCAAAAATGGACACAATATTTAAGCTTGTTACAGGTCTGAATTTGGATTGTAATTAAATACTTGACATATTATAGGTTTCTGAATAAATGTAGTCAAAGAACTTGAAATTGGTTATATGAATTGAATTTATATTCAATTAAAGATTTCTTGCTGTTGTGCAATACACTGTGCTGTTGCGCAATACTTAGTAAATTTGTTGTCAGACTATAAACAAACAATAACTTCTCAATGTTATATCAGAAATTTATAAAAAACTAAAGGAGGGTTATCTTAATAGATATAAATCAGTCATCAAAGTTTAATGAAAACTGCTCTAAGCACTTTAAGGATATTGTCCAAAAACTTGAAAATCAACCCTTTTATTATGAATAAAATCTTATAACTCGGAAACGTAAAATCTTAAATTTATAAAAATCAAAAGGGAGCTTACAACAATAGATATAAACAATTTACCAAAGTTTCATAAAAAATGCTGAGAGCCAGGGAGAGGGTTCAAAATGCTAAAAGCATTTTTGAGTTATTGTCCGAAAACTGGAAAATCCCATTTTTGGTAATGAATAAAACCCCATAAATCGGAAACATATAGTCTAAAATTTTAAAAAATCTAAAGGGAGCTCATGTTGATAGAAATAAACAATGCACCAAAGTTTATTGCAAATTGGTGAAATTGTTTTTGAGTTATTGTCCAAAAACTGGAAAATCCCCCCTATTTTAATAAAACCCCATAACTCGGAAATGTAAAATCTAAAATTTATAAAATTCTAAAGGGAGCTTACATCAATACTGAATAGATATAAACAATTCACCAAAGTTTCATAAAAAATGCTGAAAGCATTTTGAGTTATTGTCTGAAAACTGGAAAGTCCCCCTTTTTGTAATGAATAAAACCCCATAAATCGGAAACGCATGGTCTAAAATTTATAAAAATCAAAAGGGAGCTCATGTCAATAGAAATAAACAATTCACCAAAGTTTCTTGCAAATTGGTGAAATTGTTTTTGAGTTATTGTCCACAAACTGGAAAATCACCCCTTTTTAATGAATAAAACCCCAAAACTCGAAAACGGTAAATCCGAAATTTATAAAAAACAAAAGGGAGCTCCCATCAATAGATATAAACAATTCACCAAAGTTTCATGTATATTGGTTAAAGCATTTTTGAGTTAATGTCTGACATGTTGACGACGAATGGACGGACAGACGGTCAACGGTATACCATAATACGTCCCGTAAACGGCCGTATAAAAAGAAGCATTCAATTCTTAATTGAAGAGATCACTGAAGACTATTGAATGTAAATAAGAATGATTGTATTTTCTTACCAGGTTCTGGCGTTGTTGTTATAATAGTCGTAGTTGTTGGAATGGGTGTAGTCCTTGTGGTGAAATTGGCTGGATATGTCAATCCCACTGTTGTTTTAGCAACTGTTTCATTCAATTCAACTTCATCACAAGTGGTAATAGTCTGACAACAGGTAGAATTCATACAGTTATAGGTTATATCATCACACTGGGTTGTATTCATACATTGTGTTATGTTTTCACACTCTGTTCCGTTATCACACACGGTTGTATTTTCACACTGATAGTTGTAAGTACAGACAACTGGCTGTTCACACTCTGTAGAATTCTCACAGCTAGTTGTATTATCACATGATGTTACGGAGGTACAGACTGTTGTAACTGTAGTTGTGGTTGATATTTCCTTCATGGTAGTTATTTCAGGTTCAGTTGTTGTTGGTTCTTCAGTGGTTGTGGTTGTTGTTGTTGGTATTTCAACTGAAATTGTAACAGAAGTATCTTAAAAATATCTCAAAACGACAAACATATTAAAAAATAGTATTTCTTGGAATATTACTGATTGGGTCGTCTCGTACTGACTTCAACAATGAGCAAAACTCCTACTGTATGGTAAGCTATAAAAGGAGCTGGTATTACCAAACCTGAAACATTTCAATCCAAGAGGATTTTGAGACTCTGCAATGAGAATGGAAATTTAATTTCTAATTTGGTCAACCATAAAAAAATTTGATTGATACTAATTTTGAAAAAAATCTTTACATTGATTAAATCAGTCAAACTTGCCATGTGTGAAGCATAATTATAAACTTCTTACAATAAATTTAGATTCATTATTTCTGTTAAAAGAAGTAAAGTATGTAAAAAGTTCAGAAAAGTTTTTAACTTATTTTGCAATTTACATTCATGCAATCAGCATACCTTATTTGGCATGTACAATGAACCAAATAATAGCTATATTCAAACTCAAATTAATAAGATAATAGTAAGTAGAATTTGACACTACTATACCTTCAAAATGACCTGCACATGTTATTTTCAAATTGAAAGTATTAATTACATTTTCTACTTTTTCTTGCACTTCCATCATTAGTTTGCTACCTGTTGGTATTTGCCCCATATCCTACTCATTAATCATACTGATATACTTAAAAAAATTTAATACAAGGCACAAAGGTGATAAGTCAGGTTTTTTTTATAATTTATAAAGTGTAAGTTTCATACCAAATTGATATTTACCAAAACAATATGTTACAATTGACCATGTTACGTAGAATCAGTAAATGAGCACAAAATATTTGCGTATCTGACCTGTACAGATATATTTTGTGTTGAACAACATCAATTCAAATATCATACTAACCACTATGACCTCCCCCTTGTGAACCATGTCCTGCACCAGAATACAGTTGTGTTGGGGAACCAGTTGTTGTAGAAGCCGTGCCTGTACATAGGAATCTAGCCAACGGTTCTACATAAAAGTTTGTGGCTTCTATATCAAATGTATCAGCTCTGAATTCTGCACCATATTTTATATCCTGTTAGAAGACAGCAACATTCATTATTTCCATGTACAGCAATACCAAAGTGCAAGAATCAAGTAAGATATTAATATCTTTATTAGAAGTGTTGTCCATATAGATAATAATTGTATTAGCTCAACTTTAAAAAAAAAAAAACATAGAAGAAAATCTTGAATTTAATAGTAAAAACTGTACTGAAAAATTATGTCACATAAGGCCCTTATTGAATCCTGTCTCTTTTAGCAAAGTACAAAATAATATACATACGATAGTTCCGACAGTCAGTTTAAGTCCCATGGGAGGTGGTAAAACCATTACAGCCTCAGCACCTTCCTCTAATGATGCAAATCTAAACCAACCAGCTACACCTTCAGTCTTTACACCATTCTCTACAAAACTTGTTCTTGCCATCTGTCCAATGCTGATCATTCTACCAGGAACAATTCTCAGATGACGTGTGCCAATAATTTCACCATTCCATCGAAAAGCTATTTCTCCTAGTCCAAGCATGTAGACTAGTCTGGATAGGTAAGCTGTTCCTCCCTCATCCACCCATAAATTAATTGGTGTTTTTGTTAAGGACTGGACATATTCCAAATAAGCAACATGATCCCCTTTCAAATGAAAACGACTTGTTTTGTCACCATAAAATTTATCAACATCAAGTACCCTAGAAACACTGTCCCCATCTTTTAGTTGGAGAGACACATTATTATACATGTACACATCATTGAAGAAGTAGTCAGTTTTCCCTGGCTCATCCAAAATAAAGTAGTGGTCCCATGTGCGCTTGTTGTTGTCTAGATGAAGTTGTTCATAAGTACGACTATTTCTGATATCTTTAATGTAGACCCCACCAGGACCTCCATCTGACATATAGCCTTGCTGACCAGCACCACCCAGAGGATTGTATTTTCCATTAAAGTTGATTTCTGTATCCAGGTTTAGAGAAATCCTACCACCTGAGCCACCACAGCCACCATCACCACCGCCAACACTGATTTTCCCATGTCCTTCCAGATCATTGGATTTGATATAAATACTACCACCACTTCCTCCACCAGTCATAGATTCTCCCTTGGAACCATCTGCCTTAATTTCACCATCTATATACAGTTCTGTGCCCACATTTAGTTCTATTACACCTCCACCTTTTCCACCTACTCCTTCTAGACCATCACCTCCAGCACTACCTCTAGATAATGGTGTATAGAGACCCCCATGATAATCTCCTCCTTCTAGGATTACTGTTTTATCAGTCTGGTTGTATATCCCCCCTCCTGCACTACCATGTCCTCCACCAGTGGCTACATCTGAAGTGTTTACAACAAAGTCAATTCCTCTTCCAGTCATTTCATCAAGGGTATCAAGTGGTCTGTCTGTTGCTGATACAGTAATCTCTGATCCTGCTTCTACATTCAATGTACTTGTATTGATGAATATACTTTCAGCAGAAATGAATGAGTTATATCGACAATCAATACGTCCAACACTGCTAAGCATTGGTACATCAGGAGCATACTTGATACCAGACAAAGCTCTGAGGTCAACAGATCCAAAAGTTGTTTTACCATCATCATCCTTTTTAAGATAAGTTTTACCTTTATCAGTGTACGTCCCGTCTCCTAACATTGCAGTATGACCATTCTCTCCAATGTACACAACTGTCTCAAAGCCACAGATGAAATTAGAAACACCAGTAATTCGTCCAAATATTTGTACTGATCGGTGCTCTGGGTAAGTTGAGAAGGTGACACCAGTGCCATATACATAGGTATTAGTTGGAAGAATTATCTCCCCTTCCTCATCAATAATAATATTGATTCCTGATGTGAAAGCTTGTCGCACCCCTTCTTCATATTCAGCAACATAGCGTTGATTTGCATGAATATGTAAGAGTCCACTGCGGTCGCCAATTAGTTGTCTGACATCTGTAAATATTGCCGTTCCTGTGTCCCTTATGTGTAAACTAGCCTGATTCATAAGTTGGAGTTCTTCGAAATAAAAGTCAGTTTGGGAATCTTCTTCAATGGTGGAATATTTCTCAATAGATCTTCCAGCATTGTCAAGTTGGAGCCTTCTAAAGGCTACACCTTTTCTTTTGTCCTCTAGATATACTGATCCAGCAGCTCCTGTATTCGCAGGAGAATCAGCATCTCCACCAAATGCTAAATAAATCCCTTCAAAGGTCATCTGGGTTGTAGATATAATTGCAATCCTTCCAGCGGATCCTGCACCATACTGACCAGTGCTGCTACCTCCACAGGCAGAATATGTACCGTACCCATCATATGAATATGTCTGTATCCAGATACTACCACCACTACCTCCACCATAATCAGAATCACTACCATTGACAGAGATCTCACCATCGTTGTACACAAGGTATCCAGCTTGAAGATGGATCTTACCTCCTCCTCTACCTCCATTGTCTCGTGGACGACTGCCAGGATTGTTCGGTCTATAAATAGATCCATAGGAATCGCCTGAAGATGTAGAATTTCCTCCTCCTATTCCTGAATGGCCTGCTCCACCATACCCTACAGCCTTACCAAGGTCTGTATCTATAGATTCTGAATCAGGACGATTAGTACTTGCAGCTGACATAGCACCTTCCAATTCTATGTTCAAAGTGGTACATGAAATATCAAAATAATCTGCTGTTATCTTGGACTTGTATTTAACACTCAAGGTTCCAACTAACATTTCAGCTCCAGTATTTTCATCAAAGTCTAAAGTACTACCTGGATCAAGTTGTAGATATCCAAATGAGACCCTTGCAGTAGATGTAGAACCAGAAGATGCAACAATTTTAGCATTGGATCCCATTCTCATATGCCTTTCGGGCCCAAGGATCAAATTAACAACTCCTGTCATGACACCATCTAAATCTAAAGCTGTTGATGCTTTACCTAGTATAGTTGTTGTCTCAGATAAAATAAACTCACCACCATTATAAAGTTCAAGATTAACCTGTAGTTTAGAAATGAGAGAATCTGCTGAAGATCTGTCCAGGGTACCAATCTGATTTTGACGTATTCTGATCAATCCAGTTTCATCTCCAACCACGCTGTTAATGTCAAGAGTTCTCTGATTTTCGTCTTCAATCATTTGAAGCTTGGCATAAGTTTTGGCATTCAAGTAATCAAATGTAATATCATGAATAGATTCACTCAAAGTTAAGTAAAAGTTCAGCTGTTCATTCTCATTATCTACTGTCAATGTTTCTACAAGATTTTTACCACTGCCAACACCAGTGTAAATTGACCCAGGTCCTCCTCGTCCATTTGTTGCTGGAGATTCCCCTCCCTTTGCCCGGTAGGTACCTTCACTCGAGAATTCATCATTTTCTGTATAAACTGCAATTCTACCACCACTACCACCACCTGCAGCAGAGTTAGTTGTGTCCCCTCCATTACTTTCTATCAATCCAAAACCTCTGAACAAGGAGATAGTGTTGACATAGATACTTCCACCACTTCCTCCTCCTCCAGTGTCAGAACTACCACCATTGGCACGGAGGTTGCCATTCAGGGTAAATACATCAGCTTGAATGGAGATATAACCAGCACCTTTACCCCCATTCCCACCATTGCTTCCTGGTAGAAGTGTTTGGTAGATAGAACCATAAGGTGTAGCTGCTTGATCTATTGTTATATTTTCTCCAACTCCACCTTCACTGGCATAAGCTCCACCATTGAGACCTGTCCCATGAGCTGTTGCTGGAACTGCATCATCACTTAATCCTACTCCTCCAACATTGATCTCAGCTCCCCTCTCCATTGTCAAGGTACCAACTTTCAAATCAGCAAAATCTGCATAAAATACAATGTTCCTTTTAATCTCAACAGTTACTGCAACCAGCTGTAATCCAACAGATGGACTGAAAGTTGATCCAGCCTTCAATGCAAGATAGTTTAGTGTGTATACTCCTGCTTCAGAAGTACTGATGTCATAACCACTATCTGTGTAACTGGCTGTCATTGAGGTGGGATTCAGGATCACCTCTCCTCCACTTTCTACAACCAGGTTGTTGAAGGTAACCATGCCACTAAGGTCAACAGTACAGCCACTCACTGTCATATTATTCGGCACATGAAGAGTGGCATGTTCTCCCAAGTTAATATTGATCTTTGTTATAAAGTTAGTCAGGACACCATCCACTACTTCAGCTTTCAGAATCTGTTGATGTTTAACATACAGTGTGGCAGTGTTGTCACCATCAATCTTATCCAGGGTTAGTTTTGTCGTTTCTCCCTCTATATCACTGTGAGAGTATCCTGTAAAAAAACTTAATATGTACTTCTGAATCCGTTTTTTTTTCTCTTTACTGAAATATATAGACAGACAAACAAAGTCAAAACTAAATGTCAAGACCCATGAAAATAATATTTTGCTTTAACCTGGTATGTATGACAAATAATATTTTTGATATCTTTGTTGTTATTCAGGACAAAAGAACAAGGGAGTCATCATTTTTATATCTGGGGAAATTTGGAAATCATGTTGATTCAAAAGTTTGCTGGTTTTAATAACACAAAATGGGAAGACATTTTTGAAAAGAGTCCTTGATGGACATTGAAAATACAACATCCCTTCTTTGCTAAATTGTGGGCATTATAATCTTTAAAGATTTGATACTGTAAGGAGTTATTTCAAGTATTGCATTCCTTATATCTTTTAGAATATGTTCACCAATAAGTGTCTGAATAGACAACTTTTTAACCTAAATTGAACTGAATATTACTGGACTAATAAATAGGTCTGAATTTCTAGCTCATGTCTAAAGGAAGTTTGGGAACATTGACCATAAATAAGAAGTTTAACTACTTTGCCAAAATGACATTTAAATTCAGCTATTTTTAAATTTTATAAAAAAGTAAAGGTTACTAAGCTTGTTTACAAGCTAAATGTTGTGCAAAAATTCCAATATTTTGTAAGATATGTACACAGAAAAGTGTAAGGTGAATAGACACAAAATTAAATGATTTAATTTTGATATAAAATATGAAAAGACAGTTATTATAAAAATGTGCAAAATATATCCGTTTTGAATTTTCCTTGTAGTTCGGTATTTTGGCTATTTTATTTTTTTTATAGAACCCCTGAAGTGGATACCTAGCAAGGTTGTTTCTATGAAACACATAAAATGTAGAGACTGAGTTGTGGTTATAAGAGTCTTTATATTTTTTTTTAAATGGGGTTATCATACTCATGCTCTACCCACAAAACAAAAAAATAGATAAATTTGCAATATTCATTCTAAACTATAGCTGAACTGTTCTTGATCAAAAGGAATAAAGGATATATCATACTCAGTCAAAAACAGTTCCGATTTGGTAAAAAATTGTTAAACACTGCTCAGTACCGTTCAGATGCAGGTTAATGCAAATTAGGTAAAAGTAATACTTAAAATTTAGGACAGCTATGTCATATACTGGTTGATTCAGATGATGATTCTTTCATATGCAAAAAATTACAGGTTGTTAAATCAAATAATTTTGACTTTTTTAATTTTTTGTGTCAAAAATAAGTCTCATATGAGTATGAAAGAATGTCTATTTTCTTTTCATTAAAATTTCAAAAGAAAAAAATTAATTCTTAAGTTAATTTTCTATATAATGTGAGAGCAATATTTTCATTACAAATTTGGATGCAGAAAAATATCTCAGAACAAACATCAATTTTGAATGCTTTAGATTTGTATCAATTTCACATTTCTGTAGAGTAACTTTTACGCCTTTATACCTTTAAGTGATATAATGTGATAATAGAAATCATTGTTTCCTCCAGATATCCATGTCTGTGTTTCATCCTGTCCAGATTCATCTGTGCTGCCAATAACCCACAGTCTGTCTTTCTCATTTATTCCTGTGCCATCATTTATGTAGATGGTACCTGCTCCAGCCTTTACAGTGTTCAAAGTGTCGTCATTGCCTCCTCCATAAGCAGTTATTGTTCCATCAAAGTCAAGGCTAAAAAAATAAACAGATATTGCAACTCATACATGATTTGAGTGAGATATTTAATATTAATTCTTTCGTATGTGTTTCTAATATAAAAATTCACAATTCGGGCAACATTATTCCTTTTATAAATGATAACTACATTTATGGAAGATTTTCTAGATATTAGAAGTTTTACATTAAAGAAATGCTTTTGGAAGGCACAACCATGGATTTAAAAAACAACAATATATATCCTTGCCTATCACCTTCTTGCAAGTTTAATATCCTAAACATTTTCTATGTCTATTATTGAAGGGAGCTTTACTAGTCAAGGAAATGTAAGTCCCAAAATGAAAACACTTTTTATGAGCAAATGAAAACTCTTTAATGTAAAAGTCTTATTCAATGCCTTCCCACTTTTGCAAATGAGCAGTTTAATTCATTTTTATATTATTAAAATAAGCTCCAATTACAAGAACAGGAAAGAGTTAATATTCAAAATATTCAAAATGTAATGCTTTACATATTCAACTTTTTTTTACAGTACTAAAAATATGCAGAGTTTACATACCTTTCTGTTAGAGTAAGTTTTATCCTTCCTCCTGCTCCACCTCCTCCCTTGCCAGAACCTTGACCTCCATTGGCAGAGACAGTGCCTTCACCAAGTAAGCTGCGACTACTTAAAACAATAGTGCCACCACTGCCACCACCAGCTCCTTCTCCTGTGGCATCAGAACCATCAACCTTGATGATACCTAGAACAGCATTCATATACATGTATTTCTGAAGTCAGGAATCTGTTTACAAATATTCTTATGAATGAAAAATTCTTTTTAGATAATTACTTTTTAAATGTGACAGCCTCTCAATCAAACTTACCAGTACTTTAAATGAAATAGATTAAATAATGGTAAAGTTACTTGACTCAAGCTGATGCACTTTTGTAATTTTGAAGACACCAGAAATAGAGAAAAAGAAAAAAAAATCGAAAGGGTTCCACAGAACCCTGTGTCTCCACTGCAATTATTGCTGTCAGTGTAAAAGTGTAAAGTTTCTTTCCCAAAACTATGTATATTTCTAAGTAAAATGCAGAAAAATATTCAAACGTTTTCCTTCAGAAGCTATTTCTTGATCATGAAGAAGCTTCTGTTTCCTAACATTCCATAAAGGTTTAACAAAGTTATTGATGTCTAAAAAAATTTTAACAACAGACTTTACGGAAATATTTACTGCAAAAAACTAAATCCATCTATCAGTAAGATACTGAAAAAGGAACAAAATACATTTCAAAATCTTGCTTCAGATGTTATCTCTTTATCATAAAAAAAAATTCTGTCAAAGTTTCATAAAATTCTATGAAGGCTTTCATAAAATTCTATGAAAGCTTTACAAAATTATTGATGTCTAAAAATATTAAACCCCAGTCTGTATCTAAATGTTAACTAGATAAAATTCCAGTCAGTTTACCAGTTAAATATGAAAAAATAACATAAAATATTTTGTGTGTTGGTGTCATTGGCTTATTCCTCCCTGTAATTCAAGATAGTATTTATGAATTTCAGCTTATCACCATATTTTTACATGGCACCATCATTATGAAAGGTACCACTAGTGGAGCAGGAACCTCTTACCCTTCCAGCGAACCTGAGTTCACATCATTGGTTTTTAGCGGGGTTCTTGTTGCTCAATCTTGGTTTTCTGTGTTGTGTTTTATAGAATGACAATTGTCTTTTTTTTCTTTTGGCTATGGTGTTGTCTTTCATAAACATTTAGTTTTTGATTAGCCCATTGGTATCTTCTGGCTTTAATCACAACAATTCTTCATTTATGGATATCTTAATTTACCAAACATACCATCATTTGTAATGTCATAATATGTGTCAATCTGTAGATAACCTCCTCCAGGGCCACCTGTTCCATTGACAGAGTTACCTCCTCCACTTCCGGTCTCTGTAGGGTTCCTGGTCTGATCATAGGCATCACCTCCTGTGTAGTCAGATGTTGGAGCGCCACCTGGGGCACCATGGCCTGCTCCCGTTGCTAGGTTTTCACCACTTATCTGTTAGGTAAAAATGAAGAAAAGTTTCTTTTGAAACAAAATGTAATGTCTCTTTATCTAATAATTCAGCTATCAAATATGGATTACATTTCAATGTAAAGGAAATAATTTGCAAATTTGTAATTAAAGAAGGCAATTAATGTGTTTTTTCATCATTCATGCCAAATTTATAACATTTTGTTACATATAGATAATTCAAGAGTCAACCTTCTCCCTTATACCAGTCCTTGCTTAGTAGCATATCCTTGACCAGATAGATCTATTGTTGAACCAGGATTATGTGTGATATGGCTACTTACATTTCCCCCTCCATACTTACCATAACTTAGCTCTAAAGCATATCCTCCACCAGATAGGTCTATTGTAGAACCAGTATTATAATTGTTTACACCTTCATCTTTTGGTCTTTGGTGGATAGTTGTCTCATTGGCAATCATACCACAACTCCTTATTTTTATATTATGTATGATTTGGTATCTTTCCTTCTCCCCATAACCAGAACCCTGCTCAACAGAATATCTTATACCAGACAACTCAATTGTAGAACCAGGATTATGCATAATCTAGTAATTTACCTTCTCCCCTTTACCAGTGCCCTGTTCAGCAACATATCCTCCACCAGATAGATCTATTGTAGAACCAGGATTAAGTTTAATCTTGTTACTCTGTAGTATAATCTTCTCTCCCTTCAGTGTAGAGCCATAGTGTAATTCTAAGATAGTCAGTTGTAAAGGTTTTCCTGTTGTCTCAAATGTCACAGTAGCATAGTCTTTGATTGTAAAGTTAGCAAATTTGTAAGCACCTGCTTCCTGAGCCTCAAATACACCTTCTTTGTATGTAGCTGTCCTGGTTTCTGCTGACAGTACAGCTGTTTGCCCAGATGCAATAATCAAATTCTGAATGTTTGTTAGCGTTCCTTTGTAAAAGAATAAACTTTAAGGTAAATTCATTTGAACAACGTTTAAAACTTTATTGTATTCAGGAATATATGTAAGTGTTATTTACACAGAATGAGACATCCATCATTTTTTAATTTTCTAATATTCCATATAAGTAAACTTTTACCTGTCGATTTATCATTTCTGTCCACCTTAGATATCTCCTTTTCCTGGTGGTAGTCCAAATGTCCGATCCTTCATTCTGGTCAATCCACTTATCAAACCAACTAATTGATTTGTTGTAAAATTCTTTCTTGTCATGAATATGTATGAAATATTTGCCACTGGACATTAAGTAAACAACAATCAATCAATCAATCAATCAATCAATTTGTTTTGTTTGTGATCTTAAAAGAATAAAATTAATAACAAACAAAACTATTAATATTGCAAATTTTCACTTTACATAATGAAACTTTAATCACTGAGATTAACTGAATATTATAAACATCCTTACATACCTTTGAGCTGATTATCTGATCCTAGAAGTTCTACTTTCTTGGGAAGTCTAGTCTCACCAAGCTGTTGTAGATGTAGACTACATGTCAGTTTACTATACTCTGATGATACATCCGCACTGAATATTGTGTTGTCATTGACCACAAGGAAAGAATCAGATCCACATGTTAACTCATTGGCAATAAAGTGTAGATTTTCTGTCAGGATACTAACAGTAGCAGAATCACCAACTTCTAACTCATTTACAGTGACCTCTGTTTGCCCAGGGAGGTCAATGATGGTATTGGCAATAGAACTTCCTTCAATACCTGCATTATCTGACAATAATTTACGGTATGCCAAATTATTGATGAGGTAATTCAGGTAAGCTGTTCCAGCACCACCTGCTTCTGATGAATTAGAATTACCTCCCTTTAGAGTGTAGTCCCCTGTAAAGTTGTAATCTCCAGTTACATCTAGGTACATTCTTCCACCACCACCGCCGCCAGCACTATCGGTTGCATTACCACCTATTACAGATATAGAACCAGATCCGGTAAAATCCACTGTATCTATGTATACTGATCCACCACTTCCTCCTCCACCATTGCCTTCACCATTGTTACCATGGGAAGTTATCATTCCACTCAAGGTCAACAACTCAGTAACCTTGAATTTGACAATACCTCCACCACTTCCTCCAGTTCCTCCAGAAGTTGTGTCCCCACCAGCTGAACCAAAGTTGACAGCAGTGAATACTGATCCAACATAGTCAACTAAAGATTCTGATCCAGAGCTTGATGCTCCCCCAGAACCACCATGACTTCCACCAGAACCATCCTGTCCTACACCAGATCCAGGATCAGAACTACTACCATCAACACCAATCAGCCCATCAAAGGCTACTTGCACAGTAGGTGCCTTGATATACACATTTCTTCCTTTAATTTCACCTCCATATTTGACGTTCAGTTCATCCAAGACTTCAATTGTGTACTGGTTTTTAGAGTCAGTGGAAACTTCCATGAGACCATCTGTAGTGACATCTAGGTTTGAAAGAGAGAAGGATCCAGCATCTGAAAGTTGTGCTGTAGTTAGACCACTCCTGGCAGTAGAACTGAATGACACTTTACCATAAGAAGCCACAATGAGATTTCGGACAGCTATGGCATTTCCCTTCACATCCAAGTTTATCTCCTCATCATCTGTCTCATCCTCTAGTTGCAGTCGTGCAGGAAGCGTGGCATATCCATTTTCTTCAATCAGAATCTTACATGGCAGAACAAAAGCATACTGTGTACCATAACTGGTTGCTATGATAAAATACTGATTTTCCTGTACAGTAAGCAGCCCTGTATAATCTCCCTCTATCAATGATATCTCAAAGTTAGACCCACCACTGGAATCAAATACTACTTTGGCCTTTCCATTCAAATCTATTGTTGACACTGTTGTGACACCAGTAATGACTGTTTGGGAATCAGTAGAAAGTCCATTATTGTTAATTTGTAGTTCTGTTTTTGAAGCACCACCAGAAAGTTCAGATACCAAATAAACAGAGCCTGCAGCTCCATTGGAAGTCCCACCTTCACCACCCAAAGAAGACAGGAATCCATAAAAGGATGAAATAGCCTTTACATCTAAAGCCATGCGCCCTCCTCCACCACCACCTTTATTTGCACTGGTACCTCCATTGACAGAGATGGTACCATGACCTTCTAGACTGTCTCCAGTAATTTTGATGCTGCCACCACTTCCACCTCCGGTGTTTTCACCATTCTCCCCTTCAGCTGTTAGAAATCCATCTATGGAAAGAGTTGTAGCTTGGATGGAAATGACTCCACCACCATGAACAGAAGTACAACCACTGCCAGGATCTACAGGTGATGTGGTGGAGCCATATGTTGTTCCAGTATTACCTCCTCCTTCTCCACCATAACTAGCACCTTTCTCAGAGTTACCTGCCCCTGATCCCGTGGTTGAGCCTCCATGAGATACTGACAACACAGCATCTTCTTCTATTATACAATCAGTTGTCACTAAATTGAATGATTTAGAAGTTGTTGTGATTTCAATTTCTGATTTTATCTTCATGTGGAATTTTGTTAATGACAGGCTAATGCTGTCTTCATTTAATATTAGTTTTGCAGCATATCCTAGAGTAAGTGACTGAATCCCACTGTATGTGGCTCCTGATTTTATTTCCATCTCGGTACTTTCTTGTAATTCTAAGGAGGTGGCATCCAATGTTCCTGTTGAAGATATAGTGACAGAGCCACGATCCCAAACACTGAAATCTGACACTGTCAATGTTCCCTTCAGATCTAAGGTAGGACTTTCACCAGTCAAATCAAAGTCTGATGTAACTTCTAGTGTGGCCCCTTCATCAACAACAAAATTACACTGACATCCATGGTTCAGATCATCAAATGCTGATATAGTCATCTTAGCATTGTTTGTAATAGTAACAGTACCAGTTCCATCAGATGACAATTTAGCCACTGTAAGAGCTGTTTCTAGTGATAATGATGCACTGTTTGTAACCTGAAGTTCATTTAAAGAGGTTGGTAATGATATTCCACTAATTAGTTCTGTAGATCCAGCATGATCTAACACTAAGACTGTTGTTCCTGATTTGTCCAAGTAAACAGTTCCTGAAAAATCAAGTTATTTAATTACTTGGTATTCAACTTTTACCTTAGACACAAAAATGTATAATCAAATGTGTATAAACTTTCATGAATTTCCTTTTACTTCATTAATTACTCATTGATTTGTTACAATAGAACTTTTACTTACTAATTTAAATGACCTAATTCAAGATTTTCATTGATAAACATAACATTTCGCTGCATTTCTATAATATATCTGCCAAAGAAATGTTCCCCATCCTCAACCAAAATATAACTGCAACAAGTCTTGACAGTAAAATATTTTTATTACCTTTTTTTTGTATTTTCTTAGAATGTTCTGAATTGACCTTTTGAAATTGGAACTTGTAAACTGGCAATAAAAAAATATATGCAAAAATGAAACAACTACAAGGAACTATTTGCTTCATCTTATTTTTGCATAATTGGATTTAAAACTTCCTTGTTTACAATATCCATCTGACAAATCAATTTACCTGGTGATCCATTTCCATCAGCTGATTCAACAGAAATCAATCCATCACTAAAGTCATAGGACGAGGATGAAATAACAGATATTCTTCCACCTCCTCCTCCACCAGAGCCTCCCTGAGCAAGTATTTTTCCAGTCCCTGTCAATGTTTTACACTGTATCAGTATACTCCCACCGCTGCCACCAGATGTTCCAGATGCACCATTCATGTTGACTTCACCATTCAGAGTGAAAGTATTTGTAACAGAGAACTCAATCTGACCACCACCTGCTACAGAGCCATGTCCATTACTGCCATAGTGTCTGGGATACACAATACTACCATAAAGTTTGTTTGGATTATCTTTTCCTGATCCACCATAACTGGCCCCATTACTGCTACTAGCTGCAGCACCTGGGCCACCTGAGGTGTATCCTTTGCCTTCACCAGTAATTTTTCCTCCAAACATTACGTTAATTGAGCCACTATTGATTTTCGTCAGATTTCTATAAGTATCCCCTTTTATAGTGAGAGTTCCTCCAGCTTCAATTGTAATACTGGTGAATGTGTGTGTTCCAGGATTCAGCTCACATGAAGAACCTTTGTAGATATACATCTTTTGACCTGAACATGTGGCAGTGCTTGTTTGACTGATCTGGTTTGTTTTATAACCACTCTTCAGTGAAATGTAGGTAGAAGGGAATGAATAACTACCTGATATGTTATAATTGGTTAATTCTAGTTGTATCTGTTGAGTAGGACGGATACATGTACTTGTGTGTTCTATGTTACCACCATCGTCAATAACTAGATCTGTAAGTGTTATTTTGCTGGTTGTTGTAGTGTCCACATAAGAGATGCCTGTGTTGGCTGGTGAACCTATTTTATAAATGCCACCATTCCGAATAACTACAATTTTTGTTTTTGAATTAACTGTTCCACACAGCTCCAAGTAGTAATCTTTTTCCACATTAACTGTTGCTGGAAGTTCAATTTTCCCGTAACTACTGACATACACATTAGCTCTGAGAAACAACTCTGTCAATGCATTTGGATATCTTGTGGATAAGTACACCTCTGTATAGCTGTCCACTGTAAAGTTAGAGTCAGTTGTATCTGTGGTGATAGTACCAACTGTTGCCCCAAGGGATTCTCCTACAGTTAATCTCTTACCAAAGGAGACTCTGGAAGCAGTTTTGATATTAATTTCGTCCACCTGTACAGTTGATTCTGTTGTTGGTACAGGTAGTCTGGTAAAAGTATCAGTTGTGTGAATGTTTTTCACTATCACCTGCAAATATGTATTCCAGTTAGTTTTTCAGATATTTACATGGTAAATTTCTCTGTTTGAAACATGTTTTTAAAATTGAGAATGGGAGAGGGGAATGTGTCAAAGAGACAACAACCCGACCATAGAGCAGACAACAGCCGAAGACCACCAATGGGTCTTCAATGCAGCGAGTAACTCCTGCACCCAGAGGTGTCCTTCAGCTGGCCCCTAAACAAATATGTATACTAGTTCAGTGATAATGGACGTCATACTAAACTCCAAATTATACACAAGAAACTAAAATTAAAAATGATACCAGATTAACAAAGGCCAGAGGCTCCTGACTTGGGACAGGCGCAAAAATGCGGCGGGGTTAAACATGTTTTTTGAGATCTCAACCCTCCCCTATACCTCTAGCAAATGTAGAAAAAACAAATGCACAACAGTACGCACAGTAAAACTCAGCTAAAGAGAAGTCCTAGTCTGATGTCAGAATAGGAAACAAAAGAAATAAACAAAATGACAATAATACATAAATAACAACAGACTACTAGCAGTTACTGACATGCCAGCTCCAGACCTCAATTAAACTGATTGAAAGATTATGTCTTCATCATATGAATTTCAGGCACAATCCCTCCTGTTAGGGGTTTAGTATTATACCATCATAAAATATATGAGAAGAACATAACCCGTGTCATGCCAACAACTGGTTTTAGAATAAATATGTTTAATTCCGATGCAAAGACCCTATAAGTGAATCAATATTAAAGCCAAAATATGCAATCTTTAATGACCTGACAACAGAATCGTAACTATATCCCTTCTTAATAAGTCTGTTTAAAGGTTTTGTTAGCTTTTGAGGTGAATACTGACATTTTTGTGCTTTGTAAAGAATATTACCATAAAAGATTGGATGTGAAATACCCGAACGTATAAGATGTCTGCATGTTGAGTTATATTTACGAATGATGTCCTTATACCGATGATAAAATTTAGTAAATGTTTTGATTAGTTTATGATATCGAAAACTCTGGTGTAATAATTTTTCAGTAATACATAAATTTCTCTCGCTAAAATCTAATAAGTTGTTACATACACGAGAGAATCGTACAAGTTGAGATATATAAACACCATAAGATGGTGACAAGGGAACGTCACCATCTAATAAACAGCTGCGCCATGAGCGCATGATACGCCCGTCGTCTTGTGTGTGAATTTTTATGCAATAAGCATAAATAGTTTCTGACATACGGCGTGACATGAAAAAAAAAAAAACTTTTTTTTTACAAAAGTCTCAATATCTCTAAAATAAAATTTTGAATCAAAACCAAAAAGTATACAGATCTTAAGATTAATATAACTAAGAAGTGTGTAAAATTTAAAGCAATAATCATAAATCGTTTTTGAGATACGGCACAACATGTGAAAACCCCCTCCCCCTTTTTTTACAAAATACTCAATAACTCAAAAATAAAATTTTGAATCATCACCAAAAAGTATACAGATCTTCAGGTTAATATAACTAAGAAGTTTGTAAAATTTTAAGCAATAATCATAAACTGTTTTTGAGATACGGCGCGACATGTGAAAAAAAACACACACCTGTTTTAGTTACTAAGTCCCGTAACTCAAAAAGTTTTAATTTTATTTTCACCAAAAAGTATACAGATCGTTTGACCATCATAAGAAACAACTATGTTAAGTTTCATGAAATTTGGATAAGTCATTCTCAAGTTACGGTGCGACATGTTTACGCCGGACAGACAGACGGACGGACAGACGGATGGACGCTGGACATTTGTTTACCATAATACGTCCCGTCAAAAATTTGACGGGTGTATAAAAATGGATAATTAATGATAAGAAATGAAAAATCATCTCTTTTATCATAAATTTTTGTATTAAGCTTCCCGTTAATGATATAGATATCAAGATCAAGGAAAGGACAGTGGTCATTGTTAGTATTAGCTTTATTTAAAGTAAGTTCAACAGGATAAATTTCTTTAGTATACATACTGAAGTCTTCATTATTGAGAGCCAATATATCATCCAAATATCTAAAAGTATTGTTACATTTTTGTATCAGATGTTGTTTCGATGGGTCTATGCTGATTTTAGTCATAAATTGTAACTCATAACAATACAAAAACAGGTCCGCAATAAGTGGTGCACAGTTAGTCCCCATTGGAATTCCGATAACTTGACGATATACGTAATCTCCAAAGCGAACAAAAATGTTATCAAGTAAAAATTCAAGGGCAGATATAGTATCAAAGCATGTCCAATTGACATAGTTCTTTTGTTTGTTGCTACTAAAAAATGACCTAAAAGAGTTTGAACATATGTATTCGCATTCCGACTTTTTAAATGCCCATTTAATTAGGTGTGTCAATTTTTTCTTAATAAGAATATGAGGCAAAGTGGTATATAGGGTAGAAAAATCTAAACTTTGAACCGATTCAAAATCACCAATATATGCATGCAATTTATCAAGTACTTCCAACGAGTTTTTGACACTCCAAAAGTAGTTAATTCCACTATTTTTAAAGGCCTTATTTGAACAAGGCCTTTTTGCATTTAATTCATTTCTTGTATAAAAATTAATTTCCCACTATTTTATTCTGAAGATTTTTCTTCCTTAAAACTTATATTTTACTGTGAAACTTATTTTTACTATTTCTTTTTGATAGCAGGATATGTAACACCTATTGGTATTATTGACTATATATATTCACTTAAGAAAGAAGAATCAAGGGTGCTACTTGACATTTTGAGAATAACACATGACTTTAAATTACTCCACTTGTACTATAGCCCAAATGTGAACATTCTTACTGTATTGTTTTAATCATATATTGTTTTGAATACCTTTCTATTGGGACTGATTCCATTAACATCTTGACCAAGGTAGACAACTCCAGCACCACCATCCTCCCCACCTCCATTACCTGCACCACCGTAGGAAGTAAGTTCACCATAGATGTTACCAGAAACATAAACAAGGGAGATTAATCCTCCCCCTCCTCCTCCTCCATTATAACCATTGCCTCCATTCACATTGATGGCTCCTGAAGACAAGATAATAAAAAAATCAAATATGTGCTATCTATGATATTGAGGAAATTAATCTTAAAATTTCCTTACAAAGAATGTTGAAATGGTATTTACTCTATATTTTTTAAAACAGAATGCTCTGCAATAAAAATTTGATACCAATTAATTTTTTTATGACAATAATTTTCTGAGGGATGACATGCTGTATTCAACTATTTATGTTTTGATTTATAAATTCAATACACCTGTAGTCTAATTTCTTTTTTTAATCAAATCATTATAAAGCCTGGTTAAATGTATTAGATATGTAATATATTAAATAAGACAAAAATGAGGAAGAAAAAGAAACATACCTGTAACATCAGCAGAATCAGCTGTTATCCAGATACTTCCTCCAGAGCCTCCACCACTGTTTGCCGAGGCATTCTCTCCTCTAAATAAAAAGCAATGTGTTTAGTCTATATTGTATACATGTATTAGAAAAAAGAACATATAGGATAGATACATAACATAATATTTCTCATTAATTAATATATTGGGCCCCAGTAGGGTACCACCCTTAGGTTGCAATAGGATGTCTCTTAAAAATGCCTCAAGTCACCAGGTCGCTTATAAGCAAATTTAGGTAAGTCTAATAAGTAAGATTTTGAACATTTTTAAAAGGTCATAGGTCACAGATCGTTTTAAATGAGACATCAATGTTGCAAGGTCACTGGTCAGATTTTACCCTGTTGGAGCAAAATATATCAAAAGAACAGATTTGATTGATTATTCAAAAATATATCTAAATCATAGTGAAACTTTCAATCATCATTAAAAAAAAATGCTCTTTTCTTTTTCTTCCATAGCACCCTACAGTTCATCATTCAAATTCTTTGATTTAAACATTTCTCACAATTAATTTTCAGTATTAATATAAGTATCTATACGGGTAAATTTTCACTGAGAATAATTGTTCATCCGTTCTTAACTTGTAGTAACTGATTGATCATCATACCATGATTAGAAAGGTTTTACTGCAGCTTTATCCAAATTTATTTTTTCGTTCTTTAATTAAAACTTTTTATAAATTTCTTAGAGAAATGTATTGCTTGCAATGCAATTTTCCTTATAATTACTATTTTCAAGGGGCATAACTTTTTGAAAAATAGTTGATTGGCACTGAATTTCGAACTTGTCAGCGACATTGCTGATATAAACCTTTGATATAAATTTGATAAAAGTATTGCAAGAATTGTACATTTGAAAGTGCTAACAATGCAATTTTCCATATAATGAATATTTCCTAGGGGCATTCCTCTTTGAAAAATAGTAGATCAGCACCGATTTTTCGAAATTGTTCGAATTCCATAAGATGAATAATTGTTATAGCTGTAATCATAATAACATACCTGGCATTCAACTCTCCTTTATGAGTGAGCGTTGTAGCTGTAATTTTGAGTACACCCCCACCAGCTGTTGACTGACCACCTTTACCATGTAAGGTTGGTTGTGTGAAATGATCATAGGCATCAATCAGACTCATGTTGGTTCCTATGATACCTCCTTCACCTCCATGGCCAGCTCCAGAATAATCTGAAAAGAAAACCAGTCAACATCTTAAATATTGATTGATTGATTGTTTGGTGTTAAACGCCACTATCATCACTATTGTGGCACTCAGTTTTTATTGGTGGAGGAAGCATGAGTGCCTGGGCAGGACCACGACTTTCAGTAGGAAAACTGACAATCCTAGTCAATTAAGATTGGAGTCAAGCACACCTGCCACTTGCAGGATTTTAACTCACAACCTCAGAGTTGACAGTCTAGTGTTACAGAACATTTTAAATACTAATAAACTCATTCATTAAACTTTATTTAGTACTGTTCTTTTATTTCTTAGAAATTAAATGGAACTTAACTTGAAAAAATGATATATACTTACAAACTGTATAATGAGAATTATATCTAAACTGTCTCCTTCAACTTATTCACTAATTGTATGCATATTTTAAATTTCATACAGGCACAAAAACAATGTGGATAGCTTACCAGTTTAATAAGTTGACAGAATTGTCCAATTTTTATTTTGAAATCAGAAACCTAAGAGAACATTCATATAAAATTTGGTGCAGATTATATCTACCGTACTAATGTTTGAAAAGATTTTTGAATGCATAATGTAATACATACTAAATAAATGTGACAGAAGTATAATTGAGCATGGGCAATGAATGTAAAATTTGAAGGGAACTGAATTTGGAACATCACAGAATATAAAATCACTGATTTACCCAGTATTTTCTATCTTTTTTCTGGGTTCATGTTGTTTAGTATGCAGAAATATCTGACATAACTTTGTGCCATACATCCCGAGTATAATTGTTCTCAAGTTTGGTTTTATCAGCCAAGAAGTTTCAAAAGAAAATACTTTTTAAACAGTTAACAGGCAGAAGTCTGATGCCTAGTAACTACACCAACTTAAAAATCAAATTTTTGCTAATTAATATTTTACAATGAAACCATGAAGTTTGGTCAATGGTATAATCATTTCATTGTTATGCTATTTACAGTAAATGAAAGGTATAGTTTTCAGTACTTGAAAAAGAGCCAAATGAATCATCCCTATATAAAAAATCTGGATGCATTATCTTTGTTTTTATTTTTTCTATTGTTTTTATTCAGAACAATTACCATTTCCGCCATCCCCAGCATCCCCACGGTGATCAAGGTTTATAATTCCTCCTTCTTCAGTTTCAACCTCTGTTGCTGTAACTGTCAGTTTTTTGGCAATTATCTCCCCTGAGGCACCAATCAACAGTTTATACAAGTCCATATTGTATTCCACATCTGCATCTACCAAGTAAAGTGTACTGTTCTGCTTCACGTTTAAGTTCTGCATGGAGTAAGTAGAAGTAGTTGTATGTGTTTGGCTTGTTTTTGATAGAGTCAAATTGGTTTTAAACAAGGTCAGGTCCTGTAAACCTCCTAAGGTTCCATCTATATAGTTTACAGTGCTAAACCACTTGACTGTGGATGGTAATGTCAGTATTCCATTTTCATAGACTTTGGCATGTGCTGGGAAATATAAAGATACTTGTCTGATGGTTATTTCACGGTTTGCTCCAACAAGTAACGTTCCAATTTTGTTTGGTTCCTTTACAAAGTCATCATTTCCAGAGAAACTGAGGGCTAACAGAGAGTTGATTGCACTGCTGTCAGCACTGGGTTCTAGTGCCAGGTGAGCACCATTCAGCAGCTGCAACTGATCCACCTGTATTGAATTACTGTCAGTAAATGTTATCCAAGTTCTGCTGCTTTCATTGGCTTTTATTGTGTCTAACTCAAGGTCTGCTGAATAGTCCTACAATCAAGATTCAACTTTTATATTTCATAAACCACAGTTCACATTTTTTTCCAATTTACTTTGAAAATGTGTTTTTTTTAATTCCTATACATTTTCATGTAGTAATCAATACAGTCATCAATTTGTGTTGTTGTTACATCACATTTTCATTTCCCTTGAACCTAAACCATTTACAATTAAGGCGTTATTATTTTTCAGTACTGTGACAAGATTCCTTGCCAGGTAACTTTGATTGGCAGTTACAAGTGAGGATAAAAAAGTTCAAAACTGGATTGAATAAAAACAGCTAGCTAAATTTCCTTCTGTCGGCTATTTTTATTACTTACTCCTACATTATGAGCCACTTGGTTGTCTACAATGATTTTAGTTTTGGATCCTGTTACGACATACACTGTACCGGCACCACCATAACCAGCTGATGACTGTCCACCATAGGCAGAGGTGTCACCTGTGAAACCCGAGGATGTGCAATATACAGCTGAACGACCTCCAGCCCCACCTCCTGTACTACTGGTTCCTAGAAAATATTATTTAATTTATTAAATACTGTAAATTAAGAAATTATTGAGAGGCTTAAATAATGCGACTTAGTGAGTTTTGCAATAATAAGAACTCGCATTCTGATATCTGATACATGTATATGTATGCAGATTTTTCTGAAATTTCAATAATTAATCCTGCATTTTTGTCCATTCAGGCATTCTTCAAAAATCTTAATAATACATGCACACAATAACTTTTGGAACTTACAGTAGTCTTTTATAAATTTTGTAGTACTAACAGCAATCAATCTTATATTTTGTTCTAGTGTCCTATATAGAGAGTAATTTGTAATACAAGGTTTGACTGCATTACAACAAAATACATAAGGAAATGCCTGTACCAAGTCAGGAATATGACAGCTGTTTTCCATTCGTTTGATGTGTTTGAGCTTTTGATTTTGCCATTTGATAAGGGACTTTCCATTTTGAATTTTCCTTGGAGTTCAGTATTTTTGTTATTTTACTTTTTATTGTACAACTTACTTTCAGTTATACAACAAATAAAAAAAAATATGTATGGACAAGAGCATATTACTCATTCCAAAAAAGAAAAGATTAAGGATAATGAATAAAGGTGGCATATCAATTCATCTGTTAATTTGTCTACACTACAATACAAACAAAAACAGATGAAGAACAGCAATAAAAGTCCTTCTCTTTCAGTATGATGGTTATATCCTAGTACAATGTATGAAATAATTGTTTCATGTAAATCACCCAAATCCTATCATGACTACCTTTTCCTCCATTAACTTGTAGTTTGCCACTTCCAGAGAAAGCACCTGTTGTTAGTTTAATACTCCCCCCACTGGCACCTCCTGTCCCTTGTTCTCCATCATCTCCATTACAGCTGATTATACCTATAAAATTATAAAGATTATTAATAAGAAATCATCATCTCTTTAATTTACTTTGGCTCAGTTTACTGGAATATTTCAATATAATGTGTCAAATACAAATTCATTAAAGTACCAAATACAAAAAACACACATTAATTAGTGCATCTTTCTAATGTTTTTTTTTCATATATCAAAAATAGGAGGGGTCGTGATCCCGATATCCCGGGCTTAAAAACATGGAATCCAGAGGTTCCAAATTTAAAAAAATTTAAATCCTGACATCCCGAAATTCGGAAAAAAGAATTCCCGGATCCCAAAAGGATCAATCCCGAAATCCCGAGCTTAAAACACCAAATCCTGGAGTCTGGATAAAGGTTCTAACACCCCCCATAAATTATATATGTTCCATATGTTACTCGTACAGGTCACACAGGTAGTTGAAATATGTGTCATACATTTGACTTATGAGTTAGCTAACTATTTACCATTAATTATTGCAGAAGTACTAGCAGAGATACTGATAATTCCTCCTCCATATGCTGTATGATCCTCCGATTTTGAGTTACTTCCAAAATGTCTTGGTAACTTGACATCACCATAGAAATAACCACCAGCATAAGCTGTGGCTCCTTTCCCACCCATACCTCCATGTCCTGCTCCTGATCCATCTGTTGTGTAACCGGTGCCTTCACCTTTTGATCCAGCCTGTAAAAAATGTATTCAATCACTGAAACCTGTCAAAGCTATCATATAGAATAAAACCTGCTTAAAGAGAACATGTAAAATGGTACACATACAGTGAAACCCACTCAATGAAAGCTTGAAAAATCAGTCAAATCCGCTTAAAGTAAGAATTTGTATGCATTCAGTAAAGTCTATATAAATTCTTAAATTAATATAAAAATTGAATTAAAAAAACATTATCAAATTTACAAATTATCATTTAAATATTTAATTTGTTCCATACTTTCCCATTGGCTTGGATCTTTGCTGATTCATCTACAGTGAGGGTCATGACTTCAATATCAACAAAGTCTGCAATTAGAACTCCACCACTTTCAATTAACAACTCTGTCCCAATCAATTTCATACTGTTACCAGCACTATCTATCTCCAAGGTACCGCCCCCTTGAACTGTAACCTTGGTAAAACTAAAGTCTGTTGTCAGAACTGCAGAGGAATCATTTCCGTATGGTCTGAAATGAAAATATACAGAATTTTTTAGCCTGATCATTTTGATAGTTCTTGTTACCTCCTATGATTCCATCGGTCAATAAGCTACCAATTCATTGTAAGTTACAAACACAATATACTGGTTAGATTTGTAGTTTGAGATGGATGTAGTATAAATGAGGTAGTTAGAATATTCCTTACCTGCCATTATATCAATTTGAACAGAACTAACTCACTTGACTCATATAGGTACTGTGGGTTCATTATTATTTGTTAGATACCAATTTTTGGGGATTTCATGTTAAAAATACACCACAAATTTAAAAGTTTATAAGTAAAAAATTTCTTTGGCATATATGCAAAATTTGGCACATCCTCAAAATCAAATATACACGACAACACAATTTTCCCTCGATCTAGAAAATTGGTATGCACAAAAATAAATGAATCCACAGTAATAAGAGTTTTATTTAGGCTGTATCATTTTTTTAAAAAGAAATTCAAAGATCTTTAATGAAAACAAGCAGACAATGGAAATACTATTTTACATGTCTTCTGTTTTTTATGTAGTCAGGTTACTTTCTCATTGATTTATCTCTTTATTAAATCCTAGTCTTACAAGGTCACAAATGAAATGTTTGCAGTAGAAAATAAAAGTAAGAAACTGAAGTAAATTAGGCATATGTGTGGTGTGATTACTCTATACATATCATGGCATAAGAAAATTAACAGAAATCGAAAAATATATATATATATTCATAAACATTCTTACTTAAGCAGGAACTTCCCGCCAGGTCCAATGATAAGATTTTCCATACCACTAACTGTTCCTTCCAATTCTAGAGTTATATCATTAACAACAAATGTCTGAGCTGTACCCATTAGTCCTCCAGTGTAAATTATCAGACCAAACTGTAACTCTGGACTATCAGCGGGTAGGTCTGCTGTCAACTCCTGTAGATTGCCAACATGGAAGGTACCACTCCTGTCACCAGATGTTTTGTAGACAGTGATGTCTTGTTGGTGGGTATCGGTTGATTGTCGGTGAACAGCTATATGACCAAGGCCATTCATGACTACTTCAGCAAAGCTATGTGAACAACCTGTAGACTTGTCACAGTCATCTTTGTCATACAGCCAAGTCTTACAACTGTACTTTCTGCGACCAACATCTGTTAGTTTGTCAAAGTCAATGTTTTGACTGAGAGGTGAACATACATTATTATTGTCAACCTGAAGGGTGTCTGATGAAGTAGACATATCTCTAAATAAAACAGTACCAGCAGCTCCACATTCATATCCTGTACCCCCGTAACCTTTCAACTCTCCAGTGTAGGAATATGTTGTGTAATGAATGGCTATCCTGCCACCAGAACCTCCTCCTCCAATACATGTAGTATTACCACTGATATCCCCTCCTCTTACAGACAGGGAACCAGTTCCTGATACAGTTGTAGCATTTATAAAAATACTGCCACCTGCACCACCTCCAGCTCTGAGAGATTGTCCAGAGGTTCCTTCAGCATTTATTTCTCCATCGAGTGACAAATCATCAGTGATTGTAAGAACAACAACTCCTCCTCCATTTCCGCCAGTATATGTTCCATGGGGACTACATTGATAATCAGCAGCAGTGCTGGCTCCACCTCCGTCACCACCATTGCCACCATATTCCTTAGGAGTATACAGATTACCATATGTTGGTGGAACTCCAACTATAGACTGGAACCTTCCTTGACCTCCTGACCCACCATTTCCACCACCAGATCCACCTATCAAATGTCATTCATATAGATAAAACCGTTTAAAATGAAAGTCATTTTAATAGTAAATCTTTAACGGATCGTGATTTTAGAATGAGAAAACAAATATCCTAAATACAGTCCATTCTTAAATTAATAAACTGTTCTGGAAAGAAAAACTTTCAGTAATATAAACAGATGTTTGAATTAAATTAAAGACAATATAACCAAGGAGATTGACAGCAATTTTACAAAAAAGTAAATTATTTAATTACTTTTTACAACAAGTCAATAGATATCAATAGCAGTTCCAGGTTTCTTAGAAAAAGGGGTGGGATGTGCAGTAGTGACCTAAAATAAAGAACTCCGATAATCCTTACACGAAAAGTGAAAAATAGGGGTAATTTCTATACATTAAGAGAACAAGGTGGTATCATAAATGGTCTTTCTTAATTTAAACTAAAATAAGATAAAACTAACTAAGTGTTATACACACACTTTATACTTAATGATCAATAAGTAAAAAGTGAATAATAATTCTATACTGACCTCCGTCAGGTTTTTGTTGTGCATCCTGATATTGTAGAGATGATGGTGCCTGTCCTGTAGTATTGATTTTACCTGCTACATCAATCTGAACTCTCTTTGCAGTGATGTCCACATAAGGTGCCTTAAAAGAATAAAAGACAAGTTTGTACATTTAAAACATTTAAACCCGCTGCATTTTATATGCACCTGTCCTAAGTCAGGATCCTGTTGTTCAGTGGTTGTCGTTTGTTGGTGTGGTTCCTAAGTGTTTCTCGTTTTTTATATAGATTATACCGTTGGTTTTCCTGTTCGAATTGTTTTACACGTCTTTTTGGGGCCCTTTATAGCTTGCTGTTCGGTGTGATCCAAGGCTATGTGTTGAAGGCCGTACTTTGACCTATAATTGTTTACTTTTTACACATTGTGACTTGGATGGATAGTTGTCTCATTGGCACTCATATCACATCTTCTTATTTATACTGAAGTTACTTCATGTTCTGTCAAATCTTGTCAAGTCTCATTCAAATTGTTGTGTGTTGAAAGTAATGGTTTTGTTAAACCATTAAATCCATCAAAAATTGGTATCTAACAAATAGAAGTTGCAATATAATTAGAATAATGCTTATTTTTGGAATAATTAAAAAGAAGGCAATTACATTTAATTTATCCAAAATGAATTTTTCCACCAGCCTGTGCACTTTGGAATATAAATACCCTATTAATACATCTTACCTAAATTTTCCCATCAACCTTTATCTTTAGCAATCTAATAAACAAAGCTTTTTTACACCTACCTGGATTTTTCCACCAGCATGTATCCTTAGATAGGTATTGAGTGTTAGGATTAGAGATGGTGTAAATTCTTCAACGTAAGTGGAAGAGACAATACCGTCTGCCTGAATTTCTAATGTATCAAATGTGAACTGTCTATCTGATTCTCCAACTGAATGACTCTGAAAAAATAAGACAATTGAAAGATTTGATGTATGGTTTAAATGAATGCATGGCAGTTGTCACAGAATAGAAGTTCCTTCATAATATAAGGTCCAAAAGGAAAAAATATTCTGGAATATTATTTCCACAGGAATAAATATTACAGTATTAGTTCCTAACGGAATAAATGGTATAGAATATTTGTTCCAACAGGAATAGATATTATGACATTGTTTATAACAAAGTTTCCAGTGGAACTTCTGTTAGGCGGAACAAATATACGTTGACAGCAGTCACCATTCTAATGAATTGGAACATAAATATGTATGTGTACTTGTTGATGGGCGAATAATGTTTGGAAACCATTATCATATAAGCTTTATCATACGTGTGCCATTATGGTTGAGTATGCACAAACTTTTTTGTCCTTTAAATAAGCCTCAATAATTTAAATAAAAGTAAACTACACATGTTAGGTATAAAAATGTTCACTTTGTTAAAAACGTCATCACAGCAAGATTAAAGATACTTTTGGAAAAACCATCATGAAATTGGCATTTTAAATAATTCAAATGATAAAACTTTGTAGCATTTTTAACTACATCTATTTGAAAGGTATACATGAAAGGCATGAAAAACTGTCTTACCTTTTCTCCTATAACAAAATCCACACCTTGTCCAACAGTTAATTGATTGGCTCCTGTCAATACTCCATCTATATGTATTGTCTTGTAGGATAAACCACTTAAAGATACAACTTTAAACAAAAGCAATATTTATTATTTTATTCAAACGCTAAATAAAGAACAAAAAATACACACTATGACTAAATGATCCTTTTATAATTTCATTCTGAAATTCAGCAGTTGTCTAGAAAACTATTGTAAAGTATGCAAATATCAACCTGGTTTATTGTATGCAGCTGCAAATTGGTGTAGTTGGTATTTAATTATGGTTGACATAACTTTGACAGCATTACTTCTGTGGATTTACAAATCTGACCTTTTTTGATGTGTCTTCAGATGTTTTTGGTATGTAGATTTTTACAATAGTAATGATTGAGGGAATAATGGCCCTTGTTTACATAAAGTTTGGACTGTAATACTAATAGATTTAGCTTTGAAATTGGGGACAAAAAACTAGAGGCTCTAAAGAGCATGTGTCGCTCAACTAGGTATATGAGCATATTCAACAAAGGACACTCTCCAACATTGCAGACAAGAATAGAATTCATGACAAAAATCTCATTTTTGTTGATCTTGTAATTCCTGTCATTTTGTCTGTTTAGTTTCTCTCTATCGTCTTTAAGTTTTGCTCATAACACAAAAGAAGGTAAAAAAAATCCTCATTTAAGGGCAATCACTCCTATAAAGAGTGACAGTCTACTAACTATATCAGAAAAAAATGACTTGTTTGTATATAATGCCTAGCTGATCATTTTTGTTATTTAAAGTTTCTATTTATCTATCATAATTTTTATCATGTAAGGCAAAACGCAAACAAATGGTAAAAATTGTCATTAAAGGGCAATAACTCCAATAAGAAGTCATTGGGCGATTTCCTCCATGTTGTCCTAATTGTAGATCTTATCTTGCTGATCATTTTTGCTTATTTAAGTTTCTATCTATCTATTATAATTTTTAAGATATAAAGCAAGAACGCAAAAAATTGGTTAAACTCGCCATCAAAGGGAAATGACTCTAATAAGGAGTCAACTGACGATTTCGACCATGCCAACTTGTTCGTAGATCTTGTCTTGCTGATCATTTTTGCATTTAAAGTTTTTCTGTATCTAATATAGTTTTCAAAATAATAGGCAAAAATGAAATAAAAAGGCAAAATTTGTCATTTAAGGGCAATAACTCCTAGAATAAGTTCCCTGACAGTTTTGACGTAAATAGATAATTGGTAGAGCTCAACATTTCAAACATTTCAGCCACTGTCAGATTTTCTCTATTTATAACAGTTTTCAAAGTAATAGACAAAACTTGCACTTTACCACCTTGTTCTATTTTTGCCATGTCAGCCATCTTGGATGGCAGACGGGTCCTCTGACACATATTTTAAACTAGATACCCCAATGATGATTGTGGCCAAGTTTGGTTAAATTTGGTCCTGTAGTTTCAGAGGAGAATATTTTTGTAAAAGTTAACAGACGACAGTGGCAACTGATGAGAAAAGCTCACTTGGCCCTTTGGGCCAGGTGAGCTAAAAATGACTAGATTAGCCATTCAATTAAAATCATAGAAAATAATTCTTACGTATCAATAACATTATAAAATGATGTATAAGTCTTACTTAGTGGCATATTAAATTGTGCTTCCTCATAAATCCTAAATGAAGTAGGGAATGGTGTCTCATTGTCTTCTATTGTAACTAGCTGCTCTTTGGTCACATGGAGCATGCCAGTCTTATCACCATGGAGATAACCAATGGTAACTGTTGGAGGGTTATTAGAGGTGTTTCTGAAGGCCAAATGACCTCCCTCATTAATATATAAATGATCAAATGTCAGAGAACTGCTTGTGTCTGTATCTGTGGTAACAATGTAAGTTCTACTGTTATCCTGTTCTTTGTCATCAATAAAATCATTGTTGGGATTATAACCGTTGTTACTGACATAGATGGAGGTTTCAGTAACACCACTGGTTGAATCTGGTGCCTGTACAAATACAGTACCAGAGCCTCCTTTTTCCATAAAACTGTTCCCTCCTTGAGTTGGATAAGAGCCTCTGTAGGTGTTGGAATCAGTAGCAAAGACTGCTATCCTGCCTCCTCCTCCACCACCTCCAACAGTCTGAATGATATAAAATTAGTTACTGTAAATTCCGAAATTAATGCATTCATTTATTATTTTGAATCACCAATAAAAATGTGAGATAATGCTATTGTAAAAATTTTGTGAAGGAAAATCACGAATGAAATTATGAATGCCAGTTTTATAATTGTATTGGGCCAAATAATCTCCATGGAAATAAGATATGCAAATACTAGATCCACTACATACCAAATATATTTGACTTATCATAAGTAGGTCTCCTTAAACTAACCTAATCACAAACTTTAACATGTTAAAGATGCAAAAGTTTCAAAGTTAATAGACCATGACTGAGTGGGCAGTGATTAATAATCTACAGGGTAATGAGTAGCACATTCATTCTTGTTTGTGTCTCGAACTCTTAATTTTGCCCCCTCCCCTGACCTATTTTGCACTTAAACAATCAACTGCCTTACAATCAATCCAAAACAAGCATTTAAAATAAAGTATATTTCTAACATAATAATGTTTACCAGAGGTGTAGCACTTGTTTCCCCATCACAATATCCTCTGTAGCAGTTATCAGTGTCGTTGAAATTACATGCTAATGTTGTGTCATATTTGTAACAGCATTGATTGGCTGTTTTCTGACATGAGGCTACACAGTTGCCGCTGACAAGGAACCATCCTGGTTCACATTCTGTACATCTCAGTTTCTCATTACAACTATTACAATGATCTACACAGGCAGAATCACCACCCCTAGATGATATTGTACCAGATCCTGAAAAGTATACAAAATAAATCTTACAAATATCCATATACATAGCTATGCAAAAGTAACAAATACCCTGAGCCATGTAGAATTTACCATAAGAATTGCAAAAATGAAAATCCTTGTAAAAGAATTTATCATATTGCAGGCTCCACATTATATGGAAATTGAAAAGCAGAATCCTAATTTGGCAAGTTCAATTAAACATCAGCTAGCCATTATCATGTGATTATTACAAGAATGGAAGAACAAAAATTTCTTTACTAGAACTATTGCATTTATAAAAGTTTATTATTTCATGTTTACTTTTCATGGACCCTGAAACCTTAAAAACCCTGGATAAGTTTTCCAATATGTTTTTGGATTACTATACAATAAAATACCTGTAAAATGAGCGGCTTCTAGTACAATGCTGCCTCCTGAGCCTCCACCAGCTCTAGAACTATTACCATCTACATTAATATCTCCATCAATCTCCATGTTCTGTAAAGCCTTAAGATATATAATACCACCACCTTCTCCGTCATCAGCCAAACTTTCTGGTCCACCACTTCCATAGGCTGTTGGCATGCGAACATTACCGTAGGCTAGTGATGCATATGTTCCACCTGCTCCTGCTCCCCCGTGACCGCCATGGGAAGCTCCAGCTCCTCCATCTGTGTGATTTGTACCTGGAGCTTCCCCTTTACCTGCTTCCCAACCCCGTCCTAGACCAGTCATGAGACCCTCTGAATCAATGGTAATGTTGGCAGCTATAAAGATAAATATATATGTTCTGTAGTCATCCTAAAACTGTTAATGTAAGTTATAAGAATTTGCTTTGTCATTCAATATTTTGCATTAAAAATTCTTCTAAGTTTTTTTTTTTTATCATTTCTAATGAATAAATATCTATATGAAATTTTACAATGAAGACATAAAAATAACAATCTAAAATCTGTCTGTTTAGACATACAGAAAGCAAGCCTATTCCTATTTTATGATGATACACTTTGAGAGCTTCCCCTATTGCACCTTTAATTAATTACATTTAAGTTAAACAAAGCCATTATTTATTTTTTTAGGAAAATTAAGACAGACTGTGTGGTATGATAAGAAATAATACCTTCTAGGTACATATTGTTGGCCCTGAATTCACCTCCACCATTGATACTCAGACTTCCATTCAGTGTGATATCTAATTTGTTATCATTGACAGCTTCCCCAAAATACTCAAACAGTCCACCATCCAATATGGCTATACTATCCAACTCAAATACATTGGGTTCCATTACATCATTTTCATTTTGCTTCTCTTTAGGATAGACATAGAATGCTCCATCTAATGAGATGTTCATTTTCTGCAGACCTTGTACAGTACCTCCATACAGGGATATACGACAGTCTCGCAGATAGGTATCAAATGGTAGGTTCACTGTTCCATCCTGACGGAGAAAAAAAAATAAATTTACAAAATCTAGTTAAATTCTTTATTTTATGGAGCTGCAGGGTATACATTGAGACAGCAACCAGCTTAACATAAACATAGAATAATGTATATGCAGTAAATATCTGAAAAAATACCAGTACAGAATATATGTCTTCTCAATGATTTCCTGCTAAAAAGTAAACTAAAAGTACAAAGTTTGGCCCAATATCACACTGACTAAATAAAAGCAAGATATAGCAATGAACTATAAATATACATCACCATCATACCCAATTTGATTAAAATCATATTTGTCTCTAAATGTAAAATACACAACTATATATTTTTGCAAACAAATTCAGTAACAGTTTTAAAATATGTCCAGTAAACTGCATAGAAAGACATAAAATTCCACGAACCATTGACATATTTTGTATTACTGTAAATATCAAATTTGTGTTATAATCGAATAAAATTTTTTTTATAGATGTACTTTGTGACAATTAATTTCTTATTTAACAATAAAATTCTTAGTGTGTATACAAATAGATATATGTTATGATAATACTATACCTCATATAAGGACACATCAAACGTCAAAATAGCTGTAGAACCAAAATCTATATTTAGCCACATTCCAGACTCTACATGTACACCAGCTGTATTATCTCCTTCTACTTTGGACAATGTCAGTTTTCTGTCACCATTGGAAGGTAGACCACTTGAGTCTATGGCCATCATTCCTACATTAGCGTATGTACCAAGATCTAATGTGTCAAGTTCGTGTTCTTCTGTTGTCACATCAGGGATAGTAATTCTGGTTTTTCTATTCTGAAATTATAGCAGTATATTTTGAATATTTCTATATTTACACTGTTTCTGAGCTTGCTTCGTATAGTTTTTTTGTAACATGGATCAAGCGTTTCTCCCAATTTTTTTCTATTGAGAGTGTCATATATAGTGGGTGTTCGTCTAAAACTGTCTAAGTTTGTTGGATAAAAAAAAAGCTTGCCATACAGTGTCAAATTTGTTAGCCAATATATTTTTTTATTTTTGATAATATTGTTTTTTTGACACATATTACAATAAAAGAAGAAAAGCAGATTCTTATTCAAATATAAAAAAAACAATGCTCAAATGTTTATTTACTTCTACATGCAATTTTAGAATTTTATGGGGTCATTCTATTTTTACATCTCAGTCTTTCTGTTTCACAAAGGCATATTGTTATCAATCTTGCCTGGCAAGGTTATACTATCAACCAGAAGCTTACTGTATTGGTAACAATATTGTACTATTAATACATACACCCTTTCCTTCCTGGTTATAGACTTGTAGCTTAGTTTCGGGTGATGTTCCTGTGTTTCTGAGGTATACTGTTCCAGCAGCTCCTGTCTCCCCACCATCTCCAGCGCCACCTAGTGACTTAAGTTCTCCAATGTAAGCATAAGAACTGTATATAATAGAAAGACGACCTCCTGATCCACCATTTCTTCCCGAACCTCCAGTTATCTAAAAATAGAACAAAAATACCACTGCTAAATCTCTTGAATCTAATCTACAATTAAGTGATACCAAAGTGTTACTTGTTACCTGAGCAAGCCAATATTCCACACTACCTAAAACATTTCAGTACAGTTTTTAATAAGAACTAGTGTTTAAACAAAAACTTTAGATTTTCAAATAATTTAATTTATGGTAAAACATACAACTATTGCTATGTGAAATGTCAATTTCTAGATCTATCTTGATCAGAAAAGCTCAAAACAGAAAAAAAATTTAGAAGCCAAAAATGTGGTAAAAAAATTTCCAAAGGGTTTGACAGATCCCTGTGTCTCATCTGAGACTGCTGCTGTCAGTGTAAAAGTGTGAAATGTTGACTGCCAAAATACTATTTTACAGGTCAATTTACCAGTACAATCATGAAAAAAGAATAAGCAAATTTTACATGAACATAATTCACAATAGTGACAAGGAATGCAATTTTTTCACACTTCCAAGAACCTACCTCTACAGAACCTGTGCCATCAAACAAAACAGTTTCTATGAGGAGACTACCTCCTGTTCCACCACCAGCGTAACTAGAGTGAGCTCCATCCTGTCCATTAGCACTGACAATTCCATCCACTTTTGTCTCCTTGGTGATGTTAAAGTAAATAATCCCTGCTCCACAACCACCTGTAAAATACATAAATTCATAATCAGTTTTATGGTCTTCACGAGTAACTGTCATGGCACTACAAGCTTTGACTGCTGTCAGGGTTGACAGTCAGAGTCATAAGTAACAAGAATGCATGTGCTGTCACGATAAGCATATCCCCAATCTTACTTCGAATACAATTTTTCATTCAACATATTGAAATATTCAAAGTAATTCACAGAAATTTGGTCAATGAATGATCCAAAAAGTGCTCAAACGTTACAACTCATTACTATCAAGCTACTGACTTCAGTTCAGCAGTACCTGAAGAAAGTATGACAGAAATATTTGTTGGCTGAACATATGGATGAACGGACAATTGATTGACAAGGTGAATGCAATATACTCCCAACTCCTAGAGTGGGATATAGTAATGTTGCACAATAGCAGTCGATATTTCCAGGTAATTCAATTCTTTTGTTTTAAACAATTTGCTAGTATTACAATAGGAAAATTACCATGTTTGAAAAGTTATTGCTGGCAAATCCTCAATTTATGGTGGCAACTCTTCAAGAAATAGTACTGTTTTCCTTAATTTATTTGCATTAGCCAATTATATAGTAAAATATTTATATTGTTTAATTAGTCTATGCAAGTTTTTAAGGACCAAAAGATCCATTTATAACCTTAGTTTACAGCCTTAAACTTGATCATACTGATTTCTTAGTTCAACAAAAAGTAAAAAGGATCTGTACAATAAATACAATTATAAAATATTAACCTGTATATTCATGACCATCATAGCTGCCTTGTCCTCCATTACTGCCAAAATTGTTAGGTCTATTAAACTGTCCTGAAGGTAGCGGTGCGTCATGACTTTGATCCTCAGTGCCTCCTTCTCCACCATAACTGCCACCTGTTCCATATACACCATCACTGTGAGCCACAGTAAATCCTTCTCCAGGACCTGAAACATTGAAAAATAAAAGTTGTCTCAAATTCAATGAGCAGTAGAATGTCTTGTACCTTAATGGTTACCCCCTTTCTACAAATTTGATTATCTCCCCTTTAGCTTGTGAAGCAGATTTTTTTACCTTTAAGCATATCCTGAGGTAGTGTTTTATAACTGTTTAAAGTTTCATCAATATTTGTCCAGCCATTTAGGGAGAGTTGCAATATTGAAGTAGGTAAGTTGGATTATCTAGACCTGAGATAATAACCCTTCATGTAGTAAGTTGGAATATCTCCACTTTGACATGTAGACCTGAGATTATACCTCTTCATGTAGTGTTGAACAACTGTGCCAAGTTTGATCGATATTCATCAAGGTGTTTAGGAGGAGTTGCAATTGACAGCCAGACAGACAGATTACTCAAGTTACTTTCAAACACAGATTATCATATCAATCAATCAGAATAAACATTACAAAAACACCTCATGCAAGTAGCCTTTAAAACTCTTTCCAATAATCGTAGAAAAGGAAACATTAAATTTTTACTCTTACCTCCTGTGCAATAGCCATTATGATCAGCCCTGACCTCTCCCAACACATCAACAATGACACTTTCAGCGTTAATCTGCAAGTTCTTAGCATTCAGCAGTCCCCCTGGATACACCTGTAGATAGTTCCCTGTCAGGATGTGTTTATCCATGCCATTGTTCATGTACATAGAACCAAGGTTACGAATGTCGATAGCTGTAAACTGGATTTCGTCCTGAATGTTATAGGAAGTGTCTGTCATCTCATTTATTCTTAATGTACCTAAAATAATATGAATAGTACACAATATCAATCAGATACTTACTGGTTAAGTTGCATTTTTGTATATGCATATGAAATATACCTACAAAGTCTGTCTCACTTTGTACATACTAAACTAAGATTCAAATTTGGCATTGTAAATTCTTAAAAAAGGGACATATAAATAAAATTCTGTTTTTTTTTCCATAAAAACCAAAAAAAAGGAGTAGTTTCAAATTTCACTAATCCCCTTGCAAATTTTAAGTGAAACTACATTTGGGTAAAACTAGAACCTTCTGATTTATAAGAAGAATCCTCCTGACAAAAATCAAAGTTAAAGATATATGATCATATACGATATAGAAATTGAATTCAGATAAAACTTTGAATGATAGTCATTCACAACTTGCATTTGCTAAAATCTAAACCTTAACAAAAAATTGTATCATCTCCCAAATTCTGTTTGGCAAGAGGATAAAGAATTTTTTGATCAATCCACAATTAATCCACATGGCAATGGAATAACAACTTTTAACACACCATGAACTATCTATAATCCTGATTAATTAATAATGTGTACCTCCTTCTACCACGGTCAAGTTTTCCACATTTCTCATGTTTCCCTCAATCATCACATCAACACCTGCAACTCTCAGTTCTCCTTGCAGAGTTACTTCCCCTCCTCTATACACGGACAGATGATTAGGCAGTTGTCCTGACCCTATATAGAATGCCTGATTATAACCTATTTGTACATGGCCAGTTTTATCACCATCAATAAGATCTACACTCAGATCCACTCTGAATGTTGTATCATCAGGCTTAACCATAGCTATTGAAGCTGATCGGTATATTTGCAATTCTTCAAGTATCATCTGAGTGCTAAGTTTTGTCTCTACTACAAACTCTGGGTAATCTGATGGTATGATCCATGCTACACCACTGCCCAAGGAGTAATTACTGTAAAAGTCAGTTAAATTTCTGAACAAATTTTTAGGAGACCTGTTATGGTTGTCAACAAAGAGAGTCCTGTTGGAGACAAAGTTTGACAGATCAGCTGGGTTGATGGGTAACAGATGAACATACACTGTTCCTGGTCCACCATCTTCTGCATTTACTCCACCTTCTCCTCCAGCACACTTAAATGTTCCTAAAATACGGAAGATTAAAAAATTGGCAGCCAAAAATTTTCAAAATGTAACAATATTTTTCATACTTTTTCTATTGAGGATCATCTGAAAAATTATCACCAAAAGTAGAAGTATCTATGATAATGCAATTTTTCTTCAATCCTGTATGATTAATTTAGTATACACAAATGTAACTGAATCCTCTGTTATATAAAACAATTTTTGCCTTAGCCACATATGAGCTGCTTCGGATAGAAAACGACCTTATGCAAGTGCACATATACATGTACATGTATAAGACTTTGATCGACTTTGGAACATTCAAAAACCAAATAAAACATGAATTTTGGTCTGTTTTGAAGGGTTCTTATATCAACTCAATTTTCAAACAATTACAAACTTTGCATAGAGAATTTTCAACTCAAAATAAGTGAACAGATATATTGCTGTTTATTTGCATAAGGTTGATTTCTATCCGACACAGCTCATATTTTATAAGTACAGACGATTGTCAACTTTCAACTTACCAACATAAAAGTCGTAGGTATAGTAAAGTGCTATTCTACCTCCACCACCACCTCCTCCATGGGAGGTAGCTGGACCATCATAACCCACACCGCCTGAACCATCAATTATTCCATCTCCATCTATAGTCCAAGTATGTATGTAAATACTTCCACCACTTCCCCCACCAGACTGATATGACCACCAGTCACCTCCCCTTGCTGTTAATTCACCATCTACAGTCAATGTATGGGTAACATTAAGTTCTAGCCTTCCTCCTCCCCGACCTCCAACATGAGGGAAGTTTGAATGTCCTCCATCTTTTCCAAATGTTGTTGGTTGTAGATATGACCCGTCACCAGCACCAACTACAATCTGACCTTCTCCTTGACCTCCATTACCCCCATGGCCACCACCAGAACAACCAGTTGGGCTTGAGTATCCTCTGCCAATTCCTAAAATTTAACTTATCTTTTAATACTTACATCCATAAGTAGTGTTCATATGGAGAAAATTCATTTGATCAACAATAAGAGTTGCACTTCATCATTTTAGAAACTCCTAGCATCAAATGTAAACAATATAAGTTCATCAAAATCAAGCAAAAATTTGACAAATTACTGAGAACATTTATTCCATTTCTAACTTCAACATTACAAATATCTTTTATAGTACAATGTATTTGGATAACCAATGATTTTTCAATTTATTATTGTAAATTCATCAGCATCTTACAACCTATGAAACCAAAAAAAAGAAAACCGTCATTGAAATTTTGGTCCATTCATTTACATTTTTTTTTAGAAATTTGTTTTTATCAATACTATATACCTGTTTCCCTTTCTATCTCAGGTACACCTTTATCAACAAACAACATCCCATATGGCTCTATTGTAATGTTGGTGTAGCTAAGCTTTAAGTCATTTGAAAACAGCTGAAAAAATAAAGTTGTTATATAAAATAAGTAGATATAATCTACGGTCTTCAACAATAGACAAACAATTTTTCATAAAAAAAGGTAGTTCATAATTTTAGCCATCATCAAGTAGCTTTTAATAATCATTAATTTGCTGAAATTTTCTACTGGAAAACTGATGAGACACTTTATAGTAAGTTAAGTTGGGTCTGAAGGAAATTCCAAATTTTCACACCTGTAAATTTGATGTAAAAAGAGTAAAAGTCAAATCAAATTACTTTAGACTATTCTTATCTTAGTAGCTATATATAAAACATAACAAATTTCAAGTTCATTCCCTGAATACTCTTTCAAAGAATTATTGAAATTATAGGTATTAGCTGTACCTGAGCCCCACTCCTGACTGTTAAAGTTGTGCCTACTAATGTGGTTAGTGCTTCTCTGTCTGTTGTAACACTCATGTCACCAAAAGTTTTGATATCTAAATGGTCTATCTTATTAATAGTTGGTTCATAGTGGTCAATAGTCAGACTACAATATGCATTCACTGTCACATTCTCCATAGTCTCAAAATGTCCTGAAAGAAACAAATACCTATAACATCTGTCTTCAATCACATACCTTTCGTTTTAGCTATGATTTTTTTTTTTAAATGACCTTTTTTCTTTCCCATGCAATAAATGTTTAAACTCTGCAATCCATTTTCATTTAAAAAGTTGCTTAATTAATCTTCAGATTAAAATCTAGCTTGTATATCTTTTTTTCATTTTAAAGCTTTATAATTCTTTGGTAAATACAGAGCTTATTGATTGAGTTTATTAATTTAACTCATGATCAATGGACAAAAATTAGAGGTTAATTAATGCAGTTTCAGGAGATGCTGTATACAAAAAAAATGTATTCAAAATTTAACATGCAATTTCAATAATGGAACATTAGTTCCTTCTTTCAGTGCAATAATGTCACAACATTTCTTAATTTACAATTTTTTTAATTCTAAATAGTGTGTTTATATCAAAAGAAACAGAAATGTTCAATTTTTGTATTTAAATAACAAAATTAATCAAATATTCATATTATTTTCCTGGTTGATACAAGAAAATATTTACCTTTTATGACAAGATCTACCTCCCTGCATGTAATTGAGGGTGGGAGTTGTAGATGTGATTGTCTCTGTGTGAGGACACTGAATTCTAGTAATTCTTGATCCATTGAAGTTGTCATGGTCTGGCTAACTCTGATAGTAACTCGTCCAGTATTGTCACCTTCTGTTTCATGTACATACAGCCACGCATCATTACTGGACATCTCTAAAGATGCTCCTCCTTTTACAGTCAGCTAAAAAAAAATGTTAATATCAAACTCATGTGACTGGATAATAAATTCTTAATTGTTATAATTCATAGAATTATCTAGACTGTACTATCAAATTAATTCATTTTATTGGTTCAATAATATTGTCATCAAATCAGAATGTTAAAGTAAAAATATGATCCAATATTCAATTAAAATATGTACAGATAAATAAGCTAAACAGTATCGATGACTCTTAATATGCATCATACGGTATAGCATGCTCACTTGCAGCTTGATACCAAATTTCAGGAAGCTATGGTTAGAAATTCTTGGGAAAAATATTACGAAAATTTCAAACACTTCCATTATGTGTAAGTTTTCTGTAAACAGGGAGTTGATAAGTAATGAATGTGAAAACATATCGCATGGTATAGCATACTCACATGAAACTTGTTACCAAATTTCAGAAAGCTCTCATTTAAAGTTCCTGAGAAAAGTGTGACATAATTTAATGGGACGGAAGGACAGACAAAAACAAAATGGAAGCCTAGGACTGTCAGACTTAAAACCAGTATAACCCCCTACTTTCAGGGCAGGGGTATAACACACAAAAGATATCTGCATACATCTTAAAATGAATATCTATGGACTTACCAATCAGTGGTTCCTATTTAACTAACCTATATACAAACTTTTAACAAGAGTGCACACGCTGAAATGTCTCGCCTACTATACTGACCATTGATTTTATGTTGATAGTCCTACATATAAAGTTTTACTACAAGTATCATATTAACATTTATGATCCAAGAAAATGAGGTCAAGGTCAGATAAACAAAGCCGGAAATACAGGTACACCTTTAATACAATCATTCCATACACAGAATAGAGATGACCTATTGCTTATAGTATAAAAGAAACAGACCAAACCATGGAAATTCTATACTGACCAATGAACCATGAAAATGAAGTCAAGGTCAGATGAACCCTGCCAGACATACATGTACACCTTAAAATCATTCCATGCATCAAATATAGTTGACCTATTGCTTAAAGTATCTAAGAAACAAAGTTAACCAGGAAAACTGAACATTGACCAATCAACCATGAAAATGAGGTGAAGGTCAGATGATACCTGCCAGACAGACATATACACCTTACAATCATACCATACACCAAATATAGTTGACCTACTGCATACAGTATTAGAAAAACAGACCAAAACACAACAAGAGTGCACACGCTGAAATGTCTCGCCTTCTTTACTAATCATTGATATTATGTTGATAGTCCTAAATATAAAGCTTTATTACAACTGTCACATAAACTTAACATCAACCAAGTTAACTAAACATTGAACAATGAACAATGAAAATTAGGTCAAGGTCAGATGAACCATGCTAGGCAGGCATGTACAGCTAACAATTCTTCCATGCAACAAATATAGTTGACCTATTGCTTATCGTTGAAGAAAAACAGACCAAAACACAAAAATTTAACACTGAGCAATGAACCTTGAAAATGAGGTCAAGGTCAAATAAAACCTGCGTGACTGACATATAGATCATAAAATATTTTCATACACCAAATATAGTTGAACTATTGCATATAGTATTAGAAAAAAAGACCAAAACTCAAAAACTTAACTTTGACCACTGAACCATGAAAATGAGGTCAAGGTCAGATGACACCTGCCAGTTAGACATGTACACCTTACAATCATTCCGTACACCAAGTATAGTAGACCTATTGCATACAGTATAAGAAAAACAGACCAAAACACAAAAACTTAACTATAACCACTGAACCATGAAAATGAGGTCAAGGTCAGATGACACCTGCCAGTTGGACATGTACACCTTACAGTCCTTCCATACACCGTATATACTAGACCTATTGCTTATAGTATCTGAGATATGGACTTGACCAACAAAACTTAACCTTGTTCACTGATCCATGAAATGAGGTCGAGGTCAAGTGAAAACTGTATGACGGGCATGAGGACCTTGCAAGGTACGCACACACCTAATATAGTTATCCTATTACTTATAATAAGAGAGAATTTAACATTACAAAAAATCTGAACTTTTTTTTCAAGTAGTCACTGAACCATGAAAATGAGGTCAAGGACATTGAACATGTGACTGACAGAAACTTCGTAACATGAGGCATCCATATACAAAGTATGAAGCATCCAGATCTTCCACCTTCTAAAATATAAAGCTTTTAAGAAGTTAGCTAACGCTGCCGCCGCTGGATCACTATCCCTATGTCGAGCTTTCTGCGACAAAAGTCGCAGGCTCAACAAAAACTTTACATTGAGCAATGAACCATGAAAATGAGGTCAAGGTCAAATAAAACCTGCCAGACTGACATGTACATCGTAAAATATTTCCATACACCAAATATAGTTGACCTACTGCATACAGTATTAGAAAAACAGACCAAAACACAAGAACTTAACATTGAGCAATGAACCATGAAAATGAGGTCAAGGTCAAATAAAACCTGCCAGACTGACATGTACATCATAAAATATTTCCATACACCAAATATAGTTGACCTACTGCATACTGAATTAGAAAATCAGACCAAAACACAAAAAAGTTAACATTGAGCAATGAACCGTGAAAATGAGGTCAAGGTCAAATAAAACCTGCCAGACTGACATGTACATCGTAAAATATTTCCATACACCAAATATAGTTGACCTACTGCATACTGAATTAGAAAAACAGACCAAAACACAAAAAGTTAACATTGAGCAATGAACCATGAAAATGAGGTCAAGGTCAAATAAAACCTGCCAGACTGACATGTACATCGTAAAATATTTCCATACACCAAATATAGTTGACCTACTGCATACAGTATTAGAAAAACAGACCAAAACACAAGAACTTAACATTGAGCAATGAACCATGAAAATGAGGTCAAGGTCAAATAAAACCTGCCAGACTGACATGTACATCATAAAATATTTCCATACACCAAATATAGTTGACCTACTGCATACTGAATTAGAAAATCAGACCAAAACACAAAAAAGTTAACATTGAGCAATGAACCGTGAAAATGAGGTCAAGGTCAAATAAAACCTGCCAGACTGACATGTACATCGTAAAATATTTCCATACACCAAATATAGTTGACCTACTGCATACTGAATTAGAAAAACAGACCAAAACACAAAAAGTTAACATTGAGCAATGAACCATGAAAATGAGGTCAAGGTCAAATAAAACCTCCCAGACTGACATGTACATCGTAAAATATTTCCATACACCAAATATAGTTGACCTACTGCATACAGTATTAGAAAAACAGACCAAAACACAAGAACTTAACATTGAGCAATGAACCATGAAAATGAGGTCAAGGTTAAATAAAACCTGCCAGACTGACATGTACATCATAAAATATTTCCATACACCAAATATAGTTGACCTACTGCATACTGAATTAGAAAATCAGACCAAAACACAAAAAAGTTAACATTGAGCAATGAACCGTGAAAATGAGGTCAAGGTCAAATAAAACCTGCCAGACTGACATGTACATCGTAAAATATTTCCATACACCAAATATAGTTGACCTACTGCATACTGAATTAGAAAAACAGACCAAAACACAAAAAGTTAACATTGAGCAATGAACCATGAAAATGAGGTCAAGGTCAAATAAAACCTCCCAGACTGACATGTACATCGTAAAATATTTCCATACACCAAATAAAGTTGACCTACTGCATACAGTATTAGAAAAACAGACCAAAACACAAAAACTAAACTATGACCACTGAACCATGAAAATGAGGTCAAGGTCAGATGACACCTGCCAGTTGGACATGTACACCTTACAATCATTACATACACCAAATATAGTAGACCTATTGCTTATAGTATCCGAGATATGGACTTGACCACGAAAACTTAACCTTGTTCACTGATCCATGAAATGAGGTCGAGGTCAAGTGAAAACTGTCTGACAGGCATGAGGACCTTGCAAGGTACGCACATACTAAATATAGTTATCCTATTACTCATAATAAGAGAGAAATTAACATTACAAAAAATCTGAACTTTTTTTTCAAGTAGTCACTGAACCATGAAAATGAGGTCAAGGACAATGGGCATATGACAGACAGAAACTTCTTATCATAAGGCATCTATATACAAAGTATGAAGAATCCAGGTCTTCTACCTTCGGAAATATTAAGCTTTTAAGAAGTTAGTTAACACCGCCGCCGGATCACTATCCCTATGTCGAGCTTTCTGCGACAAAAGTTGCAGGCTCGACAAAAACTGTTTATGCAACCTACACTTACACCATACCATAAACAGCATGCCTAAGTCTGGCTTCCATGACTTCTCAATTGTGACAATCTTTTCTTAATTCTTTTACACCTTTAATTTTGCTCACCTTATCAAACTCATATTTCTCCAGTTTATCGACACTGTGCATGATATAACCTGCTCCAGGAGAGTTTGAGTAAACATCTTGTTCATTTGTTGTAAAATCTTCACTAACGTAAATCTCAAACTCACTAAGAGCTGCATAGTCACTGGTCTTCTCAAGATATATATAAATCTACAAAGCATAAGGTTATTTTGTAACAAAGGTTAAATATTAAGAGAACTTTATATACGATATTTTGCAATATGTAATCAATTCACATTTTAATAAAATAACGATTGATTGATGGTGGTTTAATAACAAATCATCAATATGGGATATGTTGTAGCAAGAAAACACCTTATGTTTTATATACCTGTAATTAAAAGTGGGTAAACCAAGATGACATCACATCTTTTTATACTAGAAAAACATTCTTTTAAGCCATCATTGAGTCTTTTAAAGTTTTATAAGCCTTAATTTATGAGTAATTACATTGCACATTTATATATTCCAAAAAGAAAACAACATGTAAAATATCCACACCTATAGACATATTCAACCAACAACATTCAAGCATATACTTCAGAAAGTATTATCCATAAGAAGGTTGATTGAGTAAATACCTTGTCAACATAATCCTGGACAACAACTTTGCCATAGTGTGTATTATTATTCTGAGTATCACATCCTGTTGTATTGATATATCCATCTGTCCTGTCTATCAATGTAGATCCAAATGTTGTCTTTATAGCATAATTACTTCTGTATGAACTGCAATACATATATAATTACTTATCAATTCTTATAGCTAAGTTTATGGTCAACATTATAACAAAGGAAACGGAGAGTATCCTATCTTGAGGTTTAAATCCTTGACATTTGGCAGTTTGGATGTTGTTTTGTTACACTTAAACCAAGATCTATGATTTACTACAGACAAGGAAACTTAATATTTACAATTAGGTTTCTATTCTCATTGTGTTGTAGGGTTGCTGTCTCATTAGTATTTAGCAGACATAATATGTATCCAACATGTATGCATTATACAGCCAACATCAGGGAAATAGATTTAAAGTATATGTTTAATATGACTTTTTCAAGCTAGTGTTATATCCCTATCATAAAAAAAAAAATCATGGTAAATTTCATCAAATAATGAAATAACACTGCCAAATCATTTTTCAATCATAAAATTGAGTGTAATAGATAGAGAATATCATATGACTTTTTCAATATCATACCTGTATCAACCCGAGACACCAATATAATCCCAAGAGCTCTGCTTGAGAGATTATATTGGTTGAGGGTTGATATGGTGTGTGATATTGAAAAAGTCACATCAAATACACTTTATTATATACATATACTTCAAGTACAACTAATCTCTCTTATGTATTTATCACAAGACATACATAATACATATTAGGGTTTGATAAAGCTTTTGTTAACGTGACTGATATCGATTACGTGACATCATACATATTAGGGGTTTGATAAAGCTTTTGTTAACATGACTGATATCGATTACATGACATCATACATATTAGGGGTTTGATAAAGCTTTTGTTAACATGACATCATACATATTAGGGGTTTGATAAAGCTTTTGTTAACGTGACTGATATTGATTACGTGACATCATACGTATTAGGGGTTTGATAAAGCCTTTGTTAACGTGACTGATATCGATTACGTGACATCATACATATTAGGGGTTTGATAAAGCTTTTGTTAACGTGACTGATATCGATTACGTGACATCATACATATTAGGGGTTTGATAAAGCCTTTGCAACAGTGACTGATATCGATTTCATCATGGATGGCTAATACATCACAATTGTCATCAATTGTATTACACATACAATTTACCTGTATTTACTACTAAGTATATAATAAATTAAAATAAAAGAACAGAGTTCCAATGTCCCCCGCGTTGCACATATTTTATCTATCCAGGGGCAATAACTAAAAAAAAAACACTTTTGTTCTTTAAAACAATTTATAAATAAAAAGCGTGTGCGGGGGACAAAAAAGTTTTTTTTATTGTATACTAAATATTTCAAACAGACCTTCAAGGGCATTACTTATAGTATACTATAATTTTATAAAAAATTGTACCTGTGAGAGCGCTAACGAGGCCATTTTCCATAAATTAAATATTTCTAAGGGTCAAAAAAGTATTTTTCATTGTATACTAAATATTTCAAACAGACCTTCAAGGGCATTACTTATAGTATACTATAAGATTTATAAAAAATTGTACTCTGGAGAGCGCTACCGAGAACTTGTCCGAGATATTGCTGATATTAACCTATAGTATAAGTTTTATAAAAATCTGACAAGAATTGTACCTATGAGAGCGCTAACGAGGCCATTTTCCATAAATTAAATATTTCTAAGGGTAAAAAAAGTTTTTTTATTGTATACTAAGTATTTCAAACAGACCTTCAAGGCATTACTTATAGTATACTACAAGTTTTACAAAAAAAAATTGTATCCCAGAGAGCGCAAACGAGGCCATTTTCATGAATTTAATATTTCCAAGGGTCATAATTCTTTTAAAAAAAGTCGATCGTCCACCATTATAATAATTGTCTGAGATATAGCTGATATTAACCTATAGTATAAGTTTTATAAAAATCTGGCAAGAATTGTACCCGTGAGAGTGCAAACGAGGCCATTTTCCATAAATTTAATATTTCCAAGGGCCATAACTCTTTTAAAAAAAGTCGATCGTCCACCATTACAGAACTTGTCCGAGATATTGCTGATATTAACCTATAGTATAAGTTTTATAAAAATCTGGCAAGAATTGTACCTGTGAGAGCGCTAATGAGGCCATTTTCCATAAATTTAATATTTCCAAGGGTCATAACTCTTTAAAAAAAAGTCAATTGTCCACCATTATAGAACTTGTCCGAGATATTGCTGATATTAACCTATAGTATAAGTTTTAAAAAAATCTGGCAAGAATTGTACCTGTGAGAGCGCTAACGAGGCCATTTTTATAAATTTAATATTTCCAAGGGCATAACTCTTTTAAAAAAAGTAGACTGTCCACCATTATAGAACTTGTCCGAGATATTGCTGATATTAACCTATAGTATAAGTTTTATAAAAATCTGGCAAGAACAAGACCTGACGGACGGACACACGGACACAAGGATGGATGCCCGGCATTTCCATGTCCCCCCGCAATGCGTTACGCGGGGGACAATAAAATAACAAGAAATTGATTTATAATACCAAAATTTGCTCTGTGTCCCAAAGATTTGCACAAAATTTATTCCTGCATACATTTTGCTAAAAAAAACAACTTTTGCAAAAATGAGAGAAAAGGCCATAAATATTTGTCATATAAACTACCATAAACATATTTGAAAATTAAAATTACAGAAATGTATTGAAAATACCTGTCACATGTTGGGTAAACTCTAACATGGTCCACAAACAATGTATGAGGTATTTCTACTGTAATCACTAAATCAGCGACTGGATAGTAGTAACTTGAAGATAATCTTCCATCAGTCAAGAGTCCTAGGTTCGGATAATCATCTGAACTATTGTCTGTGTGGATGTGAATGTCATTGTAAGAATAGAACCCAAACTGTGTTGAATCCAAAGAAAGCTTAGTAAGGTCTATTTTCTCTACTTCCTCAATTTGATCTGAGGTAGTGTACCCACCATTATCAAGAGTAAGATGTTTATTGTGATATGTGGAATTTGTCTGGTCCTCTAGGTAGAGAGTCCCTGAGCCACCATATCCAGATGTGCCAAAGCCGCCATGAATGAGAAACTCTCCTGTGAAATGGTTTTCTCCTGTGTGATAAATACCTATTCTGCCTCCTGCTCCTCCACCACCATTGGTACTTCCTGTAGTTTAATAAAACAGGTTTTATGAGGATCTGGATGGGGATTACAAAATAGAGAATAATTGCCAAAAATAATAATAGAGAAAAATAAGCCAAAAAATTAAAGAAAAGAGAATAATGTGGTGCAAAAAGGTAATATAATACTGATTACAGAAATGAAGGATGCACCGGATAAACAAATCATGTAATTACAGACAAATTTTATAGTTTAGTAATTATGAGAATTTTACAGAAAAAAAGTCTTATTTTTTTTAAAAAGATAAAGAAAAATGCTCCAGAACATTTAAGAATACATCAATGAAGGACCCCTATCCAGACCATCTTTTATTGTTTATTGTGATTTCATCTTCCAAAAAAGGATTGCATAATCTAGTGGAACGCTTAAATATTTGTTCTACATGATTAATTAATTATACTATCTATGTATAAGTTATGTATGTAACTACAAATTCTGAAATTTTCAGAAAAAGGGGACAGCAATTGTTTCCTTTTTCAGTCTTCTCCAAAAAAAATAATTGGATTGCACATGTGGTTGCCATAACAAAAGATATTCCTCATAGCTTTAAAGGCACAATTTCAATGACAAATTTAATATTTCCAGCATATCATTAGCCATTCCAGTCAAGGCATGAAATTCTAAAAAAAAAAAAACATTTACAAAATAGTAGCTGCACCCATTTGCATGTCTTCAATGTGTGGTGTACAATTAAAATTCAAAAAGCTCCAAACATTCCTAAAAAATTTTAAATAGAAAGAACAAGTGAAACTGTGAGCTACTGCTCACTGATGGAACCCCCGCCCAAATATTTCGGTAAACAGGAAGTTGTTGAGGGATGAATCTGAAAATGCATCACACGGTATAGCTAACTCATATAAACCCTGAAACCAAATATCAGAAATCCTTGTAATGTAGTTCCTGAGATAAATGTGACTAAAATTTTCAACTACTTGGATGTCATGTGTAAAATGATGTAAGTGTTTGGTAAACAGGAAGTTGTTGAGTGATGAATCTGAAACGCATCACACGGTATAGCTGACTTATATAAACCCTGAAACCAAATTTCAGAAATCCTTATGATGTAGTTCCTGAGAAAAATGCGATGAAAAATATTCAAGGAACGGACGGAGGGACAGACAGAGGTAAAACAGTATACCCCCACTTTTTTAAAGCGGAGTAAAAATACACAACAAACTGAAATGATTAATTAGGTTGATAAGGTTTTAATAACCAACAGCCATTAAGACAAATTAAATATATCTACATATACAGTTATGTTATTACACTCCCACTACAGCTTTTTTGTAAAAAGAGCAAAAATACTTCATACCTGCCCCTCCAAAAGTTTCTATACTGCCTGCTCCATCTAGATGTCCAACCACAACATAGATACTACCTCCAGCCCCTGCCCCTCCAGTGGTACCACCTCCTGTCTCTCCATTCGAGTGAAGTCGTCCTTCAACTCTCAGCTCATCAGATATATGCATGTGTATTATTCCTTAAAAAATATAAATGTGTACAGAATTTTAAAATGAAAAAAGAGTACAGTGTAATTTAAATCAGTAATTTAAATGAAGAACTTAAGCAGATACTGTCTTTGATGTGTTCTTCTCTGCAGATCATAATTATTTTGCACTTCCCATCTAAATGGTTACAATAAAACTTTATTAACTCTGAGGTTGTGAGTTCAAACCCTGCTGGTGAGAGGTGTGTTTAACTCTAATCTTAATTGACAAGGAATGCCAGTTTACAGCTTTCACTACCAATAAAAACTTGTCTCAATGATATAGTCAAAAGTGCTGAAAGGCGAGTTAAACACCAACAAACACACAAACAATAAAACATTGTCTAAGTAAAATATAGATCTGTTTGATCTTCTGCTTTGACTAAGCTCTGCCTAAATCTCTATAGACAAAGGAATAATAATAACTTACCTCCACCTCTGCCTCCCTCGCCATTAGAACCAGTTCCACCTCCACTTCCCATCTCACTGGGTATGTATGTAGAATCATAGGCCAATGCAGAATAATATCCTCTATAAGATCTCCCTCCTCTGCCACCATGACCTCCCCCTGAGGCTCCAGCATGATTAGACTGGGCTAATCCTGCTCCTGGTCCTATATCTCCAGCATGTCCAGTAAAATCAGCATGGAAATCACCTAAAAAAAAACCATAATAAAAATGTTATGAAGTCCCTACTGGTATTGTAGGATTAAATATAACAATCAGGGTCAAACTAAAAAATAAGGTAACAACTACAGAAATCTAAATGCTTTTGGTAAATTGTTTATTAAAGAGAATACCTCCTAAGTTTGAAAAAAATGGAGTTCTTATTCTTATGTCTTTTCTTGAAGTAATTTCGCTATCATTTTTTTGGGAAGTGCATTTCTTATTTCTTGGTTTTTATTGCTCATGACATTTTTCAATACAATACAGCATTTTGTCACTAGGTGGTTTTAAGAAAACAATAATAAAACAATCATCATTGTATATAAATCAATGTCATAAAAGTTTTGTGCCCCTGAGCAATATGCAAAAGTAAATATTACAACCTGCAAAGCAATCTTTTTGCTAATATGACTTCACTTGATACTTATCTTATAAACTGCAATCCGAATTCCTTTTTGAGAAAAGACTTGTAAAGAAAATACAAAAAACTTGTGTGAAATTGTTGCCATTACTTAATTTGCATACCTGACAAGTCAATGGTACAGTTAACTGCATACAGTTCAAGATGGTTAGTCCTTACATATCCATTCCCATTGATGGTGATTGTCGTTACATTGATTTTCATAACAATATTATTTGCTGTAGTCAGTGGTTCAAACTTTCCACCAGCCTTGACAGCGATATTAGGAAGCTCAAGAGTGCCCTCTGGTGATCCCTCAGTATTGGCATATGACCAGATGTACAGTTTACCTCCATTCTCAACAGAGATATCTTCTAAACCAATGATAGTACCGTTTAATTCAGCCCAAACCTCTCTCATGGTTATCCTTTGTGGTATTTCTATAAAACTATATCTAAAATGCACAATCAGAAACACTTTTTACTAACAATTTTGTTGATCCACAAATTCATTACCGGTATCTTCTTAAATTAGATTTAATAGACTTTACACCAAACAATATATTTTTTATAGTCTGTTATAGGCTTGGAATCTTCTATTACATTTATTGAAGACTTAGAAGCTTCAATTTACTTATTTAACATTTAATAAACTCTTACAAGCAAAGAAATTTACATCTTTAATTTTTTTTTAAACATAACTGATCAATACTGGGTTAATTTTCCTAGATCAGGTAACAGTTACCTGTATGACAGGATATTTATAGGCATGTAAGTATCCACATTTGTAAATCCAAATGTCTGTTTCATCCCAGCATGTAATACACCTGTAGTATCACCATAGAGATAATAAACTCTGATATCAATATCTTCAGCTGACGTGTTACTTAAAATAGCCACATGAGCATTTCCTGATATGGTGACAGTATCAAATTTGTAGGTTGGATCACTGTGGAACAGCCAAGTTATACCACCAGCTTCACTTATGTCCTCATACTTGCCATCCAGGAGATTAGTCCGGTCACCAAAACTTACGATGGCAGCTCTGGGGTACTTGTGACCATTGTTGTCTACCTGTAGTTCTTTAGTTGAAGCTGTCCCAGTTGTAGCATCAAATAATTCAATGTATTTGGTTCCAGCGCCACCAGTTTCAAAGCTACTTACACCTATGAAATTTCAATAGAATAATTGATAAAGCAATAGTACTTCTCAATTCACAACTATCTATACTATAATTTTTTTTCACTTGTCTTCTATCATGTCTATAACACAAATTTGTCTCCATAATTTTTAACATTACAAAATCGAAATTTCTGTGTCATAGTTGAATATGCATTTCCAAAGATATGATTTTACCATTTGGATTAAATAAAGACATCGCTATTTAGCGGAAGTAAAATAAAGATATTATTAGTCAGCTGCATTAATTCTTAAGGTGTGGGGCAAAGTTGTTTAACATAATTCATTTATACTTCTTACTTATGTACAGCCCTTTCAAAGGTTATATATCTTCCATTTCAGAGGGATGGCCTTATACACATAAGACTATAAGAAGCACTATAAAATAAAGAAGATTTCATACCTCCATAAGCTTTCAAGGTGATATTAAGCTTGTTGGTATTGGCAGACTGTATAGATATCCTTCCACCACCTCCTCCTCCTCCTTGGCCTGTACCATTGCCGCCATTGGCTGTAATAACTCCATGACCTATGACCTCATCACAGTAAATCCATACACTGCCTCCAGATCCTCCTCCTATAATGTAATAAAAATATCAGGTTTTCAAAGGTTTGATCGATACTCTTTCATGAGTTGTTAATTTTAAAGTTGATGTTATCTCTAAGTCATTTTTACAAATACCATCATGGTTTGACTGACCACGACACAAAGTCTGTGTTATTGATGACCATTGAAATGTTCTAATATTCCATTTGTAGCCAAAATCCTGTCCCCCTTTAAATCCCAAATTAGTATTTGTAATGGGACATACAAAAGGTGTCACAAGTGAAGCAGGAACTGGATTCCCTACTAAATCACTTAAGTACACTAATGGTTTAAGGTGTGGTTTGTGTTGATCAATCTTTACTTATCTATGAAACTTTCAATGGAATGTGATGTGGTTTGTCCTTTTATCTTTTTTTTTCATTTGGCGATGGTGTTGTCTGTCATTCTTCAACATTTGATTTTGAATGCCCCTTCGATATTTACCTTCTCTCCCCCCCCCCCCCCCCCCCCCCCCCCCCACCCAAAAAAAAAAAAACCCAGCCTTTTCACTAACCTGGTCTGTACAATTTTCATCACAATAAAATCAAACACTTCCTCCTGACCCACCTCCTTCAGAAAATGACAGAAGAATATCAAAAATATACACACATGGGTAGTCAAGGTTAAGCAATACAGATGTGCTTTCAACTACTACCATATTTGTGGTTTTTCTTTCCTAACTGAGATAGGATTTAAAATAAATGTTAGGAGTCCACCAACCTGCATCTTCTCCTAGGGCTGTGCCAGGGTTCTCTCCATTGACTGAGATAGTACCATCAATATCTACATGTCTAGAGTAGATATAAATTCTACCCCCTCCAACTCCACCAGTGTGTCCATACACTACACCATTACCATTCTCACTGTCACCAAAGTATAGGGAATCTGATGAAAATAAACAAATATAAATTGTTGTTTAAGTACCAGGAATCAGGTTTAAAATAGAAAATATAAACAATAACCAACATAAAGAGAATAAGTACAAAATAAGTCATTTTTAATCACCATCAAAGTGCAAGGAATCTGTTCAGAATAAATCAATCATAAAGTGTCTTTTAAAAATTCTCAGGAGTCTGCACAAAATAAATCTCATCAGGTACATGCTGTCTCCATAGCATATAGATTCAATTCAAATTAAATTATTACAAACTGGACTATAAGAAGCAATGCAACATAGTTTTATAAACGTATGTGATACATATGATAAAATTATAAAGCATCAGTTAGGGGTAACTAGACACTTTTTTTCTTAAATCTAAATGTGTATATTTACCTTTATATCTACCATACCCACCAGGATTACCATAACCTACTGGTGTGTACAAGGAATCATATCCCTGTCCGACAGAATACTGTCCATAGCCACGCCCACCACTACCACCATGGCCACCACCACTTCCTCCTGTCAAAGATCCTACATGAAAAAAAAAAATGTTGTAGTATCTTATTAATTTGGTCTAAAATTTTTATGTTCATTTCAAAAGTTTTTCTTACTATCCATATCAATGAATTCTGAATTCATCATATAGTTCTTGTACCTAAGGAAATCTACAAACTATTCTTTTTACATTTCGATAAATATAAGGTATAACTGTCCATTAGGGAAATAAAAATGGAAAAATAATTTTTGGGCCAAAAAAAAAATTATATGTACTCAGTCAGCAAATTGAATTCAGTGTGTGTATTTGGATAAAATCACTCATTTAAAGCAGCTTTTGTTTTTCAATAAGTTTTGACAATTTTGCTAGATTTTTGCGCAATAAAGAAGAAAAATTAGGGGAAAATTTGCTAGTCGTTGATCCATTGGTGGAAAGACATTTAAAGGAGTCATATATTGCATTGAGCTACCTACCTGTACCATATCCTTTGTTCCAATCAATGTCCAGGATATGTCCTTGTCCGTTCAGGTCTACCAAACCTCCAGAATATATAGCAAACAAATGGTGGGTTGTCAAGTTTAGTCCAGTGCTACATTTAAAATGACCTCCACCATATATCTGAAAATCAAATGTATTATTATAGTGAACAAATATAAATGTCTAACCTACAATGTACCTGTTTGAGCAATGTTGTCAGTATATGTGGTCAGGTCAAATGATATACATCATGTCTATTGATTAATTGATAGATTGTTGGTGTTTAACACCACTTTCAGCACTATTGGCTATATCATGGCGGTCAGTTTTTATTTGTGGAAGAAGCTGGAGTGCCGGGACAGAACCACTGTTCTTCGACAGAAAAACTGACAATCCCAGTTAATTAAGATTGGAGTGGAAAGCACCTGCCACATGTGGGGTTAGAAATCACAACCTTAGTGTTGACAGGATAGTGATACAGTAGATGAACTACTTAGACCACTCAGCCACCAAGGCCCCACACATCATGTCTATTATTATCTTTTACATAATATTTAATCTATCAAATCATAGTAACCTGACTTTATTATAAAAAGGGTGGTAATTAATGAGATGTAAATTTAGCATTCTGTGACTTTATTACTACTGACCTTAGTTTTACCCTTGTTGACCTATTGATGTTGAACAAATAATTAATTTCAATCTGTGACACTAAATATCTTAGGATGTGTCAGTGTGATGAAATCTTTTTTTACAGAAAATGTTTACTTTCTGTATTGATGGGAAAATTTGAAATTATTTATCGAATACTCTGCAGAAAATCATCAACTTCAAATTATAACAATGAGGCAACCAAGGATGACAATATACCACATAGATATACATATTAGAGAAAAACAAATTCTATTACATTATTTTCACTTACAGTTACATTTGTAGAGTCCAATATGAATGTTTCATCTTTAGAGTAAGCATCCATGTGGAATGTTCCCTGGTCCTGTACATGTAATGATTTCAGTGACACCCTGGCTGGTGTTGTCATACCTATACTACCATTAGTGTCCACAGTCACACTGCCTCCATCAAATACATACAGATCTTCTATTCCCTGGATCTAAAAATAGAAATCAACAGTAATACCAAGGCAGATGTAGATATGTTACTACCATTAGTGTCCACAGTCACACTGCCTCCATCAAATACATACAGATCTTCTATTCCCTGGATCTAAAAATAGAAATCGACAGTAATACCAAGGCAGATGTAGATATGTTACTACCATTAGTGTCAACAGTCACACTGCCTCCATCAAATACATACAGATCTTCTATTCCCTGAATCTAAAAATAGAAATCAACAGTAATACCAAGGCAGATGTAGATATGTTACTACCATTAGTGTCCACAGTCACACTGCCTCCATCAAATACATACAGATCTTCTATTCCCTGGATCTAAAAATAGAAATCAACAGTAATACCAAGGCAGATGTAGATATGTTACTATCATTAGTGTCAACAGTCACACTGCCTCCATCAAATACATACAGATCTTCTATTCCCTGGATCCAAAAACAGAAATCAACAGTAATACCAAGGCAGATGTAGATATGTTACTACCATTAGTGTCCACAGTCACACTGCCTCCATCAAATACATACAGATCTTCTATTCCCTGGATCTAAAAATAGAAATCAACAGTAATACCAAGGCAGATGTAGATATGTTACTATCATTAGTGTCCACAGTCACACTGCCTCAATCAAATACATACAGATCTTCTATACCCTGGATCCAAAAACAGAAATCAACAGTTATACCAAGGCAGATGTAGATATGTTACTACCATTAGTGTCAACAGTCACACTGCCTCCATCAAATACATACAGATCTTCAATTCCCTGGATCTAAAAATAGAAATCAACAGTAATACCAAGGCAGATGTAGATATGTTACTACCATTAGTGTCCACAGTCACACTGCCTCCATCAAATACATACAGATCTTCTATACCCTGGATCTAAAAATCAAAATCAAATTTGAAACATTTCAGAAGCGTTTTTAAACAGTAAAAAAAAAAATCAATATTACATTTTGGTACCAACAAAAAAATTAAAAAAGCCCATGTTTTCAGGGCAAGAATGTAGTTATAACCTATAAAGTGAAAGAAGAAAAATTTCTGGAAAAAATTGTCATACTTTTGTTCACTTTATGGGAATGATCATAGTTTATATTTGTCTGTTTATCAAAAATAGTAATTATAATGGAGCCCTAATTCATTGATAACTTCTGAAGGTTTTCTCATACATTTCAATAAAAATAGTGGTAACCATTTTGCATGTTAGATTTGGTCTTCAAATATAATTTTTAAAGGAATAATCTTGTACAAAATTTGTTTCAAATATAGCAGATAGTAAGATGTAGACAAGGGGAATAGTTCAGTCCACAATATGTCAATCAGAATGAAATAAAAACAACAGCTGTTAACTCATCTTTAATTAAAATAAAAAGAAAGCATGCTACCACAAAGTTAACAAGACTGTAAATATACCAAAACAAACGTAGTTATCTGATTGCATGGCAAAAAAAGTGGAAAAGTTCATGTTTCATGAAAATGACAGTAAAAAACCTATAATTCAAAATAAAATAACTGCAGGCATATAAAAAAAATTTAAAATGAAATATTTCAAAAAGACCAAACAAGTGAGGAATGGACAAATGTAAAACTAGAAACTTGTGGTATTTTGATGGACAAAACAATTGACTTACCTCCCCTGAAGTGTGTAGATGTGTCTTGTAGAAAAATGGTCGAGGTGGATATGTTGCTTTACCATTTTCATACACATGTGCATTGAATGGTACATCAGAATCTGTGTCATTGACAAACAAGACCTGGTTGTAACCAATGTGGATATAACCTGAATGAAAAAAATAGTAATAACAGATAATTTATATCTTTATTCCACTCATTAAGAACCTAATAAAAATAAATTTGAAAAAAAAATTAAATCAAGGGCTGCAATCCTGGATTAAGGAAAATAGGTTAAAACTGAACCCACTCTGTATTTTATGGCTCACAATCAAGTCAAGAAATTTCAAAAGGTTTAATTTAGTTATAATTTTTTATAACGTAAATTAAAAACTGTTACCAAAGAGATAGATATGACTCGCCTTTTTGCTATTTTGTTAGCAAAATGCAAATGTTGAAATTAAAATAGCAATACTTTAACATGTAAGTTATATGCAAAATATTCAAAGTCAACTATGACTAAAGGTACAGGGCCAAACAATCTCCATGGAAATGAGATGTGTCAATGCTAATACAACTGCATACCAAATATCATTGACCTACCACTAGTGGTTCCCAATAAATAGACCTAATCACATACTAATTCTTGTAAACTAAGCAAAAGTTTCAAAGTCAATAGACTATGACTGAGGGGGCAGGGCCGAATAATCTCCATGGAAATCAGATGTGCAAATACTAATACAACTGCATATCAAATATCATTGACCTACCACTAGTGGTTCTCATTAGCTGACCTAATCACAAACTAATACATTGTTGACGCCGCCTCAGCCGGAAACAGCACACCTATGTCTCGCTTTTTGACTCCATCAAGGTGAGACAAACAAGTGAATCTGTGAGCTACTTCTCACTAATGATACCCCCGACCCGCTAAAAGTATAAGGTAAACAGGAAGTTGTTGAGTGATGAATCTGAAACGCATCACACGGTATAGCTGACTCATATAAACCCTGAAACCAAATTTCAGAAATCCTTGTAATGTAGTTCCTGAGAAAGATGCGACGAAAAATATTCATGGGACAGACAGAGGTAAAACAGTATACCCCCACTTTTTAAAGCGGGGGTATAAAAAATCACTCTGCAAGTACTCTTTAAAATTAAATATCAAATCTGTAAAAACCTTAAATAACCTGTAATTTATTTTGAAATCCATTGTAATAAACACTCAGCCATGATGTGTGTTAAACTTTAATGACACAGCAAGCCAATAACACCAGCTTACCAAAAACCACTGAATGTCATTAAATGGCTTTTAACTACAGTCAAGGATTCAGACCAAAAGACATTTGTTATATCTTACAAATCTTGCTCTATTTTAATAATACAAACCCGTCTTATCACCATTAAACATTCCCACATCGATATTGACATTTGATGTCAGACTAACAGAAGAATTAAACGCCAGATGTCCTCCACCTTGTACTGTCAACTCATCAAAATCAAACTGTTCATTGTCTGTCTTGGCAAAGATCCATGTGGTTGCTCCATCTAATACTCCAAATTTGTACCTATAGGTAAACAGATATAAATGGCAATACTCTGCTTTAGAAAATAAGATATAAATGATAAAAAAGAATTTTTTTTTGTTGTAAATGTAAAAGTGAATAATTATTTTAGTCAAATTTAAAAGTTTTTCTAATACACCAATTTCATATTCCTTGCCTTTAATACAACTGAATTTAATTTTGCAACTATAAATCTAATGACATTTGTAAAACAATAACTTTTGGTCTATGATGTCAATTTTTTAGTTGGGTTTAAATTTTATGATTTATAGGATTGTGAAGATATCATATAATCATTATAAACCAAACTGTTAAATTCTGCCTTAAATCATGCAAGTCTACCTGTCATAAATATTTCTGGCATCAGCAAAAATTTCAAGTTCTGTGAGGGAGGCTTTGTATGAACAGGACCACCACGGATTTGTTGATACCACTTCTATTTGAAATAGGTCAGCTTCCCTCATCACAGGAAGCTCAACATAGGATCCCTGGATGATCGGATTTCTAGGTTCTACATATGTGCTTGTTACAGCAAAGGAACTGCCTCGTAAGTAGCCAGTCACCTTAAAATAGAGAATTTATAAAAATATAGATATTCTAAGGCATAAAATCGATAGTTACATCAATAAAACACTTTCTGAGAACAAGTAATTGTCATAATTCATCAAGGGTAAAAGTAATGCTTAACTGAGAATATAGAGCACCAAGTATTTTGAATGGAAATGTTAATTTCTGTAAAAAAAAAAATGATTTTAGCAAATGTTGTTAAATCATAGAAATACACTGAAATGACTTGAATGCAAATATTATTACCAATCATAAAAGCAGAACAATAATTTATTTATTTTGATCAAATGCAGAACAACATTAAAGTGTTTGAGAGGGCAATACATTTAATAACTTGCTTTCTTGAACTTCCGTCTATAATGTATTATGTTGATGATTACAAAAGTTCACACCTTGAATGAAAAACATTTATTGTTTCTTGGTAGTTCACTTGCCTCGTGCAGAAAGTCAAGGGTTTGATCAATTATTTTTTGAATTTTGCATTATCAAATACCTTTTTCAGAAGACACTTTAATCTTCCACATTTCTGTTGGTCATATAAAACTAAAACATATTAGTGACTCTCAAGACATATGTATTGTGTAAATTTAAAACTGTTCTTCTAAGACTTTAACATAAAATGAACTTTGTACAAACCTTAAATTTTGACTGAAATGACTTTGTAGGATATATCTTCAACTTTGTGACAAATGCTTCAGCTGTTAGTTGTATAGTGACAGTAGTAGATGGTCCACTAGCCAGGAAGTAATGGTGTTTGTTATTATCAAAAGTCTGGTCAAATAAATTCATCAACAAGTATGATGAGCTGTCTCCCACTCTGTAATAACAGTAGTACCAGTAATGGTAGTTTGTATAGCTTCCTGTCGAGGACTGTATGGTATGACCAGCTGTAGATAAGTAGGATCTAGAAGTGGAGTAACTTGTTTCTGGGATACTAAAGTCAAGTCTGTAGCCTTCGTTATTTATAGCATAATGTTCATCCCTGATAAACTCTCCATTGTTATCAACCAGAACTTGTGAGTACATGGATGTTGTATTCTTGACGTAAGCTACACCAGATGCCCCAGCTTCTGCTCCTGTGTTGACATTACCCTTGCCACCCCATGTGTCATAAGAACCTCTGTAGGGAGGGATGGTATAGTGAGAGCTTTGATACAAGGCAATCCTACCACCTGCACCACCTCCACCATAGCTTGGGTCTCCTATACCTCCTAGAGCCTGGATATGTCCTGTGTGACTTCCTTAAATCAAAACATAAACCATGTCTTTAATATACTTCGCAGAAAACCATTGATTACTTTTATACATTAAATATAGAAATATAAATATCTTAAGGTAGATAGGGTGTCTTCCTCCATCTTGGATTTTGAATACCTGAAAACAATCGGTCTAGATCTTTAATAGAATGTGCAAATTTTGAGAGTAGTAGGTAATTCATGTGTAAGAATTTTCATTTCAATATAGAAAATGACATGTTTTATCATATTTATGGTTGTATTTTACAAAAAACAGAAAACTTTTGTTTGATTCAATTTTTTCCAACTTTGCCACATAAGGGGAGGCAACTCAAATGTAAGGGCAGATAATTCAGATGAAGGTACTTTTACAATAGAATGTGTTAGGAATTTACCTATTTTATTATGTAGCTAGAAAACGGGTCCGGTGACCCCATTTTTTCTTTTTCTTATCTGAAAGCATACTATTAAAGCTATCTTCTCATATTTTATCTCAAAATTCTATGGTGTAGTTTTCGTTTTATGGCAGAAAATTGGGTTTTCGATGCATAATCTATACAAAATCTGTTAATTTTGAACAACCTGTAGCGTGAAAATAAGCCCCGTGACCCATTCTTTTTATCATTTTTTTTTAAAAAGCTTGATATAAACTACATTTTGGCAAATTATTAAAAAATTCTATGGATTATAATTTAGACACCCCATCTACCTTAAATGTTGTTGAATTTCCAAGCATTATTTTTTTGAAGAAATCATCCCTGATATAGTAACAATCAATAATCTTTCTGTCATTTTACAAAAAATACTAATTTATAGCTTAAACAATTTTCATCAACAAGGTTAAGTTTTCATTTTCAGTATTTCTGTTACTGTATAGTTTGCAGGATTTTACTAAAATAGATAAGTGATAACCAATGTTTCCTGCTGACCTGCAATATAAGTATATTGTACAGAGAGGTACAAAAACTAGGCACTGAAGCAAATACCCTATACAGCTCAATGACCTCCATGAACTGTTTTAGGACTGCACAAAACCATCATTAACTTATCTTCCATCATCCTCAAATAGCCTCCTCCATGGTTAAATCTAACAGCATCGTTAAATAACTGCAACATGGTTGAAAGGTGTAGTCAAATTTGTTTTCGTTTAGCTAGCTGCCATTTTTACTTGCAATTATAATCAGTGACTTTTAAAAGTTTAGTGCTATTCTGTCAAAACTACGTCCAATGTTTATTAGAGTTGACTACCTTGTTACAGAAAACATTGAAGGTGTGAATTTGCTCATTTACTGAGGACGACATATATAGTAGATCCTTACTGTGCCATGGCGTGTATCTGATAAGTTACCTGTATAATTGACAGTGTTGATCAGAATACTGCCACCACTACCACCACTTGACATAGACCAGGATGTGGTATAGAGTACATCCTCACTGTTAGCCATGATATGTCCATCTACTGTCAGGGTATGATCAACCGCTATCTCTAATCGTCCTCCTCCTACAAACAACAAATAGTTTAGCTATACATAATGAAACCACCACTTTGTTTTTTTCTTTGTTCTTTTCCATTTACTTAAGATCTTTTTCTTTTATATATACTAAATGAAGCATCACTATTGAGACTTGTGTAAACAAAACACTTGTCTGGCATACAAAATTATAAGTCTAGTATCTTTATGAGTTTTTCATAGTTCATCCAACAGTTACCAATCTGAACCAATCAAAGCACCAGCATCTCTTTTGGGTCAATAGATAAACACCAGATTTCTAACTTCAGATATCACATTTACCCACCTGAACCTCCTTTAGTCCCAGCACCTCCACTACCAAACATTTTAGGTTCATACAGATCACCGTAGGCCTGACTTCTTCTCAGTTTACATGTAAGGTAGTTATCACAAGCACCTTGACCTCCAATGCCACCATGGGAGGCACCACTGGCTCCATTACGTTGCCATACACCCACACCTAAAATTATATTCCAATCCAAATGTATTTCTTACATCTAAAATTTAAACTATATCTATATGTGTGGGAAAACTACAAAAACTAAAAGAAAAAAAATATATGTTGAACACTTTTAAAGACCATGTTTATCAATATGTGAGGCATTAAACAATTACATTACACTAGCTGGTATATACCTTGATTTTGTTGCAATAATAAATGTTTTTTCAAAGTTTGTATAACAAAAGAAACAGACAAGTAAAAACGTTTTTATACAACACATTAAGTTTGAAATGATGCGTAAGAAAAATATTGATCTAAAAATTTAAAAGAAAGGATGATTTTACTGTAGTGATTCAAGAGATTTTGTCCTTTCAGACCTGAATACTGATGGGCTAAAAGACTCTCAATTTGCAGTTAAAATATATTTCTTTAAACTGATGAACAGGTGAGACATTTCAGCCTGAGATTACAGATTGCTATATAAATAGCCCCTAAATGTTTTGTTCTGATACTAGTAATTTGACAGTATAAGAGTATATTTTGGTATAAGTCTTATTTCTCAGTTGATTTCTATTTATTATATAGAACTTACCATCACCAGTATTTGGGTCATTTCCTCCATTATTGACACTAATGATTCCACCATCATCCACAGTCAGATCAGTGGCAAACACTTTCACATACGATCCATTGATAGCTCCACCACCTTCCACTGTAATGTAATTAAACACTAGCTGATATTGGTCAGTATGTGCCTTAGGATTAGAACAGTTAATGTAGGAGTTAGCCTTGATTGTTGTAGTACCATTAATATGGTAGTTAAGTCTGCTATGTTTGTTTGTTGATCCTGTCAAATGAAGTTGTAGAGCTCCTCCATCAATCAAAGTCATGTTTATAACATGATCCATAGTTCCTTCCAATCTGACAAACACTCGTTCCAAGTTTGTGTCTGGAGCCAAACCAAGGTAGCCCCCATCATAGACATATGTGTTAAATGGAGTGTCAATGAAGTCTCTACGTAAATCCATTGTCTGGTGATTTCCAACATGGACATAACCAGTACGGTCACCAATCATATCCTGAAAGTGTAAAGTTACTCCATCTTCAAATGGTTCAGGCAGAATAGCAAGATGGGCATTACCATAAATCTGTAACTCTTCAAACCTATAATCGTCATTGCCATTAGCCAGCCAATGTTTTCCAGCATTAGGTAAAATCCATGCCTTGAAGCTGTCCTCACTGAGATCAGTATAGTCCTCTATCATACCAACATCACTTTCTAGACCATTATTGTTTATGTATAGAGTTGAATGGTCATAATCTTGGTGGTATAAAAAGATAGTTCCAGGTCCACCAGGTTGTGTTGTAGAACTACCACCATGCGATTCATAATTACCGAGATATGTATTGTTTACAGTGAAGTAAACAGCTACTCTCCCTCCAGCACCTCCTCCTCCTGACCCACTGCTATACTGACTGCCACCATTTGAAGCAATAGTTCCCAATCCACGGAAAACTCTGCAATATACCCATATACTGCCACCAGAACCACCTCCTCCATTGGAAGCTCTAGCATTTCCTCCATTAGATCGTAGTTCACCGTCAATTTCAATCATATTAGTGGCATTAAGCCATAACATGCCACCACCTTGGCCACCATTTCCACCACCAGCACTACCGTGTATATATGGTTGATACAAGTGGCCATAAGGTTGACCTGTCTGACTGGTTCCTGCTCCCTTACCACTGGTACCACCATGACCAGCACCTGATGATCCTGAAGCATGAGTTACACCTTGTCCAAAGTTGACATTTCCATTCTTTAAATCTGTATATCTGTAACCCAAACTATCTGAATGCACTGATCCTCCATCGTCTACTGTTATATTAATAGCTTGGATACTTATATTAGTTGCAGCCAAAGTTCCACCACCTTCGATAAATAGGTTGAAATGGACCACTAAATCCATACCTGGTTCTGTGACTGGGTCGGTCAGTGACTGAATTGTTGAGTTGGCCTGGATACGGACATAGTTAAATTCAAAGTGGTCTGGATCTAATCCTTCTGTGAAACCACCGCTCTCCATTGATAATAGGCCATTGTGATGTAAAGTTAAATTGTCAATGTGGACAAGTTCTCCATGCATCCAGATACTGACACCATGTACAATTGTCATAGGAGCCAAACCTATGTATGACCCAGCATATGCCCTGACACTGAATGGCAGATCAATTTCTTCTCTTTCAAGATCCATAATTTGGTTGTTGCCTAAATGAACAGTTCCAGATCGGTCACCAATCATGTACAGAAAAAAGACATCTACCTCATGGTCAACAGGGTCAGGTAAAAAGGCCAAGTGACCAGCTCCATACATCTGTAATTCATGAAAATGGTATTGGTATCCTCCACCAGCAAAGTAATGACTTCCAGACACGGGCAGTATCCATGTTCTACAACTGTCAGATGACAGATCTGAATAATCATCTATGACGTTAAACTTGTCTTTTGGCTGGTGACCTCCATTGTCAATAATCAGAGTTTTATGTTCCTCTAACATATTGAAGACAAACACAGTACCAGCACCACCATTTTCAGCAGACAACCCACCCTTGCCTCCAATAGCCTGGAATCTAAATGCTGTCATAGTTTCATTTCTGTTGAAGTAAACTGCCACCCTGCCACCAGCTCCACCACCTCCATTCACATGTGAGGCATCACCACCATGAGCCGTTATTTTACCATAACCTTTGATAAGTTCACAGAACATCCAGACACTTCCTCCACTTCCACCAGCAGCCCCATCACCACCTCTGGAATTTACTTCTCCGTCAATCATAATTGTATTGGTCACATTCATCCATATAACACCACCACCAGATCCTCCTGAACCACCTGAACTGCCAACTTTGTCTGGTTCATAGATGTTACCATAGGCAAATCCTGCAGCTTGGGAATCAACACCTTCACCAGCACTTCCACCATGACCACCACCACCGTAAGTGCTGGATGGTATCCCTAGATTGACATCTCCATGGACTGATAGACCTGAATGAGTCGCATGGCTATGAGATGTATTGTAACCTTTGCCCTCTGTTGTTATCACTCCACCATCATCTACCGTGACATTCTCCACGTTAAATGTCATGTAGGTACCGTGAAATATACCACCTCCTTCAACAGTGACAGCTTTTAGATAAAATGTGATTCCATGGTCAGTTACAGCATCTGTTGTACAATCAATCTTTCCATCATCCTGAATAAGGATGTAATCAAATTTATAATGACTGAACGTTTGTGCTGGTGTTCGTCCACCATTCTGTAACCATAAATATCCTCCATGGTGTAAAGTTATATTTTCAATATTCGACAATACACCTGCAAGATGGATGTCTACACCATGGACATAAGTCATTGGAGCTAGTCCTAAGAACCCACCAAAATATACAAAACAATTGAAAGGCAAGTCTATTTCTTCCCTGAACAAGTCCAAGACTTGATTTTTAGCAATATGGACTGTCCCAGTTCTATCTCCAATCATGTATTTAAAATCAATAGTAACATTAAAATTTGCAGATACTGTTCCAGACACAGCTGAATCAAATACTGTGATGTCACTAGGATTCAACACAGCCAAATGTCCATTGCCATAAATTTGTAATTCTTCAAACTCAAACACGTACTTTTTGTCAGCAAATTCATGGGTCCCAGACTGAGGCAGAATCCATGCTCTGCCACCATCATGGAGCCTATTATTCCAATAAACATATTTTTCACGAGGGTTAGGAGCACCATCATTGTCTATAAGTAGTGTTCTATGATCTTCAACCATGTCATAAATATAGATTGTCCCAGGTCCACCACTTTCAGAGTCATCATCTTCTTTCCCAGGCCATCCACCATTAGCTAGGTAGGTAAACTCACTGAATGTCTTGTTTTCTCTAAAGTACATGGCCATCCTTCCACCTGCACCACCACCTCCACCATATTCAAATGACATATAATTGCTATAATTGCCACTTGTAGTGGTGTAGTTCCTGTGAGTTCCAACAGACCCATTGCCACCTCTGGCCATTATTTTACCATATCCAGTAACAGTCTGACAGAACAACCAGATACTACCTCCACTGCCTCCTCCTCCAGGTAGAGAGTTCATCCAGCCACCTGAACTTTGTGAGATAGCTGTATCATCTATCTGACCATTTTCACCACTGGCAGTCATTAGTCCATCAATAAGTATGGTGTTGGTCACATTCAGCCAAATTTTACCACCGCCTGCTCCGCCTTTTGGACCACCTCCTGCACTACCAAACAGTAAAGGCTTGTATATATCTCCATAAGGTTCTCCTCCAAGATCATTTTCTGTAATATATCATCACATTCATTTAACAAATATTCTTTAGAAATAAATGTTAAGAAATCTGCTGGCAATTGAAATAAATGTAATGCAGTTTGCTTCTTAAGATAAGATTTACTTTTTGTAAGAAATAATTGAAAAAATGAATGAAAATTTTCTGGTGAAAAAAAAGCTGATTTCCTTTACATCAGACATATGCATCATCTTAACATATATTATGTAAACAATGATGCCAGAGTAGCATGCAGTCTGTAATTATATTTCAATCGATGCAAGTACAAATATTTACTTATACTTTTATATATCACCTAACCTTCAATTAAATATGAATTATAAAGAAGCTTCATTTTGTATCTATTTTGCCTTCAAAATTAGTTCTGTAAATATAAACCAACCATGTCCCCTGCCTCCACTTCCACCATGACCAGCTCCTGAGACACCAACAGTACCAGTATAGCCCAGTCCAGGATTGATCACTCCATGTAGTCCTTCTCTGATATTTCCATCTGCATCAGTCCCTTCTCCATCAGCCAGCTCATATCCAAATCCATCTGCTGATAATGTTCCCCCAGCATCAATGGTAATATTCTCTGAGAGAAAATACATGTGTGTTCCCTTCACCAAACCACCTCCATCAATATTCAATGCTGTAGTTGTAAATGTAATTCCAGGCTCTGTCACAGGGTCACTTATCATATGAAGATATCCGCCATTTTTGACATGCACAAACTGGAAGTCATACTTGCTTGCATCTTGATTTTTAGTCCTGCCTTCTACATTTAGCCACAATTTTCCATCATGGTATAATGTTAGATTGTCTATGTTGGCCAATGTCCCATTTAAGAAAATATGCACACCATGTATGAATGTGTTCGGAGCCAAACCAAGGTAACCACCATCATATACATGGACACTGAATGGAAGATCTATTTTCTGTCTCTCCAGATCCATGACTTGTCCTTTTCCTACATGTATGGCTCCGGATCTATCTCCAATCATGTTCTCAAAATAAATTGTAGCATCACTTTCTACTGGATCTGTTAGTACTGCTAGCTGAGCCTTTCCATAAATCTGTAGCTCATTGAAAAAATAACTGGAATCTGTTCCTAAAATCAAAATTCAATTAAGTTTTATAATGAGCCAATATGCACTGGTAACTTTTAAAGTAAGAAATTATCAATATTTGTTTATCAAAATGTGACGAGGTCAGAATTTTAACTTTGCCCATATAGAAAAACAAACACATCTATTATATATTTATTCAGTTTACTTTTTAATTTTTTTGGTAGTAAAAATTAAAAAAATTGTATCAAGTCTATGAGAGGATTTTTGCAGATTTGAGAGATTGTTTTATCTAGCTAGAGATCTAACTTGTTCTAATCTTCTGCACTATTGATGAGCATGTCATCTTTGAAATCTAGTAGGTTTTATGAATCTTAAGAGCTTTGCAAAATGCATTGCCATATTTCAGTAAAACATTGTAGGGAGCAATCAAATGCAACAGGTCATTGGTTTAAAAATAGGCTACATACAATCAAATCTTGACACTTTAAGCATTTACAACTGCAAAACAGCTTGAGCTACATCAAATCTGATTGAAATATGCAGGTATTTGCAATTACATAAAAACCTTTTTTCTAATCAATATTCAAAGATAATATTTTAATTTAGATGTAAAAGAAGATTAAGTGAGAATTAGTACCTGCAAGTGTATGTCTACCATGTTCAGGAAGGAACCATGCTCTGAGCTGATCACTATCAAGGTTGGAATAGTCCTCAATGACATTACTATCACCATCAGGACCTCTGTTTATATTGTTCAGCAACAGTGTACTATGGCTGTAACCTATTAAATAATACAGAAATCCTAGCTTTTTGTTACCATACATAATTCAATTGATACCATAATGGTAACTTCACAGTGCTGAAATTAGTAACAACATTTAGTGAAACAAACACCTACATTCTGTAAATGATCTTTCATGGTTTTGTCTGTTTGGTTTTTAGCTCCATTAACTTTTGTTCCTGGTCCTCCCAAACCCTTGCCACACAAATATTATAAAAAATTAAAAGAAGAAAGTTAGAAGCAAGTTAATTTAAGTTTCAAAATATCCTACACTATTTTCTTGTAGGAAGCATTCAAAAATTGATAGTAACAACTGTTAATTAAAAACATTATAACTGCTTTATTATTTTCTGTGACCTAGATATCTTAAAATAAACCTTACCAGTGTGGTAGAAGAAAGACGTTCCAGGACTACCATTATTCTCACCAAGACCACCATAGGTATCAAATGACCCAACATAGGTTTTGTTATCAGCAAAGTCCATAGAAATTCTGCCTCCAGACCCAGCACCACCCAAACCTAACCCATCTCCTCCAATAGATTGGAACTTTCCATAACCCTACAATAAATTCTCAACATCAATTAAAGAACCTTAGTGAGCGCGCTCACATACCCCACGTCCCCACATTGTCATTGGAGAAATAAAATATGTGTAAGAAAAAAAAATTGTATAAGAAAAAAAAATTGAATCATAATTTCCTGTCAATATGCACATCTACATAGTATGTCCTTATTATCTACAAAGTTTCATGAAATTATGTTGTGTGGTTTCAGAGGAGTTGCAATGACAAACTGTTGCAGTAGTACATTGAAGCAAATAAGTTCAAAGGGGCGTAACTCCTAGAAAAATCAAAGCGTGAAAGCGCTGTAAAGGCAGTTAATTACAGGTTGTGTGTATTTTTAGTCCAGTTATATCATTATCTTGCATAGTACATTGTACTTATCAGAGGTGGCTTTCAGTATTTAAGATTTAGAGTTCTCTAATGATATTGAACAAGTTTTATGAATGTCATATTCTGAGCACTATATGAAGGCGATTGTTCTCATTTGTTTATGAACTAGTGCATTATGTCCAGTTTGTACCTTTTTTATCTATGTTTATAGTCAAATACTGTTAAAAATAGTTTGGCATTTTCTTTTTAGTAATAAGTAAATGTTATCAACTGTATTTTATTCGACTTTGCAAATGTGGTTTGTTACTGGTAAGTACAATGTATGGGTGATAGTTGTTTCATTGGCAATCATGACACATCTCCTTATTTATAAAATGATCTATATTCAACGACCTCAGGTACAAAAAAAATGTATGTAACTAAACTATGATGGGAAAACTTTGACTTCTTTCTTTTATATGAACTTTTGATTTGGTACCATAAAACTATGTAGAATAAATGTACATTGCAACATGTCAACTCTTTCAATGACAATACTTTTTTTAGAAACTATAACTCCAAGCAAAATTATATTTCCAAGTATAAAGTAATTTATGAATGAAACAAGAGTGCACCAGGATGAAATGTCTCGCCTTCTTTACTAATCATTGATATTATGTTGATAGTCCTAAATATAAAGCTTTATTACAACTGTCACATAAACTTAACATTAACCAAGTAAACTAAACATTGACCAATGAACCAAGAAAATGAGGTCAAGGTCAGATGAACCATGCTAGGCAGGCATGTACAGCTAACAATTCTTCCATACAACAAATATATATCGTTGACCTATTGCTTATAGTTTAAGAAAAACAGACCAAAACACAAAAACTTAAAACTGAGCAATGAACCTTGAAAATGAGGTCAAGGAAAAAAAAAACCTGCGTGACTGACAAATAGATCATAAAATATTTCCACACACCAAATATAGTTGAACTATTGCATATAGTATTAGAAAAAAAGACCAAAACTCAAAAACTTAACTTTGACCACTGAACCATGAAAATGAGGTCAAGGTCAGATGACACCTGTCAGCTAGACATGTACACCTTACAATCATTCTATACACCAAATATAGTAGACCTATTGCATACAGTATAAGAAAAACAGACCAAAACACAAAAACTTAACTATAACCACTGAACCATGAAATGAGGTCAAGGTCAGATAACACCTGCCAGTTGGACAGTCCTTCCATACACCGAATATACTAGACCTATTGCTTATAGTATCTGAGATATGGACTTGACCACGACAACTTAAACTTGTTCACTGATCCATGAAATGAGGTCGAGGTCAAGTGAAAACTGTCTGACGGGCATGAGGACCTTGCTAGGTACGCACATACCAAATATAGTTATCCTATTACTTATAATAAGAGAGAATTTAACATTACAAAAAATCTTAACTTTTTTTTCAAGTAGTCACTGAACCATGAAAATGAGGTCAAGGACATTGGACATGTGACTGACGGAAACTTCGTCACATGAGGCATCCATATACAAAGTATGAAGCATCCAGACCTTCCACCTTCTAAAATATAAAGCTTTTAAGAAGTTAGCTAACGCCGCCACCGGATCACTATCCCTATGTCGAGCTTTCTGCGACAAAAGTTGCAGGCTCAACAAAAAGGAGTTCTTAATTAAGAAATAAACTGATTTGCTGAGCGCAGCTGAATACACCTGCAGAGGTCCAACCCTGAACAGTTGGGGCAAAAATGGACACAATATTCAAGCTTGATACAGGTCTGAATTTGGATTGTAATTAAATATTTGACATATTATAGTTTCTGAATAAATGTAGTCAAAGAACTTGAAATCGGTTATATGAATTGAATTTATATTCAATTAAAGATTTCTTGCTGTTGTGCAATACACTGTGCTGTTGCGCAATACTTAATAAATCTGTTGCCAGACTATAAACAAATAAAGTTCAATTTCTTCTCAATGTCATATTTGAAATTTATGAAAATCAATAGGGAGATTACATCAATAGCTATAAATAATTCACCAAAGTTTCATGCGAACTGCTTAAAGCATTTTTGAGTTGTTGTCCAAAAACTGGAAAATCCCCCCTTTTTTTAATGAATAAAACCCCACAACTCAGAAATGTAAAATCTAAAATTTATAAAATTCTAAAGGGAGCTTACGGATTGATAATTTAGTCTTAGATGCAAGATTTTTTCATCAGTTGTTAGTGGCTTTGAACTAGCTGTCAGTAAATGCGAGTACTCTCAGATCTGTACTTAGTGTCTTTTAGTTGTTTGGATGTACAACTACCCGGCCACGTCCACTTGTATTTGTATTTATCCATCTGATGAGTTAAGCCTCTTTCAACTGATTTTTATAGTTCGTTCTTATATTGTACTGTTACACCACTGTCCCAGGTTAGGGGGTGGTGGGTTGGGATCCCGCTAACATGTTTAACCCCGCCACATTCTGTATGTACATGTATGTGCCTGTCCCAAGTCAGGAGCCTGTAATTCAGTGGTTGTCGTTTGTTTATGTGTTGCATATTTGTTATTCGTTCATTTTTTGTACATAAATTAGGCCGTTAGTTTTCTTGTTTGAATTGTTTTACATTGTCATTTCGGGGCCTTTTATAGCTCACTGTGCGGTATGTGCTTTGCTCATTGTTGAAGGACGTACTGTGACCTATAGCTGTTAATTACTGTGTCATTTGGTCTCTTGTGGAGAGTTGTCTCATTGGCAATCATACCACATCTTCTTTTTTATATTTACATCAACAGATATAAACAATTCACCAAAGTCAAACTTAGTTGTAAGATCTCTGAAATTTTTTACGCTGTACAAGTTTTTCTAATTGTTGGAGATTGTACGGTGACAGTAACACCTGTAACTGCTTAACCCATTTCTTATGCACTTTGGTTCGATAAACTCACTGAATATCATACCACATCTCCTTATTTTTTTATGCATTACAATTTACATGTGCATGTCATTGTAAATAATATTTATATATATATATCAGAACAAACTTCATTGCGTCACTTTTATTTATGCATCCTTTGGCACAATACAAGTTCTAAAATTACACAACATAAAACAAATAAATGTTATTTCAGATGAAAGTTTTGTTTCAGTTCCATTCATAGGATTTATTAGAATTTTGTATGTTTTGCCAAGTCTAATAATTAGCTCTTTGTGCACGTGTTAATTGGAGACTTTTCTATCCCGTATAAGAGTTTTGGAACTAATTCTGTTTCTTTTTTTGAAAAAAGTGAGCAAACAAATCTTGCACATTTAAACCTTTGTCTGCCATCACACTGTCACCTGGATCACATAATTGAACTACACATGTATTCTACATCTTTCAACTATTTCACAGTCACTGGTACAACCAACATATGCATTAGAGACATACATTTTTGTAGTTGACTAAACCACCAGGTGTCGAACATACAAGTATTTTCAGTGTTTCTGTTTTTATATGATGAAAAGGTTGCCTGAGCTCTAGGAGCTTTATGTTTTATCACGGGATATTTTGTGCTGTCAATAATAATCCAAGTTGTAGGAAACTTTAATTTGAAGTTGGATGGCGAAAAATACCTGACTAAACTACTAAATGGCCAAGTGTTAGCCTCACGCCACTGTTTAGACATAAAAACAATCCATGTTTACACAATATTCTTAACACTAGTTTCAATCTAGAATCTAAAAAAAATGATTTTCAAATGACACCCTATCAATTTGAAAATATATGTATCTCAAACAATGTGCTGCTGGACCAAGTGTGGTCAAAACAAATAAAAATTTAGTATACAACTCTAAACTGGTATAAAAATGCATGGCTGTGTCACGTGTCTTCATTTCAAAATTCTCTGCTGAAAATATAGGCATTGATGGTGTTTGCGTAATTCCATCTGTGAAGCTCAACATTAGCTCGGCAGTTGGTGGTGGACAGTCATAAATCCTGTCTGCAGTATGAATGACTTCTTCAGGAAAACCAACTTTACAATCAAAACTTTCCTCTAGATTTCTACTACAATATTCATCAAGTTTAGTTCTTTTGTTTTCACAGGAAACTGCCCTGATTTTTCTTTTTGCGGACGATTCAGTCTCTTGCTTGATCCAGGAAAATAGGCTGGAAATGGCAGTAGACTTAAGTCTCTGTATGGAGGGTTTGCGCTCTGAAAAAGGTTATAAAACATTAGTTTTTTGATAATTAAATGAACTTCCATTAGCAATGCATACTTTGTACTACCTGGCAAAATATTAACTAGATTTATTCATTACAATCTGGATAAAACTATGTTAGCCTGATTCAATGTACATCAAAATGTATGTTATGTAAATCCAAAGGACAAACAATGAGAGACGTATGCAACAAACATACATTGTTTGTACCTAAATAACTATAATATGGATGAGAGCATGTCATTGTTTTGTTCCTGTTAACATTGTCATTGATATTTTTCAAGAAAGTCTATGAGGCATAGCTTATGCATTCCTGTCATTACTACATTAGCATAATTACTGCTAAAATAATTCTCAGTATGATATACCTCTTGTAAGAAATCATTATAATTGTAGCAAGCACCAAAAAATCTCAAACAGATCACATTGAATCGTAATCCAAAAAATTATGACGTCTTGAATTAACCACCCCTTTTATTCTAAAACGATAATTGCGGTTGTAAACAGACTTTGGTTTATTCGCATGGCGATTACATATATAACTATACATTTTAAAAAGAAAATAGAGTTTTACCAGGAATAGTTTCCTGCACGTAGTCTTTTTCAGTAAAATGTGCCTTGCAAACAACAGCTGATTGAGATGGACTCCATGATTTCACCGTGTTCTCGTCCAATCTGCGTATGGGCCATGGCGTTGATCCAACTTTTCCTTCTTTTTAAGTCATTTGGAAATGCATGTCCTCCTCTTAAATGACATCCAGGTACACAACAACAAGTACTTGGCATCGTTAATTAAAATGCAACTGTAATAGTTGCACAGTGCAGAAACCGGAAGTTCAAGAACAGGATCGGCTACCACGGCGCCACCTATTCAGGAACGATAATTTGCTACTTTATATAACTGCGAAATAACAATAACGTTAGACGGGTTCGCGTGCATAAACAGAAATGCGCTTTAAATTGTATAATATAATTCATGTTCAGTCGACCTTTAATTATTATATCAACGACTGAAATGATTAATAAACATCTAGATTGCAGATAACACTCGAAATTAACCCGACCTCTTTACACACGGAATTCAAATAATTCTAGTTTGTCAATCGGTTGACTGCTTATAATGTAAAATACAAATATATCAAAAGTTTTTAAAACTAACAAAACACAATGATCGTTTCTCTATTTCCCAATGTAAATGAAATGAAACAAAAAACATTTTATATCACAATAAGAAGAGAAGAGAATCAACATTTTCCGGATCTACTTGGAGCCTAATGACCCCCCACGTAGATAAGTTGGATATCGCGGAAAGAAAGATTAACACGGCAACTAGAAAGGCATTAAAGCACTGCCTTTAAAAATTGAATCATAATTTCCTGTCGATATGCACATCTATATAGTATGTCCTTATTATCTAAAAAGGTTTCATAAAATTCTGTTGTGTGGTATCAGAGGAGTTGCGATGACAAACTGTTGCAGTAGTACATTAAATCAAATAAGTTCAAAGGGGCGTAACTCCTAGAAAAAAAATTGAACCGTAATTTCCTGTCGATATGCACATCTACATAGTATGTCCTTATTATCTAAAAAGGTTTCATAAAATTCTGTTGTGTGGTATCAGAGGAGTTGCGATGACAAACTGTTGCAGTAGTACATTGAAGCAAATAAGTTCAAAGGGCGTAACTCCTAGAAAAAAAATTGAACCGTAATTTCCTGTCGATATGCACATCTACATAGTATGTCCTTATTATCTAAAAAGGTTTCGTGAAATTCTGTTGTGTGGTATCAGAGGAGTTGCGATGACAAACTGTTGCAGTAGTACATTAAAGTAAATAAGTTCAAAGGGGCGTAACTCCTAGAAAAAAATTGAATCGCTATTTCCTGTCGATATGCACAACTACATAGTGTGTCCTTATTATCTAAAAAGGTTTCGTGAAATTCTGTTGTGTGGTTTGAGAGGAGTTGCGATGACAAGAAACAGGACTGACGGACTGACGGACTGACGGACGGACAGACGGGTCAAAAACCTTTATACCCTCCGCAACCCGTTGCGTGGGGTATAATAATAATCCTTCGCCAATACATGCTATAGCCTTGAACTTTCAATCAACCCTACAATAAATTCTCCACATTAATACTAATCTTTCTTCAATAGCCTTGAACTTTCTACAATCCTAAAATAAATTCTCCATATATGCCCTGTTTAAAATTTGATATTTTAACATGCACCCATAGTTAGACAAAAATATAAGAGTGAACAAATGGTCATACCTTAATAAGATTGACCTCCATGTTAATAGAACCACCACTTCCACCACCAGAATTGTATCCCTGTCCATTTTCACCATTAACACTGATCTCTCCATCATTCTGTAGGATACCAGACACCTGAAGGAATATCACTCCCCCTCCTCTGCCTCCAGTCTCTGTTAAATTGTCATTGCCTCCTTTACAACCTCTGTCTACTGAATCAAATACCTGTCCATGAGGGGCACCTGTTTTCATTTGTCCTGAGCCACGTCCACCTCTACCTCCATGACCAGCACCTTTTATGTCAAATAAAATAATTTTATATCAATATAAGGCGATGTGGTATGATTGACAATGAATTCATACATTCAACCCATTTGTTAACTTAGCAATCATATATACATTTACAAAAATTGTTCAGAATTGCATCATTCTACCACTGACCTGGACATTTAGTTAAGATCAGTCCAAAGAATATTTTGTCAGGTAGAATACTTATTTTCTTACATTTAAATATTGTAGCTATCAAATGATTTTTGTGCAATGTATTCATGATTTCTTCACATAAAAGAATTTGTCAAACTTTGTTTGCAATTCTATAAAAGGTATTAAAATTAAGGTTAATCAATAAATCTGGCTTCTTCAGTGAATGGAATAATACTGCTCAAAGGTTATTGCACAGATTATGGTGAATTTAGCCTTTAGTAACAAAAAAATATTGCACATTTTTGAGTGCAAATACTACTCTACTAGGGACACTGTTCACCAAATTTATTCGATAAACATTATCCTGTACAGTCAATTTAATAAATGATTTTGACCTTCATTTTCATCTACCTACCTGAAGCTCCACTACTGGAATCAAAACCATCTCCTGTTGAACAAGCTATATCATGTTTGTCTCCATTTATCTGTCCAAGATCATCTACAATCAAATTCTCTGAAGTGATGTTTACATGGACAGCATGAATGTGACCTCCTCCCTGGACCCATAGTGTACCTGCCTAAAATTCAGAAAACATTCATTTTATCTTATAATCTAAAAACATTGCACTAGTCTTTAATGGTTTAATATTAATATCTTTTGAACTCTCTTAATTTTCTTCATTTTTCCCCTGTTTAGCTTTAAATCTTTGTGCCATATCATTTTAATGATTTTCTAGATCTATATTCTCTCAATGTTATACTTTAAAAGTTTTGCAATTTTTCCTGTAAAACTGTTTGGTGTGTGAAAGTCAGTGCCTCTAATTACTATACCATCTTCTGTCTTTATAAATTCCGTTTATTGTTTGGTTGCTAGCTAGACAATTTATATTTGTAATAATTAGGTTGCTGTCCAGAACATCTGAAAAAGTAACCTACTGCTGCCCCTTCAGGTTAAGTCATGACTTACTGTTATAGTGATGTTGATGCCCATGGCAATAAGAACATCTGAAAAAGAAACCTACTTCTGTACCTTCAGGTTAAGTCATGACTTACTGTTATTGTCAGGTTGCTGCTCATATTTGTCAGATCATCTGTTACAGTTACTTCCCCTCCTGCTTTCACAGTCAGTTTATTGAAGTCATATATCCCTTTTCCTCCTGTGGTAGATATGGTATCTCCCGTGGCTCCTAACTTCAGTACACATCCATCACCCACAGTCATGTCTACAACTCCTAGTTGTCCCCTAGTAATAATATACAAGATATACCTACATTACCAGCATCAGAATAGGTTGACCTAAGGGTGTGTTTGGTTATTCATTATTGTACTTTTGTTCATATAGATCCTCAAATATTCAAGTATTTATATAGTTTTGGCTTTTGAATTTCTGGTTTGAGTAAGAGTGAAGGAAAAATCAAGAAAAAGGCTTCAATTGCACCAAATTTATAAAGTTTTTTTTTAATTTTCTAGTCCATTCTTTTAATCTGTTATACTTTCAAAATAATTAAAAGGTGAATAATTTGTAAAGGGTTCTTTGAAACACTGTGACTTGCCTGCAATTGCTGCTGTCCATCTAGAGACAAATAAAAATAAAATTTTGAAAACTTTGCTATGAATACCTTCTTTTAATCATGAAAAACCTTGGTCAAAGTTTCATAAAATTCCATGAAGGTTTGACAAAGTAATTATGGTATAAAAAAATCTTTAAACACTGACAGAATGAAGGATCGCTATGGCTCACTTCTCTGGTTTACATCACCAGATTGTCAAAAATTTAATTAAAATTAAAATTGAAAAAGCAATCTGTTGAGAGAACAAAACAAATACTATACCTACCAAACAATGAAATTGACATTATAGCAATCAAATGCTGTTGGTAACATCAATAATCCTCCTTCGTAAATGTAGATATTCATAATAAAATCAAGGTCATCTGGATGTTGAACAACTATAGTCTGCCCATCACCTACGTGGAGCACACCAGTATGGTCACCTTCAAACTTCAACGATTCTAGCTGGAATGGACTGTTGATAAAAAAACAATTACTTTCAAAATAACAAAACATTAAAAACAGATATTACAAAAATATTGGTCAGTACAACAGACAACATAAACCACCAACACCTTACTCCTCTGAGAAAGTAGACATACAAACAAAGACTAAAAGAAAAGAACAGCCCATGGTCCAGATAACCTGACTTGATACAGACACAAAATTGGGTTGAATTGTACCAATTCTACAAGCACATTTTCAGTACAGGATATAAGGACATGAAATTATTCTTTTATCTCGTATGCATTATTTTAAAAAATGTTGAGGTTCCTTTTGTGAAAACTATGAAGTTGTATCTTTTTAATCTATATGGAAAAAGACTTTAAAAAAGTCAGGAGTCTGCAATTCAGTGTCTGTTGTTTGTTACTGTATATCATATTTGTTTTTCATTTATTGTTTTGTACACAAATCAGACTGTTAATTTTCTCGTCTGAATTGTTTCACATTTTGTCAAGTCAGGGCCTTATATTGCTTGACTAAGTGGTATGGGTTTTGCTCATTGTTGAAGTTCTACAGTGACCTATAATTCATCTACGTCATTTGGTCTCTGGTAGATCAGTATCTCATTGGCAATCATATCACATCTCTAACAAGTGAAACAATTGGTCGAATATAACATACAAAATAAAACAATGAAGCAAAGAAAACATGCCAATTTACAACTTATCGATTTCCCACTGATGAAGCTGGAATCCCCAAAACTGCAGAAACACGGGACCTAACATTTATGCTCATGGGTGAGCTCAGATGCATTTATTTGTAACAGATCTATTCCTCTTAAATATGTAAGAAAATAAACCACTGAATATTAAGTAAAGAACAATGGTTCATATAATTTCTTTACATACTTATAATAACTTTAAATCAATTTGACTTGAGTAGTTTTCAATATGCTGTAAAATGAAAAAAAAACCCAATAGGGATACACTGAATAAAGTACAAAACAAATTGAAATTCTACCTCCTACCACTTAAAGACCTCAATATAAGTCTCTTCTTTGTATTCTAAAAACGTTATAGGAAGCATTAAATACTTACTCCTTTAAGTCAGGATGTAGAGCCAGATGAGCATTTCCTAGGATTCTAATACTTTCAAAAGCTCCAGTATCACTGTCAGATATCCATGTACGACCAGGATCAGCCTCATAACCTGCAGTTGTGTAGACAGATATCTGAGATGATATCACATCCTGCTCATTGTTGTCAATTATCAATGTTTTGTTGGTTATATCAGTTATTGTGTCCTGGATAATAAATTTAATTGGATGCAACTTTAATCAAAGTAAAGTTGTAATTCATATACATAAATTTATAGGTAAAACTAGGTGAGATCATGATACTTGGTATCTTAAATCAATATTAAGTACTGTTTCATCATTAGTTAGATGTATCTAAGGTGGATTCATTATTATTTGTGCTATACCAATTTTCATGGATTTCGTGTGTATAGGTAAACCATGAATTAAAATTTACAACAAAGTACAAATTTTCTATAGGTTTGTATGCAGATTTTGGCAAAACCACAAATCAAATATCCACAAAACTACAATTTCCACCCATTTAACAAAAATTTGGTATCCACAAAAGTAAATGAATCCACAGTACATTTAGCAATTATTTAATACTATATTCATGCCTTCAATTTTGGTTTTCATCAGTAACAAATTACCTGATCTTAAAAGAAACCACTCAAAAACCAAAATATAATTATATTTTACCTGTAGGAAAACTGTTCCAGCTCCACCAGGACTTGAACCAGTGATTCCACCATAGGCTGTCCATTTTCCTTGCCAGAAATCGGTATTTTTGTAGTATATCATGATCCTGCCTCCACCGCCAGCACCAGAATTGGTCACTCCATTACCTCCATTCACCTATACGTAGAGACGAAAGAATATGGTGGATCAATTCATGACACAAATTCACTAACATGATCACATTTAATTGCAAACTCAAAACAGCACATATCATCAGTTGAGTGGAAATTATTGCCAATATTCCGAATTTATCTTGCAATGATTCTTTTGTACCAAAAAGTTGGTACACAAATAATGATGTACTAATTGACCCCTGTAATATATGTATTGTATACTCTGCGGATACTTATATTTTCTCCTGTAATGAGTAACAAATTTATAAGTCAGAGCTCATTTTGTGGTCCTTTTTTAGGTTCGTGCCCATTAGGTTTCTTTGATAAACATTGATACAGTGTAGATACATCCACCACTGCTACCAATGATTATTAATGACTCATCTGAATGGTACTGTGACCCTCAATACTATAGATATCAACATAGATACAGTCAACACTGTCACTAACCACCAAGGATCTTGGGTGACTCACCGGTATGGTACCGTGTCCTTCAATACTATAGGTATTAAGGTAGATACGTCCACTAATGCCACCAATGATGTTGAGTGACTCACCTGTATGGTACCTTGCCCTTCAATACCATGGGTATCTATGTAAATACATCCACCGCTGCCAGCACTAATAGAGGAAGTTCCATCTAAACCATCAGCTTTCACTAATCCTTCTACTATCACAGTCTTGGTAGCATTTAACATTATCATTCCTCCACCTTAAATCAAATATTCATTTTATGTAATACAAATTAAAATTCTGTTCAAAAACATTAGGGGGCAACATAATATAGTTAGAACTTCCTGTAACCTCAATCATTATTCTAAATTTAGTTTGCCTTCAGTGACGGAATGCAATTAGACATCATTAATAGTTCTTTTAAAGATCATCTTGTATTATAACATTTTTTTCAAAGTTTGATTCAGGCCATCACCTGATTTTTCAGAATTATATTAAACTTTCGGGATTTTTTTTAATCTTTATCAAAAAATATTTTTATAAAAACATTTACACGTGTAAACAGAAACCTAAGTTTTATAGTTACAGCCATATAGAACATTTGCCTAGGATCATCTACATTTTTTCATCTTCACATAAGATTTGGCAGTAGATTTGATAGTATAAAAAATTGTCTATGAAGTTCCAAACTCATTGCCCTAATGTAAAAAAGTTAAAAAAATTTCAACCCAAAAAATGCTGTTCCATAATTTTCATCTATACAAGCAAGACACCAACAGTTTTTGTTCATATAATTGAGCATATTTTAGCAAAATAGAGATAAAATATAAAGCAAACCTGTTCCATAAGATGTGGTTGCACTAGATCCTCCACTGCCAAACCGACAAGGTCCATAGATAGATCCATACTCTTTACCAGGTAAATAGCCTAAAACAAAAACATACAATTTACCATTGTCCATTGACAAATCCATAACCGTTACCTGGTAATAAACCTTAAATAAAGAAGAAATTGATATGGTCCACAGACTGATCAACATACACTTCACACAGAGTAATTTGTTTCAAACATAATTATCCTTAAACATTTTAAACTGATATATCAAAGTTTTATTTCAAAGTAACTGAGAATAAAATTTTCCTTTCAATTGAAATTATAACAAAGTAAAGTCATGATCTCTGATATGTGGCATCCAATACTCTTTTAGCCTCTACTTCACTTACCTGTAGAGGCATATGCTCCTCCTCTACCTCCATAACCACCCCCTCCATTACTGGAGCCTACTCCATCCCCATCAGAAAGACCCTGACCAGAAGCACTCAATAAACCACTGTTGTCTATCTTTACAATGTCAGTCTCCAGCTGCAGGTTTCTTACAAGGAACTGTCCATCACCTTGTACATTTACTATAGCTGTATGACCATCTCTTTTTACCTGTTAAAAAAGTTTGTGAAAAATGCACACCAACATAGGAGACCATACCCTCATAACCAATATAATTTGAGGAACTTCCTTCTAGTAAAAAGATTTTAGTCTTTACCTAAGACAGATGTTTTTCCTATGACCTTAAATTTCATCCACTCGTCATAATGATTATTGCTACCAAATCCTGGGCAAGCCACTGACCTTCAATTAATGTATCATTCTTAAGGCAAGTTGAGAATGATTCATTAGATTGATCGTTTTAAATTTTGACCTTAACCCCTTGTCTCATTTTGACAGTTGCTCTTCGATACTGAAAATCAATAAGGGTCATCTGTCGTTTCATCAAGTCTTTTAATCTGAATAATGTTTACATCTACCAACTAAAAACTCTAGAACAACAAAACAAACATCTCAAGAGACAACAACTGTGTTACAGTGGCATGGCTTTGGACAAAATAAAAATAAAATGTGGTATGATTTCCAATGAGACAACTATCCACTAGAGCCCAAATGATGTAGATTTAGGCAACTATAGTATGTTTCAAATGTTACAAGGTTAAACTAGTTTCTGAGCACTTTTATCTCCCTTAAAATGAGAGAATGGAATGACAGGTATCTCAACATGAAGAATGTGACTCAATACACTTGTATAAACTAATTCTATGTTATGTGAAGTGTAACAACAATAACAACATGACAAAATGTGAAACCTAGCAATGGTTGTTTAATTTAGTTATCATCCTGAAAAGGTTGTCTGTTACCTTTATATACCCAGAGAGTCTTAAGATCTATACATAAATAAACAAGCTTACCTCTACCTGCACCAAATCATTTTCGTCACCGTATGTACTCTGAAGATCTAAAGTTCCACCATTCTGTACAGTAATGTTAGAAAACTTCAACTGTCTAGGTGCTGAGAGTTCAAAGATCAGGGTAGCTCCTTTACAAAGATTCAATTACATTAAACGGCTAGTAATTTCATTTGTGTATGAAAGGTAATTTGCAAAGTCAACTACAAATTTGACAAAAATACACTTACTGTACTTAAAGCATAAATATGCCTATTTTGTCTATGTGAAAACTGAAAAGTTTCAACTTCCTAATATAGAAAACTAACTTGCTTATACACTAGAAATCAAATTAAAAATGTACCATTCATGTTATTAAAATTATTCCAATTATAGTCAAATCTTTGGAGGAAATAATGTGTCGGAAATGACTGGTCAGCAGAATGGTAGTTTTAACAGTATTCATTATAAATTTGTCTGTAGTTTTTACTTAATCAGGATATAAACAGTTTTTTTTCTTTTACTCTTCACTTCTAGCCTACAGTATGTCTTTTTCTGACTTTCTATTACTTTACAGAACCCAGTATTTTTATGTTACAGATTTGATAAACTTCAATCAATTTCCTATTCATATGATTTTTTATCATTTTTGTCACAAAAGATACCTTTCATTTTCCTACTATGATTTATACATAGTTAATATATGTAAATGTATATGTATAAATGTTAATACCTGAAGCTACCAGTAAGTCAGCAAGATCTCCTTGAACAGTGCCCCATATTTTGACAGTATTACTGTTTAGGAAACCAGAGGTACATGCAGTTGAACTTATTCCTTTGCCTCTTTCGTCAAGTGATTCCCTGAACTCCAGGGTGGCATCTGGTAAAATCCATGTTGCTCCTTCATAAATGTAAGGGTGATAAGTCACATTAGCTCTACCATATTCATTTACCTGAAAGAAATATTCAAAATACTGTAAAAAAATTTCTGCTTCAAAAATAATGTAATGGGTAAAATATGAAAGCAAGTTTCCATTTAAAACAGAAACAGAGGATTACAACTAAGCAAAGAACTAGAATGACAAATCTTTGTAACATTCTTTTAAAGAGTCACATAGAGGGGAGAAATCATTCAACAGTGTTTTCTATATATACATTAATGCATTTGAGGAAATTTATTATACAGTTATATACAGTTGATTCATTTTATTTCCTTGCTTACCGATTTTCAAGGATTGAAGAAAAATGAGTTTTTATGGATACTTGATTATCAGGTATTGAACAATTCTGCATACAAGCCTTTTTTGAAATTTGCACTTTGTTGAAAAAATTCCTCAACTCCTTCAGGTTCAAATGGATTAGAATTGTATTATTTTGTTATTTTATAAACTATAATTCCTACTTTAACTTTTTACAAGATACAAAGCTATGAAGTCAGAAATAATAGGATAACATTTTATAGTTACCTTCCTTTACTTGCCAATTAAAATGCCTGTTAACATACCTCTATTAGTTCTAGTATGTGTTGAGGAGGGATGTGAAAATGTCCAGTATCATCACCAACAACTCGGGTGGATTTCACATGTATGTTTGTACCATTCATAGTTAAGTGAGCTCCACCATAGATCTCTATCATTGTGAAGTCATATACAAAACCATCTGTTGTTGGTAACAGAAAAGCAATGGCACCTGCAAGTCAAAAACAAGAATGAAATGTACTCATCCAGTACTCAACTGACACATGTAGATCAATTTCAATTTCATTAAAGGTAATTATTTTTAATGAAACAGAAAGGCACAGGAAAAATCTCAGCTCCTCAGATCAATATTGACAATGTTTTGGAGATGGCCACTTATTTTTTTTTTTATTTTAGAAAAAAACTTTTCCCTAAAAAATTATTGAATTCGTAAAAGGTGAAATTTATACCTGTAGAAATATAATTATTGAAGTCATCAATGTCAGCTGATGTTCCTGATGGTTCTGTTACCTGTAATAACAGTTAAAAAATGTTGTTCATGTATATCTTATCTAAAAGACATTGTTTACTATTGTTATATACTAACAATACAATTTTAAAATATTGTTGTTAACACAAAGTAATTTAACATTAAAAAGCATGATTTTCCATCCAAAATTACCCCTGGCACAGTAGGCCATCACTTTATCAACTGCGCTAAAGAGTACATCTTTAGCTTAGTAGGTAGATCACTGGCTTACTATGCCAAGTTTAAACTGTACAACCCAAGGTTCAAACCTGGGACCCCTTACAAATTAAGCCACTGCATTATCAACTGAGCTAAAAAGTACTTTTTTACGGTCACTAGCTGTGCCAGATATCCCAGCTGGTACATACGTAATTTTGGTAGATAATTCATGCTCTACAGTTTAAAAAAAATTACAAAATAACTTAAAATTTTTAAATACCTTTTGAAATACAAATCAACACAGCTCTCTGAACTGCTACCATTGTTGTCTTTGGGATTTTAAATATTGAAAATGACAAGTCATATCCTTAAGATAGGTTTTTTTTTCAAAAACATATTTCTATTTGTTTTCACATATACTTTTGCTACATATAAACAGTTAAAATTCATTTTGTTAGAATTTATTTTGTTAAAATTTTCAATAACTATTTCACAAGACAACCACACTAATTACTTACAGTAGGACTCTGACATTTGTTGTCAACACGAAGACCACGACTGTGGTCACCATGAAAGTACATTATACCAGGTCCTCCAGGCTCTCGACCAGATCCACCTTAAATAGTTATTTCAAATTAAAAATTAAAAAGTCAGATATTCAAGTTTCCATTACTGTAAAAATCCTTTAGTAACATTAAAACAAGTCATTCTAAATCTACACAGACATCTGTTGCAAGTTAATGTCAAATACATATTTTGTTAACTTTCTTAAATATTAAATCATAAAGTGTGTATTTTTTATATGCTTGAAATAGTGATGTGAACATCAAAATGCATAAAAAGCATAACATTACAATCAACTATGCTTCTGATGTAAGTTTCAGTGTATGATTTTAATACTTTCCCCCCTAACTTATCTCCATGGAAGAAAAAAAACTATTTTTGTTTCTTAAAATTGACACATGTATAAACAGAATGAATCTAGCTGTCCCATTCCATGAAGACCACAAATGAATGCCTGTAGAGATTTATACTAACCATTAGCAGTGACATGTCCGCTTTCATAAAATCCAGATTTGAAGAAAACATTAACTCTTCCTCCTGCTCCACCTCCACCATTGTTTGTTCCACTGCCACCTTTACTGTACATGAAGCCTGTCATGTCAAGGTCATCACAATTTACATAGATGGAGCCACCACTTCCTCCTGCTGCATGATGACCCTAAAACCAAATAATTGACAAATAAATTTCTAAATAAAAAAAATAATAGAAATTTGCATAACGTACTTGTTTCACTAAAACAACTTGACTGTGGAAAAAAAAGTTACATTGTACTGAAATAAATCTTACCACAGAATTATCACCATTTGCATAAACATTTCCAGACATTGTAAAGTTGGTAGTTTCTACATGGAGCCATCCCCCACCACGACCACCACGATAACCACTGGAGCTACCCCCACCACTGCCCCAGGTCCCTACTGTGTATATACTGCCATAGGACATTACGGCTGATGCTGAATATCCCTTCCCTCCACGACCACCATAACTTCCACCACTGGCACCATTGGAGTGAGTTACACCGGCACCTGTAATAGGAAACAACATAATGTACTTAAATCAAAGATAGCACAGTAAAATTGTTATTATTAAATCACTGGCAAAAACAGGAAAACACTTGACCCTAATCTTGGCTCTGTTTTGTACATGGTGAAGCTATATTTATACCATGCTGGTGTTCAAATCAACAGTCTGCATAAAAGCCCAGACACATTATTTTGACATTGAGCAAACCAATTTTTGCTCTTACTATTACTGGAGAAGCAGAAAATATCAGAAAACAACCTATATTTTTTTTAACACAACATTTTTTAATTTACCCTTAGGTTTGGATTCCTAAAAATCATATTAACTCAACTAAACAGACCATAGCATCATTAAGACATATCTGGTAAATACTAGCAATATTCATTGGTCTTCTATTTATTGTTTTTATTCTAGTTTGTACAAAATTGTGAAATGTTTTATGAAGATATCAGCAATTGTAACAGTAATGTCTTACCTGGTCCTTTATCTGTTAAGTAACCACCTCCATTAACATCAACTTTTCCTGACACTGTCATGTCACCTGTCTCAATGTACAGAGAACCAGCTTGCAGGGTACCAGATACAGTGACAGATGTTTCCATGTGGATATTGGTATTTTCATTTCCCTCATCTGTATTCTCTGGCCATCTTCTATAATCAATATCAAACAGTCCAGCATTGTCCAGAACTTCTCCTACAATATCAACAGGAGTTGTAACGTTGATGTAACCTGAGCTAGTTACGACAAAATTCTTGACCTGTACTGTTGATTCCGGTCGTGCTGTCAATGTCCCACCAACTTCAAGGTTGTCAAGGACAAAATGTGTATTACCTGCTTCAAAGTTGCTTGATTCATCAGTTACCCATCGAACACCATAAATAGATGAGTTGGAGGTAAATGGCCCAAGTGGATGAGATGCTTGGGAATCGAAGGTAACATGACCTGCCCATCCAACAAATATGTTTAATGGATTTTCTGGTGTGAAAGCTCTAATGGCTATTGGTTTGTATGATGTAAATGTCCCATTTATATCTGCTGTGTCAATGTAGAAAGGATCAGCTGTTTCAAACTCTAATGTTGATGAAACATTATGTAGATACATGTAATTCCACCCTTCGTTTTCTGTGCCGTTATAATGATTAATCATGTTCCCAGCTTTAAACTGACCATTAATGTAGGCATAATGTAATGGAATTTCAGACATCCCAGTCCATACCTTTGATGACTGAGCATTGTAATCTAGGGTAAGTGATCCACTCTCCCCAATGGTCAACTTTTCCATTTTCTCAATGTCTTTTCCTCGGAATATAACTGAATTAAAAACATCCATCTGACCAAAAACTTCAAGTTCATGAATATGCATGTTATCTTGAGCTGTAAGTAGGAAGGTTCCCTCATTGCCGACTGATATAAGTCTGTTACCAGAGTCCGTGCTCAGTAAGCCTGCCTCCAAATACCCATTAATAATCATGTACTGTGCCCTGATGCTACTGTATGTTGTATTCACCTAAAAGTACAAATTAGCAAATTTAGAAAAAAAATGGTCATAACAAATTAATTTAAGCTTTTCAAAAATATAAAGTAATTTTTTTTAGGGAAAACAAAGTAATTTTAATGAAAGAACATTATCAATTGAAAAATAATATAAATTTCACAATCTAGGATCATAGCAGAAAATTCATTTATTACTGTAAATTTGTTAAACACTAACCTCAACGCTATTAATTTGCATTGGTTCAGACTGAGTATTGAGGTACAACTTTCCACCTGTATCCAAATAAAATGTAGCAATTCTCTCATCAGTTGCATTTAGTGATTTGAATTCAACAAGGTTTTTTATCTTTGTAGTCCCTGAAGCCCAAAATGAGTTGGTCAAAACTGGTCCATTGGCTGTAAATTCAAAATCTGCTGATTCACCAATTTTAAGAGTTAGAGCACCTTCTCCCCAACTGATGGTTCCTGGTTTAAATTCTCCATTTATTACAACTTCATTACATTCTATTGTTATATTGGCTTCCCCAGGCCATATCAGCTTCCCTCCACCATCAACAGAAAACTTCTCACATGGATTGACAATAGAAATGGCTTTCTCTAAATAGACCTCTCCCTGATTATCAAAAGTATAACCAAGATTCATATTTGTGTCTACTGGATCCATTCTTACAACTCCCTTCTCACCCACAATGAACCCTTCAATACTTGTTATGTTGATGACTCCAGATACAAAGTCTCCAAAGATACTGAATTTGGTAGTATTAAGTGGGAAGATGTAATCACCAACAACATGCATGGCTGCATCTTCTCCAATTTTTAATGATGGCGTGTTAATTTCCTGAACTTCAATTGTTAGATTTCCATTGATGATTATTTCATCTTTTATGCCATAGGAAATGTTTCCTAACACATACAGCCATTTTTCTATATAAAGGGTGTTTCCCGTGTCAGTGACAAACATGGCATTGGGTTGGATAAAGGCATTGGTCATCAAGGTATTCTCCAGTTGTAAGGTGTAGTTTGTCAGTAAATACAACACAGAGTTGTCATCTGCTTCACACTGGGATACAACAACATCATTTGACAAAACAAGATGACTTCCATAGGACAAAATGATCTTGTCAAAGCTATTAGATTCAAACATCCAAGCTGCACCACCTACAAACAAATGATAAAAATAAGTTGAAAGGCTAAAAAATATGCAGGATATCCTGTTTTCTCTTATGATTGTGGCCTGTTACCTATTTCCTGCATGAAAATATATTTTTTGTATCACACTGCACAGAGTGTGAAACGAAAAAGTAATATTCGTTAGGTCATTGTTATCTTTCAAAGGTTAAGGCGATGTACTTTTCTTCCATGGCAACGGACGTATGTGATTTCTTCGAAAATATACAAAACACTCACACTTTTCACCTGGAAATCCTCTTTTTATTAAATATTAATACATTCTGAAGCGTACAAAAATATTTAGAATGTCTGATGTTAAAGTTTGACTTTCTATTGGACATTGTCATGTATATGCTGCTAAATGTCTTTTTTTAAGGTTTAATACAATAGAAACTTATAAACTTGTTACAGGACATATTTCCCATCACTGAATGTAAAATGTTTTTTGCATTACATTACATTTATAGTTGCCATTATATAGTCCAGTGGTATAAAATAATTCCTATGGAAAATAAAAACTTATTACCGAATACAAATCATTTAAACTACAGCAAAAAACTTTTTGAAGTTCTATAATTCTAGTAAAAATACATAAATCTATTCAATTATTCATACTTTTTATCTAAAAACATGATCAAGTTGACAATTTTCAGACAAGAAACTGTGCTAACATTTTCTTCATATTAAAACTGTGCCCCTCTATCCTTTAATCCTATCAAGAACTCTACAGTGTTAATTGGGGACATTTTAACATTAAAATAACTTAGAATTACAATATATCTTAATCTTTAACCATTTGATTTACAACTCATGCCTCAGTCAAAAGATAGCTTTGCTAACCAGGCCACAATTTATTATTTTTCCAACAGACCTGAAGTTTCCACATCAAATTCATTACACAGATCATTTTTGGCAATTTTGGGATCTTTTCCTCTGTTGTCTATTTCCAATACTCCATTGTCTCCATCTTGGGTTAGGTAGATAGTTCCAGGTCCACCTGGTCCTGCTAAAATATAAAAATATCACTGATACAATTGTGAAGGTGTAGACACTTTAGAGAATATTCACACACAATTGTGAAGGTGAAGACACTTTAGAAAAATTCAAGCTAACTTTACTTTTCATGGGACCAAGAAGAAGCACAGGAATATTCTATATAATAATAAGTCTAAACCTTTCTAGACTTTTAATTGTAAAAGGTGCAAAACTGTCAATACTGTTCCAGGCCGTTATGCCACGATTACTGTTCACCCAGATAATCACTTTGATTCTGATTCACACCATGTCGTTTTGCCCTGATTCCATCAATAATATATTTGTCAAGAAAATGAACTGTTTTAAAGATTTATGTGTATTAGGTAAGGAAGAATTTTATTTATTTAATGTCATGAACGTACATGTATAAATTTGAAACCTACAAGTGCAATGTGATGATCGGTACATGTATGTGTGTTTTTGTGGCTTGCTCTGATTGTTATATATACCAGCTTGGTAATATATTTTTTCTTATTCTTAAATGTTGCCAAGATATAATTTTGCTGCTGATGAATTGCAAAGAGGCAAATGGTCTTTCTACAAGAATAAAAACAACTCATAGCAAAGCTAAACAATGCAAGCTATTGACTATTGACTATAAAGGGCAATAACTCCTTAAGAGGTCAATTGACCATTTTGGTCATGTTTGACTTATTTGTAGATCTTACTTTGCTGAACATTATTGCTATTTACAGTTTATCTCTTATCTATAATAATATTCAAGATAATAACAAAAAATTTGTAAGGGTTCCGCAGAACCCAGTGTCTCGCCTACTTTTGCTGTTAATCGAAGGCTCAACAAAATGAGGAAAAAAAATAATAACAATATTCCTTTCAATACTATCTTTTGATTGTAAGAAGCTTCTGTCCAAGTTTGGTAAAAATCCAGGATAGTTTATGAATCTAATAAATGTTTTAAATCTTTAATTACAGACTGTATGGTCCGAGTACACAGTTATTTCGTAGTGCATTTCTTTTAGACAATAAATGAAAATTTAAAAAATCCCACCTGCTCTTTCTCAATAATATTTTTACAGTGTGTTGACTACTTTTGGGACAAATTATATCAAAATTATAGAAAACTTCATCGGCTCTAACTCAAAATATGGACAATTTTATGTTAAGGGGGTCTTGAAATCTTTTGACAGTGCTTATTTTTAAACTTTTTCAGCTGGACCAAATCACTACATGCACTACTTTACTTTAAAATTCATGACCCAAATTTTTTTACAGTGTAATTTCATCCCCCTACTTGCTATTTGAGGCATAAAACATGGAGAAATAAATTTGGAAGGGGTATAAAAAAAAATTACCAAGTAACACACTGTCCACACTAGGGACTATATTTGTGGACAATGAAAATCAAAGGACAATAACTGTGTACTCGGACCTAATAGGATAGAAAAAGTTGACCATTCTTAAGAAAACTTGGTATGACCAAAGCTTAATAAATTATGAGACTGCTTACAAAGTTTCATGGCAATAAGATATATATTATAGACAATATGATAAATTGTATATTCAACTTTGCGTGTTAAATTTTGACGTTAAAATTGAAAAATATCAACTATCAACATTTGGGGCTTTTAAAATTAAAATATTGCAAAAAAATACTTTTAAAATGCCTTAATATATAATATATCATGTATTAAAAGCAATAGAGTACCCATTTGATATATCAGACTTAGCATAATTATTCAAAAGTCAAATTTATATGAGTGATGAGCCTGTGCCTAAAAATGGAGGTTTTCCAATGAAGGGGGGCCTACCATGAAGATGTAATATTTTCCAGCAATTTTAAATTTGTGAAGCTTTTTGGTTATAAATAATCCTTACATATGTATTTAATGTACTTTAAATGGAAAGAAAACTTACAAATAACATATGATATTAGTTTAAAAGGGTCTTAGGCCAAGTAAGACTAAAAATAATTTAGGGTCAATTTAGGCCGTAGCACATATTTACATTTAAAAATGCATATTGAAGCTATAGGAAATAAAAATGTGTGTCTTTTCTATCATTTCTATACTCAGGTGACATGATACAATAAATCTGAGCACAAAAAGACTCTTGCATTCAACTTTTTTTGCAGACAGTATGGTCTGATACAAAGATTTTTCACTTTTTAGTGAAAAACTTGCAGGCAATTTTAGTCTCAACAGGCTTATATTTGAACCACTTGCTATCCTACAGAAGAATAGAAAGATATTATGTGAAATGAAACAGGTACAAGAGACATTGTTAAGTGCTTTTTATACAAATTTAGTGAGGTCTTTATTATGGACTTCAACTTTTATGTACCAAGCTCCTCACATATAACTTGATCCAAACAGGGCGTTAGACGAGGGTCATTTATACAACACATTTTGCACATATTGTCTGAGATAATCTTCTTTTCTGTAGATTCAGAGTTCACAAATGAGTAATACAACTGGATTAAAGCATAGAAACACAAATATTGACACATGAAAACCTGTCAGATAGAAAGTCAGAATGCCACTTATGCATCAAAATTGAAAAAGCTATGAAATGCTTATTTTGACCATATAATGCCAAAATTGGTCATTTTTGCAGAAATTCTATCAAATAAAAGTTTAAATCCTTTAGTTTCATGCTATTTGACAAATTGGCATCATCAAATCATTCAGGGAAGTTGCCAAAGTACAGATTCTATAATTCCTGATTTCACCTCTTAGGTCCGAGTACACAGTTATTTTGTAGTGCATTTCTTTTAGACAATAAATGAAAATTTTAAAAATCCCACCTGCGCTTTCTCAATAATATTTTTACAGTGTGTTGACTACTTTTGGGACAAATTATATCAAAATTATAGAAAACTTCATCGGCTCTAACTCAAAATATGGACAATTTTATGTTAAGGGGGTCTTGAAATCTTTTGACAGCTTCCAAAGTGCTTATTTTTAACCTTTTTCAGCTGGACCAAATCACTACTTTATTTAAAAATTCATGACCCAAATTTTTTTACAGTGTAATTTCATCCCCCTACTTGCTATTTGAGGCATAAAACATGGAGAAATAAATTTGGAAGGGGTATAAAAAAAATTGGCAAGTAACACACTGTCCACACTAGGGACTATATTTGTGGACAACGAAAATCAAAGGACGATAACTGTGTACTCGGACCGTATGTAATGTTAACTGGAAGAAAAACTAAGTCCATTTATAAGTAAAATAAGGATAAACAGGTACAAAATTTTAACAAAATTTCCTTCTAGATACTAGCTTTTGATCATAAACAAGCTCCTGACCAAGTTTGGTACAAATCCAGGATAGTTTAAGAAAGTTATTAAAATTATAAAAACTTTAACCACAGAGTGAATGTAATGTTTCCTGGCAGAAAAACTATGTCCATTTATAAGTTAAATACGGAAAAAATGGAATTTTGTTTTTTTTAAATTTACTTCTGGGTACTATCTTATGATCATAAACAAGCTTCTGTCCATGTTTGGTAGAAATCCAGGATAGTTTAAGAAAGTTATTAAAATTTTAAAAACTTTAACCACAGAGTGAATGTAATGTTTCCTGGCAGAAAAACTAAGTCCATTTAAAAGTAAAATACGGAAAAAGAGGATTTTTTTTTTACAAAATTTAATTCTGGATACTATCTTATGATCATAAACAAGCTTCTGTCCAAGTTTGGTACAAATCCAGGATAGCTTAAGAAAGTTATTAAAATTTTAAAAACTTTAACCACAGAGTGAATGTAATGTTTCCTGGCAGAAAAACTATGTCCATTTACAAGTAAAATACGGAAAAACAGGATATTTTTTTTACATTACTTCTAGATACTATCTTATGATCATAAACAAGCTTCTGTAGAAGTTTGGTAGAAAATCCAGGAGAGTTTAAGAAAGTAATTAAAATTTCAAAAACTTTAACCACAGACTGAATATTTGTGGATGCCACCAACGACAACAGAATATAGGATCGCTATGTCTCGCTTTTTCGACAAAAGTCGAAGGATCGACAAAAACTGCAAAATTTCCTTAAAATTACTAATTCAGGGCCAGCAACCCAACAACGGCTTGTCTGATTCGTCTGAAAATTTCAGGACAGATAGATCTTAACCTGATGATTGTGGCCAAGTTTGGTTAAATTAGGCCAAGTAGTTTCAGAAGAGAAGATTTTGGTAAAAGATTACAAAAATTTACAAAAAATTGTTAAAAATTGACTATAAAGGGCAATAACTCCTTAAGGGGTCAATTGACCATTTTGGTCATGTTTGACTTATTTGTAGATCTTACTTTGCTGAACATTATTGCTGTTAACAGTTTATCTCTATCTATAATAATATTCAAGATAATAACCAAAAACTGCAAAATTTCCTTAAAATTACTAATTCAGGGGCAGCAACCCAAAAACGGGTTGTCTAATTCATCTGAAAATTTCAGGGCAGATAGATCTTAACCTGATGAACATTTTTATCCCATGTCAGATTTGCTCTAAATGCTTTAGTTTCAGAGATATAAGCCAAAAACTGCATTTTACCCCCATGTTCTGTTTTTAGCCATGTCAGCCATCTTGGTTGGCAGGCGGGGTCATCGGACATATTTTTTAAACTAGATACCCTAGAGATGATTGTGGCCAAGTTTGGTTAAATTTGGCCCAGTAGTTTCAGAGGAGAAGATTTTTGTAAAAGTTAACGGACGACGACGAAGGACGACAAGTGATGAGAAAAGCTCAAAAAAGCATTACAATTAGTATCAACAGGTCAAATAAACAAGAAAATACGATTTGAGAGTGCAGTTACTGACAGGTAGTTAAAAGCCTTAAACAATCAATAATAAAAAATCATGCATCAGAGCTGGAACTATTATAATAGTCCCAGATCAGAGACTAAAATCAACTACATGTAAAACACATCCCAGGGATTTAGTATTTTAACGTCATGGACAGTCAAAGAAGACATGACTTGTGCAATGCCAAAAATAAATGTATCGACAGGCAGTAGGAAAGTTATGAGTTAACCTCTTTATAGATCAAAATGAACGAGGGTGTGTCTTTATACATCCTGTTTGAAAAGAATACAAATTTAGTTATGTTTTAATTTGCTGATGACAAAATCGATATTAGTGCCAATGTAAAACTATATTCAAAGATCTGATTACAACACTGGTAAGATAACCTTTACTAATAAGTTTGTTTAAAGGTTCGATGAGTTTACACGGATCACACAGTGATTTCTGTGTTTTAAGCATGTTAAGTAAAATATTACCGTAAAATTTAGGATGTGAAATACCATTTTTAATCAGTTATTACATGTATGTTTTGTTATTTAAGTTCCTTGTTATTATGTACATATGAAACCTGACTTTAAATAAAGATTACTTACTATGCTTATTTTTTTTCCTTGGCTTTGCAGTACAAAAATTTATTTCGCTTTTATACAATTTGTTTCCTGCATGCGTTTCGTGTTGCAAGATATTCATTTTCATCCTGTCTAATGGACTAATGCAAGGATATTCATTTTCAGCTCTAACCAGGACAGGATATTCATTTTAGTTTGCCTACAGTAAAAACATACCCCCCCCCCCCCCCCCAAAAAAAAAAAAAAAAAAAAAAAATTTTTTTTTAAAAACACACAACCCAACCCCTAAAAAATCGAATGATTATCCCCTAAATAACCATATTTTTTTAACTGATTACTGCATGCCTTTGAAAATCATTTTAATAAACTGGCATGGATTTTTGCATTTGAATTTTATAATAGACAATACGTGTGTGCTTTTGTTTTCTGTGTTGTTTTTTTTTATACATTGAAAACGGCGCCAGATCAGTTATCTCCCTTGCATTTAAGGGTTAGCTAATATAAGATATCAGTCTTCGACCTGGATACACGAAAACATGTTTAGGCAAATTAATCAATTATTCTTCGGTCTCTCTACCTCCAAAACAACTGAATTTAAATTTTCTATTAATAAAAAGGAAACAAAAATAAATATAATTTAAATCCTACTTTGCCAAAATATCGTTTATACCGTGCCTTTTTCAAGCTACATGTTGTGCATAATTGACACATTTTGTAAGAGTTATATAGGCATGAGTGTGTCATTATTTGTGTTATAATTTAATTATAAACTGACATTACTATAACTATATGTGAAAAAATGAGTAGAATAAGTTAGAAATGTGAAAAGTCAATGATAGAATTTTGAAATAAACCATGAACAGATAGCTCTTATACAAAACAATTGTGAAATCAAAGAGAAAAAAATGGAAAAACCACATTTTTTACTTGTTTTTATAAAAAAAATAGAGAAAAAAAATTATCTCATTTATCTCCCCTTCTATGGCTATTCTCAATCAAAAAACATTCTTTTTTTGTAAAACCAGTCTTAAAAATAAAACTTAGTAAAATCACACATTTTTTTAGTCTAAATGAAAAGTTTTACACACGAACCACTCCCTTTTCTATTTTTTTCACTGACATTTTTTTTTAAATGCAATATCAAAAACAAATATCAAATCCAGTTGTCAACTGTCCTTTTCATTTTCCATTGATTTAATTGATACAAAACTAGCTGCTCCACGAACAGTACACTACCATTATGAGTGTATATATGTTAGTTGTAAAATGTAAAAAAAAAGCTGTGAACAACCAATAAAATAGATTTTCTTTTAATTTTGCTGTCATGGAAAAATACATTCGTTCAAATTAAAAAGACTGCAGGCATGCGAATTTGCCGAAGTCAGTACTCAGAAATGCAAATGTTACAAGAAATATGAGCTAACTACATGACTATTAAAAGATTTTAATAAGAAACCGATTTTATGTTCTTTTTGTCAAAATATTTTTTTAATTATCATCACTGCCGGAGTATCAGGCTTATTTGTAACAATTGTCTCTGAAATAAAATTCCATGCACTTATCTTTAATTACCAGATGTCAAACTGCTACAGCTGTTTGGTGGAATATCTTCTTCTGCAAAACAAAAAAAAGCAGGCGTTATAAAGATCAAACCAACATGATGTAGATTCGCATCCTTAATACAGTTGCTTTTAAGTAACTGATTTTTTTTCTTTTCTCAACCTCGTATCCTGGCTCACTGATATGCACTACTACCACGATACAGATATTGAGCAGGACCAAATGCTTCTTAATTAAGTGAAGCTTTGTTTTAAAAGATGTTAATACACAGTAATATGAAAGTTTCAATATCTTTTTCAATGGAAAGATACCACTAGATGCGTCGATCAATAACAAAAAAGAGTGGAGTATAGTAACACAGAAATTTGTAACGAAATATTGCACCTTAATGTAGTGAGTGGCTATTTTACAAAGACAGCTTCGGTAAAACAGCATAGAACATTTATAAGACTGGAAAAATGTTGGCTCACTTCCACTGATTAAAATTTATTTCAATAATAGAAGATTCAGGGTCTGAAGTTCCGAAGATTTGGATTAAAACTAAAATTGTTACCATCTTATGAAAATCTTGCTGAAGAAATGACTAAGTTCCCAAGTGTGGGAAAATGAGAAAAATGCCTCTAACAATTACAATATAGCAGTTGCTTAACAGCAAAATATATCTTAAAACTGGCTGCTAGCTTGAGCCTGGTTGCAATATATGTGCAATCATTCTAAGAGTTCTCAAGGATCTGGGTTTACAACTATATGAGGGGTTAAATACACAAAATTGGTACCGTATTTTGTTCATTTTGCTGAAAAATGAATAAGCACCATAGTTCGGCAAAAATGAGATATAACCATAAAAAATAATCAATAATAAACAGGTGCACATCTTTAATATTTTTGCAATCTTTCTGTAAAGAAGTTTCACAGATCTTGGTTACAAAAATCAGGTACCATCTTTTGAATTTTGCGGATGAAAGGACTTAGTTCTGTAATATGGAAAAGGATTTAAAAATACTTAAGTTGTTCAATAACAGCACGTGCACAACTTCAACATGCGTGCAATATCTATTAAGAATGGACTGAAAACTGTAGGAGGTGTTGATTCCACAATTAGGTCACACTTATCACCACCCGCCCGTCCATCTGCCACACTTCACCTTACTACTTCCTCCAACCCGGCCAAAAATAAAACAATAAAAAATCGTGTCTTCCTTAACTGTTTTAGGGGTGTAACGATGTTGTATGAAATCTTCTATGAAGTGCAGCAATCGATATAAGAGTGCAGGACGTCATCACTGAAGGTCAGCAGTTTATGTACTTTGAGCTTGTTGTCATTAAAAGCGAGTATTCTTTACTACGGTATAAATAAAACGATTACTATTGATATTTTTTCTTTTCTTGGTTGGGATTTTTAGTTTATAAAGGTTATACTTTGACTGTTGTATTTCAATCCTCGTGTTTGATTTATTTGTGAAAGGAACATTAGTTCGTTTATATACAGTGTGAAGCAAGAATATGAGTTTCGTTTTTTTCTGTATATGTTTGTCCTATGCATTGCACGAGGTTGTGTCTTCCTGTACTGTTTATTGCACGAAGTTGTGTCTTCCTGTACTGTTTATTGCACGAAGTTGTGTCTTCCTGTACTGTTTATTGCACGAAGTTGTGTCTTCCTGTACTGTGCATTATATAACCCCGCAAATTTCGGCACGGGTTACATTAAAGTCTGTTGGTCTATAATCGGCACTGTGGCTGCTTTAAACGCAAGACCGTATACAGTATATACAAATTTATTCACAAGTGTACAGTTTGAAAGCTAGGGAAAGACTGCCCAAGCAACAGTTTTCAAAACATAAATTAAGTCAAAGATAAGGGTATTAAAACATTATAAAAGGTTCTCATCAAATATATATTATTGTCCAATCTTATGTAATAATAATTGGATTATTTTCCTCCGGCTGGCTTAGCAAAATAGCGATAATTGCTTCTTTTGTAGTTCGAGTGTAAGATACATGTATTATCTTTCGCACATTTAACTGCCATCGGATTAAGAATAAAGAAACATTTAAAACAAGAAATATTCAATTTAAAACTAAAACGAGAGTTCATTGAAATATCCAATCTTAAACGAGAGTTCATATAAAGCACTTTTCGAATTATGGTAAAAGTTCCCAATGTCACTTTTCTTCCGGTTATATTCTCCACTACTTCCCCGAAGTGCTCGTCCCGAGCACACATTACTACATTTCGTTTTAGTGTTGGTAATGTTATTCCATCTGTGGGTAATTCGTCTTTGGGTAATTAATCTTTCTGGTTGCTGAAAGTGTGTACATACTGAAAACATCACGAACATAGAAAATGCACATTTTGGACCTGTAATAAATATACAAAGGGGGTATGAGGAGGGGGATAAACATAAATATACTAAAATATTCTGAGGAGGGGGGGGGACTACATAAATAGCACATGACTCCATTAATTGTGTAGATATATAAAACAAAACGGGCTGCTTTTATCATAATCATAAAAGTAGGACTAAGTATTGAAGGACTTGAGGAAAAAAAGGGGGGGGGGGCAATATTGATCATTTGCCTGTTTAAGATCCTAACAAAAACTACACTATACTGAAAGGTTTTCGAAAACACTATCAAGAATTTGAATTGATTTTCAGATTATCAGTGGCTATATTTATACCTTATAAACAGGTTTTGACCAAACATAATAATGAATTTTTCTGACATGCAGTATACAGGTCGTCACTCCTGTACACCAAATGGAAACAAGACCACAAGACAGGTGACGAGTCCATCTTGCATTCTTGTTTCGGACCAAAATTGTATTATAAAATTATTTTGTTACACCACTGATAATCTCTGTATATGCAAGCTTACACTCAGTGTAAATTCATCTACTTGTAGCATGTTGCGTGAAATGATACAATAACGACAATAAAAATAATAATTGTGGTTATTTGGTATACTATAGTCAGTGATCTTTGTTCAAAGTTTCAACCTTCACTTGTGTAAAACACTAGGTTCTATGATACAACAAGGAAACACAGACTTTAGCTCGATTTCTTGGTGGTTTCTTACTGCCAGTGACAAATATCTCAGAAAAAATATTGAATATTCATCTTAGAATAATGAAGTTTTCCTAATAAAAAAGATTCCAAATGTGAAAATGAAAAAAAAATTGACTTTTCTCACTGAGTTGATTTTCTAGACTTGATAAATACCATGTACTGAAGAAAAAAAACTTGGCCTTGTTTATTTTTTTAAAGTATTTGAAATAAAGAAACATTATATTTAAGAATAAAGAAACATTTAAAACAAGAAATATTCAATTTAAAACTAAAACGAGAGTTCATAGAAATATCCAATCTTAAACGAGAGTTTATATAAAGCACTTTTCGAATTATGGTAAAAGTTCCCAATGTCACTTTTCTTCCGGTTATATTTACACGAGGTTATGTCTCCCTGTACTGCTCATGATGTTGCTATATGCCGAAATATAAATAACCGATATAATACTAGTGTAGGACAGCATGATATTATATCGGCGGGTTAAGTATACTTTGAGCTTGCTTTTCGAAACTTCGAGCATTATTTGATACAGTGTGATTGATATTTCTTTGTTTTTTGCTGTCCAAAAGGGCCAGGTGAGCTTTTCTCATCGTCCGTCGTCTCGTCCGTTAACTTTTACAAAAATCTTCTCCTCTGAAACTACTGGGCCAAATAAAACCAAATTTGGCCTAAATCATCCTTAGGGTATCTAGTTTTAAAAAATATATCCGATGACACCGCCCATCAACCAAGATGGCTACCATGGCTAAAAATAGAACATGGGGGTAAAATGCAGTTTTTGGCTTATATCTCTGAAACTAAAGCATTTAGAGCAAATTTGACAAGAGGTCGAATGCTCATCAGGTCAAATATCTGCCCTCACAGTTTTCAGACGCATCAGACAACCTGTTGTTGGGTTGCTGCCCCTGAATTGGTAATTTTAAGGAAATTTTGCAGTTTTTGGTTATTATCTAGAATATTATAATAGATAGAGATAAACTGTTAACAGCAAAATTGTTCAGCAAAGTAAGATCTACAAATAAGTCAACATGACCAAAATTGTCAATTGACCCCTTCAGGAGTTATTGCCCTTTAAAGTCATTTTTTCACAATTTTTCGTAAATTTTTGTAATCTTTTACAAAAATCTTCTCTTCTGAAACTACTGGGCCAAATAAAACCAAACTTAGCCTAAATCATCCTTAGGGTATCTTGTTTAAAAATGTATCCGATGACTCCGCCCATCAACCAAGATGGCCGCCATGGCTAAAAATAGAACATGGGGGTAAAATGCGGTTTTTGGCTTATATCTCTGGAACTATTTAGCATTTAGAGCAAATCTGACTGGGGTTAAATGTTCATCAGGTCAAGATCTATCTGCCCTCACAGTTTTCAGACGCATCAAACAACCCATTGTTGGGTTGCTGCCCCTGAATTGGTAATTTTAAGGAAATTTTGCAGTTTTTGGTTATTATCTTATATATCATAATAGATAGAGATAAACTGTAAACAGAAAAAATGTTCAGCAAAGTAAGATCTACAAATAAGTCCAATGATCAAAATTGTCAATTGACCCCTTCAGGAGTTATTGCCCTTTAAGTCAATTTTTCACAATTATTCGTAATTTTTTGTAATCTTTTCCAAAAATCTTCTCCACTTGATCTACTGGGTCAAATAGAATTAAACTTAGCCACAATTTTCAATAGGGTTTCTTGATTTAGAAATGTATCCAATGACCCTGCCATCCAACCAACATGGCCGCCATGGCTAAAAATAGAACATAGGGGTTTACTATAGAAGTCTATGGAAAAATTGTAAAAAAAACAAATGGTCACAACTTGAAAACTAATTTAAATAATGATAAGGGGTCTTCAGTTACTATTGTAAGACTACAATGGGATGATCTGCTTTTAATTTAACTACTGGGCCAAATTAAACCAAACTTGGTCTCAATCATTATTGGGGTATCTAATACTATTTTTTATGATTTTAACCTTACTTCACGTGATTTCCAAAAAACCACAGTAGATACATGTGAGCGACACAGGCTCTTGAGGGCCTCTAGTTTATATCTATGATATCGTTAAAATAGAGTTACGATCTTTTCGTGTCCTAATTTTTTATTATATGTTCTTTTCTGCACTCTTTTTTTCGTCCACAGACAATGTGTACAGTAGTTGGTCGATAACATGATGAACCACTTGCGACATCAGTCTTGATACTCCCGATATATAAGCCTTTAATTAAGGTCATCTCGGCTTCCGTTTGCGTATTTTTCATATGTTTCTCCGTAGGGTTGCAGTATAAGAAGCCGGCATAAAAGATATCTAATATAAAAAAGGTAAAGTAGTGTTCTCTCTCATAAAACTGAATTGAATCACCAGTTGAAAGATATCCAATCATCCATTACAAAAACATTAAGAATTTAATTTTTGTATTTTATATTCATTTTAATGAAAATAAAAGTTAAGTGATATTTATAGTCCTTAACTTACCACGAGCATTAGCGTATGTGTATCCGTATACTTTATAGTCCTTAACTTACCACGAGCATTAGCGTATGTGTATCCGTATACTTTATAGTCCTTAACTTACCAGGAGCATAGGAGTATGTGTATCCATATACTTTAACTGCCATGCCAATCCTAGAGTGCCAGGTTTGTGGATAGAATCGTAACTTTGAGGCGTAAACGGGAAACTCAAGGTTGTGCGTAACTTCACTTCCACTGTTTGTATTTCCAGTGAAAAGACCGCTTGATGGATATGGTAGAAATTCCTGTAAATTCATAGATCAATATACTATGATATAGAAATTGTAATAATTGATTGTAGAATGAGTGATATAAAAATAAGAAGATGTGGTATGATTGCCAATGAGACAACTCTCCGCCAGAGACCAACTGACATAGAAGTTAACAACTATAGGTCACCGTACAGCATTCAACAATGAGTTAAACCCATACCACATAGTAAGCTATAAAAGGCCCAGAAATGACAAATGTAAAACAATTCAAACGAGAAAACTTACAGCCTGATTTATGTATAAAACAATAAAAGAAAAACAAATATGATATACAGCATCAAACGTACGACAACCACTAAATTACAGGCTCCTGACTTGAGACAGGCACATACAGAATGTGGCGGGTGTAAACATGGTTGTTAATTAACTTGATTTGCTTTAAAATGTAACCGACTTTCAAATGAAACCAGTTTTGCATAGATGTTTTTTTCAAATCTAATGCATTACAACTTGTATAAAATTATTGAAAAAGGATTGTTCTATGATAGTTCATTAATAAGCCAAATAAAATCTATATTTGAATTATCATGTGCATTTTTTTTTCGCACTCCAGTAATTATTCCAACATCCGATACCTAAGAGAACGTTACTGTTCACACATGTATTACCACTATACGTGTATATTAATATATAATGTTCGATGAGATAGTCATATAGTCATGAGATTTCAAAATTATTTCCATGAGAAAAAGAAAATAATGATACTTATAAATCAAAAAATAAAATAAAATCAATGGAAAAATACACAAAAACAGCTTGACACGTATACAAAACAAACAAATAAGATAAAAAAAAAACACCCAACAACAACAATAAAAACTAGGTAAGTGAAACACAAACTTAACAAATGGACACACACACACAAGTAGCTAGACATATAACAAAATGCTTAAATTTGTTTTCTACGTGTAACACTTTTTAACAGATCACTACCATTAAAGCTAGATCATACCCATGAAGATGTAGATTCGTTGTAAAATTGAACTTTGTACGTCTTCACATAGTAACCAGAACTAGGATCTCCCTTTGTAGTAAAAGATGTGACCATGTTGGCAGTGAAGGATGCCTCTAGATACTGATTTGTGTTTTGATCTCTTGCTCTCCAGGATCTAGAACTATGGTAGCCTATCTCACCATATGGTGCAGAGTAGCTCGAGTAAGAAGTAGCAGACATTGTAAGATCTAATATTGACGACATGCCATCTGAAAATTTCATAAATAATTTAGTTTGAAGAAATCTTAATGTTTCTTTGAAGACAACATTAGATTCAAAGGTTTTGTTTAAGTTCTTAGACTTGTAAACTGTATACGTCTGAAAGTTACAGAAATGACATTTCATTATATCCTTTTTATTTCTGAATACGACTCGAAGGTTTCGCATTCGAAAAAGGAAAATTATTTATACCACGCGTATGGAAGCAAAAAATATCAGATCGTAATATGATTGAAAAAGATTTATAGTTTTAATGCTAACCAAAGAATAACGACAACAATTCAATTACAGGTATATATTACAGAATATCTTACCTATTAAACCGCCGTCTGCTAATATTTTACCCGTAAACGTCTTCTCGTTTGTATGAACAATAGAAATTCTGCCACCAGAGCCTCCCCCACCTGACCCATATCCATCTCCACCTCTGGCATAAATCAATCCTGTTCCTCTCATATCCACAGTTTGCAAGTATATGCTCCCTCCACTACCACCGCCGCATCCACTTCCTCCGTCGTTGCCACTAGCGGACACTTTACCATCAATCTGTATAAAGTCAGCTGCCTTGAGGACGATTATACCTCCTCCGCTTCCACCACAGGACGAACCACCTCCACTGCCATAGTAAGTTGGCAATTTTGTGTCACCATATGGCATTGCCTCTTCAGCATCAAGATACGATCCACTGGGAGTTCCACCTCTTCCTCCATAAGAACCTAATATAAGTATACTAGTATTTATAATCTGATTCAATATATATCCACGTGATTGTAATTCTGTACAAGATTTTAAATACACTGCATCATGCTGTATTTGTAGTGGACAATGTCTTAATCAGTTATGGATACGATATGTGTACATATATCCTTAATAACTGTTTTCAAGACATCAAAACGTAGAAATATAGATAACTTTATATCAGTTGACACCAGTGGAAATTTCTATAGAATTTCAAGATTTTTAACAAAAAGTGCGCAAGCTAATAGCCTTATTGGAATTATTTCATTCAATCTGTGAGTAAATGATATTAATATTAGACGAATATACCTACACATTGAAAAATTCTATGAAATGATTACAGAAATGTCAGTGGCCATCTTCAGTTTTCTATGTTGTGTTTTATAGACTGTTGTTTGTCTTTTGATCGTTTTTCGTTTTTTTTTTTGCCATGGCATTATCAGTTCGTATTTGAATAACCCTTTGGTATCCTCCGCCTTTAGAAGACACTTGCATTTTATTATTTTGTCTACGTATATTCTGCAGTGTCGAACGTTAAAGTAAGAAAATACTAAAATTGAAGAAACCAGGTGAATGGTGTAACAGGTATAAATACGATTTTCTCAGTTCGCTGTGATTTTCCTTTTATATCAAAGATTTCCTACCGGAACGTTGCCTTACTTTGCCCTACTGGTATGAGAGTGGATAGGAGATGTTTACAACTGTGAATGACCTGTTTGTAGAAACGCTTATGTTGCTAATTTTCGTTATTTAAAATGCTGTGCTTTTGTTGAGTAAAAGTTAAAATATCTATTGCCATAACTTTTGGGAAAATTTGCGTTATAGGGGATTCTTCAACTTTCATCAAAATTGTTAAATTTCCTATTTTCATAGTCTATTAAGATTGGAGTCGAACGCAATTATTACTGTAATTGGAAAAAAAATACCAAAAAATGTAGGGAAATGAATCGGCTATAAAATTTCATATCAAGGATGTGCATATCGTAAAAAACCATGTAACATATATTTCCTTTTGCTGTTGACTGATTGTGTTCTTACATGATGATGATGTTGAGGCGGAGGAGAACGTCGACGACGACAACGAAGACGATGATGATAAAGAGGATGATGACGGTGATGACAATAACGACGACGATGATAATGAGGACGATGACGATGATGACGACGACGATGATGATGTGATGTGATGTGATGTGATGTGATGTGATGTGATGTGATGTGATGTGATGTGATGTGATGTGATGTGATGTGATGTGATGTGATGTGATGAATAATAAAAATAATAGTTATTGTTATTATTATTATTATGATTAAAACTATTATTATCCTTATTATTATTAGCCTTGGGTGATTTAGATTGTTCAACTGTAACTAGGATTTAGTTTTCTAGTATCATTATTATTTGTTTAATAGCATGACCCTTATCATACTAGCTTTGACAGATTTAATAAAACCTTTCACAAGTTAATATTTTCTTTTTTAAATATTGACATATGTTGATTAACTGATTATTTCTTTGCATATTTCAAGTACGCTTACACTTTTGAATATTTTAGCGTATCATTATCCAGTAACCGGAAGAATGGTTGCGAAAGGGATGTATATCGAATTTCTTTTCCTTATTGTTTAGTGTTCATTAGTTCACTTCGACATTAAACATTGGTGTAATATATTAAGCTAGTATGAGAAATATGCATTATCACGTTCAGGCTCTGTTCCAAGATTTTCAGTTTGAAAAATGGGGTAACAGTGGTAACAAATTTTCGACTCCGCCCCTGTTTTAACGAAAATCATAAACGCGTACATGTTATATGGCGCTTGCAAACTAAACGTTTTGGTTTAATGTCTTATCTATACCGGTTTAATGCGATGTCTTGCCTTTATCTTGAAAAGCAAATATTTTCGTACAATATAGTGATAATTGCAATAATGTTTTTTTTTTACTTTTAAACCTGTCAGCATCTTCCCCTCCTAAACAGACATTCATTTAAATCATTGTATTGATTCACGAGTCAGTACCCAGATCCACTTAAAAAAATCGCCCCCTTTTTTAGCTTAAACAGATACTTGCCAAAATATTTTTATTCGGTTCAATAATTTGACTAACGAACTTCGTGTCAATTTGTCGATTTAAAGAGTTGTGTGTTAATTGTTATCTGATCAGGTCAATCGCACAGGTCAGAGGATAAATTGTTTTGTGATCCTGGCTGTTACATTCGGTGTCTTATAAAAATAAATTGTTGTAAATGCAAGTCCCACAGGGCTATTTACAATAAAAAATCACAATTAAATATATGCACAATATAAGGGAGCTACCATTTGATTTTTATGGAGGGGGGCTAGGATGAAATTTTAAAAAAAAGGCAGGACAGGAGTTTTGAGTAAAAAAAAAGGCAGGATGAGCAACTTTGCAAAATAATAAAGGAAGATAGACCCCCCCCCCCCCATAAAAAATCAAATTATAGCTCCCTAAGCAAACTCACACAATAAGCATGACAGTATGAGCTGCTGTAGTATAACATAGGCAATATTGTTTTATATTGAAAGACTACAATGATGATATAATATATATATGTTACAGACATTTTCTAAATTTAGGCATTTTGTAAAATGACAGAAATTTGGAAACAAAATTCAACAAATTGCCTGTTAAGTTTCAGCTAATTTTAGAAAAAGGATATCATTGAGATATATATGACCAAAAACACAAAATCTTGTAAAGATAGTAACTAAATGTTTGGTAAAAGTTTATTCTTCAAATACCAGCTGGGAAAGCCTGTATGTCTATAACTAGTTCTTTCAATCTGTATTTCAGATAGTAATTTTGATATCGATCTTCTTGTCATGATGTCAGAAGGACAAATTCTCTTACAACAGAATAGCAAACAATTTTTTTAGAAAATCTAGATTCAAAACAGAAGTCAGTAATATGTAGCAGAGAAAAAGAAGAATGTTTTTTATTGGCCGATTGTCGATTGTTGTTTGTTTGCGTTTAGAAGCAAATAGTTCATGAATATTTAGGACGATAACAAATTGATAATATATCAAATAGGTAAGTTCTGCAAAAGATTGACCGTTATAAAGGACATGAATTTCGACTGCCTCTTGAAATAAAAGTATGTTTGATAGGGACATAAACGTTGCATTCCACAGGCCACCTACGGAAAGGTCAAAGTGTTCTTAACTTGCAGAGAGCATGGTCTTCTCCTTATATGAGGCGTCATATTTAATTCCCCATGTAGAGAGAATACAGAATTTATACATCACGCACAGCCAACCGGATTACCCGCTATAGCATGGGTTTCACCGTACAAGGTAGTCCAAATAATTATGACGTCTTGAAAGGCTATTATATTTTTTTTCTTTGACGACTTACATCGACGTCGATGTAAGGCGTCAAAGAAAAAAAATATAATAGCCTTTCAAGACGTCATAATTATTTGGACTACGTCGATGTAAGGCGTCAAAGAAAAAAAATATAATAGCCTTTCAAGACGTCATAATTATTTGGACTACGTACAAGGCAGTGTTTGGTTGTGATGCAAAGATAAGAGTATATTCATGCATCTTCAATGCCTCATTCTTTGATCTTTGATCTTTATAATTTGATGAATTAAGACGACAATGTTAAAGAGGGGCAAGAAATACCCAAGGGACATTCAAACTCATAAGTCGAAAATAAACTGACAACGCCAAGACTAAAAAAGAAAAAGACTAACAGACAAGCAACAGTACATCACCAAACACAACATAGAAAACTAAAGACTGAGCAACACGAACCCCCCCCCCCCCCCAAAAAAAAAACAAAAAAAAAACTGGCGGTGATCTAAGGTGCTCTGGAAGGGTAAGCAGATTCTGTTCCACATGTTGCACCCGTCATGTTGCTCATGTAAGTACAAACCCGGTGAAAATCTCGTGAATCGATCAAGTAGAGACAAATTTACGCAGCTGTGAAACAAAAACTGAGGGAATCGCATGAACTCAATAACAGGGGAGACCGGGTATTCGACGGGGTAAGTGTCTCCTGCTATGGGAAGATCTGCTTCAACTTGCTGGATGCTCTGATAAGCTAAAAATTGTAAGTCTTGATAATGTTTCTTTGAATTTTTCGGGTACACATGAAAAATAAGATATTCATGTGTATGCTGTTTGGAAAACCCCATGATTTTCGAACATTACGTGTTTTATCAGAAAAAAAGAATTAACAGAGCCGAATGTGTCATGGTCCGGTTTCCACCAAATGTGGTTGTAGTGCTAAGACCAGATTTAACGTCAAATGATGTATTTGCTAAAACCTCGGGGCAAATTATTTTTTATTATTAAAACTCTTAATATGCAAGCGATAAAATCCATATATTATCATAGATAAACTGCGCTGTTGGTCAATACTTTCAAAGGCTCAGTTTTTGTGAACATTTCATTCTTTTGAAAATAATAGCAGACATTTTGTAAAATGCCTGAAAAAAATAGTCAATTAATAAAATGCCTGAATCCTACAGGCATTTTAGAAAATCCCTGCAATAAATAGTTGGTCTCAACGATGTTAGATCTGCAAATTTGCGTAAGCAAATCTTTGTTCTCCCCTCAGCGGGATTCGAACCCCTGCATCTGAGACATCGTGGCAACACCGCCTGCACTGTGTCCAGCGTAATAGACCACTCAAGCTATATAAAATATAGCTTTCGCTAGTCGAGTAATGCCTTTCCTCGTAGGCTTTATCTGGAGTTGTAACACAGTACATGATGTATAATGGCTAAATTTGAGACGAAGTATATATAAATTATGATGTTAGCCATGTATAACCACAGGTTATCCGATGGAGAACGTCTGTCGTAAAGTTGTCACATATTTAGACGTATTAAGTACGTCTGAACCAGTGACGACTCGACAACAGATTCTATCCATCGGACCACCAACAGTGATGGTGATACAAGGCTGAAAATACATTCTGTATATATAATTCGTCTAAACAACAGCTCAACAATGTTAGATCTGTAAATTTGCGGAAGCAATTTTTTTTGTTCTTCCCTGGCCGGGATTCGAACTCATGCTACTGAGATATCGTGGCACCAAATCGCCTTGCACTACTTATTTAAAGCGATGCAACACGGGTCCGCATACAACAACATCATCATGATTAATTTTGATAATAGGTGACAAGGCAACAACCAACAATAGGACACAATAGACTCCATTAGAAACTTGCAAGATAATTACTTTGAAATGATTTATATATAAAAGGAGATGTGCGTTATGCTTCGATGTGACAGAAACAAACAAAACCATCGTGCATACAGATTTTGTCTCATTCTATTTGGTGGAAAATCTTGACACGGATTCTGATATCGAATATTACAGCATTTTCATGTCATGCTCCCCTTAATTCCTCCATGAAACTAATGTTATGAAAGAACTTAAAAAGAAATTAATAGTAAATACACGATTTTCATTTAAATGATAGATCTCAAAGATGATTTTAAGATTGACCAAACTCGTCCATAGGTTTCAGGACAAAAGATCTCTTGCTGTAAATTATTATTTTGCAAAACGCTTTGTTGTTCATAGCATTAAGGTTGGGTCTACGGCGATTCCACCAATCCTATTTTTCTTTTTGTCTAAATAAGCATTTGTGCTTGATAATTAATAACATTTTTTTATTGAACACCAATGCGTTAAAGATGGGAAATAAGTCGACATATGGTCGTACATGCTTTTCAATTTTTAGGAAATATCGTCAAAAGTGGTCGTCTGCGTCAAGGACATATTTGTGAAAATGAAATAAACCTTTCTTTTTATCAGACCCGATATTACAAAATAAAAAAAAAAAAAAAAAAAAACAAAACAAAACAAACAAAGTTCACAAAGGTTTTATCGCCTTCTAACCAGTGTATAGCTGCTGTCACTATGAGTTTTTAATCTTATTGGATTATAGCCCTAACCGACCAAACGATTGGATTACTTTACTGGAATTTCAAATGATTTTTTCCATATAATATTATTCGGCGATCCAAAATGGCAGTCCGATTGTGACACATAACTAATTCTGGACCTTGCATTGAATCTATTTGTCATCCATAATTGCCGTCATTGCATGGGATTCACAAACTTGTGGACACATAGGCTATTGATGGGCGTTTTAGATAAATGTTTTAAATTTTAATATCTGAGTTCATATGACCCGACTTCAGACTAAATGATTCTTGAATAATTCACGTAAAAGTTTCATAATTAATATCCAGGTGAAAAAGGTGAAAAATACTTTATCATTGGTAGCTAATTGTACCAAAATTTTTAATTATTTAGTCGATATATCTGAATAATGTGTTCGGGCAGGATGGGATGTCGTCCGGTGACGTTCTGAGCTAGCACGTTATAAATCCGACTCATCGTGTCGGTCTAGTACAGAGCATGGCATTTTTTATAAATTATATCGTATTGCCATGTTATTGCACTGAATATAAATGTAATATTTGTCATAGGGATAAAGCAGCCATCAACGAATCACTCAATCAGCCCGTTAATTCTTGTAGACGTACAAAAAATAATTTCGAATTTTGATAATATGGTTAAAGGTTAAAATGTACAAAGCTATGAGGTAAACTATTTATGACTTCAAAACACATATATGCTAGGAATTCTAATTCTTTTAAACAACAAATGTATCTTTGCAAGCAGATTTGATATAATGTAAGAGTCGAAAATCTTGAACTGAAAATGGAGTAACTAGTCACGCAAAATTGTCGTTGTGGTCGTTCGTCACTGTGCTTGTTCATTTATGTATTTGGGAATTCTTTTGTGCGCCATCTGTTGATGCGCAGAATGTTTACTTAAGGCAACGGCTCAAATTCTGGACAAGTCAAGTTAGTTTTGTTCTATTTAGGTTGTGGGATTTTATTTTAAATAGAACGATTGTTAACGTTGTATATCTTTAGCAGCATACTAAAGCAAGCTCGCTAAAAAAGTTGAATCATCGAGACAGTTGTGTCGCTATCTTAGCTCCACATACTTTGAAGGTACCCGTTTCATGACTAAATACAACACATAACAAGGGATTTCTTAAAATTACCCTCCTCAGTGACTAAAGTAGTGGAGTGGGTGTACCCGAGCCAAGTGCAGACTTCGATGGCCTGTTATTTACCTCCAGATCCAGTGGAAGTACCCGCTCCAGGTCCACTTTGGGCGGGAAATCCTTTTCCGTCAGCTGTAATTATTCCATTCTCAGATACAGTTATACTTGTGGCTTTTATTCGAACAGTAACATTGCTATCTGATGGATTTCCTGTTATAACTAAAGTTCCGTCTACTTGGATAGAATCAACTGTTGTCGAACTACTGATTGTACATGTCTGTCCTGCGCTCACTGTTATAGATCCACCACTTTCACATCCATTTGCAAACTCCACACGCAGAATCAATAACAGGATCCCTAAACAAACATGAATTTTCATGTTACAGAAACAGTCATTTCAAAATAAAGAAAAATTGAAAAAAAATAAGAACCGCTTTCATATGACGAGGGTTTCGTCACTTATACAGAAAAGTTTCCAAAAAATGTAAGTTTTCTCTAAAACAACGCTAAGTAACAATACAGATCATTAGTATTTTGACAGATCAATATGAAATATATATCTATTTCAAAAAATCCTTTGATTCTGCTTTGTTTTAAATGATATCATATTGCACGGAATTGGGACACAAACAAAACAAAAAATTATTTAAAGAGTTTCCTATTGAAAGTTCGTAAAGGTGAGACATGTCAGAAAATAAGGACAGACACAACTAAAGAATTACGTTCCGATTTCTTCCACCTGGAATGATCTTTAACTATAAAATTTAATCGAAAGGGTTTTTTTGTTCTTTGTTAGATTTTTGCTCTCTGTCTGTCACTCAAACTTTTTATGAACACGTTCCGTCATTTTTATATATAATTATACAACAAAGAGTCTTTCTTATTTTCTTATGACTGGCTTGTTGTCTTCTTAGATTTCATGTTTTTAGTGGGTTTTTTTAATGTGCTAAAACTATGTTACACTCAGTTAGCAAAGCAATATTATTTGTTACTCGAATACAATTAACGGAGGTTGATAACTCGTTCCTCATGAAACGAAATGCATCATAACGATAACCTATTGGGTTAAAAGACACCAGCATAGTTGCGTTTAAATCAAAAATACATTAATTTGCATGTACAATGATTGATTGATTGTTGGTTGCTTAACGTCCAGTGGCAAATATTTATGCATATTCAGGACGATGCATGTACCATGTAAATACACGGGTGTCATTCGGTTTATCGAGAGAAAGATCGTGAAAGAAAAACTAACGGTGGTCAAGCATTGCGATCAGATCGTGAAAGATCTGGTATAGGATCGTGAATAAAATATTATCGAGAAGACACATGCTCCGTCAGTAAATAATCTATATAATCAATTATTATGAAAAATATTGGAAAAACAAAACTGTCTGTCAAAATGGTTCAACATTCTGATTAGTATCCAACAAAAAATCAAGACTTAAATATACACCGTTTTTACAAAACTACAAAAGGCAGATTGCTCTTCGAAATTTCAGTGAAATAAAAATGTAAACAAACGTGATTTTTTTTCAAATTTTTAATGCATAAACTACTTTTCTACTAGAAATATCGTTCAATATTACTGTTTGAAATAGTTCTTAAAGTTATTTTGATTTAGTTTATTCAGAAAATTTGAAAAAACGGTAATATTTGTAAAAAAATTGATATTACGGATCGTGACAGATCGGGTACCGCATTTGGATGATCGTGAAAAGGATCGTGAAAGATCTGTTGCCGCTTATACGTTATTGCAAAATTGCAAAAAAATCCACGAAAACGCTCGAATCTTTCTTTAAACAAGCGATTATTTATGCTTGTAATCGGTATATCAACAGATTGGAATTACATGACTTATTCCGCTTCACTTTTGTTTGTGAATAGGCCATAATTGTTCAATGCCATTGGATTTGATTTTTTGATAATACCACACCGACTAGTTTTCTTATAAGAATATAAGGGTGTCTGTCCGTCCTGCATAAGTTTTATTTTGTTTGAAAAGTTAAGATTGTCTCATCTGATGCCCATTAATTTTTATGCATAGTCATATCTGTAAAACGAAGATCCTTGCTGATTTTTGTAAAAATTGGGGAAAAAACATTGTTCAAAACAAAAGAGCAGAAAAACAACTGTCATATTCTTGACTTAGCACAGGCATTTTCTTAAGCAAATGGTGGTTAAATCTGGTTTTTTGCTTGTTTATACGCCCACTTGTATGACAGTTGTTTAATATTGCCAAATTAGGGGAGCAACACTTACAGAATTAATTGGTTTACGTGGTCATATCAGGCATCCAGTAGCATACATCACAGACACACAACACAGCTTAATTTAACGTTCAATAGATATCAGAAGATGTGGTATGAGTGCCAATGAGACAACTCTCCATCTAAGTCTCAAATATATTTTGTCCAGATCCTGCTCCACATGTGGCACCCGTCGTGTTGCTCATGTTAGTACAAATCTGGTGATAAGTCTAATTCGGTTGGTCACATTCGGTTGGTCACATTCGGGGAAAAGGGGACGGGATTGCAGTTACGACATTTGGAACATATCCGTTGTCATCTGTGAAACAGATATTCCATAACGGTCAACCAACTCGTAATGGCGTCCGTAAAATCTACGAAGGGATGATTTCAACTTTACCACTTGGAGCTCTTGGTTCAATAGCTTCCTTGTGAGCAGCAACCCTCTATCAAGGAAATCATGATAGGAAATACAAGCCCTGGAATATCGTATCAACCATGTCAACTGGGAGATATATACTCCGTATGCAGGCGCTGCTGGAATGTCGCTACATAGAAATGGAAAGTTCACAATTTAGTAAACTGGTATATATTTGTCTCGTAAAGCTTTTATTTAATCATGATCACTAATGAATAGATGATGATATCCACCCATTCTTCCGAATTCAGAAATTATTCGATAGCGGTCAAACAAATCATGATGGCGTTTTTATAACTATTATAAGGAGATCAGGTCTAAATATTGATACTAGATAATAATTTTATTACGAATGCATATAATGTAATTTTATTATTTAATTGTGCGTTCATAATTTATATGGTTGATGGTTGCTAATATACTAAATATACATGTACACTGTGATGTTTATTGTTGTAGTTATCAATTATGTCAATCAATTGTAACTGATTTGTATGCCCTTTATGGGCCCTGTAATTTGGGAAATAAAAATATTCTATTCTACGATTGAAGAAATTACTTTGGGAACCTTATGTTCAATAGCTTCCTTGTAAACAGCAATCCTCTATCAAGGAAATCATATTGGCCTCGATTATGACAACAAATGGAAACTATGTACTGCATATGCAGGTGCTGCTAGAATGTTGCTTCACATAAATGGTGACCTATAGTTTCTAAAAACCACGTCATTCGGACTCTGGTGGATAGTTGTATCATTCGCAATCATACAACATATCCTTATTTGTTTATATCATGACATATCAACTGTAGAAAATTATAGTTTGAAATTCGTTGATTAGTTCGTCTTTAACCAAAATTTTATGAAAGCGAAATATGGTAAGTTTTAAGCAATTTTTCAAGGAAGTAAAAATCAACCCTAAAATGTCTTAAAAATAATTAAATGTAAGGATGAAGTTAAACTTCAAGGGTTACAATAGACTTTCTGTTAAAATTTTACTTGAATAGTCATACTGTTAATATCCATTCAGTCAAAAAAAGCTTCTAGACAACTAAATGTTCTTATAAGTGTAGGAATCTATACTTAAAAAGATTAGGTCGACTGACTATATATAGCATTCTACGATATTAGTTTTCGGCTATCAACGGCAGAATGAAAAACTTTAATTCCTTTAAATCACAAGTCTATAAAGGAACCAATCAAAATTCATTGTTATGTTATAAAAATCATAACAAGTTGTATCATTAGCTAAATGTAAAGAACCGAAATAATTCGAACAGTATAAAGTCTATTTCTTTAATTTTCAGTCGCCAATTATATATTTTTAATTAATTAAAAATAGCACTAAAAAAAAAGAGCAGGGAAAATTTAGAAAAAAAAATGTTTTAACAGAATTATTATGATCAAAACAGCTCTTCTGGGGAACGTTTTGAGAATCATCACTACCATCATTAAACATATGAAGAACTATAGCAACTGAAGAATTTAAAATTTTCAATAATCAGAGACCACTATTTTTACATGATCTTTAAATAAGAAATAGAAAAAAATAATATCTTTTAGGTACAGATAATACGAGTTTATTTGTCAATCAAGTCGGGCTCGCGAGTGTTTGTTACAAATTGTTTAGCAATACGCACAAGAACAAAATGGAATTGCTATCAGCATACAACGATTCAGACGTTATCTTGGATATAAATAACTATAAGCTAAATGTTATCAAATTAATCAACCCTAACCCTGACCCTAAACCAGATTAAATTAAACCCGGCTTTAACATAAAACAACTGATTTTCAAAAGAATGCTGGAATTTTCCTGAGTCACAATTAAAGAGATATTAGAAGTTGTGATATGAGTGCCAATGAGACAACTCTCCATCCAAGTCAAAATTTATAAAAGTAAACCATTATAGGTCAAAGTACGGTCTTCAACACGGAGCCTTGGCTCAGACCGCACAGCAAGCTATAAAGGGCCCCAAAAATGACTAGTGTAAAACCATTCAAACGGAAAAACCAACGGTCTAATCTATATAAAAAACGAGAAACGAGAAACACATATGAACCACATCAACAAACGACAACTACTGAACATCAGATTCCTGACTTAGGACAGGTGCAAACAATTGCAGCGGGTTAAGATATAAGAAGATGTGGTATGAGTGCCAATGAGACAACTCTCCATCTATGTCAAAATTTATAAAAGTAAACCATTATAGGTCAAAGTACGGTCTTCAACACGGAGCCTTGGCTCACACCGAACAGCAAGCTATAAAAGGCCCCAAAAATTACTAGTGTAAAACCATTCAAACGGAAAAACCAACGGTCTAATCTATATAAAAAACGAGAAACGAGAAACACTTATGAACCACATCAACAAACGACAACTACTGAACATCAGATTCCTGACTTAGGACAGGTGCAAACAATTGCAGCGGGTTTAGATATAAGAAGATGTGGTATGAGTGCCAATGAGACAACTCTCCATCTAAGTCATAATTTATAAAAGTAAACCATTATAGGTCAAAGTACGGTCTTCAACACGGAGCCTTGGCTCACACCGAACAGCAAGCTATAAAGGGCCCCAAAAATTACTAGTGTAAAACCATTCAAACGGGAAAACCAACGGTCTAATCTATATAAAAAACGAGAAACGAGAAACACTTAGGAACCACATCAACAAACGACAACTACTGAACATCAGATTCCTGACTTAGGACAGGTACAAACAATAGCAGCGGGTTTAAACGTTTTAATGGTACCAAACCTTCACCCTTATCTGAAACAATAGTGTAACATCACAACATAGAAAAACACACTAGAAATTATCAATTGAAATGGCTTAACTCCATCAAAAGACATATTAACACCAGTGAACATACACTGAACAAATAAATTTGATCTATGATACAATGCAAATACAAAATAAATAAACTAAGAGAAGAATAATTAAATTAACATTTTATACCGTTGTGAAATGTTAAACAATTTAAGAAAAACGATATACTTGAACAAAAATATCAGCCATATGCAATTACTTTAAACACAGGTAAATACAAACTAGAGGCTCTCAAGAGCCTGTGTCGCTCACCTGTATTTACTGATGCTTTGGAAATCATGTAAAATAAGGTTAAAATCATAATTAATAGTATTAGATATTAGATATTATAATGATATCTAAGATAATAACAAAAAACTGCAAAATTTTTGTAAAATTACTAACTCAGGGGCAGCAACCCAACCACGGGTTGTCGGATTCGTCTGAAAATTTCAGGGCAGAAAAATCTAAATCTGATGAACATTTTTGCCACCTGTTAGATTTGCTCTAAATGCATTAGTTTCAGAGATATAAACCAAAAACTGCATTTTACCCCTATGTTCTATTTTTAACCAAGTCGGCCATGATGGTTGGAAGGCGGGGTCATCAGACAAATTTTTTAAACTAGATACCCTAATAATGATTATGGCCAAGTATGGTTAAATTTGTCTCAGTAGTTTCAGAGAAGAAGATTTTTGTAAAAGATTACAAAAATTTACGAAAAATGTTAAAAATTGACTATTAAGGGCAATAACTCCTAAAGGGGTCGACTGACAGTTTTGGTCATGTTGACTTATTTGTAGATCTTACTTTGCTGAACGTTATTGCTGTTTACAGTTTATCTCTATCTATAATAATATTCAAGATAATAACCAAAAACTGCAAAATTTCCTTAAAATTACCAATTCAGGGGCAGCAACCCAACAACAGGTTATCAGATTTGTCTGAAAATTTCAGGGCAGATAGATCTTGACCTGATAATCAGTTTTACCCTATGTCAGATTTACTCTAAATGCTTTGGTTTCAGAGATATAAGCCAAAATCTACATTTTACCCCTATGTTCTATTTTTAGCCATGGCGGCCATCTTGGTTGGTTGGTGGAGTCATCGAACACATTTTTTAAACTAGATACTCTAATGATGATTGTGGCCAAGTTTGGTTAAATTTGGCCCAGTGGTTTCAGAGGAGAAGATTTTTGTAAAAAGCTAACGACGACGACGACGACGACGACGACGCCGACGACGACGACGGACGACGGACGCCAAGTGATGAGAAAAGCTCACTTGGTCCTTCGGGCCAGGTGAGCTAATAATTTTGTTGTTAGGTATACGTGTACAGTTCAAATAGAGAAAGGAAATATTTTTACAAAATAAATAATTTTGATGTTCATAGTACGAAGAAGTGAAAATTTATAGTAATACCAAACACTTATCAAAGCTGGTATATAGACCAGGTATAACCCTGAATAACATTAAATAACAAAAAAGAATTACAATTAGTATCAACAGGTCATAAACAAGAAAGTACGATTTGAGAGTACTCGCAGTTACTGGTACCAAACCTTCACCCTTATCTGAAACAATAGTGTAACATCACAACATAGAAAGACACACTATAAAATATCAATTGAAATGGCTTAACTCAATCAAAAGACATATTAACACCAGTGAACATACAAAGACCTATTAACTGGGGAACATGGAAGGAGATTATCATTTTACGAAATAGATCTTACCTTGCGTTATTAAGGAAAGAAATGTAATTCGTCTTATGTCACTTTTATATTACTTTTATCACACAATATGTTATTTTAAAGGTTAGTGGTTTGATATATCTACAGCAGCCGTCCCGATTTTTGTTTATGCTGACTCATTCGGATTTTCCCCCCTTGTAATCATCTTTGATCAGACTTAAATATTTTTCACATTCAAAACTTCAATTTTTATTTTAGACATATCCTCAATTTCTCCTCAGTAATTAGCTTAATTTTTGTCGTTTACCATAAATTAATGACCATATTTGCATGTTTAATGTGCTTTGTTTATATGGTGTGATTTATCTCCGACTTTTGTTAATTTCGGTGTAAAAGCTCAATATAGAGCTTATGTTGTCTATGTTTTAACATGTCTCGAATTTAAATAAAGCGTCTTGTATTTGTATTTATATTTTCTGTCATCGATTTGTTTGCTTTCAGTTTATTATCGAACTATCTCATTTCCAATGAATGGTATTCTAAACAGAGACATGTTGTAATAATAATGGTCTATGTGTCTCTGTTCTAAAGGAGATCAAGCATTTTTTCATCGTTGCCAACAACATCTTTTTTTTATTTCTTCTCAACCTGGGAAATTATATCTCAACGAATTCTTGAATGAATAAAAATACGTATTTTCCAATTTGCTGATTACTGGCTGGGTCTAGTATTCAGTTTTCATTCATGGTCATGCTCAGGGCACGCTATAACTTGTCCCTGTCTTTTCGTCGTTTTTATTTTTTGCCATGGTATTGTCAGTTTTTATAGACCTTATTGCTATTTATTGCAATCCGTATAAGTTCTAAAATTACACAAATTCGTCATAACGTCACTATCCAGTTGAACGGGCTAACTGGGGTCGTGTTTAAACAATGTATTTATAGCATAAAATTTTCAAAGAAACATGACTTTGTTCAAACCATCGTAAAAACTCAAAACAACGCATTTTATGTCCAACGCAAAAATCAGGAAAAAAACAACCTTTTCCAATATTTTATGGATCGTTCAAGCTAGAGATGATGTTTTATATATTCTTATTTACCAACAAGGGTTAAAAATAATGAATTCACTATTTCACAACCAAAGAATGCATTTAAAAAAATGTTAAAAAAAAACATTAAGAAAAGGCATCTACATCTACATCGTTCGAATATTCATCAGCACATTGATGACTATACGTCGGCGCATCGCAAACAGACACTTATTAAAAGATAACAATTTTATGAGTGCAATAATCAAAACTAATTTTGTGCAAAAAATAAAAATAAACACATTTAGTACATATATTTACAAACAGGGTAAATATCTAAATATACTGACATTGGATCGGTATTTTAAACTGATCCAAAGAGTTAACGCTGATGACGTCTTGTGGTAATGAATTCCAGAGTACAACTGTGAATGGGAAAAAGCTGTACTTAAAGTATTTTGTTCTGGTGCTGAATGTTTAATATTGTAGTGAATTGGTGAATGTGGTGTTTTTTACTGACAGTGGTGAAATGTAAAGGTTTGGATCTACTGCTATAAGTTTGTATGTGATTTTGTACATCATTGTTACTCGATTGATGTTTCTGCGAGTTTCAAGTGATTTCCATTTAAGGTGGCCAATCATAGAAGTGACACTACTTGTGTTATGGTACCTGTTGGTGACGTAACATGCTACCCTTCTTTGTACTTTTTCAATATTTTTGTTTTTGTTTTTGGGTGTTAGGAGACCAAACTGAAGAGCAGTAGTCTAGGTTTGGTCGTACCATAGATTTATGAGCCAAACTTGATTTATTTTTAAGTTTCTTTTTAAAAAGTCCAAGATCTTATTTGCTTTAGCAGTGATGTTGTTAATATGGGTATCCCATGACATGTTGTTGGATAAGGTACGTGATAACAAGATATTTTGCTGTGTTGGCGGATTCTAAAAAATGTAATCTTTTAGTACATAGTCATATTTGTATGGTGACTGTGATCTTGCTACAGTGAGGGAGTTACATTTTTCTGGTCGGAATTGCATACCCCAAGTGTGTTCCCATTTGGCTAGGCAGTTTAAGTCATTTTGTAGGATGGTACAATCTTGCTGATTTTTAATTGTTCTGTATAAAATACAGTCATCTGCGAACAAGCGTGTTTTTGATGTTACTGTTGCAGGAAGGTCATTTGTGAAAATCAGGAAAAAGTAGTGGACTCAAAACTGAGCCTTGAGGCATCCCACTGACCACAGGCATTTAACCGTTAGATACCTCCCCATCAAGGAAAACCTGTTGCGTTTTATTATTAGGGAAGGCTGATAGCCAATTCCAGGTATTTCCCCTCATGCTATAATTATCCATCTTCCCTAATAATTTTTTGTGAGGTACCTTGTCAAATGCCTTGAAGAAGTCTAATATAATAAGATCCGTTTGTATGCCATTATGAAGATTACTGAGTAATTCATGACTTAATGTAAGAAGTTGTGTTTCACAGCTGCGTTTTGTTCTGAAGCCATGTTGATTGTCCACTAGAATGTTATGTGTGTCCAGATGTTTTAGGATGCTACTTACGATACAATGTGTTCTAACAGTTTGCAGCATATACAGGTTAGGGAGACAGGCCTATAGTTACTGGCTAGGTATTTTTAACCTTTTTTAAAAATAGGAATTACATTTGCCTGTCTCCAGTCTGATGGTACATCTCCCTTCAAAAAAGATGTGTTAAAAATGAAGGTGAGATGTGGTGCAACTTCAGATGCCAAATGATTTGTTTAAGTATGCGTGCTGGTATTTAATCTGGACCTGTAGCTTTAGATGGATCAAGATTTTTTAAGAGTTCATATCAGTAGATCAATTACAAAATAAAAATAACAATTACATTTTTAATATAACCTAATAAATAAAACACAATCATTCTAAACAAATATTGGGTACGAGTAGGCGAAGGTACGAGTTGTCGTGTACCCGATTTTATTTTTTGAACGTTGTGATATGTTGTTGTTTTAATAAAAACAAAAAAGAGGTATTAAGTTATATTATCGAAGATTCCAAAGGGAAATTTTCTTACGATACTTGTGCGTTGCCACTGCCAGGACCAGGACCAATAACTCTATTCTGGCAAAACCAGTTGGAGAATGTCCCACTTGAAAGAAGACATTTTATCAGAATTTAAGTCAAAGGTTCGGATTTTCAAGTCAAAGTGTATCAGGAAACAGGTTATCCCTTCTGCTTCCATTAGAAAATGTTTAGGATACCAAAGAGGACTGAGGCAAAACTCTTTTTTTCAAAACCTAAATAATTTATTATTTATTATACATCGTGCCTCCGTGGTATACATTCTTTTTTTTTTTATATTTTGTCACCAAGTTGGTCTTTAAACAAAGCTAAATATACATTAATATACACAAAATGGTCACACATATATATATATAAAACGTCTGAATATTAGTCAACGATTTTTTCCATGAGGGCACTGGATCGAGTAATGATCCATGTACACAATAAATAAATTATATAAACACCTAAAAGTACAAAACAACACCAATAACAAAAAAAGGAAACATTAAATGTAATTATCTATAAATATTTTGGATAACTGATATCCTTCATCAGTATGATTATGATGTAAAATGAATCATATCAATTTATTCTGATTAAACTATAACAATCTATAAATTTATACAATAAAACAGTTAAAACCGAACATCAAAGAGACGCTTGTACAATTCTAAAAATTCAAAAATGACAAGTTATCAGGGGTGGAGTCAGGATTTTAGATTAGGGGGGGGGGGGGGGGGGCGCAAGGTTAAAATTTTTTTGAGGTAAAATTATCGAAATATTCTTTATTAAGCTGAGGACAACCCATGACTGATCTATGCTGGTATAATATTTCAAATTTGACAACAGTAGAGTAGTTACAACAGAGGCTGCGTATTTAAACATCCAAAATAAATATATATATATATATATATATATGTATAAGGAACTTGGAAAAAAGACACAAAAATCGTATTTCTGAAGACTTTCATTTAATATAGGTTATATTTCATCAAAATTTTCACTACAGTAATCGAAGTGTAATCGAAAAGTAATCGATGATTACATCCTAATTTTTGCTGTAATCGATTAAATTACGATTACATGTAATCGAAAATGTCTTCGATTACAGATTACTGTCGATTACTGGAAAAAATGTAGTCAATTACAATCGATTACGATTACAGATTACAATTACCCCATCCCTGGTTGAAATGTATCATATAAAAGAGCCTAAATTATAAAATACCGGTATGTGCACCAACTCAAATGACATGTATGCATTGAAGAGTTAAAAAGTACATTTGTACATGTGCTAGTGAAATACATATAAGCATTACAATCAAGAATCTTAATTAATGAAGTTGTAACTAAACAACCATTGCTATTTGAAATAGAATTGAGTTATATTTTTGTGTGGGTCTGGAAATTTTAACTTCTCTTGTTTTCAAACAAAGTCTCTAAATCATTGTGCACACTGTCTAACACAAAAAAGACAATTTAATTGTTTTGGCCCTTGTACTTAGAATCATGTGCATAACAGTGTAGCCGAGACCATTGATTGGCGCGCAAAAATATCCCATTGACTGGGTCAGATTAGGTGAACGTTTGTCTGTAACGCCCAAAACTCACGACGTATTTGTTATAGACATTTAAACTGTGAGGTCACCAAAGGGTCTCAACGCCTAAATAAAATAATTCGAAAAACTAATCAGGAATAACCTTTGTGTTTTGATTTATATTGAATACTTACACTGAACTGCGGTCAAGCTTAGCGAAAGGTCGTGCAACATAATCAGTCAAACAAACTTTATTAGATTAACTCGTTAAGGAACGATCATTTTCATTGGTCAATTCAAACCTTCGACCTCACGCCTGCGAAAATAGAACACGCGTACTATAAAGCTGAATGGACTGATCAGTATTCACGTAGCCGGTTAAGGTCGTTAAAAACTTCCATCGTCGTATTCCCGAACATAATTGTGTTCTTGATTATCGCATGGCAATTCTAGCTTTTATACATGTGCATGTAAAATTTTAAACTTTAATCTTAACAGTCACGTCGAAATATTTAATTCAACTGTCTCCTCTCAATTGGTCCTGGATTAAGGGAGCTACCATTTTATTTTGATTGGGGGTGAAGGACTTGGATGAAACATTTTGTCCTGCATTTTTTTTAGATGTTATCTCTGTCCTGTCTTTCTATTTTTCAGTCTGTTAGGTCCTGACTATATTTATTCGTTTATCCTGATTTTTTACATAAATCGTCTTCCTGCCTTTTTTTTGTCACTGAGTTGCTCACCCTGCCTTATCTTTTATTCAATGGACTTGATGAATTAACGTTGTACTTGAAATGAAACCGTACTTAACTACAAAAATAACCAAATTACATACTAAAGATATTGCTCGATTTTTATAGTAAATGGGTTTGTGTTATAAACTGTCATGTTCATTATTCATATTCTTTCATAAGTTTTAGGATAGTGTGATTTTTTTTCTGATTTAGTTTACTCGATTTTGGGAAAAAAATCCCGAAATTCTAAGTAAATTCAGAACATGTAACCAGCCATGCTTTGTTTAGAGAAAAAATGGAGATGGCAAACCATGGCACAGTGGAAGGAAATGTACTTTATAAAGTCCAGCGATATACTTTCTTAATTTATAATTAACTGTTTTGTTATCCTCGGTTGAAAATTATATATTGTAAATATTTAAATAGTTGCATAGAAAACAATCAGTTTTAAACAGTGTGGTTATTCACTAAATGTATTGATAAAAGGTGACTCCATTTTTGTACATACTTTTACAGTAGTCATCCTTAATTTCTTAATATTTCGTTTATAAGTTTATCATACATGTATGATTTTGTATTTCATTTTAATACGCACGCATGCCACACGTTACTTTGGCGGATTGTTCAACAATGTTATGCAAAGCTCTATTCTTACGGTATGAAATTAAAGGATAAATTTTCAACCAATCAAAATCGAAAACAGTACATTTATATAGTTCCTTTTAAACTACGACATTTCTCACAAGTATTTATTTATTTTTTAGTTCCACACATGCAAAAATAAAATCTTCGCCGATGAAACATTTCAAACCTTTTTACACCAACATGCCTTCACTGAATTCATTTGAATTTCGTGGTGACCATGATAGTACATTGCATAGTACATCTATATTCACGTGCACACATGGTACGATCTTTCGGGGACAATTTGCTCGTTTATGACACGTCATTTCTGAATGACCAAACGCGTAGCTTCTTTATTTTCGTTTTATAGCATGAAAACAATAAAAGAGGAATGTGCAACCCATCATAAATTTGAAATGGATCAGTATTATGAGATCCTTATTATAAGTAACTACGACATTGTCAGGATAATAACCTAGCGTCAATATGAAAGAAATTAAAGTGGTTCATACATTCATCCGTATAAAAGCGGCACATGTATTTTATTTTATCCTTATATTTTTCATAGTGCGGTACAAGTGCTGCATGCATAAAGAATAATACTTAACACAAATTATTAATATAATATTTCGACCCCACTATTTGAAATTCACAAAATACTTATTTAATTATTTCGACCAAAAATCATTGTTTTTTACGTTCGTAGTAACGTAGTACATTCCATTGTCGGTCACCTGTGTCAATTCACGTGCACACAACAATTGTTGTTGTATTTAAATCTTTCGGCCAATGAAGTGAGACGTTACAAGTTGTTTGTTTGTGATACGCCAGAATGTTATCAATGGATTGTCAATCGCTAAACTTGACTGCATTTCAGTGTAAACGTTCTTTACTTGTGTTTTCGTTATGTTTTGATAATCAATTTTTATGACATCGCACGTTCTTTCAACAAAAAAAAAAGGTTTAACTGGCTTTAAAAGTTACAATGCATGTGTTGATTATTATCTTTTTTTTCGGACGTCAAAGCGATTTAACAATTGCGGTTGCATGTCCAATTATGTCATCTTTTAACTTTTATCTGGTCAAAATTTTATTTTAGAACGAATGCATGATCAACTTTAAAAAGTGTGCGTACACAAAACATATAGACAAAATATACTTCTGTCCTGTCTTTTTCGTACTTGCAAGTTATTAGACAATAAAAAGGCTATTTGGATCAAGCCTTGTGGAATTTGCATTTACGTTTTTGAATAGGTAAAATGTATAGTTTGGTGAACTTTTCTGCTAACTACTATACTTGTGAAAAACCCTTGGCAACAGAAACATTTTCAGCTTTTTTTTTAATCGACCCAATTTACATAGTAATGGACGACTTCGTACATTTTATGATCGCAAATAAAATATGTATATAATAGACTGTGCACTGTAGTTCGTATATATACTGAAACCCTTTGGCAACCCCACAGTTTAAATGTTTATAATAAATACGTCGTGAGTTGTGGGCGTTACAGACGAACGTTCACCTAATCTGACCCAGTCAATGGGATATTTTAGCGCGCCAATCAATGGTCTCGCCTACACTGTTTTGCACATGATTCTATAATGGGTATTGTCATGATTGTAAACTTATTATAAGAATGAAATTTGTAGAATTATTTTTGATCATAAGTTAAACTTCTTTCTGTTTTTGTACAGATAAATGAAGCAATATCTCTTGTGTCCAAAATTCCAGTGGAACAAAAAGCAGAAGTGTGGAATTTCTGGGAGCTAATTACAATAACAGTTAAGTTATTTACCCAAGTTTATGTAGAAGATCATGTTAATATAGACACAAGAAGAAACCATGAAGTTCGTATTGAAAAATCTGACCATATTGAGGATACTTCAGAAAGTAAATCAAAGACTTTTCAGAAGAATAGAGGAAGATTAAAGAAACAATCCAATGAAAGTAACATTGAAAATATTAGAATTGATAACAAATATGAAAGTGATGAGAAAAACAGAATAGATAAATATGAAGCTCATAGTGATTCTGACAATGACTCAGTCAGGCATGATGTAAAGACAATAGATTTCACTGACCTCATTTCTTATCCCAGTAGTGTTGATACTGTAGTACAACACGATGAGACAACCTCAATGATGGGAATGCAATCATGTAGTACACCCTCCACAACCATAGTACCTCACACTGATGATACATTACTTACAGAAATCAACACTTCATCAGGGACAGTTATTCTTAAAGTACCTCAGCCTGATAATACTTCAGCCTCAGTGGATATAGAAGGTAAAGATGATTCTTCTGGTTCATTAGTATCTCAGGTCAACAAGACGCTTGATTCTTCTGTGACAATGCATCTGAAAACTTTAGAAAAGACCACAGAATTATCAGAGACAGAAACTATAACTTCAGTCAATGATGTGAATTCATCAACCTTAAATAGAGAAACAAGAGAGAACAGTTTAGATTCATCAACAACAGAAAACTCAGCTGATAGAATTGATTCATTTGTTTTAGAAACTGAAAGTTCTAGTAGTGAAGGAGATTTGTCAGTGTCAGGGAGTGATTCTTTGGATACAATTAAAAAAGTTGATCCTGGAGTAAATATTATTCATGCAGAAATAATTAAGACAAATGAAGTTAAAACAAGAAATAAAGAAAATAAAGTCCCACCATTGACATTACGGAAGGCCAGGAAAATTAGTAAAAATGAAGATGTATATATTACATGTGATGATGTTGACTCAGACCAAGCTGTTAGATACATTAATAAGAAAACAGAGCAACCAATTACATATCTTGATAGGAGGAGCTGTCGACAGAAGCGTAAGGTTCAACACGAAGAGTATGTTTATGAAGTGGCTGCAGAAAGAAAGAAAAAAAGAGAGATACAGAAAAAAGAAGACCCATTCAGATGTGATGTTTGTGGTAGAAAGTTGTCCAATCTTACCGCATTAAAAGGTATTTATTGCTTTAATAAATAAATTAATGTCATGTTCAATGAAGATACTATCACAGCCAGAGGAATTAAAGTAACATAACTTATACCAATGTATACAGTAAGGATTTAATAAAAAAACAACATTATTTTAAGTTTTTTCTATTGCCAAAATGAGGCTTTTTAGCTCATCTATGTGCATTATTGCATAAAAATTGGCTAATTTTGATTTTGCCACTGTATGTCTTGCTATAAACGGCATGCATATAAATTCTTAAATGTAGCAAAAATCCACAAAACACTACAGAGAAAAGTACAGATTGAATATAGATTACCCCATTCTGTTGGTAAACTCAGTTACTCAGGAAGGGTCATCAGAGATAACATTAATGATAACGTTTTTACTCACAAATTAAAATATATTGTTGCATAGATAATTGACTGTATTCAGTTTATTTTAGCTCATTCCAGGCACCATTCTGGTCAGCGACCATATGCTTGCACTATTTGTGGTAGGACATTTTCTACTAATGGTAACCGTATCAGACATGAGAAGTCTCATGCTGGTGATAAAGAATTTCAGTGTATTGAATGTAACAAATGGTTCACATCTGCTACAAACTTAGAGGTCCACAGAAGGGTTCATACTGGGGAAAAACCTTTTATGTAAGTGGTTATATCAGATTAACAAGTGAACAAATATATAAATAAAGATTTCAATATCAAAATAATGAAAATCTGATAATCTTTTCATGAATTGAATGTGTGTGTTTTTTTTAAAATTTCATGCAAGAAAGACTATGCTCACTCATCAAGCAATATATTGTGAGTTGCAGCTGGTATTTTACAATATCAAAATGGTAAAAATCTGATAATCTTTTTATTGAATTGAATTTGTGTGTTTTTCATGAAAGAAAGGTGATGCTCACTCATCAAGCTTCATATTGTGACTTGCAGCTGATATTTTACAATATCAATATGCAGAAAACCTGATAATCAGTACCTCCTACTGTGTCAATTGAATGAATGAAAAAGGATAGGCCTTTTAACACAGAAATTGAAAAGGAGGGATATGGTGTTTCTTATAAGACAATAACTGTATTGTTGTTCTGGATTGTGTCAATTGTGTAGATATATATAGAACAGGTAGAAACAGTGAATTTCGATTTGTCAATTGCAAGCAACATGAGCAAGTAATTATATAAAGTACTGTTGATTCATTTCTTTTTGTAAGTACCAATTTTTGTGGATTGAGAAAAAATTGTTTCTTTGCCAATATTTGATTTTGTGGTTTTGCCAAAGTCAGCATACAAGTCTGTTGAAAATTTGTACTCTGTGAACATTTAAATTTGTGGTTTATCTTTATCCAAAAAAAAATTGGTAGCCTACAATGAATCCACAGTATTCCAAACAATGTTAAATTAAGCATTATTTCACAATAGAATTTAACATTCTTTTTTTTTGTTTTCAGGTGTGAACTTTGTGACAAAAGATTTACACAACAGGGATCATTGAAAGCTCACTTAGATCTACATAAAGGAGAGAAGAATTATCTCTGCACTGTTTGTGGTCGAGCTTTCACACAGAAAACAAACCTAGAATCTCATCTTCTCAGACACAATAAAAGCAACAGAAGTTACAAATGTCCAAATTGTAGCTATTCTTTTTTTACAAAAGGTGAGATCAGAATATTTACTGATCAGACACAAAAAACCATAACCAATTATTCAAAATACATGTAATTGGTGGTTCATAATTGATTTATAATGAATTATACTTCACTCATATATGTTGGACTCATGGTTTAAAATGGATGTCTGTTCCTTAAATGTGAGTCTGATCCCATGTCATAATTCAGTCCAAAGTGATGTCATATTTTGGCCACTCTTATCGAAATCCTTCTTAGTTCTCTCAAATTGATGTCCTTGTTTTGAGACTTATTTGCAATGACATCATATAGTTGCAAAAAAAAACAATATTAAATGAAATTACCAAGTACAAATTTAAACCAGTTGAGATAAATTAAGTACAATCTTATTAGCAATATTAAGTATGATTCAACTTTAAAGTTGTGTGTATGCTTTCATTTTACATTATGTTTGTTTTGCAGGTGAATTGGAGAGACATTCTTTCAAGCATACAAAAGAAAAGCCTTATTTATGTGATTATTGTCCAAAATCTTTTACAAGGTCACAGTACCTGAATGATCACAAAATTTTACATGTTAACCCAAAACCTTATTCATGTAATAAATGTGAAGAGACGTTTGCTGATTTATCATCATTGAGAAAACACAAACAATGGCATCGAGTTATGGAATCACAAGAACAAGAAGGGGAAGTAACTGATGAACAAGGGGAGATAACTGATGACCAAGAAGAAATACAGGAAAGTATTCAGCAAACTTGTATTGTGACTAGAGATATATCAGGAAGAAAGCAGATTATAATGTCAACTGATACAGATCTGCCAGCTGATGTCCTCCAGCAGTTTGTTGATGGTGGACATCTTGAATCTGAGGTTACACATATTGTACCTGTTATAGATAAAGATGGCAGTATTACACATGTGGATTCTTTAGATGAAGGATCTCAAGATATTTATCAGATAACATTCCTAGATGCCAATTCAGACTCTGAACATTCTAATATAATAGCTGCTGTTGATTTTTCAGCAATGAATTTGTTAGCTAATGCAACTGCAAATCAGTTTAGTTAATAATACTTTATTTACTTGAGAACTAACTGTAATCCATTTTGTGTATTGATTGTGAAAGAAGATTTAAATGAAAAATTTGTAAGGGTTCCACGGAACCAAGTGTCTCGCCTACTTTTGCTGCTAGTCACAGGCTCAACAAAAATGGGGAAAAAATTATTAAAAATTTTTCTATAGATACTATCTTTTGATTGTAAGAAGCTTCTGTCCAAGTTTGATAAAAATCCAGAATGGTTTATGAATCTAATAAATGTTTTAAAAACTTTAACTGCAGACTGTATGTAATGTTAACTGGAAGAAAAACTAAGTCCATTTATAAGTTATATACGGAAAAACAGGAAATAAATTTCTACAAAAGTTCTTTCTAGATACTAGCTTTTGATCATAAACATGCTTCTGTCCAAGTTTGGTACAAATCCAGGATAGTTTAAGAAAATTATTATTATAACCACAGAGTGAATGTAATGTTAACTGGAAGAAAAACTAAGTCCATTTATAAGTAAAATACGGAAAAACTGGATTTTTTTTTACAAAATTTACTTCTGGATACTATCTTATGATCATAAACAAGCTTCTGTCCAAGTTTGGTACAAATCCAGGATAGTTTAAAAAAGTTATTAAAATTTTAAAAACTTTAACCACAGAGTGAATGTAATGTTAACTGGCAGAAAAACTAAGTCCATTTATAAGTAAAATACAGATAAATAGGATTTTTATTTTACAAAATTTACTTCTGGATACTATCTTATGATCATAAACAAGCTTCTGTCCATGTTTGGTAGAAATCCGGGATATTTTAAGAAAGTTATCAAAATTTTAAAAACTTTAACCACAGAGTGAATGTATTAATAAATGTTAACTGGCAGAAAAACTAAGTCCATTTATAAGTAAAATACGGAAAAACAGGATTTTTTTTTACAAAATTTACTTCTGAATACTATCTTATGATCATAAACAAGCTTCTGTCCAAGTTTGGTAGAAATCCAGGAAGAAAGTTATTAAAATTTCAAAAACTTTAACCACAGAGTGAATATTTGTGGACGCAGTCGATGACAACGACGAAATGTATGATTGCTATGTCTCGCTTTTGCGACAAAAACTCAATAGCTATGCTTATTCACTGCTTTCATAACTTAAAACATTACATCAAATGACCATAGTATACACATAAATCTCATATCTTTTAAACACATTATGCTGTATAGCTATACATTTAAATCTTTACATATTACACTAAATGAATGTACACAGTAATTTGATATTTTTATACATTTTATTACATTGAACAACTTTGACAAAACTTGTTGGAATTTAATGAAACTTTGACATAGGTATATAAACATAGTATATTACAATATGTGTTATAGGAAAATTCTAATTAGAAATCTTTAAAAGTATTTGAATAACTATCTCATTTTATGAAAATAATATACATGTATTTCAACATGCGTCAAAGACACAATTTTTTATCGTCCACCATTGCTTTTATTCATAAAATGCATGAACCTTTATTTACTACAAGTCAACTATATATCATTATCCCTTGTTACAATTTAGTATTTTTCACATGGGTTTGAATCAACTTAAAATAGGGGCCCGATCTACTAACTGGTACGATTTGTGCCAAATCAACTTGGGGCAAGAACAACATGAAACTGTAAGACCTACTGGCTGGTTGCATAGCAGTGTCATTGTACCGATTATAACAAGGAAAAAACACTTTTCGTAAATCCAAAGGCTGCCTCTATTGCACCATCTTCCTAACTTATTTAATTGATGTAATATAAATTTGCTCGTTTGCTGCAATGTTTAAACAGTGACCTGCACAATTTCATAAAATATCTCTCACTGGATCACATGGACCAGTTTAAACTGGATTTGATGTTTAACAGGGCACCTATCTTTCCTTTGCTCACAAGGAACCAGAATTCATTCAATGACTATCCGTAATTTGGTATATGCCGTTAAGTTACAAAATTCACTGGTGTGTATATATAAAAATAAGAAGATGTGGAATGATTGCCATTGAGACAACTCTCCACCAAAGACCAAATGACATAGAAGTTAACAACTATAGGTCACTGAACGGCCTTCAACAATGAGCAAAACCCATGCCGCATAGTAAGCGATAAAAGCCCCAAAATGACAAATGTAAAACAATTCAAACAAGAAAACTAATGGCTGATTTATGTACAAAACAAACAGCAACCACTGAATTACAGGCTCCTGACTGGGACAGACACACACAGCAGGTGGTGGGGTTAAACATGTTTGATGGCGCCAACCCTCCCCTAACCTGGGACAGTGGTGTAACAGTACAACAGAAAAACAAACACAAAAAACAAATGAGAAACAACACTAATTGACAACCACTCAATTACAGGCTCCTGAGTTGGGACAGGCACATATAGGGGTTAAACATGTTTGGTGGTGCCAAACCCTCCCCCTAACCTGGGACATAAGAACAAACTATAACAAGTGTGCACATGCTGAAATGTCTCGTCTGCTATACTGACCATTGATTTTATGTTGCAAGTCCTAAATATAAAGTTTAACTACAAGTATCACGTTACATTTATGACCTAAGAAAATGAGGTCAAGGTCAGATAAACCAAGCCAGAAATACATGTACACCTTTAATACAATCATTCCATACACCGAATATAGATGACCTATTGCTTATAGTATAAAAGAAACAGACCAAACCGTGGAAATTTTATATTGACCAATGAACCATGAAAATGAGGTCAAGGTCAGATGAACCTTATCAGACAGACATGTACACCTTAAAATCATTCCATGCATCAAATATAGTTGACCTATTGCTTAGAGTATCTGTGAAACAAATGTAACCAGGAAAACTGAACATTGAACAATAAACCATGAAAATGAGGTGAAGGTCAGATGACAGACCTATACACCTTACAATCATTCCATACACCAAATATAGTTGTTAATTGCTTAAAGTTTAAGAAAAACAGCCCAAAACACAAAAACTTCACATTGAGCAATGAATCTGGAAAATGAGGTCAAGGTCAAGTAAAACCTGCCAGACTGACATGTACATCGTAAAATATTTTCATACACCAAATATAGTTGACCTACTGCATAGTGTTAGAAAAACAGACCAAATCACAAAAACATTGAGCGATGAACTGAAAATGAGGTCAAGGTCAAATAAAACCTGCCAGACTGACATGTACATCGTAAAATATTTCCATACACCAAATATAGTTGACCTACTGCATACAGTATTAAAAAACAGACCAAAACACAACAAGAGTGCACACGCTGAAATGTCTCGCCTTCTTTACTAATCATTGATATTATGTTGATAGTCCTAAATATAAAGCTTTACTACAACTATCACATACACTTAACATGATCCAAGAAAATGAGGTCAAGGTCATATAAACCAAACAAGAAATACATGTACACCTTACAATCATTCAATACACTAAATATAGTTGACCTATTGTTTATAGTTTCTAAGATACAGACTTAACCAAGAAAACTAAACATTGACCAATGAACCAAGAAAATGAGGTCAAGGTCAGATGAACAATGCCAGGCAGACATGTTCTACAGCTTGCAATCCTTCCATACAACAAATATAGTTGACCTATTGCTTATAGTATTGGAAAAACAGACCAAAACACCAAAACTTAACACTGAGCAATGAACCGTGTAAATGAGGTCAAGGTCAAATAAAACCTGCAAGACTGACAGGTACATCATAAAATATTTCCATACACCAAATATAGATGACCTATTGCATATAGTATTAGAAAAAAAGACCAAAACTCAAAAACTTAACTTTGACCACTGAACCATGAAAATGAGGTCAAGGTCAGAAGACACCTACCCGCTAGACATGTACACCTTACAATCATTCCATACACCAAATATAGTAGACCTATGGCATACAGTATAAGAAAAACAGACCAAAACACAAAAATTTAACTATAACCACTGAACCATGAAAATGAGGTCAAGGTCAGATGACACCTGCCAGTTGGACATGTACACCTTACAGTCCTTCCATACACCGAATATACTAGACCTATTGCTTATAGTATCTGAGATATGGACTTGACCACCAAAACTTAACCTTGTTCATTGATCCATGAAATGAGGTCGAGGTCAAGTGAAAACTGTGTGACAGGCATGAGGACCTTGCAAGGTACGCACATACCAAATATAGTTGAACTATTGCATATAGTATTAGAAAAAAAGACCAAAACTCAAAAACTTAACTTTGACCACTGAACCATGAAAATGAGGTCAAGGTCAGATGACACCTGCCCGCTAGACATGTACACCTTACAATCATTCCATACACCAAATATAGTAGACCTATGGCATACAGTATAAGAAAAACAGACTAAAACACAAAAACTTAACTATAACCACTGAACCATGAAAATGAGGTCAAGGTCAGATGACACCTGTCAGTTGGACATGTACACCTTACAGTCCTTCCATACACCGAATATACTAGACCTATTGCTTATAGTATCTGAGATATGGACTTGACCACCAAAACTTAACCTTGTTCACTGATCCATGAAATGAGGTCGAGGTCAAGTGAAAACTGTCTGACGGGCATGAGGACCTTGCAAGGTACGCACATACCAAATATAGTTATCCTATTACTTATAATAAGAGAGAATCTAACATTACAAAAAATCTGAACTTTTTTTTCAAGTAGTCACTGAACCATGAAAATGAGGTCAAGGACATTGGACATGTGACTGACGGAAACTTCGTAACATGAGGCATCCATATACAAAGTATGAAGCATCCAGACCTTCCACCTTCTAAAATATAAAGCTTTTAAGAAGTTAGCTTACGCCGCCGCCGCCGCCGCCGCCGCCGGATCACTATCCCTATGTCGAGCTTTCTGCGACAAAAGTCGCAGGCTCGACAAAAACTTAACATTGAGCAATGAACCATGAAAATGAGGTCAAGGTCAAATAAAACCTACCAGACTGACATGTTCATCGTAAAATGTTTCCATACACCAAATATAGTTGACCTACTGCATACAGTATTAGAAAAACAGACCAAAACACAAAAACTTAACTTTTACTACTGAACCATGAAAATGAGGTCAAGGTCAGTTGACACATGCCAGTTGGACATGTACACCTTACAATCATTACATACACCAAATATAGTAGACCTATTGCTTATAGTATCTGAGATATGGACTTGACCACGAAAACTTAACCTTGTTCACTGATCCATGAAATGAGGTCGAGGTGAAGTGAAAACTGTCTGACAGGCATGAGGACCGTGCAAGGTACACACATACCCAATATAGTTATCCTATTACACATAATAAGAGAGAAATTAACATTACAAAAAATCTGAATTTTTTTTTTCAAGTAGTCACTGAACCATGAAAATGAGGTCAAGGACAATGGACATATGACAGACGGAAACTTCATATCATAAGGCATCTATATACAAAGTATGAAGCATCCAGGTCTTCTACCTTCTGAAATATAAAGCTTTTAAGAAGTTAGTTAACGCCGCCGCCACCGCCGGATTACTATCTCTATGTTGAGCTTTCTGCGACAAAAGTGGCAGGATCCACAAAAACCATTGTATCTTTAGCTGCCTAATATGCACCTGCAGATTGACTGTGTTGTTGTTTAAAGTAGTGACAAATATTTCATGCATTTTCAGAAAGATCTCCCATCGGAGACACCAACACCATAATGTATCATAATACAACAAAAAGCAAAAGAAATTCTGTACGTATGAAAAGTATGAAAACAAAGTTTAAAACAATCATGGGTGAAAATTTGAATCACAATCACATAAAACCCTATTGATATAAAAATATCATTCTCATTGATAATAAACTGTTATCACAGAGATATGTCTCGCCTTTTTGTATTATTGATAATGCAAATGTTATAATTAAAATTGCAATACTTTAACATGTAAGTAATGCAAATATTCAAAGTCGATGAACCATGACTGAAGGTACATGGCTAAACAATCTCCATGGAATGAGATGTGCCAATGCTAATACAACTGCATACCAAATACCATTGACTTATTATAAGTCGTTCCCTTTAAACAAACCTAAACACAAACATTAACTTGCATTTTGTATACTATGTAAAAGTTTCAAAGTCATTGAACCATGATCAGGGGTGGGGCTATATAATCTTCATGGAAACGATACTTGCAAATGTCAATCAATTTGCATACCAAATATCAATGACTAAACATTAGCAGTTCATCTTAAACTGATCTAATCACAAACAAATACATGTAAACTAAGCAAAAGTTTCAAAGTAAATAGACCATGACTGAGGGGGCTGGGCCAAATATTCTCCATGGAAATGAGATGTGCTAATGCTTATACAACTGAACACAAATTAACATTAGCCTACCACTAATGGTTCCCCTTGAACTGACCTAATCACAAACAAATACATGTAAACTTAGCAAAATATTCAAAGTCTATAGACCATGACTAAGGGGGGGCACCCAAATAATCTCCATGGAAATGAGATATGCCCATGCTTATACAACTGCATACCAAATATCATTGACCTACCACTAGTGGTTCCCCATAAATTGACCTAATCACAAACTAATACATGTTAACTATGAAAAGTTTCAAAGTCAATAGACCTTGACTGAGGGGGCGGGGCCAAATAACCTCCATGGTAATGAGATGTGCCAATGCTAATACAACTGCATACCAAATGTCATTGACCTACCACTAGTGGTTCACCATGAACTAGACCTAATCACAAACTAATACATTGTTGACGCCGTCGCCGGAAACAGCATACCTATGTCTCGCTTTTCGACTCCGTCAAGGCGAGACAAAAATTACATTATCTCAAAAGTATTTAATTTTAATACAGAATAACTCTTTTCTATACCGAATTCAGGTTTGTATAGTCCGCTGTTTTATTCTCCAAAATTGAACCTGCCAGACAGGGGTGCGGATTAAAGAGTCTGATTAGCAAGAAATAAGAGAAAAAAATCAATTTCGCGAGATTTGTTTATGTTCAGCCAAGTTTGTTATCGAAACTGAAGAGGGCGCTCTTATCATTTTCAAAACTAATAATTTTACCTAATCCATATTAATATGTAATTTGTATTTAGTATCAAATATAAACTGATAAATTTCAAAATTAAATACTTCACTACAAATTTCTCGTTTCTTTTCACTGCATTGCATAAAGTAAACTGGAAACTGCTTGAATTTAGCAGAACAAAAAAAGTGTAGAAGTCAGCCAGGAACCAGCTTATGTATAATATTGTATAAACTACAAAATGTAATCAATTATTCGTTTCATTTTGGTGTTTCATACTGACGCATGTGTTTTGTTTTAGCTTAAGATCCTTCAAACATGAATGTGATAGATATGTTAAACATTATTTTACTGAAGGATGGAACTGTTTTACTTTCAAAGTCATATTCTAGTGATATCTATTAAGTACAGATTTTCACCGTATTTATTTTCATTTACATGTGCTATTGGAACTTTCGGTTCAATCATTCACAAGTTTCTAAATTGGTTTTATTTTGTGATTTTGACTTATTTTAACACTCGTGAAGTGTTCTAGAATCATTTACAAGCATTTTCAAAATTTCTATTTTTTCCATTAAAATACTGCAAACGATCACACACATTTGAAATTACCAGAGTTTCATTAGACGTTTTCTAACAGTTACAAAAAGTTTTTTTACCTGAATGGGGTACGGACAATATACCAGTGCAAATTATACAAGGCCGATTACGGTATGTATATATTTATGACTAAGAATAACAGTTGATTAGACTTTTGTAACATGTAAAACTACTTACAATGTACTATCATTGAGTTATATGTTTACCGCCATAGACAGAATCACTGCTGGGGTAACATTTTTTAGATACTGAAGGAAAGGAGGGGATACCAACCTCTGATAGATTCAAATAGAGATCATATTTATCATTTGCTTGTTCTTTAAAATGTAACTTAATATTGTCTAGATCATCAATCGTGTCTGTTTTTATTCCCTCACAAAACTGTCTATGGTGCAACACCATCCACAGAATAACAACTGATGTAGGGATGAGTTTTTTCTTTTCGTTGGTTGCAAATAAAGATATTGGTGCAGTGCAGAGCAGAATGTCATGAACTGAATCATACATAATGATTCTGAAATAAGTTGAAGATATCAAGATGTTTGGTATCAAACTACATAATGTTGGATGTTTTTTTCTCTGAATAAATGAAAATACAATTGTCTGTGCAACCGCTTGATCCTCAGATCCAATAACATCTTCTTTCCTGTTAGTTGAACTATTTATATCATATGTTTCATCTTCATCTGAAATGATTAAAGTATCATGTGCATGATGTAATATCTGAATATCTTAAAATATTTGGTTGTCTGATATATTATTCATTATCTATTATTTTCATAAACATTAAATTTTTCACTTTTGAATAGTTAAAGGGATACAACTCCAGAAGCACAAATGTCAAATTGTTGAAAAATACTTAAAATGTGTATTTTGTAGTCCAGTACATGATTAGAATTTCAAAACATTTGTTGATGTATTCAAATTTAACATAAACGTAAAAATATACAATATTTCAGATGAAGGATGAACATGTTTTTAATACAGATTGTAATAAATGAAAATAACACCTATTATTAATGTGAGCTGCAACCTTGGATATGATGCTTGTTGTGTAAGTTTTAAAAATTGTACACATTGCCTAAACTGGGAAAAAATTATACTTTTCTAAGAAAAGAAGTTGCTCAAAATATTTTTCATATTTCAGTTAAAAAAAATTTAAATTCATCTACTGACTTATTCATTTTATAATCTGTGATTTTACCAGGGGAGATAATTTTACAATCTTGGATATGATTCTTGTCTTGTAAGTTTTTTTATATATGTAAACAATGACTTAACTGAGAATTAATTATATTTTTCTTTGAAAAGAAGTTGGTCAAAACACTTTTTTATATTTGATTTAAAAAAATTATTACTACAATTACTGACTTCCTCATTTCCAAATCGGGATTTTTTTTCCAGGGGAGATAATTTTGGTACTTATGTGGTAAATTCAGGGCAAGAATAAGGTAAGAATAAAATATTTAAACAATGACTTAACTGAGAATTATTATATTTCTCTTGGAAAAGAAGTTGCCCAAAACACTTTTTTATATTTGATTTAAAAAATTATAATTACAATTACTGACTTCTTCATTTCCAAATTTGGATTTTTTTACCAGGGTAGATAATTTGGCACATATGTTTTAATTCAGGGTAAGAATAAATAATGAAACTGGGCATGAGTGCAATTAACATTTAACAAATTTTATGAACTAGCAAGAATACAAGGATAAACAACTCTATTTTTTTCATTTTCTGAAAGCAACTAATCTTAATAATTCCCCTTCCTAAACAGTCATCACAAATAGTAGATAAGTTTTGGTTTACCAAAAAAGATTTACTTGCATACTTCTCAAACAAATACAGTTACCTCAATTACTTTTATTGAATTCTGAATGTATATTTCAACTTGTCAGAAAAGTTAAGAAAAGTATAAAGTATAAAAGTATTATTTATCCATACTATAGTACAACTAAGTTGAGTCATGAAAATAGATCAAAGTCAATCTAAGATTAATATTTGTTCAGCCTTTAGCCTTCAGCACCCTTAATAAAATGTTTTGCTGAGCGCAGCCTGATACGACCGCAGAGGTCGAACCCTGAACAGTTGGGCCAAGTTTGGACACAATATTCAAGCTTGATACTGTCTGAATTTGGATTGTGATCAAATTTTTGACATAATATAGGTTTCTGACACAAAATAAATGTGGTCAAAGATCTTAAAAATTTGAAATGGGACATTTAATTTACCTAGAATGGTCTGATATCCAAAATCTAACAACATGGTTAGATTCGGCATATAAAAAAACACCAATAATTTAATTTTAGTTGAAATCAAACAAAGTTTAATTTTGGACCCTTCAAACCTTAATATGAACTAATTTGAAAACAGAGGCCTTTTGACCTCAATGTAGACCAATTCAAAAATGGGGCCCAATATCCAAAAAAATTATACGAGGTTAGAACCCCCAAAAATTAAAGACTTAATTAATCCTATCGAAATTGGTTAAAACATTTGTATTTGTTTTCAATTGAAGATTTCTTGCTATTGCACAATACTGTGCAATTGAAGATTTCTTGCTATTGTGCAATACTGTGCAAATGAAGATTTCTTGCTATTGCGCAATACTGTGTTGTTGCACAATACTGTGCAATTGAAGATTTCTTGCTATTGTGCAATACTGTGCAATTGAAGATTTCTTGCTATTGCGCAATACTGTCCAATTGAAGATTTCTTGCTATTGTGCAATACTGTGCAAATGAAGATTTTTTGCTATTACGCAATACTGTGCAATTGAAGATTTCTTGCTATTGTGCAATACTGTGTAGTTGAAGATTTCTTGCTATTGCGCAATACTGTGCTATTGTGGAATTCTGTGTAATTGAAGATTTCTTGCTATTGCACAATACTGTGATATATTGCACAATACTGTGCAATTGAAGATTTCTTGCTATTGCGCAATACTGTGCTATTGTGCAATACTGTGCTATTGCGCAATACTGTGCAATTAGGATTTCTTGCTTTTGCCCAATATTGTGCTATTGTACAATACTGTGCTATTGCGCAATACTGTGCAATTGAAAATTTCAAAAAATTTTGAAGAAAAAAATTGAACCCCCCCCCCCCCCCCCCCCCAAAAAAAAATTGGAAAAAAAAAATCCCCCCAACTTTTTGAACTCCCAACTCCCTTCTTTTGGAGTAATTACCCCCAAACTCAATCCCAGCCTTCTCTTTGTGATATGGAACTTTTTGGTACAATTTCAGAGAGATCCATACACTTACACTCAAATTATTGTCCAAAAACTACAAAAATGCTTGTTTTTGGCCCCTAATTTCTAAACTGTTAGTACCATCACCCCCAAAATCAATCCCAACCTTCCTTTTGTGGTATTGAACCTTCTGGTAAAAATTCATAGAGATCCATTCACTTAAACTAGTTATTTACTGGAAACCAAATGTGTCTTCGGATGACGACGACAACATCATAGCATTATACGACGCAAAATATAAAAACAAACAAACCGTGTACCATCATTTTGCTATTTGTTTGCTTTATGATTTGGCCAATCAGAGAAGTTCATTTTAATTATAGATTTAGAGAGTTTTTCTTCCTCACATTGTAACAATCAAAGTATTTTTTTTCAGTGTCTCAAATTCTTTATGGTTGTAATATGAGCAAGTTCCAAATATTATAGACTGACCCCCTTTTGCCACTTATTTTTATCTGATTTTGTATTTATTCTTGAATATCGTCTGCTGTTTACATGTGTACATGTTTCATTGAATATTAAATTGTTATTTATATTTTTATATATTGCCTCAGCTGTCATGTGCTGTTGCATGAATATTTATTTTTTATTTCCATGACAATATTTCAGACACAGTTGCTTCGTTACTCTTTCAGTTGATTTACAATTGCAGCAATAATGAATGATCTTAAATGATAATACCATCAGAGGTTGCTACAACAACACCGACACTTTCTGGTGATCCTGGGTCAGATAACACATCAACGAAGCCATGCCATGCATTAACATTACCTGAAAACATATCATCATATGTCTCACATGCTTTTCAGCAAAATAAAAAAAAAACATTTATTTTTTATTTCATAAATTGAAAAAAATGAACAATGTACATGTAACTACATTTACTTAAAATTCATTAAGAAAAAACTTGCAACAATGTAACTTAATTAAACATGATATCAAAATCTCCAACAGAATGAAATCTTGATATTGGAAAGACAGATGAAAAGCAATTTATTTATTTGTAACATATAAAAATGTGTTATCAATCAAATAATTATATCACACATAAATAAAGTTAATAAAATTGATGCATAAAACCAATCGGATGATTTTGTTGAAAAGAAAACATAAAACAGTAAATTTTTTCCAAAAATTGTACCGATTGTTAGGTTAATTTTACTTCTTTTAATTGCTCTTATTTATCAGAGTACCACAATGTCCTACTACAGAGAAGGCCTGACGAAAAATTATACACATGTATACTCTGTGTCAAAAGTCAGTGATATGAAAATAGACTATTACAGGCTACTGACTTTGGACAGAAAGGACTGAAAGAGCTACATTTTTTATGCCAAACTATCACATGGTATTTTGTATCAAATAAGAATTATTCTATACATACTATGTGACTTCAACTGAAAATGCTAAATACTAAAAAAAATACCTATTCCAGTACAACCAAAGTTTGAGTCTTGTTTACAGTAATCAAATGCACACCTGCATTTTCCTGATGTTTTCAAATGTGAATCAATTGAATAGGAGTTCCCTGGTGCAAGTTTTCCTATAAGATGATCTGCCAAAGCAATAGTTATGTGATTGTCAAAAGATTTCGCTTCTTTTTTTTCTTCAGCTACTAGAGATATCACTTTTCTGAGACTTTTTTCATGTTGTTCTGAAATAAAATTAAAAAAAATCTATGATCACTCACTAACACTGTCATGACTAATGCTGTACATTTTGTCCATTGTATACACTTGTAAAACACTTCAAAACAAAGTTGGTTGCTATCTACCTTATTTGTTTTTCGTTGCTGTTTTTAGAATAAATTAGGCCCTTGGTTTTCTCATGTGAATAGATGAATTTTAAATATGTTGAATTTATGCACTTTCCCATACATTTCCTATGTCACAATGATTATGTTATTACCTCACATTAAGGATGTACTTAGGTGAAGTTTAGGATTTTTTGTCGAATGTTCGGACACCTTTGTTTTTTTCCTACGATACAGGGTAAAATATTTTGCCCCATAACACCCATTTTTCTTTTCATATATTAATTAGACTTCAATAGCTCATAAAAGGTCATTTACCAAAATTTAAGCAGATTCTAGATTTCTTTTCTTTCAATTTAAGACCCAAATAATACCAATGCAAATATAAGGTAAAAGTCCGAGTCAGCCTTTTCCATCCATTTAAAAAATAATTAAATATCTCGAAAAGGAGCTCCATAACCTATCAATATTTCTATCTTATTTTGTTCCTTAACTAATGCTCTTATGACTTAAAGTATCAATTTTAAATACTAGATTTTTTTAATTTCATCTAAGTACATCTTTAAGAAAAGATTACTCAATGATGTCATTTACACCTATAGATCTACGGGTGTATTAACCAACTCGAGATTAGTGTATTGTGCCAGGATGATTTATAGCTTACATCAAGGATTTGTATAGTCACTATACAAATCCTTGCTTACATGTACATGTGCTATGCATGATGATTTTTGCTCATTGCTGGTGACGGTATAGTACTCTACAGCTTCTTCTTTGTTCTGTAGTAAATAGCTGCCAGAGGCGGATTTAGGGGGGGGGGGGGGGGGGGGAGGGCGGGCCCCCTTTTTTGGGAAAAATTTTGTTGATTATATAGGGAATCACTGAAGCATGACTAGAGCGGGCCCACTCTTAGGCAGTCAGTGAGCCCCCACTTATGAAAATTTCTGGATCCGCCAATGGCTGCCTCATTGGCTATGATATATCACATCCCCTTATTTCATTTATTTAGGTGTTTTACAAGTTCTCTTCAAGTTCTTACCAATATCTCCTAAATAACTAGCTAGTAACACAACTGCCGTCTTTTCGTTTCCATCTAGTACACGTGTATTGTTCTCTGCAGCAGTGAGTAACTGAATTCCTTTGCTGAATATATCAGTAAACTTTAATAACAAAGGAACTTCATGATTTTCTGCTATTTCTACAATGTTACACTTTGCGCTCGTAAAGGAATAGTTTTGTGATGCGTTGCAATCACTAATTTTCAAAATAGCAAAGTTTGCATAGTCAAAGAGCGATTGTTCTACGCAAGCATACTTCGCAAGCACTTTCATACAGTTCTCAAATCGTCCAGTGTCGCAGGTACTGCGCCTTTTCTTCGGATTCGGTTCTGTCATTCTCAGAGATCTAAAACGTGTAGGGGAACGAAACTATATTTATCCTCATAAATACAAAAAATTTACAAAACGCGTAAATATTACGAATAGGAGTCAGATAGAGTGTCTCACTATTATAAGCTGAAAAGCGTAGGAAGAAAGTATTACACCTCGTTTCACATATAATAGAATCCAGGCGCGGATCCAGCCGATTTTTAAAAGGGAGGGTTCCAACACATACAAGGCATATAAGGTGTCCAACCGTATGTCCCTATACAAAGGCATTAGTTTATATAACCCGAATAATTCAGTCGTATTTTCCGCTGATCTACGAAGGCTGCATTTTCCCCTTCCGAAAATGCATCTAAGAGTTTCTGATCATCTAAATTTTCCAAGTTTTGATGAGTGAACGCCATCATACAACTGAATTTGCCGGAAAAGGATTTGATCAAAAATGAACACCCCATCCCGGCGAAAAGAATTAATATAGTCTTCTTTCCGAAGCCTTGAATTTTGTATGTTCCCCTTTCTCAGATTAAATTCATTTAACAGATAATAGTTTCAATGAATAAAAAAAAAAAATCAAAATTGCAAAAGGATCTGACACTGAAAAAGCTAATGTGCTAGATCCGACTGGCCTGTCGACAACAAAGTGATGACTAACAGACGGACGGAAGAACTTCAACTGAAGGACAGGTTGAAAACATTACACCCTCCAGAACCTCGTTACTGAGTTAGTAAGTAAGTAAGTGTTATTTAAAGTCAGCATTTATATATACATAGTAACAGTTACTGAGGCTATTATAAGACAGATGAATACGATCCTCAAAGTAAAATTAAAGTTATTATATGATATATATCCTGATATAACCTTCGGAAAGATAAGAAAGGTTGTCATGCTGAATCACGTGTGTGTGTCATCAAGGATTTGCCGGTATAGTAAGACTATACAAATCCTTGGTGTCATCAATACGAAGGGAAAAAAAAGATAAATTTAGTAATTAATTTTTGCATTGGTGTAAGTACAAACTTGAAAAATGTTTCTTGAACAGAATTGTTTGAAACCACGATCATGTGTGAGTAAAAGAACAAAGATAAACACTGACAAAAACCAACCGCGAACACCACCCCTTCAAAAGGGTGCACAAGCTAAAATATCTCCTTCTGCATTTGTGATATTTAATAAAAATTAAAAGTCTTCAAGATCAAGGTCTTCCTACATTATTACATAAACAACATTATCAATGGTCCATTAAAATGAAGTCAATGTCAGATGGACACACACTCTCGATCATTCTTAACTAGGCACAAAACTATACTTTATCAATTGCTTACAGTACCTGATAAACCAACTTTATCACTCAGGAAATGCTAATGTGACCAATGGACCATGCAATTGGGTTAAAGTCCTGCTGCACCTTACAATCAATTGTAGAAATTAACACAATCACGAAAAGTTGACCAATGAACTGAGAAAATGAGATAAAGGTCAGATGAGCTCTGACAGATAGACAGGTATACTAATGGACGTCATGGACGCGAAAAACCATCAATATCCAACCAAAATCCGACTTAAATTTGGGTTCACTACAATTCTCCTAATTTTCTATTAAAGTACATTATATTAAAAAAAAATAACCAATTAAAATCTTTCAACGCGGCATTTTCGCTAAAACATTTTTTTCACGCCACGCAAAAAGGAGATTTTCAAAATTCTCTCATAAACACTAAATAGAACCAAGATCTCGAACTGAAGTAAATATAATAAAGCATTTTAAAGATTACTAAATAATTGAAAGCATAAAATACAAGTCTAGTTTATCAAATTTATATCAACGAGACAATAATTTCTGTCCACAAAAAGCTATGTACTATATCTACAGAAATAATAAAGGTTTGGATAGTTAATTTTATTCAAAAATCATAATTTATAGAATTTTCGTATAATTTAACAATTCATTTCGTATATTACTTTTTAACTGACACTCGAAAAGAACATGTTACGAGTATAAAGTATGGACCAAAATAAAAATTTATATGCGGTGATCCTACCAGTTATATGATTAGTTTAAATATTAATTCTCTCATTAATGTAAATTGAATCATTAAAAAAGTAAATTATTTGTTAGAATAATATTAATAAAAACAAGATGGCGCATTGAGTAGTTGTATAGTAAGAGCACTCCCACAAAGTTTTAACTTTTACTTGTTTTAATTCACATTTACGTCTTAAAACAGTATAGTAACATCACCCACTCATTACGTATCCTGTTTTTCCGGTTAGTGATTCCTGCCAAACATTTTTAGTGGATTTTATGAACATTTTTTTTTATAGTTTTATAGCGACAAGCATGGATAGTTTTACCGGTTTATCGTTTTACAGATATATTTTATTATTATAGTTAAACAGGAATACTACATACACGCACTGTCCTACATCAATCATATTATTATTGAACTAAAACCATTTTGTGTTGCCATACGATTTAATAAGAAATTCAACTTCCACCTGAAATTGGCTGAAAACTACTCACAACGCCGGACGGCGGCCATTTAATATGGCAATTATTTAATTTGATAGAAGAATATTTCCATACAACTACAACCTTATAAGCATTTATCAATATATTCGAATGTGCATTTGGCTTCTTCAAAAACAATTTGTACAACAATTTCCGAAGAATCAACTTAACCAAAAGGTAATTTGACAAGTATAAAACCATTCATACTTTCTCGCTCTCTACGAACGGATTGCAGTAACTACCTTGTAACCGCTTTATATAATCATCATAATAATAATCATCATATTAACATTTGCTTCACGTGCTAGTAAATCTGATATTTCCTGCTTGACTGTGTAGAATAGTGTGATTATAGCGTAAATTTTTATGTGTATATATTTGCTGTGTATATAACATTTTAACAATATTACTACGAGCAGATATTTCAAATAACTACTTTGTGTATGCTATCACTGACAAACCGTATACCTCTACTATAACTTAACTGATACACATACATGTCTATACTGCAAATTAAAAAACAGACAAGCAAACGTATAGCTGAAGAATCCAATTTAGATCAAAGTCTATCAACCGGAAATATATCTTATCACAGACAGTAAAGGCAACTATATTAAACCTGTGATACCAGGGTGGTTTAGATCCTCTTTTCATATATTCTCTGAAAACGGTGCGACTATGCATTCAAACATAGTCAACACAACTGTACGAAACATACAAACAGCCACAAATCCCATAGTATTTCTCTGGTTTGGTACATGTGAGATATCCAAAAAAAAAAGGTAGATTTTCAGACATCATCAATCATCCCTATCAATCTATTGAACAAATCTTAACGGAGTAAAGAACTGTGAAAAACAACATACTCCTTGCCAATCCATCCGCCACTGTTATAGCAATTGATTGCCCATATTTCTCAATCTGTATCTGGAATCAATCTCGAGGTTTTCAATTCAATACTGACAGTACAGTTCGATACAAGGATACTGATACCAAATTAAAATCTGCTATCGATTATTTCAACCAACTGTTAACTCACCTCAATAGAAACGCATCGGTACCACATATTGCTCAAGACCAAGTTATTTCATCAAAACAACGTCGGCGATCCAGAACACAATATAAAATCAGCTTCATTGACGGTATACACCCAAAACGTCCTATTTCACGCCTCTGGCTACACCGATTTGTTAAGTTAGCAAGAAACCTCAGAAACAACCAGTGAACAAGGGAAGCCCTATTCACTGTCTATTCTGTTCTACTTGTTATATATATGAAGAGGATATTCCCATGAATACGTACTACAATCATACATGTATGTGATTTATATTTTGATTTTAATATTTGGAATATTTTAAAGAATCGATTCTCACCACAGAAATATTTTAATAGCTGTATAATCCATTTCTACAAGGAAATATTTTTAGTTCATACAATTTCCGTTGTATTCCATCTACTTTTTACCTACAACATATTAATCAAAAACGAAAGGTACAACACTATATGAATACGGGAAGCCCTGTTCAATACATAGTGTACCATATTAAATAACACGAAGGAAATTTAATCGGATATCTCAATTCTAATAAAGAGTATACTGGACACACAGAGATTACATATTATTTGAATATGGCGGCCTCGATTGCCTTGACAAAACCAGCTAGGAGAGTTACTCCGAGAGATGTTTACACACCAAGTCAGAAATGAACATGAACTATAGATTAAACGAACGAAAAGCATTGTTTAAAAAAGTAGAGGCAACCAAAAGAGACCTGAATGTCGAAATTCAGCTGAAACGAGGCACGCTTATCATGACCTATAGCCCAGCTGCTTTTGAAATATACAAACAAGCAATATATAATTATTATGATAATAGTACAGCAAAATCATATACTAGAATAGATAAAACAAGCAATAGCTCTGAGAAAGGCTATTGTTGATCTCTTTCTGTAAAGTATAAAAACAGCGGTGATAGGCGACAGCAATACCGAATTAACATGTCCAACACCACAAGCAAGATGGACATTAACGGCCGATCTTACCAAACATTTATAGAACAAGATCTACCACAAATAATCAAAACAATCAAATTGGACTGGGTAGACGAAATGAACTCGAAAATAATGGAATTATACGAGGCTGTCATCGCAAACCTAGATACAGGTAGCACGAAAATAGAAATCCACAACAACAATGATCCAAACTCTGAAATACCAAACAAGAATGAGAGTCCAAATAATAAGAAAAAAAACGTGAATCAAAAGGCAATCAAAACTCTTCACACAGATGTAGTTTGTGCTGTAGCCCAATATAACAAATCACCAAGTAACATTAGCATTGCAAATACGTCAGAAATTCATTGTCCTATATGTAAAAAGAATCTCGTCAATGGTGACTCCATAGAACGTTGTACTTGTAACATGTGGATCCATAAGGAATGCTCAAACCTATCAGACAAACAATTCAAGAAACAAACAAGCAATGAAAACATGGTATACAAGTGTGCGTTATGTGACAATTTGGA